TAGTAATTATAAAAAAGATAATTATAAAATAATTACTTTTATTTTAAATTAATAAACTGGAATTACCTACCGGATTTCTATTTTAAATTAGTAATTCGAAACCGACTATTATATTTCTTCTATTTTAAATTAATAACTTAAAACCAACTATTATATTTCTTATTTTAAATTAGAAAACTACTAATTCTTAAAAAAAAATACCAGTTTTTTTACTTTTATTAATATTAAAAAAGGATATACTATTTATTTTAATTAAAAGCCAAATTCCGAAATTAACTAGATTATAAAGGCCAGAAATATTATTTATTCTAGTTAAAGGCCAAATTCCGAAATTAACTAGATTATAGAAAATAGAAGTTTTTCTTTTTTTAAATTAGTAGAAAACTAATTATCGGAATATTACCTGCTTTAGTTAAGGGCCAAATTCCGAAATTAATCGGGTTTTGGAAAATGTATTTTCCTTTTTTGAATTCGGGAAAATTACTAAATATTAGAAGTAGTATTTTGCTTTTATTTTTTAAAAACAAATACGGGTTCTTTATTAATAGTATTTTATTACCTCTATAAACTAAATAAATAAGTTTAGTATAATATAATAATAGAATTGAGATAATAGCCAGAATTTAAAAATTCAAGAATTTCATATATTAAAAATACTAAGCTAAAAAGAAAAAGGAAAGAAAGAGAAAAAAATAAAATAAAAAAAATAAAATACTAGCTAAAACTATTAAAATATTAGCTAGCTAGGTGAAACTAGTTATATAATAGCTATTTTCTTTTAGCTTTAGCTAATACTATTATATCTAAAGCTAGGCTTTTCCCGATTTATTAATATTATATTTTTTATTAGATAATATATAGAAATTAATATTTTTATTATTTATTTCTAAATTATTAGCTTTTTCTAAATAATTCTTTTTAATAAATATAACCTTATTAATATTAAAATAAGCCCTATTTATATATTTCTGTTTTCTATAAATATAATAATAGAAACCTTTAAATTAATTTAATCTTTTTTTAAATTTCCGATAAATTATTTCTTTAACTATAAAAATATTATTTATTATAATTAATTTACCAAATATAAAATTATTATAATTTCTTGAATTTTAATAGACTTTTTAGCTTAAAATAATATTTAATAATAAATAGTTTCTATTAATTATTTCTTTTGGAATTACTAGTTTTTAATTAAAAGAAATTTATTCTTTTATTCTATATATTATTTAGTAAAATCCTTAAATATATCGAATTTTTTATTATTTAAACTTTTAAATAACTCGAGATTTATTTTATTTATTAAATTATTATATTAATTATTTAATAACTTCCCTAATTTTATTATTAAATAAATAAATTCTATTTAAAATACCGGAAATAGCTTGTTTTTTTTATTTTAAATACTAGTATATTTCTTTTATTTTTTAATATTTTATCTCTTTATTTTTACTATAAGTTTATTAGAGGATTTTAAAGATTTATTTAACTATTGAAATCTATTTAATTAATTTAGATTTTAGTTAATTATAAATAAAATTATAGATATTTCCGATAACTAGTTATATTATATAAATAATTTTTAATAGTTTATTATCGAATTTAAAAAAGTTCTATATTAGTTTATTTTTTATATTAAATATTTAATTATTAATTTAATAATTATTTTTATTTATAAATAGAACGGGATTCTTAATTTTAATAAACTATAATTAATTATTATAAACTAAAAATAAAAGAGAATTTTAATATTAACTTTTATATAGTTCTTCTAATAGAAACCTATAATATTTCTAAATATTTATTTATTTAGATTTTTATTTTATAGCTTTTTTTATATTAGTTTTTCCTTTATATAAAATTAATTAATAATTGCTTTTAGCTTATTAACTTTTTTAGTAAATTAATTAATATATAAATAGAATTTCTAATAATATTTTATTTATTTATTAGCTATAAGGTAATATTTATTAATAAGGTTATTTTATATAAGTAATTTCTATTAGGCCTTATTTGTTTTTAAAATATTTATACTAATTTTAAATTTCAAATTAGTTAGCTATTTCTTAATATTTTTTTCCGGAATAATATTATAATAGTTTTTCTAATAATATAGATTTATAATATCGAAATTCGGCTCTTTTATTTTATTATATTAGAGCCTTTTATTTAATATATCTATAATAATAGTATTTAATTCCGGGCTATTTATAGTAGTTTTAGAAAAGATATTAGTTATAGAAATAAATACTAAATAACTTCTTTTTATTTAATATTAGTAAACTATAACCGATTATTATTTTATTTTAAATTAATAAACTATTACTAATTCTTTCTATATTAAAAGAAAAAGCTAGTTCTTTTATTTTTATTAATATTAAGGAAATATTATTTATTTTAATTAAGAGCTAGGTTCCGAAATTAATTAAATTATAAAAAATAGTATTTTTTTATATTAGTAAAGAACTAATTACTAGAAGAAAATATTATTTATTCTAGCTAAAGGCCAGGCTTTGAAATTAATTAGATTATAGAAAATATTATATTTCTAATTAAGCTTTCTAATTTTTTATAATTCGAAAAGGTTATTAAATATTAAAAGTAATATTTTATATTTGCTTTTTAAGAATAAATACAAATTCTTTACTAATAATATTATATTGCCTTTATAGACCGAATTAAATAAGCTTAGTATTATATAATAGTAGAATTAATATAATAGTTAAAAGCTTAAAGTCTAAAGAATCTTATATATTAGAAAATATTAAGCTATAAAATAAAATAGAAAAGATATTTTAATCTTTAATATTATTTCATTTAAGTAATTCCGACTTAGTTTTATTTTATATCTATTTCTAATATCCTATTTTTAGTAGATTATATCCTTATACTAGCTATTATATAAATCTCTATTTACCTATAATAATACTAGCTAGAAGCTAAAAGGAAATAGCTATTATATAACTAGTTTTATCTAGCTAGCCGGTATTTTAGTAGTTTTAGCTAGTATTTCTCTTCTTTTATTTCTTCTCCTTCTCTCTCTCTCTCTTTCTTCTCTTTAGTTTAGTATTTTTAATATATGAGATTTTTGGATCTTTAAGCCCTAGCTATTACCTCGATTCTACTATTATATTATACTAAGCTTATTTATTTAGCCTATAAAAGTAATAGAATACTATTAGTAAAGAACTTATATTTATTCTTAGAAAGTAAGAACAGAATTCTGTTCTTAATATTCGGATCTTTCCGAACTTAAAAAAGATAGAATAATAGTCGGTTTTCTACTAACTTAAAAGAAGAAAGATATATCTTTTAAGATCTAATTAACCTCAGAATCTGGCCCTTAACTAGAGCAGACAATATCCCTATTCTCTATAATCTAGTTAACTTCGGAGTTTGGCTTTTAACTAGAGCAAATAATAATCTAATAGTTAGTTTTTTACTAACTTAAAAGAAGAAAGATTTCCGTTCTCTATAACCCAGTTAATCTCAGAATCTGGCCCTTAACTAGAGTAGATAATATTTCCTTAATATTAACGAGAATAAAAGAACCGGTATTCCCTTCTAATAATTAGCGGTTTTCCGATTTAAAACAAGAGATATAATAGTTGGTTCCGGATTACTGACTTAAAATGGAAGAGATATAACGGTCGGTTTCAGGTTACCGACTTAAAATAGAAGTAATCCGGTAACCGGTTCTAGTTTACTAATTTAAAACAGAAGTAACTATTTTATATTCGCCCCTTTCTTATTTGCTCCTTCCTCATTTGCCCCTTCCTCGTTTGCCCCTTCCTCGTTTGCCCCTTCCTCGTTTGCCTCTTCCTCGTTTGCCCCTTATACGGCTACCCCTTATATAATACTACTTCTCTAATTCAGATAATTCGAATAATTCTATTCCAGAAGAAGCTTATATATAATATTCTCCTGCTAATAACTTGTTCTCTAAGGAAACCGAGAGCTAATAAGACCCTAGAAAAGCTAGCTCTAGAGCCGAGATTAAATCGGATATAGAAAATAGTTCTTTGAATAGTTCTATAGATGATTTGAATTCTATAGACAATTCTGCAAATAATTCTTTAGATAAGCTTGGCTTTTTAGACGGCTCTATAGACGAACCTGGCTCTATAGACGATTCTGGGAATAATTTGGGTTCTATAAATAATTTTGGGTCTAAGACTAGTTCTAGAGCCTCAGGTAGAGATAGAGATAGCTATTAGTCAGATAGTAACTATTAAAAGCGAGCCGTTTTAGGGGTTTTTATTAAAGATCCTATTTCCTTTATATTTCATATACCTAAATAAGGGTATTCAGATTTGGTTTCCGGGAGAGATAATATAACGGCACTAGCTGGGGGCCAAAGGGGGGTAGCTATTATATAACTAGTTTCACCTAACTAGCCGGCATTTCAGTGGTTTTAGCTAGTATTTCCCTCCTTTTATCCCTTCTCCTTCTCTCTCTCTCTCCTTCTTTCTTTAGCTTAGTATTTTCAATATATGAGATTCTTGGATCTTTGAGCCCTGGCTATTACCTCAATCCTGCTATTATACCGCCTATACCTAAAAAATCGATTTTTAATTATATCTTTATTATAATTATAAATCCTTTAATATATTAATATTCTATAATATTTTCAATATCCTAATAACTATATATTTAATTTAATCTTGTAGTACGGCTAGAATCGCCTGTTAATATCGAAGTTTTTGATTTTTGATATGCGGCTGCACCTCATAATTTTTAGTAAGCCGGGCACATACCAAAAATCAAAAAATTCGATATTAACAGGCGATTCTAGCCGCACTACAAGATTAAATTAAATATATAGTTATTAGGATATTGAAAATACTATGGGATGTTAATATATCAAAGGATTTATAATTATAATGAAGGTGTGATTAAAAATCGATTTTTTAGGCGTGGGCGGATGGGGGTTTGGGCGGTTGGCTAGTGGATACTTCTAGCGCGAACGCGCTCGTCGCGTGCTCTTTCAAACGCGTGACTGTGAATGTAAAAAGGTTACTCTTACGACGACATCACGATGCTTACAATTGAGAAGAGTAAGAGCCATAAAGGCAAATGTACGCCCAATGTCTTGCCTTGTCGAATCAATCATAATGGTCCCGTCGACGCTTCGAGGAGGTATTGGAATCCAACCAAGACGCCAGGTAAGATACCTGGTCCTGATGCAGGTATTGTATCTTAACTGTGTGCAGATGGCAAAACTGTTGCGTATTTCCGAGGCAGGAAACTTCATGGGAAGCAAATGATGGTTCCGAAGGGATATCGAGGAGCTGTAGTTTCAACTACGGATCGAGTTTTGCCCAAATCGAAGCCTGCGGTTGACGATGATGAAGTGGAAGAGGTAGAAGAGGAGGTGGACGTGAAGATTATGGAGGAGCAGTCAGATTTCGATCACATAATGCTTTGGGGACATGAGGCGCTACCGGATGATGTTACGGATCCATATGTGAGGGGCATTGAGGAGTGGATTGCTCTCTCTGAGCAGGTATGTTTTCCAGGCCGTGAAGGAGTCCAATCTGACATTTCCAGATCCATTCCATATCGGACGAAAACCCCGAGTCGAAGGATTGAAGGGGATAGGATTATGGCTTTTCTAGATGGCGTGGCATGGCGTTCATTATACTAGGATAATGAAGCTCTTTCAGTCAGGTTCGACCTTGAGTCTCTTCCTTGGAGCGCCACCCCCGTCTCGTTTGCGTCTTCAACCTTGATCCGACTATTATTTCGTTTCTTCGGCATCCTCTCCACTTCCTGATCTTCTGGCTTGACTCGCCCCTCCGTCTTCAACCATTCTTTCTGCACTCTCAGAAACTCTTTCTTCATCTCCTGATACCCTTGATGGTGTCTGCATCTTTCCCACACTTCCTTGAAAATCCCACTCGCCTTTTCCTTCTCTTTTTCCCCATCATGACCCTTACTCTTCTCTATCATATTCCCCTTCCCCCTCCCATCAACATACTTCCTCCCTCCTTTGTAATTCGCATACCGTTTTGATCTGGTCATCCCCATCTGGATGAACTTTCTGGCCATGTCCATACCAACGAAATCATTCTGTTCGTAGAATTCAAGGAACTTATTCCAGAGCGTCTCGGACGAAGCTTGAGCAATGGGCACGGTGCGAAAGCGCCAGTGGGGAAGGAGATAGGATTTGTAAGGCTCATATGTTAGGACGCCTTGCTCTCCTCGACCGATTCTATAGGTCATTAAATGGGATTTGGGAGGCTTCGTGAAGGCTGGCATGATCATATAATTTCTTGGGGTATATTCAGAACAAGTGAGATTTGGGAAGGAGTGTAGCGAATGACGTCGTGCAAGCTAGGAGGGAATCTCCCATCCCAACATGGGGTTTTGAAATTTGTTTAAAAACGAAATTTTGGATCTAAATTACTCTCCCACAAAACCAACAGCAAAGCAGTCTTCATGAGATGCATAGCGATGAACAATGAATGATTTCTCTGGACTTGATCACGTGCTCAAATGCCCCTTTTTCGCTTGGCTTGGAAAACCACTTTATTCCGGTGCCCATCAACACGTTACAACGCAGAAATTTCGCGTCCTCGACGCGCTTTCGTGTTTAAACGCCCGCCAATTTTCGACCTCCTGAAAACCACCAGCGATCCTCAACACCACAACTCATTCACGGACACTCCCTAAATTGTCCACCATGGCTGCAATGATGTCTGATGCCATTGAATCTGAGCTTGGTGCTTCCAGCAGAAATGGTACACCACGAGCCCGTCCGGCCCAAAGAGGCTCTTCGGCCAGACCTCGCGGCCCTCCCTCTGAGAGCATTGCGCCTTTGAGCGACGATGAAGGATTCGCAGATGATCAGGTTGCGGCTGGAACAAGCAGACCAAAAAGAAAAGATCGTCCAGTTCCACGAGTAGAGGATGCGATCGGACAATACGTTCAGCTCAACTTCGAAGATTTCCTGGAAAAGTAAGGAGGTGTCCCTGTCTGATCATAGCAGCTCTGACATGTTTGCAGCTTCATCGAAGAGCCCTCACCATCGGGTGCACCGCCTGCGAGCGCTGTTACCACAGATAAATACTACATCGCCCAGATCCACGGCTTGAGGACGTACCAGCTTTCGACGCTCTATGTCGACTATACACATCTCTCGTCATACAAAGGTGGAGCCTTGGCCGACGGTATCGTTGAAGAATACTACAGATTCGTGCCATTCCTAACCAAGGGATTACACAATATGATCGCCAAGTACGAACCAAGATACTTTCGCGACCATCGCCAGCCTACCGCTTCCAGCAACCAGACTTCTTCAGGTGCGAGCAACGCAGCATCTGCCAGTCAATCTGACTTCCAAGGAGACAAGACCACCAATCAGCAAACCGACAAGATCTTTGCTTTGGCCTTCTACAACCTTCCCCTTGTCTCCCGAGTTCGACACTTGAGAACCCAAAACATTGGTCAATTGCTCTCAATTTCAGGCACAGTCACCAGAACATCCGAAGTCCGACCAGAACTCTCCCTTGCCACTTTCACTTGCGAAGCCTGCCGAAGTGCCGTCCCCAATGTTGAGCAGACTTTTAGATACACCGAGCCAACACAATGCCCGAACGAGCTTTGCAACAACCGTCAGGGATGGAGATTAGATATCAGACAAAGCACTTTCGTCGATTGGCAAAAGGTCCGAGTCCAGGAGAACAGTTCAGAAATCCCAACGGGTAGCATGCCTCGAACAATGGATGTCATCCTGCGTGGAGAGATTGTCGACCGAGCGAAGGCTGGAGAGAAATGTATCTTCACTGGAGCCCTTATCGTTGTCCCCGATGTCAGCCAACTCGGTCTTCCTGGAGTTCGACCGGTGGCTGTACGAGACAACCAGAACAGAAGTGGAGACGCTGGCGGTGTAACCGGCCTCAAGGCTCTTGGTGTGCGCGATCTTACCTACCGACTTGCTTTCTTGGCCTGTATGGTGACTCCAGACACCTCCACCACTGGATCAGCCGTGAGCCAGCAGCTGAATGGCCAGTCCAACAATATTTTGGCTTCACTCAATCAGACAGCCCCAATCGATCCCAACGAGCCCGGAGATCATGCACAAGAAGCTGTCCTTGCATCGATGACTCACGCCGAGATTGAGGATCTCCGGGAAATGGTTCATAGTGATCACATCTACTCTCGACTTGTCAACTCCCTTGCTCCTATGGTCTACGGCCATGAAATTGTCAAGAAGGGTCTTCTTCTTCAGCTGATGGGCGGCTTGAGCAAGACTACCCCTGAAGGAATGGCACTGAGAGGTGACATCAACATTTGCATTGTCGGTGATCCTTCAACATCAAAGTCACAATTTCTGAAGTATATCTGCTCTTTCTTGCCCCGAGCTGTCTATACCTCTGGTAAGGCATCTTCAGCAGCAGGTCTTACAGCTGCTGTGGTCAAGGATGAAGAGACGGGAGAGTTCACCATCGAGGCTGGTGCTTTGATGTTGGCAGACAACGGCATTTGCGCCATTGACGAGTTCGACAAGATGGACATCAGCGATCAAGTTGCTATCCACGAAGCTATGGAACAGCAGACCATCTCCATTGCCAAGGCTGGTATTCAAGCAACTTTAAATGCCAGAACCTCGATTTTGGCAGCTGCAAACCCTGTTGGAGGTCGATACAACCGAAAGACTACGCTGCGGGCCAACATCAATATGTCTGCTCCTATCATGTCACGTTTCGATCTGTTCTTCGTCATCTTGGATGAATGTAATGAGACTGTCGACCGTCATCTCGCAGAGCACATCGTTGGTATCCATCAGCTCCGTGACGAGGCCGTGCAGCCAGAGTTCACGACAGAACAACTGCAACGCTACATTCGTTTTGCGAAGACCTTCAAGCCAGAATTTACACCTGAGGCAAAGGAGATCCTCGTGCAGAAGTACAAGGAGCTTCGAAGCGATGATGCTCAAGGAGGAATCGGCCGAAACAGCTACAGAATCACCGTCCGTCAACTTGAATCCATGATTCGACTCTCCGAGGCTATCGCCAAAGCCAATTGCGTTGAAGAAATTACACCGGCCATGGTCATTGAGGCTTTCAACCTTCTGAGACAGAGTATTATCTCAGTTGAGAAAGATGATGTCGAAGTCGATGAAGAGGACGAGGATGCTGTGGTTGCAAATGGCACGAATGGTCATCGTAGAGATACTGATGGGGATTCTCCCATGGCTGATGCAGATGACGATGAGGATGGAGACAATGGTCCAGATGGTGGAGCTGGACCAAGTGCTGCTGCCCCTGCTGCCCCTGCAGCTGCCAGCGGCGAGAAACAGAAGACGAAGATCTCGTATGATAAATACATCAGTGTGGTCAATCTTCTTGTACAGAGAGTCAATGAAGATGAGATGAGCAATGGAGAGGGCGTTGATGGGGAGACGCTTGTGGAGTGGTATTTGGAACAGAAGGAGAACGAGTTGAATGGGGAGGCGGATTACCATGCAGAGATGGCATTGACGAAGAAGATAATCAGGAGAATGGTTAAGGTGAGCTCTTTCCCTCCCCCCTTCATCCTTACACATACACTAACTGCTGTAACAGGAAAATATTCTCATGGCAATAAGAGGCCAAGGTTTGGTGGGTGAAGACGGAGAAGGCAGCTCAAGTACAGCTGAGAAGACTGTGTACGTTCTGCATCCCAATTGTGCGGTCGAGGAGTATTAGATAGGAGGTGGAGCGGATTGTATGAATGATGAGCGGTGGTGTGCTGATAACAGAGGCGCGCACGGAGTGGATACCATGAGATGCCTTTGGGCGCTGGGCGTTATTTGTTAGAGTTTGGCGTGGTTTTGTCTACAAGGAGGTGTCTAATGAAACGAAAGTCTTCACTGAAGTCGCGGAATTTATCACGAAGTGAGGAAATGCCAGTCGGCCAGGGAGTGGACATCGTAACTTGCAAGTGCAACTGTTTCTCGCTTCTTTAAAAATACTACCAAATAATACAGTATCTTTCTGTATCCATGCTTGTTACTGTCGATCCGGCAAGTTCTCCGCATGCATCACGATCTTCGGATCCACAGTGGAGGTAGTAAATTTACGGAGTTTGGTGGCAAGGAGCACTGTACAACTCTTGACTACTCCACTTATCAGATGTTTCGACCACGCCTCTCTAATGAACTGCAATAACAACTCAGGGTCGTGGTGAATGGCAAGAGTTGAAGCTACTATATTCGAGCAGCGTACGAATACGCGGATGCAAGCATACTGCGCATAACACGGAGTCTTGATCTATCAGGCTCGTTTCCTACCCCAAGCGCGAACCCCGCATAGATGCTCCCCAAACATCGAGAATATTTCCTCAATTCTTCAGGGTTACTGTCCTCCCATCTCAGGTCGAGAAGTTCGGACGGAATAGTGACCAGGTAAAACACATTTCCGAGAAATCTCACTTGCTTTCACTGACTACATTAAACAGATCTGAGTATGTCCGCCAAAAGGACAGGTGAGGAGGGCGGCTGAGTTGGGGTATAGGGGGTTTGCGTTGGCGGCTGATGCTGTGGGGATGGAGAAGAAGGAGAGGGATTCTGGGCTGAATGTTGAGGAGGAGGAGTTATCAGACGATGAGATGAAGAGGAGAAACCTAAAGGGGGCATCAGCAGTACTAGACCTGAACCCATCACTGCTGAGTAGATTTCCACGCCCAAGCTGACATATTTACAGACCAGTATATGATAAATTCGACTGGATATCAGCCATCCAATGGCTCCGCTCCCTAGTCACCCTCCCAATCGCCATAACAGGGATCCAAACCTGGGATGACGCCAAGCTCTGCATGCAACACGGCGTACACCCCTATCTCTCCAGCCACGGCGGACGGCAACTAAACGGAGCCCACTCCGCTCTCGAAACACTGCTGGAAACCCGTTCCCACTGCCCGGAAGTGCTTGAGAAATATTCTGAAGTAGGAAGTGGAGACGGCGATAGCGCTGCTGGGGGTTAAGAGGGTGGAGCAGTTGGGGCTGGAGTATGTTGATGTGGCGAAGGGGCTGGGTAGGTGTATGGTTGGGGATTTGAGGGCCCGTCTATAAAAGCGATAGCACTCTTATTCCACCGGTTTCTAATTCATTCTTTCATATTCCATCCTAAAATATCTAGACGACAAAAGAGTGGGCATTTCCCCGGTTTCATCGTAAAAAAGCGGCCCATTGTTGACATTTTTGATCTGCATTGGATGGTGGCAAAAATTTTATCCCTGCTTGTTCTTTCTATCATTTCTAATTTCTCAATCTTGCAGACTAACAGGCTAGTGCCTAGAAGAGCATTTCTCGAACTAAACAGCCGCAGACACCAACCCAGGATTCTCCTTTTCTGCTTATTCCTTCTGGTAACTGACGAGCCAACTGGATCCCATATATCAGAACCTTCATTCCATCAAGGTTAAAACAGACCCAGAGATGCTCACCCAACTATTTCTTAACATGCTCGTAGAAGTCGTTCCCACAAGTGGATAGGAGGACTAGGGTCAAGTTAGTCGTTAGATTCTTCGACTTTTGATGCAAAAGCGAGAGTTACTACTTCTTTTGGGGTCCTGGAAGAACGAACTTCTTGCTACCAGTGTTAAAATACAGAATCAAGAGACGGCCAGGGCACTTCCCAACTTCCTTAGCATGGACTATGTGGAAGTTTGCCTTCAGACGTCATCGAACCACGCCACCGCGACACCGCGAGGTTCATCAGTACTTCCCCTTACCCCCACGATATCCGAAACTTACTCAACATATCCCAAATATTGTCAACAATTGGTCTAGTCTCAGCTGGAAGAGGAGTGAACTCGGATCCAATTGCAAAAGCATAAGAGCTCTCTCTCCCTGGGCCGATTTCAAGCCCGCCCTCTCCATCACGCTGAAAGAGCAAAGTCAAGCAGCCAATATCAATGTGCACGCCTGATATTCAGGTCCCAACTGCGTTTCAAGAGGCGGGATAATGCAGCATTCGCATCTGGGTGAGGCAGTCCGGATCCTTTGGGTCCATGGCTATGCGGAAGTAATCCTCAGGGAAGCCAAGAGCGATCGCGAAGCAGGCGACTGAGATTTCTGACCAGCGCCTTCATAAGAGAAGAAATGTTAAGAATCCACTTATGGAGTTTATCAGAGATCGCTTCGCACTTAAGAGGGTGGAGAATACACAGCAGCAGATCAACTTTTCGCTTGAAATTGTGCAAGTTTCCCTCAATCTTGAACATTAACGACAAAGCAATTACTTCCGACCAAAGCCACCCTCTGCAGATCGATCATTGATCAACCATGGTGAGACTTAGGACTTGTCGGGGTTCGGCAGTCGATCAATCCGCTGTTTATCTACTAACACTCGACAAAGATTTTTTGGGCTCACCATATTTACCTTCTTGCTACGAGGAGGCCAAAATCTCATTATGCTCCAAGCTTCTAATCTTATGTCGGAAGTGTTTCTGCAAAATTATCGCAGGGTTGATGTGAAGTGTCTACGGAGGTGTTGTGCCTGATATGTTGCAAGTACAATTACAGCGTACGAAAGCCTGTAATTACAGGGCCTCATCCACTATAAATTCGTGGATGCGATGTGCAACAAAACTCTATGTTTGGTTCTTATTGGTCACTAGAAAGGTGGCACGAGCTTTCTTGGGCATTGCAGGAGCAAGAATTGAGCTAAGAATTCACTGTGCAAAGAGGTAATTTTGGAGTGAAGTTACTCGAGTAGAATAGGGGTAAGATTCAGCTCGCTTAACGGGGCTTATCTTTGTGTACTGTTCTGAGGTATGCTGTAATGCATGGTAAAACTGCGTATTTCTCAGAACTGCGAAAGAGTTCTCAATTGAAACAAATTCAGGTTCACACAACGGCAAAATAATTGACGGTGCCAGCTTTCGGACAACGCTTTGTGTAATACCACGTATCCTCCACGTGTTATCGGATACTTCCTCTGTAGCCCCTATATTAACCAAGTTGAGGCCAAGTCACACACCAGGTCTGAAGTTTCAGCAAGCTCAGCGCTTCTTCTGGAACGCCCCACAACGTGAGGTCTGTCAATGGAAGCACTGGACGGGGGTTTTGGTCATCTACGACGTTTCCAATCATCGGATCGCTCTGTACTTTCTGGGGCCATGCGACCTGAAATGCGCCCGTAGTCTGGGCACCACACCTGTACGAGCTTCTCCTGCCTGCGCGATAAATGTTCTCGTGCGGCCGGTCTCTTGCAACAACCCCGCACAGCATGCGGCGGATGTTGTGTTCCTAAGTTGGGAATGGCCCAGTAATCGCCCTGCAGAATATCCTCAACCTCGCGGGCTGCTTATCGTGGAAAGCACCCTCAGGAGGCAGGATCTTCGATCAGCAATCTTGGCAGATTGCTTTCGAAACCACAGCGGACCCACAAGTCCAAGCGGACGAAGCAGAACCTCAAAGCAAGGCTTTCAGAAACCAAGCTTGAAGAACCGAAGTATTGCGACCCTTTTGCTTTTTGCCTGTGCCAGGTTCAACCTGTAGTACAGGGGCGGCCATTATCTCATGCTATGGCGCGGGCTTAGCGGAGAGTTAGGCGTTATTGGTCATGTTTCTCTGTACTTTTATGATTGAACTTTGCTTATTTCTCACTTGAGTGAGGTCCCAAAATTCTTGAGATCTGGACAAGTATGAAGGTGACGATGCTGCTCAGCTTCAGGAAACGCGTGCTCGACATGCGGCCAAGTAACGAGGTCTTGGTGCCTTCGATACTGGTTACATTAGGGGCTTTCGCTATGGCCTGCTTGAGCAGTACCTATGTGTACTTAATCGAGCAAGCGGTTTGCCGGAAGCATTTTATGGTCAAGGATCCAGCGAGGATAAATGGCGCGGGTTTGGTGGATGAGGAGAGTTGCAAGATACCAGATATTCAGGCCCAGGTTGCGAGCATAAATGGTATTTACATGTTTTTGGCGTTTTTACCCGGTAAGGAATTGCCACGTGGGTTCACCAAAAATTCAAAATGCTGACAGAAATTGTAGCATTCCTCTTTACTGGTCCTTATAGACAGCTTGCCAAAGTTTTGGGAAGGAAGATAGTTATCTTCATGAATATTTGCGGGTTTGTGATTGATTCGTGTTTCTTCATCGCGGTGTGTAAGTTACCGAGCATCGTCCTTGAACATTCAGATTGATATGCTAATCATGGTAATCGAAGGCTATTGTTACACCGTTTTCGACATTCGATGGATATACTTGGCGCCATTCCTGTGGGTGTTTGGCGGTGGAACGGTCATATTCCAATCCTTACTCTATACATATATCTCAGAAAGTGTTGATTCCAAGCATTTGTAAGTGCTGGACTTCTCATATGGCTTTGAGCTAACCTTGGAACAGGAGTGGCGTTTTGTACAAGTTGAGAGCTGTACAACTATTAGCAAATTTCTTCGCCATGGGCCTCAGCGCGTACCTCCTTCGAAAAAACGTCTGGCTGCAGTGCTTCATCGGAATAGGGACCTTGGCCGTCATGATGCCGATCACTGCACTACTTCACGACCACGTAGCACCGACGAAAGAAAAGATCCCGTCCTACACTTTCTTCGATTCCGACTCTGAAGACTCTGAAGACTGCGAAACGACAACCCTCCTCACAGACAGTCCGGCTCCAACCACCAAACAAACTTCGATCCTCATAACACTCAGCAACCCCCTCCTCGAAAACATGACCCACACCATAACCCTCTTCAAACAAATCATCCAATCCTCCCCTTTCTGCCACACAACAATGCTCACCTACTTCCTCCTCTCCTTCGCCAACGCAATCGACAACATTTTCGCGCAATGGTCCTCCCTAACCTTCTCCTGGATCCTCGCAGACGTGAACGCCGTCAACTCGCTCGGGACGCTCGTCTCGTTTACCGTCCTGCTCTCCCTCCCAATCCTCTCATCGATACTAAAACCTCAGTTCGACAACTGCTCATCGAAGGTCGATTTCTTTATGGTCAAAGCTTCCGTAATAGCATGGGGAGTCGGAGTTTTATTTATGGCGCTGGCACCAACGAGAAAGATGCTGATTGCAGCCGTAGTGGTGGGAAATTTTGGAGCTGGGACGTATGATGCATTGAGGGGCTTTGTGACGGGGTTGCTTGGTGGAAAGGAAGAGATTGAGCAGTTTTATGTGGGGATTGGGATCATGGAGACTGTTGGGGGGATGCTGGGCACGGTTGCTTGGAGTGCGGTTTTTAGAGAGGTGGTGGGGATGGCGCAGTGGGTTTTGAGGGTGCCGTATGGGTTTTGTGCTGTCTTGATGGTGAGTGTTTTGGTGTGTGCGGTTGTGCTGGGGAGGGTTGGGAGGAGGGTGACGAAGGTAAGGGTTGATGTCTGAATCGTTGGAACGGGTTGGTGAGCTGACTGCAATCCATAGACTAGAAGATAGGCGATACCCAGTACGAACTGGCTCTGATCGACCTCAACCCGCTGCTTGGTTGTGGGAAGCAATTGTGCAATATTACAACGGTATACAATTATTCCTCCGGAGGATATGGCCACTTAGTATCAAGCCTCCATCCACCTTCACAAACCTTTGTCACACATATATCTCCAATGAGCTCCTCTCAGCTCATTTCATTAGGTATGTCAATCTCATCTAGCTCCCGGGAGTATGATCCCCGCCCAATCCGAACGCCTGCGCCAAGCTCACATGAAACCCTACGATCACAATGCACGTGCCAGTCTATGTGTAACCTTTATATCCATGTACAGGCCCTCCCTTCTCACCTCCCCATTCTCATTCCCTTTCATATCAACTTCGCCTCATACTCCATCAAGTCGTGGCTCGTCCTCCACATCCATTATCGATTACACTCCTCCGCCTATTCAACCAACCACCATTAGCCTCTGTCTCTATAACCGCCTTTCTCGGGATTTTGAGCATGGGAGGGAGGAAGCATACCACTTCTTCCTGGCGCAACAGAATAATTAACCCCTTCTTTATCCCTAGCTTTCTTGCCCGCCTCGCTTTGGGTCATCATAGTCCTGAATTTGAAGCCGACAAACAGCGCTGCGCCGCCGAAGAACGTTGCGAGGAGGAGGGGCGTGCGTTGGCGTCTACATATCACCGTAAAGGTCAGCATCAGTTCCTCCACCTCGCACATCAAAGAGGGAGGTTGGGAGCCAGGAGGTGAGCTTAGAGAGGGGAGGGGAAGCGGGACGGACGAGAAAGCATTTCGCGGTGGAGCCATGATGAGTATTTCTTGCTGTTCGCAGAGCTGAGAAATCGTTCAAAAGATTTGGAGAGTATTGTAAGAGCTGTAGAAGTAGACCTCGGTGGCGAGATGAATTGCAAAGATGTTGTTGGGAGTTGAGAAGCTGTGTGGTGAGAGGCACACGAGCTAAGGAAGTTTAGGGAAGCTCATCCCCGCACCCCAGAAATTCTCGGCTGTGAGGAAGCGAGAATTGCCGTCGTGTCATGGCGCTACTTCTCTCATCAGGAGATATTTCGTTTTCTATGTATTTTAAACGTTCTTGAAAAGTGACGTTGGAGAACTTTAAGGTTGATGGACAACAAGGATTAATTCGATACGCAGAGCGCTTGATTCGCTGTCAAGGTTGGGGGGTTGCTCCAGACGATCATTTATCCGATGGAGATCCCACACCCAGAAGTCCCAGGGCAAGTGAGCTTTGTGGGGTTAAGATCTAGAGTCAGATATCACCGATTATCAGAGGGGGTCTATAGCTGCGTGAATTTTATGGTCTCTTCAGCTGCGTGTTCCTCGAGTTGTGAATTTCGAAATTTGAAGCATCAGGTCACGTGATCATAATTATTAACTTACATATATCTCCGCAAGCTCATCTTGTTTTCGAGATGGTCGGCTCCTTCATTATAAGACATAATAGCGTCAAACCTCCCATTCAGCAGCTTTTGTCCCAAAGAATCACTGGCGCTCAGGTTTGTCTCCTTAAGTGAGCCTTGCCCGTTGAAACTGTTCTTCCGATCGTCCGTATTCTATCAAGTCTTCCCCCCCCCAAACACCCCCCCAAAAAAACCATTAAAATAACATCAAAGCATACAACTCACACTTCAAATACCGAGAGCAAACAACAAAACTACCATAATGAGCTTCAGAGGTCTACTCGCCAGCTGGCCGAAGTCCTCTCCTATCCATCCTCAGAATTTATACGATATTCTGGGCTGTACGCACACTACACTGACAGTGAAAGACAGATGGCACAAAGCAACTGTAGTAGAGGTTACAGAGGAGTTTGGATAGGTGGATGATCCAATAGAATACACTTTATGGGTTGAGATTCTCAGAGAAGCTCAACCGGAGAGCTTGGTTTGTTGTTTAAACCACGGAGACTAGCTACTCAGTACTAAGTTCATATACAGGTTGGAAAAGTTGGACAGGGGGTTGCTGATGAGAGGGGTCAAGTCGACGTGAGACTAGAGAATGGGCCCCTAGGGTTTGGGAAGAGTTATTTTAGGATGGAATACTTGCTGAGGGGAGAGGGACTGGGAAGTGATAATCTATTGAGGACTAGAGCTAGGTTAGATACAAGTAGAAAGCGTTGATGTTATATGTGATGATTCTCTTCATTTGATTGCAGCTACTAAACAAATGATCCCAGTTGTGTGGATGCATCGTGGAGACGGTGACGACAAAGCACTTGAATATCAAGTGATAAGCAAGAGGCAAAGAGTATGAATGCAATCAGAATTCATTGCAACACATATAACTGCTTCAGCGCTATCTCTAGGTTGGTCAATATTCTTAGCTCATCGATGTTTGCATTAGCAGCGCATGAAATAATCACCCAGAATAGAAACCATGTATAACGCGGTACATTTTTTGGTATTTTTTTGTTTATCCAAGATCAGGCTCCAAAACTATCCAATATCCTCCAAGATCAGGCATCAAAAACTATCGTCCACTCCGATTACATGCTACCTAATAGGGACGGGGGCGAGGACCTGGGGAGGGAAAGCCTCCTTGCCCGTCATCAAAACCATCTTGACCGAAAGGATCTTGGTCTCCGTCGCCACCGCCAGGGCCGACGGGACGACCGAACTCCTCTGAAAGTGCTTGCCAAAACTCAGGGCCGATCAAGTACATGCCAGGGCTGATTCTTTCAACCAAACCCTGTCGTTCGGCTCGGATCATAACAACCAGCCACTCTGCCTTGGACGCCAGGTCGCCTGTGCCAAGACCAGATAGTTGGAGGGCTTCCATAGAGCTCATTTGTTGCGTTCCACCTTGGCCCATTTGAGGCCGTTGCATGCCAGGCATCTGGTGTCGTTGCATGCCAGGCATCTGAGGTCGCTGCATGCCAGGCATCTGATGTCGATGCATGCAAGGGCGCCGGGGGAAACCGGGTGGTGGGAAACGATTGTTCATAGTGTTGGCTATGAGTTTTCTTAGTGTTTGAGGAGTAAGTTGTTACCTTGTTGTGTGTCTTTGGAAAGATCAAGTTGAAAGTTGGTGAGAATGGAGAAGGTGGTTGAGAGGACCTCAATGGGAACAAGGCGTTCTTAAATAAACATTTTGCTGAGCTGAGGCGAGCTCTGTGATTCTCAAGACTGCCATCACTGAATGGGAAATATCTCGATTTGCATGTCTGATTCGCTATGACAGTGAATGAATGCATAGGAGCTGATGTGGTTTCTTTAACTAAGTCTGTGAATAGAAACTGTCTCAGTCGAGGTGCTTCGGGCTGTTGTGGGTGTGAATACATCGTATTTCACCTCATGTGACAAGACGGAGCAGGCGTCATTGATGCTCATTCATTAGAATGTCACAATTTATTTTCCTCCTTTGATGCACAAGCCAGAAATAAAGAGGAAGGATCAAGTGACGAGACGATTGTCATGAATTGTCAGGACAAGGTAAAACTTCGGAGTGGAAAAATGATTCTGCTATTAACACATCCGATTGGCTGCCTGCGAATTCAGGGGCTCGGTAAATTACAAACTGCCGAGCAAACAAGATCTAATCATGGCAAGCATGGCTCTTCACATGCATTATTAATTGGGCAATGTGAAATGCCAAGTGTTCCTCAAATCTTTTTTGCATTTCGAAATGTCGTGCATGCGGGGTCCGGCGGCAACCGTTTTGAAACATCCAAATGAGGAAGGTGGGTTGGATGCACACTCATTTGCACAATGGTCACTTCGATCTACAGTAGATCAATCTGCCAATTTGATTCGATAAGAGATAATTCACCAGGTCTGACTCGCTTGCAAGTATGCTTAAACTTACAACAGCTGCCGAGGAAGCCTTCTCGAAGAAGTGTGTACTTCGGAAAGGGTACCAGATACGGAAGCTGAAGCTGAGCGCCAAGAGGAGTGATAGAGGCGTGTGGGAGAGGGGTAGATTGATTGCTGGATAACAAGAAGTGCCAAGTAAGGGAGGCCTTATCGTTCGAGGTATTGCAGGAAGAGGAGTGCTGCTGGATGTGAGTATAACTTCAGAGCATATCCTCAGGGAGAGGCTATCGTAAACTCAACTATCGAGTACGCTTCTCACTTTATCTCTTGGAGTCAGTTTCACCGAGGGACCTTGAATCAAGATGCATTCTTTCATGGTGTTAAGCGCTCTTCTCCTCTCAACTGGAGTCGTCTCCACGCCTCTTCCTGCACCAACGGGAATCCCCACAACCGCGGCTGCCAAAACGGAACTTGCAGCACTGACTGTCGCAGCTCAAGGATCTCAAGATGGCTACAGCAGAGATCTGTTCCCACACGTATGCACAACCTCGCTGCTTTGCTTCCATTTCTGTAAGCAACACTGACTCCAATATCGTTCAGTGGATCACCATCTCCGGTACTTGCGATACACGGGAGACTGTTCTCAAGCGTGACGGCACCAATGTTGTGACCTCCAGCGCTTGCGCCGCTACAAGTGGGACTGTAAGAGCAACTTAGTTCCTTAAGTTCTTTGTTATCGATTTTTGAAATACTCCCTCCTCATCTTATGCACTCCCAACACCGCCCGAAAGAGCTTAGTTTTACATATTTTGCTGAAATTGTACTCCTTATACATTCCGAATTGAGAAGTTACTGATACCCCGTTATCCAGTGGGTCAGTCCATATGACGGAGCCACCTGGACTGCAGCCAGTGATGTGGATATTGACCACTTGGTGCCATTGAGCAATGCCTGGAAGGTAAATACCTCCGGAAAGTAAAGCATTTGGAAGAGCATGCAACTGACAGAGTGTGCAGAGTGGTGCATCCGCTTGGACTACAGCTCAGAGGCAGACTTTTGCCAATGACCTTACGCACCCGCAACTCCTTGCCGTCACTGATAATGTGAATGAATCCAAGGGAGACTCAGGTCCTGAAGATTGGAAACCGCCGTTGAGTAAGTGCCTGCCTGCAAATGGTGGGATGAAAGCTGACCCACTCGTCCAGCCTCATACTGGTGCACATATGCGAAGATGTGGGTTAAAGTAAAGTCAGTTTATGACTTAACCATCACATCTGCTGAGAAGACGGCCTTGACAACAATGTTGAACACGTGCTAGGCGGTGAAATTTGCCGCAAAGGGTGCGTGAGATGTCCGGCATTCGCTTCTCGTAAACTGCTGTTATTCGGGGGGTTGGTGATTGGTCCTTGGGCTGAGCGATGGTTGCCTCTTGTGATGGTAAGGGGGAAAGATGAATAAATATGCTGCATGATCAACCCGGTTGGAAGAAACAGGCTGCTGTGCATGAGTAGGCTCGATGATGAATAACGGAGAGACGTCCTAATTGACCTCTGATTTATCTTATGAATGAGCTGAATCACGTTGATATTGTGAGTTCCTTCTGATTGTAGAGAGCGATAACGGAGTTGGGGCCATTCACCCCGAAGGCTATTTACCTAAATAAAGTAAACACGCTCCTTGCGCAACCAGAATCTCCCACCATCGCGACCACAACATTCGACCAAGCTGACCAAAGTTGGCCACAACCTGCCCTTTCGCTATTAATTGTCAAACGTAGTCCTTGCTGAAAATACTTCAACAGTTGCACTCCAACTCCAAGGTCTGTCGGGGAGAGTAAACAAGATGGGTCTGCTCTCCTCTCTCACCTGGACCGGCATTGCCGTTATCCTCTTCCTCTATTTGGCTGCCTACGGAATTGCTTTGGTACTGTATCGCCTCTACTTCCATCCCCTGGCAGACTTCCCTGGCTCTGTCATGGCTCGCTCGACCTTCTTGTACGAGTTCTACCACACCTACTTTCGCGAGGGCTCGTACTACCTTAGGGTCAAGGACATGCACAAGAAATATGGTAGGCGCAAAATACCATCCGTTTGGGAAGAGCGACTCAGCTGTATTTAGGCCCCGTCGTTCGCATTACACCAGATGAACTCCACGTCGATGACCCCACGTTCTACAACACTGTCTTCGTCTCCTCATGCGCCCGAAAGACTGAGAATTACCCAAGAGCTAGTGAGGGAACCGGATTCGAAGGTAGACTGCACGAACAACTACGCAAGCCCATGCTGACGAGACGAATTAGACATGGTTGCCATCTCCAAATCCCATGACATGCACCGTTCTGCTCGTGGAGTCCTTAATCCGTTCTTCTCGAAGGCTAAGATGAAGTTGATGGAAGACAGAGTTTTGAACCGAGTACGAACAATGTGCACAAAATTCAGAGTAATTCGGGGCACAGGCAAAGTCGTCAACATTACAAATGCCATTAACTCCTTGACAACTGGTAAGAAACTCTCCCCAGAAACATCAAATGTTTCGCTAAAACTTCTCATTTAGATGCGGTCTCTTCGATGATTTTCGCATACCCCAGCGACTATCTAGGAGCTTCTGATTTCAACGAAGTTTATTTCGCAAATCTGAAGCGCGGTATCATGAGTGTGCCTATCTTTGCTGTTCTTCCATGGTTTGCCAAGTCTGTTCTTCAAATCGTGATGAACTTCCAGTTATCCTTGCTGACTTTCAAGAGGGTGTTCACCGCGCCATTTCTAAAGTATGCTGTTGAGAAAGCAACAGGTTGGAGAGTCTGGGATGACGCAAGTATATCCACTCAATATTCAGGGGCCGGGGACTAACCGCAGAACAGAAAGCTCAACGCGAAATCTTGAGGACGAGACTTCGCCCAAACGGCCAAGGAGGAGCCAGACACGGTACGACACTCCTTGGGTATCTAGCCCGCAGTAACATCCAACAAGCTCTATTTGGTCGGGGAGGGTTTTGCCGCTTGGCTCAGGTATTTTGGTTCTGAGCAAACACAGAACTCCTGCTAATCCAGCAACTCAACAGCTCATCCAGCAGGCCGGTACACATAACGTCTCGTACACAATATCTGCAATAATCACTCACCTACTTCTCAATCCAACGAAGTTGCAGATCATGCGTGCCGAGCTTGGCCCCGTGTTTGCAAATACTGATTTCCTACCTGGTGTACCCTCGAGAAGCTGCCCTACCTTACAGCAGTCATCAAGGAAGGCCTGAGGTCAGCTTTTCTTTTCTCTTGTATCGGTCGTCAACTAACTTTGCATTTCAGAATGGCAATGGGTGCAATGAACCGCTCCGCGCGTGTATCCCCCTACGAAGATCTCCAATACGGCAAATGGATCCTCCCAAAGGGCTTTCCGGTCTCGATGTCTTCTTACTGGATGCACAATGATCCCAATGTCTTCCACAATCCCGAAATATTCATGCCAGAGAGATGGCTGTGTGGTCCAGATGAGCTGAAGATGATGAATGGCTCCTTTGTTCCTTTTTCGCGAGGCTCACGAGGCTGTTTGGCCCGAAAGTACATCAACGTCATCAATCTATTTGCCTCTTCACCGCCTTCTGCTTTTGGTCAGAGACTGACAACGTGAATTACAGTTTGGTATGGATGCTAAACTACCACATCTTGGCTCAACTTTTCCGCCCTGGAGCTTTTGACATGCAATTGTATGAAACCGATGAGTCGGACGTCGTTCCTGCTCACGGATATCTATTTGTTATGCCAAAGATTAGCTCTAAGGGTGTTCGGGCCACTATCCATTGAGAGATAGAAGTAGCGGCCTAATAATCTATTTTCATCTGATGCCTAGACGGGTTGGTCGCTCTTATGTTTCTTTGGTTCTGGGATTAGAAGATAAAGGATATGCCTCTTCGGGTGAATGAGCTGAGGTGTGATCATGGCTGCTGCCTAGAGATCTTCCAATAATAGAAAAGATGCACTTTGAACATTTAGACTTCCTTTCTTGCAATGGCCCCAATCCGTGGCAGGGTTAAAACAACAACAAAGCTTCGCTGTGATTGAACCACTTGCTCTAATGCTAATCATCTATCGTATCTAAAAAATATCCCGGGAATAAACACAAAGAATTTTGACTTCTACATCACCTGAAGGCGTTACTGATCCCTCATTGCTCCTTCTTCTGCTAGGATGCCTTCTTCTCCTCTCTCATCGTCTTCCATCTCATGAAGTAGCAACACAGCGGGAAAAATGCTGTATTAACTGCACACCACGCAAACAAGATCCCGAAATTGAGTCCAATCCTCGAATGGACATCGAAAAGGATCCTTCTACTTGCGTCGACAACTATTTTCATCAGCTATCCCTCTCACCAGGGCTCGGATCGGGACTTACTGTTATGCAGCGGCCACGCATAGCCCCAGAAATAAAACCTCGGCGCAAGCGTAATGCTATAAAAAGACGTGCTTACATTACTGATGACCCAAAAGATCAGCCAGAACGCCGTCCATGGCATGCCAACCACCATGGCCACATTCTCGCATGCCAAACCAAGCGCGATCATGCCGACGTAGTTGACCATCCAATACACCGGAAAACTGCCGTAGTGGTAGGCGGTGGTGGGGTTTACGACTTCGGTCGGAGAAGATGGGGTCGATGAGAAAGGGATCTGGAAGGCGAGCGAGATGAGGGAGTAGGAGAGGGAGAGGAAGAGGTAGGCTGTTACTGTTGCTAGCCAGCGCCAAATTATCAGCTGGTAGAATTTGAGGGGTCGGTGGCCTTGTGGTTCGATATATTTCATGTGGATGGGTAGGTAGAAGGTGAAGGAGAAGAAGGCGATGATTATTAGGTAGATGAGGCCGATTGTTATTGCTGGGGTGGCGGTTTGAGGGAAGAAGGGGCGCAGGTTGAAGATTGAGAAGCCGATGGCGGGAGAGAAGGCTTGGGGTGCGGACTGGATGTTGGTGAGAATTGAGGGGTCGGTGGAGGCTCGTGAGAGGACTTGGTTTGCCCACATTCGGCCAAAGGAGGTTGTGACTTGGATTTGGAATTGTTGGAGTTGGGGGACGACGTAGTTGTCGAGTGTATTCTCATCTCTTGCTTCTACATATACCACTTGAGCCACGCCCATTGGGTCGTATGAAGAATTTCCGTTGTTGACAGCATCCTGGAGGAGAGCTGTTGCGTTTGCGTTTATGATAATAGCTGCCCAAGCCTTTTCATCGTATACGGCTTGACGAACAGCCATGGGATCGAACCCGAAGACTGAGGCTGGCTGACTTTGCCATCCTACGGTTCCACTGGGTGCGAGCAGTGACTGAGCAGTCTGGACGATCATAGGGCCAACAACCGGGGTGACATCCGTGTATGGAGTAACTTGGCCATCAAAATCGACAACGAACACGACGAGGGAAGAGAGGTTGTCCTCAACGTGGAAAAGAACAGCCCAGTATAATGACAGGACCGCGAGAATGAAGGTGCAAAGAATAAGGGCTAGATGGAGGTTCGTCAGGCATCTTGGTAGAAATATGGGTTTCTAACGGAAGGTGGAGGGTTTGCATCTTAACGTAAATCGTCACCTACTGGTAATTCCCCAATTCTTGAAGACATCCAACCTCACGGCTCTCAATTCTTTGTTCCAAAATCCAATTGGGCCACCGCCGTTTTGCTCTTCTTTCTTTCCACTCTCACCTCCATCAGCTTCATTCTGTTGTCTCTGATCATTGTGCTCAGGCTCAAACTGGAGCGTATCATCGTCGGAACTCCTTGGCATATTATCCGAAGTTGATGTCAATGTGAGATTATTCTTCGGAAATACAATTACTAGAAAGATATATCTTGCATGAGGTGGGGGCGGGATATTAAGTAAACAGAAATTCTGCTCTTGTATGAGCACGCCAAGATTTACTTTTCCACAAAGCCGGAGTGACGGATTGACCCTAAACGGCGTACAAACCGAATTTGCAGGGTTCCATCTATGTTTAACTCTTTTGCGGCTAGACGTCGCAAGTAGGAAAGGGTCATTAGTGAAGTCGTGATGCCATCGCGATAGTGATGACATCAATCAACCGCCACGTGCGCCGAGATCCCACTCGCGCGGGAGATTTGCGTATCGGGCTCGCATTATCGAGATCTCTTTTAAAGAAGCAAGGAAATTGTAGGGTCTGCGAAAGAATTGCTTGAAGTGCCGATTTTGATTTCGTGAAGATGGCGAGTTGGCAATGCCGTCGGACTTCCGTTTGGGAAAACTTCTCCGAAACGAAGGATCCCCAATATTTAATTCGATGCCCGAGCTGTGGGGCGAGTAATCGCAATAGCTCATGTCCTGCTTCAGGGGCTTCATTGATTTTCGTTTCATTTTCTCTCTCATCTAGATATTCCTCATCATGATTCAGAATTTCCAGACCACTTTCTTCCTGATGTAAGACAGCATAGTGCTCAACCTCGCCGTTTTGAAAGGCTCACCACCATAAAATATGATATCCGCCCATTTCCCAGACCTCATGCTCGCAGCCATTCATTCATCAAAATCAGCCGCCTCCGGGCTGATATGCAGAACTCGCTACGAAGAACAGTTCAATGCTCTGTAAGCAAAGTATTATGGCATCCTAATCAGACCTACCACAGGCCTTCCTATGCTTCCGATCAAATACCATTTTTGAAAAAGAAAAGAAAAAATTGATGCTGATAAATCTCTAAAACACGTCGTTTCATTCGTTCGTTCACGCAAGTAATTCGACATCCAAACCAATAGAACGCATGAAGAGATTGACGTTAGCCAATCGTTGGCTCGACATCGCCGGGGGAAGAGTCTTCGCCAGGGCAACGGTCTCCATGACACGGTCCTTGACAGCCATCACAAGACGCTGCTGCTGCTCGGGGCTAGCACCGATGCCGATAGCGGCTAGGAATTGCCATACGTAAATGTCCTCACCAGTGTTGACCGTGCCGGGAAAGATATTCGGCAGTGTGGACTCGAGCGCGTCGAAGAAAGTGTTGTAGGTATTAACCCTGCAGATTATTAATGAAGTCCGCAAGCGTGGTTGCATACAACTCACCATTGATCCCACTCCTGGTCATTGACACTACCGTTCTGTTTGATAAGCTCCGCGCGACTCAAAACCATCGTCAACATGCTGACTCCAATTCTGGTCCGAGCGATCAGGTCGACGTTCCTCTTGAGAATAAGACCCAAAACACCTGTGACAATATCCAATCCAGCTTCATTGAGTAATCCGAAAAGCGACGGCATCACATTCAACGAGAAGTACTCGACGTTCTCGCGAATACCAGCAGCTAATTGTATTTCACCGGGCAATAACAAAGCCTGACGAACGACATCAAGTTGATCGAGATGAACAACAATCATGGTGAGAATGGTGGTTTGTTGCTCTGGCGAGATGTGGCGGAAGACTCTTGGAATAGCTTTCTTTCCCTTGCTGAAAGAGAGGATAGCAATGAATGGATGAACTGTGGTGGCGCCAATTGGCTCGTGAACCTTCAATTGCTGCCACAATTGTTGGTTGAGTTTCTGTGCCTTGGCTCGCCAGTCCATATGGAGACCGACGAGCTCTGGATTGAGATCGTCAGTGAGTGGAGAGGGTATGCGGCGGTCATGATCCTCCATCAGCAGCAGAGTGTTGTAGACATTTTCGATATCAGTCAAAACTGTCTTTCTGTCACTACCACTAACACCTGCCGCATGGGCTCTACGGTCACGAGCGGCGCTTCCAGGCCTCTGTGCGTCGGTGCCACTCTCGGTTCGCTTGATATTCAGTAAGGGCTTCGGAGTCTTTGCATTGCTGAAAGAAATCTTGCCCAAGCTTCCTTCGATAACCAGCTGCTTATTTTTCGGCTTATTCTTGGCAGCTTCAACGGCTCGCTGAACTTGCTGCTCCATGCGCTGCATGTGGTTGTCGCCTCCCCGAGCCTGTCGTCGCACGCCACCATGTCGACCTCCAGTCTGAAACAGATATGTTTGGGCAAAGTTACTCAATGGTTGACCAGGATGTTGACGAGGTCCACCTCGGATTTGGTTATGAACCTGATAGTAGAAATCTTCAGAGAGACCCGAGTCCGTTCCATGCTCGTTAGGGTTGCCAGTTGCAGTTACAAGCTGCTGGAGCTGGATTCGAGTAATGAAGTTCTTATCTTGGGGAGTCATGAGACCATTGTCCTTCGAGAGCAAGAAGATCTTGTGGTTTCGTTTTGCACGCTTAGCATCTTCCATCAAGAAGGCAGCTCTCTCCTCTTCCGACAGGCCTGCAAGCTGTTGTGGGTGAGTGATAATGTGACGTGAACCAGAGGGGCGGGAGTGATGACCGGGATGCTGGACAGCAGGAGCTGGTCTCTGTTCGGCCGAATAGCGGTTGGGATTTTGCAAGATTTGCGTGGGCTGAGATGGAGCTGCAGGCTGAGCAGGAGGTGCTTGGCCCCTTTGCAAGATTTGGGTTGGCTGAATTGGAGGTGTTGCACGAGGCTCTTCTCTCGGGGGACCGCTGACTGGGATCGGATGTTGTTGGGTTTGCTGGGAATGATACTGATGCTGCTGCGGAGGAGGTTGTTTATACTGCGATTGATGTGCTTGTTGTTGCATTGCTGATTGAGCGGGCGCTGGTTTCTGAGCTTGAGCACGCATAGCAGCTTCGACTTCCTCGAGGCTCATCATCTTTCGTCCACCAGGAGCTAGACCAGGCGTAGCAGGAGACTCGGGAGCTGGCGCGGGGGCAGCACGCTTTGGCGCAACACCCCACAAAGTCGGGTCAACCTGCATCTCGGGGACATACTCTGGCTCCTTGTAACGCTCATATCCAGTTCTTGCCGGCTTGGACAGAGGCTGCGAGAAGTTCGATGCAATCGGGGTAACTCTGGAGACTGGTTGTTGACGAGTAAAGCGAGCCTGCTCCTCAACAATAGCATCTGCGACTTTGGCAGTCTGACCGAAGAAATCAAAGTCCTTGCCCACGGGTTTCGTTGCTCCACCTGCAACGCCACCACCACCGAAGGTATCATCATTAAGAGCATCGTCAGTCTCATCCAATTGATCACCTAGACCATCATATGTATCTTCAAAGTCGAGTCTATTGAATAAGATGTTAGATATCGGAACGTGAGCCGTTGCTGTCCCACTCACGCATCATCGTCATCTTCCTGTCTTGAAAGACCAGCAAATGGGTCTGCTGCTTGTGCAAAGCCAGGCGCGGAGGTATTGTGGCCACGATCGCGGGGCAGGGTTGAGTCGAAGCCAAAGAACGACATGTTGGCGATGCGCTCCGGTTGACTTGGACTGCGGGTGCGGACTTAAATCTGCAGAGCGTCCATTAAGGGAAGTCGACCGAAGAAGAGAAGCGGGGAACTGTATTAGAGATCGTGTCAGCTTGGCAACAATGTAGGTCTGAGGGAAGTAGGTGAAACATCTAGAAAAGCAAAGAGTCGAAACAAGGCGAGGCAGAGGCGAACTGGGGAAATCTTCGAAAACCGGTCATGATTGTCCTAGTCGAAGACCGGCCACATCTGGAGCTTACTCTTGGGTAGTTGAAAGACAGTAGAAGCTGTATCGTATCGTTGTATTTTGTGATGTCGAGATCCCCAATAATTTACAAAGTGGTGATGCGGGTGGTGGGGAAAGCTCGAGAGCCTCCCACTAGTGAGGCTATCGAATACGGTTTAGCGTCTTATTTTTTAAGACTATCAACGCCAAAGCCAGGGGTAGCAGGGAACACGAGTTCCGCTGCAGACCATCAGGGACATTTTAATTGCAAAGAGGAAATAGGCCCTTCTGTCAGCCCACGCGGTTTTCCGCCTCTCTTCGCTAGACACCCCCTTCATTCTCTTCTTCGTCTTTTTCCTTCTTAATCCGACACAGCCAGTGTGTCCTTTAGACCCTCTTTTGGACCTTCCTTGGGATATTTGATCACTCGATTGATTCTTGGGTACCTCATGCCGGGGCTATCTTCAGAGAAGCAGCAACAATCCGAGGGAAATCTACCGAGGATGGCGTCTGGAGGGGCCAGATATCTGAGATATATTCTCTTTGCCTTCTTTGTAGGCCACATCATTGCATTGTCGCCGCGTTTGCCTTGCTAACCAAGAATTAGGGGCTGGCGGTCATCTACTTCATTTCATCTTCCTCGACACCAAGAGTCCCTTCCGACCTACTTGATAACAAGAAGGATTTCACTGGCATACCCACCAAGGCCGGTTCTGATCTGAAGAACACGACACCGAATACAGCTGGGGGTCTTGCTCCTGCCACCAATGATGGACCTCGAATGAATGCGACATTCGTCACGTTGGCACGAAACTCAGACTTATGGGAGATTGCGCGATCAATTCGTCAGGTGGAGGACCGATTCAACAGGAAGTTCCATTATGATTGGGTATTCTTGAACGACAAGCCCTTCGACGCAACATTCAAGAAGGTCACTACGTCATTGGTATCTGGCACCACTCACTATGGAGAAATTCCCAAGGAACATTGGTCTTTCCCAGACCACATTGATCAAGAGAAGGCCCGCAAGGTTCGTGAGGATATGGCCCAACGGAAGATTATCTATGGAGACTCTATCAGCTACCGTCATATGTGCCGATTCGAATCTGGCTTCTTCTTTCAGCAACCATTGATGCTTAACTACGAATGGTACTGGCGAGTTGAGCCAAGCGTAGAGCTTTTCTGTGACATTGACTACGACGTCTTCAAATTCATGGCCGATAAAAAGAAGAAGTACAGCTTCGTGCTAAGCCTATACGAATACGTGGAGACTATCCCTACTTTATGGGACAGCACCAAGAAGTTCATGAAGGCGCATCCCGAGCACATTGCCAAGGACAATTCTATGGGATTTTTGAGTGACGATGGCGGAGAGACGTACAATCATTGTCATATGGTAAGTGAATGTGAAATATCCTGAAGTTCTTGCTAATCATATTCCAGTGGTCCAACTTTGAAGTTGGTAACCTCAATTGGCTGCGATCGAAAGCCTACACCGACTATTTCGAATCTCTTGACCAGGATGGTGGATTCTTCTACGAGCGTTGGGGCGACGCTCCAGTACATTCGATTGCTGCCAGTCTTCTCCTGAACAAAGATGAAATCCACTTCTTCGAGGACATCGCCTACTACCACGTTCCATTTACCCATTGCCCAACCAGTGACAAGCAGAGGTTGGAACTGAAGTGTCACTGCAATCCAAAGGATAACTTCGACTGGAAGGGATACTCTTGTAAGCCTCCCTACTTTCCTTCTTTCCAAAACCCCACTAACTGATAACAGGTACATCACGATTCTTCGATATTAACGGGATGGAAAAGCCAGAGGGATACGAAAATCAACAAGACTAATAAACACATCACTTGATGTTCTTCTACGGGGATAGCAGTTCATAGGGTTGGCTTGAGGATCTTGTCATTGTGCATGGTCGGGAACGGCGGCGTTGGTTTGAAAGATTAGCCTTGTGGCTCTGTAGATATAGGTCTCTTGGATTGGACGATTAACGCAATCGGGCCCGGAACAGAAGGCAATCAATCATCTTGTCTAAATTCAATTTCCCTGTGATCCTTGCTAGACAGGTTTCGTTGCCCAGATTTACCTCAACGGGTCAAATCTTGGAGTCGTGTTTATCTAACCAGACATCACTCCGACACAGACCGAAAAGCAGGAAATGTAAGTGATTTCAAATATTTCATTCTGTGCATAAAATTACAGACATACGAAGGGTATCATCATATCATAAAACCTTCGCCGCTCAAATGCCCCAACTCAAACCGTGGACAATAACGCCAAACTCCGGCACCTGTTCGACCCCATTCAACATTCTACTCCTCACGGCTCTTCCGCCTTTGATGCCTCAACTGGCCCGGACTATGCAGAATCGGCACATCCTCCCCAATAACCTCATCAAGCTGATACCTCGGCCGCGCCTCATCCTCCGCTGTCCTCCCTACCGCACCGCCAAACCCCGCAACCAACCTACTCTCCCTCAACTCCATCGGCGGACCGCCAAACTCCTCTTCCCCCTCCCCACTACGTCTTCCAGCATCAACAACATCAAAACTAAACCCCCTCACGGGATTTGATCCCAGCGGTGTGATCCTCTCTCCCATCCGTTCCCTGAACGCCTCACTCCTCGCCTCCCTATCTTCAGTTCGATAGTTCCCCGTCAAGCCGGTAATGCCCATCCCGATGCCCGTGCCGCCGATCCCGCCCGGCAAAACGCCGGAACTGATAAGTGTATCGCGACCCAAATCCCCGTCTCGCAGTCGTTCCGCAATCGCATTGTTGAAACCGCGTGAGAAATCGTCGATCTCGCTTCCTCCCCCTGAACCAACTAACGGTGTCTCCTCCCTCGTAGCTAAGTCTCGTTCCTGGGAGTCCTGGGATTGGCGATTAGGTGGGAAATACGGCGTATGCGGCGCATTCGTATACGGATGGTGTGGGTCCGCTGCCCCAGCGTATGCGTATGTATCGGGGAAAACTAAAGTCCCAGGATGCGGATGATGGTGAGGGCCAGCGGTGATGGTGGTTACGGTGGTTGTCAGGCCAGAGCGGTGCTGCATGAAGTCGTCTGGGGTGTCGTAAGAAGGGTTGCCGATGCGTTGGAAGGGCCCGCTGGCGGGGGGTTGGCTCACGGAGGAGTTGTGGCTGCTGATGAAGGGGCCGGCGCGGTAGTGGTGCCTGGATTGGTGGCGTCTGTAGAGGAAGAAGGCCAGTGCTAGGAGGGCTGCCAGGAAGGCGACGCCGCCGATTGTACCGCCTGTTATTGCACCAATATTCTTTTTGGGGGGAGGAGAGGGCGTGTTTGTTGGTGTAGTGGTGGGAGAGACGTTACTTGTCGGGGCGGGGGTTGTGGATAGGCTCGAGGTGGTAGTTGCAGAGGTCGTGGGTGTGGAGTTTACTCCCGTATAAACGATTTGGAGAAACACACTTGAAGGTTGTCCGTAATATGACGTTAAAATCGATGTAGCTTCCCATGATGAGCCACAGCTATATTGGTAATATCCTCCTGGGTAAGTGTTTCGATAGCATACTGAAGAGCCCGTACTGTAACGAAGTTAGCTTGAGTTTGCAGAGTGGGAAGTGCTTCGCGCGTACCATGTGTAGATGCCACTATCTGCCAGGCCCGAATTCTGATTCCATGCTGAAGACTGGCTATTCACACAACTTGTATAGACACCACTCGTGCAAGCTCCGGATGTAGTACAGCACCCCACATACCCATGTATGGTATCATGTATACACGACGAACCGCTCGCGCACTGGACAGGCTGTCCCAAATTTCCCCCAATCCATCCGCAAACATTCACATCCACAGAGCTCCTCTTGAACAAATTCGCAGGATCTGCTGGTATTCTAGTCGGCACTGGCGACCAAGCATCAGGCTGGTATGCATTTGTAGGCTGAGGTCCTGGCCAGGGAAGCGCGTTGCTCACGCCCAGCGCGACAGAGAAAAGCAGGATGATCGACGAAGCAGGCATCGCGAAAATATTGAAACCCATTGCAGATGAAGAAGGAACGACATGAAGGAGGCTCTGGGAGAAGGAGGAATATAACACGATCAGCAAATTACCCAGAGTGGGTCGTTGGAACTATTAGGAGCTCCCTCTTAACCTTGCGCCGCAGAGGCTGACATGAAGGCCCAAGGACTCCCGCCGCCTTGGGCGAAAGATGAAATGAACCCAGAGGGTGAGAGTTGTCAGCTTTGCGATTGGAGGACAGGAAAAGGACTGTAAGGGTTGCGGGGAGAGGACCACTCAGCATGCATCGGTAGGGGGCTGTGGGCTCTCTTCCAGGGGCTGAGGCATCGCCGGAAATGCATATTGCAGCATGACGGGGGGCGGAGCTGACAGGCACGAACCGGAGCACGCGAAACTCTGGTGTTGGGGTTCGCCTTCTACCTTGCGACAAGAATCCTCAGTCCTGGCGTCAAGGAAAAAGAGGATCTGGAATATGCGAACAGACTCTGAGATATCGTGCTCAGAAGTCCAGTGCTCAGCTTGGTCTGCCTTTTGGTAGAGTTTCAGATTTGGAATTCGAGATTTGGCGGCACTCGCTTGAGGAATAGCAGCCGCTGTGAAACCTTGTTACCAGTAACACTTCGTATCTGTGGTCCAGCCACTTAATCGACATCTCAAGAAGATCGTCGATTCATGGTTGACCAGGTACGATCAACCATGAGGATCTTGAAGCGGAAATTTGTTGGAAACGATGTCGATTGGCCGCATGGGCGACTAGAGAAGGCTGGACAAGCGTCACAACCCACAGCCCTAAGTTTGTATTTTCGACGGCTTGGAAAACGATCGTCCCCGGGTGTGTGACACTGCTTGCTTTGGCCAGGGTTAGACTTCCAAGGCAAATGGCACACGCTATTCCGGGGTCGACCTGCTCTGGCCATCGAGGACTTCGAGCGCGTAGCCGCGAGACGCGATTGGGACCAGTGGTCACAAGGAGGACCACGAGGAGGATCGCAAGAAGAGGTTGGAGACGTGGAGTGCAAGACCCAGTGGTCTAATACCTTTTCATCCCAAGCCATCCACCAAGAAAGTACCTGTAGCGCGTTCCTGGCTCTGACTGCAGGCTGACCAGTGACGCCTCCCCAGGAAGGCCCGTCCGTTACCCGCCAGGCGCAGCCTCCCAAGGCCGGGTCGCATCCTCCATCCAAAATTAGACGCGGTCCACAGAAAAGCCGGATCCTGGCCTTTGAGCGGGTCTTCTCCACTGTTGTCTCCTGCCCAGCGACTTGTGGACCTGACAGCGGGTCGGCCCAGGATAGCGCAGGGCGATCCCGAGTCAAGCTGCTCTCGGGATGTGGCAGCAAGTCAACGCAGGCTTAAAATATATCAAGCTGCAGGCCTCTCACTTCGGACCATTGCTTTCTTCATTCTGGCTGAAGAGCGGTCCTCCTGCAGACCCACGATGAGGTGATTTAGTCATGTGTACCGACTAGAATGGAAGATCTGGTGTTGCTGACAGTGGTAGCGATGCCCTCTCACTCTTTCCAGTTGACCCTGCATCTGGACGCAGTATCATCGAACGCTACATCCGTGAGCCACAGGAAGGAGATCTGTCAAGAGGACAACAGTCGCGCTTCTTACCTTCTGACCGAGCGGTGGCGCATCTCTTGGTTGTGCCTCATGGGCCACATCGTTGCAGTACTAGTAGCCCTAAAGCGAAACGGAAGCCTCCCAGGGCACAGCAGTGTCTGAGAACTGATGCCCAGTGGCTTTAACCTTATGACCTTCAGCACCTCCAACTTGCTGTAATCACACGTCGAGAACTACTTCCCAAACCCCTTTTCCTCTAACGACCCTCTGAGCCTTCTCGTTCGCAACCTGAAGAACGACATCTTCCCTGGTTATATCGAGAACCACTGACTTGATATCCAAATCCCTCTAACCCTCTCTTCAAATCTTTCCACCCTCAACCCGCCTTCCCACTCGGGCTGACACCATCAAAAACACTATCTCGAACCGACACAAACATTAGGAAACTCAAGGATCTGTTGCACATCGTCCATTTTAGCTCAGTTTCCAATCCCCACTAGATCTGCATCTTCCACCCAAAAAGCCTTACCCTAAAAAGCCCAGCTTATCCCAACACCAAGTCCCAGCCTATCAGTCGGTTCCGGCTAAGTACACATCAACCCGAGTACCAACAAACGCTCTACATCTCGCTCTAGCTCGTTCCAACAATAAGGTAGACTATAGTGAACCCCTGCAAGCGGTATATATTTGATATGATATAGTATTCAGTACGTGAGCTATTTGGAAGAGCTATGGTGGGGGTATATAATGTATGAACACGCACCTTCCCTTGCTGATAGGCAAGGCAGGCAAGGGAATCTAGCCGGCGCCAAATAAGGGTAGATTAGTTCATCATCCAATCCAGCCTTCACTCTTCGTTCTAAAATCTCGTCTTGGTATCTTCTTCGCCTCTTCTTCAGCGGCTCTCCTTCCCGTCTGGACATTCCCCAACTCGGACGGCAAACCCGGCTCCCATGCTGAGATCGGGACATCACATGCTATCCTCCATCTGCCTGCTTCGAACTCGCTGCCAACTATCTTTCTCCTGCTTGCCGCCGTCTTTCTCGAGACCCATTCCACGCTCAACCCACTCCCGACTCCCCATCTCGCTGAGTCTGCTCAGCGCTCTCGCAAACGCGAATCTCTCCTCGTCACCGCTAAAAATAGAACTGCTTTTCAGCATCTTCATATTCATTCCAAGATCATCCATCAAGTTCCTCATCGTATCGTCGATATCGTGTCCATCCTCAGCTTGGCCCTTCTTGTCCTCTTTGTCCCGCTGGACACTCTCCTTGACCTCTTCTTTCGAGAGGAAAAGTTGAGTAAGAGGCACGGCCGTGGTGAGTACGAGCTTGGCTCGAGACTCGTACACGGCGTCGATGAAAGTAATGAAGCGGCGTGCTAAGTCTCGCTCACGGTAGGTCATTCCGGGAACGTTGGTCACCACGAAAGCATCGTAGCTGCGCATCAGCTCGATATAATCAGCCGCGCTCGTCGGTCTCCCGATCAGCTCGTCGAACGTGAACATGGCGGCTCTCCCGCTAACTTTCGGGACGTGGATTTCTCGGCCCCATACTCGTTGCGTTTCTGCTCGTGGTTGGTCCTGGTGTGGATCACCCAGGAAGCGGAACCACTTTTCAGCGTGGGAATGGGCGTGCTTGTCCAGTGGAGCGTGGTAGACGCCAGACGGGGGGCGGGGGATATTACGGTAGTCGGTTGGCGAGTCGAGGTTTATAACATGGAGTCTGTTTTTGAGAAGGTTGATACAAGGGATGAAGGATTCTCGCTGGATGCCATTCTTGTAGAGGTCATCTGGGTGACGGTTGGAGGTTGTGACTAGGACAACCCCATGAGACATAAGAGCTTCGAGAAGCCTATGCTTGTTAGTGATGGCATAAGAGGGAAGAGTTGTAACATACCGTCTTAGAATCATAGCATCTGCCACATCTGTACATTGAAACTCGTCAAAGCAAAGAACGTTCCCCTTTTCCGCTATATCTGCTGCCACAAAAGGTACCGCATCAATGTCATTCCCATGCTCCAGCTTCATTTTATGTAACCGTTTATGAACATCCTGCATGAAATTATGGAAGTGGATCCTCGTCTTTGAGTGTACGCTGCTAGGTAGCGTCTCATAGAACAAGTCCATCAACATGGTTTTCCCACTCCCCACGTCGCCATACAAATACAGGCCTCGCGGCAGATTATCTGGAATTTCCTTTAACTTTTGCTCCTTCGGTGTATTTCCAAAAAGGCGTCCAAACATGGACTTGGGTTCTGGTTTAAGGGACTCGATGGTGGGGTGAACAGTTGGTGGCGCGTTGTAACTTCGGAGTTCATCGTGGAGGTGTTGCAAACTCTCTATGATGCCTAAAGCTCATCAATCTCTTATTCGGGGTTTTGCCTGGGTTTCTGACCTCTTTGGTGCTCGTCGTCCCTCAATCGCCCTGCCGCCACCCGAGCCTCGTACTCCTGGATTGGGCCTCTGTCGTCTGGGTTGACTGCCAAGGGAAATTAGTTACATATTGATAACTTACAGAGAGTCGAAATACCATTTTGAACGGTTGCTAAAGTCCGCCTCTGCCCTGCGATGATCGGAGCAGGGAAAACAAGTCTGGTTTGTTGTTCTCTCGGACGCGGATTCGCAGACGTGGTAATTGAGCGCACAACCATCCCCGAGCTTCCCAAACCTCCATACCGCCCGCGAAACTGCTGGTGACATTGTAGACAAAGTCCTGGCCGCGTATTGCCATGTCTCGAAGGGTTCTGAAGTTGCCGCCGCAAAGAGCGGGATGCTGTCGGTCGAAGCTTCATGTTGACGGAAAGCCAAAAAGACTATGCTCCGCAGCCGGGCCTTCTATTGGCACATGTTGTACAATAAAGAGATCTAAACGGAACTCCGCAATAATGTAATATGAATTCTGACGTTGGTGAAGCGAAAACAGGCCATTTTTGCGGATCTGGAGGTTCTTCTCAAAAAGCGGGATTGTCTCGGAAGAGATGCCGAGGTGGCGCGTCAAAGCCGAGAGCGGGAAATTCTTCAAAGGGAGGACTCTTCTCTGCTTCCACCACTCTTTAACAATATTGACAAAGCATTGGAATCTGAAGAGACTCTTCCGGTCACCAAGTAGACCTTGAGGCATTATGATATCTTTCTCCAGCTCAACCCAGGGAGTCATCCTGAACTACGGGCTCTTGCGTCGAATACCGGATCCCTAACTTGATGGCGACAATCAGGGAGACGTTGTTCACTTCTGCCACACGTTGGATAATTCTCGCACAACTGTAAAGCTCGAAAGTTCGACTTTTCAGGTATTGGTCCGCGTTGTATTTGGGGTTTAGTTCTTCCCATGATTTTGGAGGAGATTCAGAAGGAGATCATGATCATCTAAGTAGAATCGTCTGCTCATCCAGCGTTCCAACTTTCACCATCTCAAATGCCTCCCCATCCATGAGCTCGTCAATTATTGCACATCCAATCAAACGATATGAGCTTTCATCTGTATCCTCCTGCCGGAGTACGAGAGGGTAGCCCGAGCCATAAGCAACAAAAACCAAGTCACCTTCTTTGGCTTCCCCGAGTACAAACCCATGGCGACCGTTCTGAGTTGTGATGAAGGAGTATCCTTCCAGATGCCATAGTTGGTTCATTCTCTCTACAAGGGACTTTATTGTACGAAAAGCTGTCGTAGTCTTGCCTCGTCGCTGAAGCCAATTGTTGACGATGTTGTTCAGGTTTAAATTCGGCCGTGTATTGCGTGCAACAAACTTTTTGTCACATTCGGGAAACCAATTCTGGAGCTGTTTTATTTCGTCTACTTCTGGTGCACTTTGTTCTTCCCAATATACGCTTCGGAGAGGTGCTGTTGTACAAAAAATTTGATCAACAGCAACCCCTTTCAGAAGGAGTATACTAGGGTCCTCATGACTTAAGACATCATCGATGCGATCGTCGTCTTTAAATTCGAGGGGCGGACGATACTCCAAAAATCCATAGTCTTCCACTGTCCCTGAGTCCTACTAAGTTAGTTCGTTCAACAAAACATTTTGCAGAGAGCAAAGTCTAGAAAAGATTTCTTACAGTCCGGCACCCACGATGGCGTCGGCCTTGTTTCAAGCAAACCCCCTGGATATTGGAGAAGTTAGCAAGGAGGAGGAAATCACGGAGCGTTTATGTTGGGAAAAGTATTTCTACTTACAGCGTGTTTTCCTGCTTGTATGGAGTAACACGTCCAGACTTTTTTCGTGGGAAATTATTGCTCTAGTTGCAGATATGAAAACATCTGCTGTGCAAAGGGAATAGTCAGGAACCACAGACACCAACGCTGGGACAATTGACCGTGTGGCGAAGATGATATCTCTTGGATCATAATACTTCCGGTCTCCAAAATTGTCTAGCACCCAGGTTGCGTCATGTTTGTTGTTTTGAAAATCTCTTCGACACTCAATCATCTCCCAAATCTTCAAAAATAGCTCTAATGACCATTCAACTTCCTCGTTGAACGACTCCCACCTGAGTTCGAGCGTTCCACACCTCATCAATAAACTTCGAGCATGGACGGCTTCCTGCACCACCCATAGCCTGTCCCACCAACCTCCCTCGAAGGTCTTGGAACAGGCTTGGCGCTCTTGTTCGGTGGCCTGGTAGTCCTCGTTCCACTTCTGCGCAGTCTCGAATGCTATTGAAGTATCTCCATTCTCCTCGCCAAGCCAAATAAGAACATTCTGAGCCTTTTTGTAGACTTCGGCCATAGACTCGACCTGTCTGCTCCGTTCTCCAATATTCGATTGGTCGATACAAATTGCGTCGATCCAAAAAAGTGGTTCCGTGCTTCTATTCCTAAGAAACGTATCTCGGTGGCATTCTAGGAATTTGAAGAGATTCTTGGTGACTGAAAGCTCTTTCCCGCAAACTTGTATCGTAACTCTATCTGTATGATCTCCCCAGACGTACGATAAGGCGGTATATCTTGGATCTCCTTCGAAGTCCTCGTTATACCCCTCGAAAGCAGCCAAACCAAAACAGTCCGAATCCTCGCTTGGCTTTTCGAAAGTGGTCAAATGTGTGTGGAATAGCTCGCAACAGATCCGGTTGCCCTTTTCACCTTGAAGGACCTTAAGCAGCCTGATGGGGTGGTGACGTGTTTCATACGATAAAGCCTCGTAGACGTAACGTTCGTTTCTCGTTTCTAAGTCCATGGTAGTGATGCTCGCTCCGCCTCAAGGGGTTAAATTGGCTCTGAAGTGAGAAGCAGTTGGGAAGTTGGCAGCAAAATGAATTCAAGTGAGCCAGAGAGTTCAAGTTGATTGAGAGGCGTGGCTGTGATGAGGCTGAGCACCAGGCGGCATGCATGTTAATGCACGTAAAGATCGCAGAGTAGGGAGTTGCATTGAATGGTAAAAGAGTTGATTGAACTAGCTAGAAAAGAGCTTGAGTGAAGTGTGAAGCTTCAGGAAGTGAGTGCACAGATCCTGACTAAGCGGAGCGATCGCGCTAGCCCCAATTCAGTGATTCTCACTGCAACACATGTGATTTGATGTAGCATTCCTCTTGGCGAATCATTTTTCCGGGCATGCAGCAGAAGAAACTCCAAGCAAGCCTCAAAATCGATGCCTGGATTTCTGAAAACCTGCTAAAGAGATGAAATTGTTCAAGTCTCCCTGGAGCAGTCGCCCCCCGCCAATGGTATGCTTCCAAATTGCAACGGTAAAGTTGAGACTTGGTGAAGATATGAAAACGCGAAATAAATATCCAATTCTCCCCGGAGAAAATGGAGTCTTTCGACTCGCTGCTCGAGTGACCTGTGCACTTAGGTTTTCAGTGGTGCCTCCAGTGGCTTCACTTCAAACGAAAAATCGCAAGTTCGCCGCGAGTTATTGAGGGATGTGAAAGGTTGGATTACATATTGACAATCTTCGCACAGGGTATCTGATTTTTGCAATAAGCATCCATCTCCTTAAATACAATTACAATCTCATCCCCTCTAAAGCCTCCTTAAGCCCCACAACTCCCTTCTCCCTCTCATCACCAATCGTCTTCCTAATCTTCCTCTTAATATTCACAACCGGAAGATTAAATTTCTCATACTCCCTCCCACTCTCCCTACAAACCTCCTCCAACAACCTCTCCTCCTGCAAAAAACTCTGGCGGAAATGATACCACATCTTCAACAGCCTCTCCGGATCCCCTTTCGGCTCCACAAACTCGACTTCCTCATTAACTCCAATCTCTTCCCCGTCCCCTTTCTCATCACCCAAAACGATAATAATTTCATCTAGTTTAGGGAAGGAGCGGAGGAATGAAGCTTTGTTATAAGCTTCCCACGGCCGCTTAATATCCCCGCGGACATGATCGACTGCCACGGTGCGTACTTCGTCGAGTAAGGAAGAGGGGTCCTTGACCAAGGAACGAAAATCTCGTAAGGTTGAGTCGTAGCCCATTTCAAGATGCCGGGGGAGGTAGAGGGTGTCGAAGTGGGGGTTGAAGTAGATTTTGGGTGAAGAGGCGTAGGTGCCGAAGGAGAGGGTGTATTGATTCAGGGCGGAGAGGCGGGAGGAGTGGGTTGTTGAGAGAACAACCGGAGGTGGGGTTGGCGAGTGGAAAGTTTTTGTGGTGGGGTCGTAGGTTAGGGGAAGGGTCCGGCGGATTGTTGTTGCATGGAGGAAGATCTTCTGCCTCAGTTCCGTAGGAAGGACTGAGAACCGGGGAAAGGTGGTTTGTGCCGGGGTTGGAGGTATCATGTTGGAGATATTAAAGCGTTATTATAACCGCATGACCAGGTGAAAGCTGGAACTTGGTCTGATGGCAAAAGGGAGTTGAAGATTCAGGACTAGATGTCGCTGTTGTAGCCTCGCCAGTGTCGAAGATCTTGTGGTCGAACAAGATAGACAACGTTGGTGAAGGGGGTTGTAACGAATTTCGACGGTCTCCTGTTGAATGGCAGCCTAGCCTTGTGTCTCTTTTCTCAAAGTGGTAGAGTCGAAAGAGGTTCGTGATGTCGTATGACCGGCAGTGTTGATGACTGAGGTAGAGGGTAGCTAGCCTAATCCACCAAGAATTTGGGACGCTGATTATGTTGCGAATGACCTTAAAGATATAAAAAAGAGGGGAACAAGTTCCTAATTTATCAAGAAAGGTGAGAATGGGAAAATCTGGGGCTGCATGCAAGTCTGGCGTGAGAGAAACGCCTCTTTCAAGGGTGCACGAGGCTGAGAGCCTTGCCTGCATGAACGTCGATCGCGACGGCCAGTTGAACAACGCACGAGTACAAGGTAGATTAAATATTGAAAGGAAAAGAATGGAATGTCATTCTCATTCCTTCGAGGATCCGACAGAAGAAATCATGGAATATAAGTACTTCTTACATATCATTTCGGCATTTATGAAAGCGGAGTCGAGGGAACACCCTCCATCCCAGAAACTCGTTGAGTACAAGACAATAGAAGCTTTTCAGAAACCCCGCAAGAGTCTATCCGATCAAGAAACACCCACTTTATCCGGCTTTGATTGGAATACAGCTACTATACAGAAGTGGTGGGAATATCCTTGGGGGAGTGAGCCCAGGAGAGCCAAGATCCTGGCGAGACGAAGCCTTCCACCCCGCTAACAGTCAGAATCGTATGATTTTGAGGATAAACGGTTCAAAACCGAGGCCGCATCAGGGCTAGAGCCTGGTATTGGATGATATTGAGTGCTTCCTGCCGCGTCCGTCAGGGGTAAGAATCAGGTTTACAAGGACGCATTCGTTTTATTCACCGAGGGTGAAATAGGGGTATCTAATGGAGATGAGATGTTGAAGTGACGAATTGTTGCCGGAAAGGAAAAAGGCCGTTCATTAGCTCCACGGCTAGCGCATTTATAATCCGCTCCGCCATCCACCGCCTGCCACATTTCACCAAGAGGAATTCTTAGAGCTGTTCATATCAAGGAAATATCATGAATACGATAAGCGCTTTGCCCTTTTCTCATTGATCGTTTACAGCGGGGAATCTGCAGCTTTTCTGCCGGTGGTCACATTGGAGTTGTTAATAGGTCCGCAATACGCCAAAAGCGAAGCACGTGCCGAGCGGCAGAATAAATCCGAATAACTTCATGTCTTTTGAAACACTTTCCTACATCTCTGCCCCGCTTAAAAAGCCCCACTATCATCGAGAGTCAGCCATGGCACCAACAATACCTATGCCGTCGGCGCTGACTTTCGAGCTGATAGCTCGTTGCTCCGTAATTCCCACGATCCACCCCAAATCGCAAAAGCTCACCGGGTCCAGACCACCAAAGCTCGAGCAGCAATCCTTACCCTTCCTCATGGACCAGTCCAATTACCCCTGTTCATGCCAGTCGCAACGCAAGCCTCACTCAAAGGGCTGACGCCACAACAGCTGGAAGAGACAGGTTGCCGATTATGTTTGAACAACACATACCATCTTGGGTTGAAGCCTGGGCAAGAAGTGCTGCAGAAAGTTGGAGGAGCGCATAAGTTACAGGGATGGAAGCACAATATCTTGACAGATAGCGGCGGGTACATCCTCTCTCCTCGTCTCTGGAAACAAGCAATAACATGGTGTGCCCAGCTTCCAGATGGTGAGTTTATTGAAACTTGCAAATATCACAGAGGAGGGCGTGCGATTCCTCAGTCCGCATGATGGGACACCGATGCTCCTTACGCCCGAGCATTCCATAGCTCTGCAGAACACGATTGGCAGCGATATCATCATGCAGCTCGACGATGTCCTTGTGACCACCTCCCCAGATACGAAACGAATGCGGGAGGCAATGGAGCGCAGTGTAAGATGGCTGGACCGTTGCATTGCCGCGCATGCGAATCCTACTACTCAGAATTTGTTCTGCATCATACAAGGAGGCTTGGACCTGAAGATGCGGACGGAATGCTGCAAAGAAATGGTTGCGAGAGACACTCCTGGAATCGCGATTGGAGGCTTGAGTGGTGGGGAAGCAAAGGCGGACTATTGTCGTGTGGTCAACACATGCACAAGCCTACTGCCGGAAATGAAACCGAGATATGTGATGGGTATCGGATATCCTGAAGATCTGGTTGTCAGTGTTGCTCTTGGTGCGGACATGTTCGATTGCGTGTGGCCGACGAGAACAGCAAGATTTGGCAATGCTATCACCAAATACGGAGTTCTGAATCTACGGCATGCTAGGTATGCCAATGATTTTGGGCCAGTTGAGGAAGGATGTGGATGTGTCTGCTGTAGAATAGGAGAAGGTGGATTAGGTGTTACAAGAGCTTTTATTCACCATGTGGCAGCCAAGGAGACTGTCGGGGCTCATTTGCTGACCATGCACAATGTGTGGTACCAGCTAGCTCTGATGAGAAGTGTCAGGCAAGCTATCCTAGAGGATAGATATCCGGTCTTTTTGAAGCAGTTTTTCTCAGATCAGCATGGAGGAGACAAATCTAACTATCCGGACTGGGCTGTCCAGGCCTTAAATACTGTTGGGGTTGATTTGATGGAAGAGTAAAAGCTTAGAGGTTCGTTTTATAGAAAAAGATACCCCATAGATAGGCTTCAGAGTGGGTACAAACCCTCTGAATTGGATCAACCTTCCATTGTCCAATCATCAAGAGGGTTACATGCACATCAGTAGTGAAATACCTCCAGAGATCCTCAGCTCCAGCTACGATGTCTAGATTAGTTAAACTAGAGACACTCTAGAAAAGTTTCCGAGTTATCCATCTTACTTCAAATTAGTCTTTCACCAAGCTTCTCCTGCAGCAACATGCACCTAATATGCGGCCACATAAGGCTGATTTGCAGGGATGTCGCGTTAGTCGATGCGGCACGCGTTAGGGTAATTGCATGCTTCACTATTTTGACCTCACTCAAACGTTATATCACCCATCGAAGTAAACAACAGATATCGAGATATCCTCACGAGGAGTGGTGAAGTTTGGGCTCGTTGGAGCTTCAAGCTGCAATGGCGTTCTCACCGTCCCAAAACGTGGCTAAAGAAAGGACCCCGTTGCCACAATCAACAAACAACGACACTTTTTCGCATTCACCGAAACGGCTTTCTATCAGCGCAGCATCTGCAGCGTCTCTCCCTTCTTCACCTCCAAGCGTTTCTCCTAGTAGCGGCTTTCCCCAGCGGAAGAATTCCACGTCGTCGCCAAATGGCAAAATACCTCCGCGCAGCCCCCTCCATCGATCTCCCAGTTCCATGAGCCAGCACTCCCGCGCATCCACTCCAACACTACTGAGAAAAGCATCCATGAATTCTCTACATGGTGTAGGAGGCATCACACCTTCTAGAGCCTCGCCGTCTCGTCGCTCCTCTTCGGCGCAATTCACAAACGCTTCGACAATGGTTGGCAAATCCCCTCTTTCAGAGGTCGAAGATACGACACCACCTCCTCCACGACATACCCCAGCTTCTATTGCTACCAACCACTTCAAGACAGAGCTCGAATTGCTCAATAAGGAGGATGGATCGAGGTCTGCAGATACGATTGTGATCCTGCATGATTCCTGCTATGGTCATCGCTATTCTCGACCACGAACTTCGAAGGCTTCTCTAAGTACAATTGTTGAAAGACCAGAGAGGATTCATGCGAGCATCCTAGGGCTGTCGGTAGCATATGTACGTCTAGGAGAGCGGCATGCTGAAGGACAATACCCCCTGCACCCGAATAAAGATGCTTCGACTATCCCTTTTGTACCATTTCGAATCAGGAAGACAACTCGCCGATTGGCTCTTTCCTCGCAAGCTGTTACGAATGTCCATGGTACCAAGTGGATGGAGGAATTAAAAATCATGTGTGACAACGCGGAAGCCAAATTGGCCATGAATGGAAAGGAATTGACTCGACCTGATATGAGTCGAAGCCCGGATCAAGACGTCCCCCCGAAGTTGCATGAAGGAGATCTTTACTTGTGCTCAGAATCGTTGAATGCAATGGAAGGAGCATTGGGAGCTGTATGTGAAGGTGTGGATGCAGTATTCCAAGGATCAGCGAGTGGAAAGGGGCCACATCGAACGTTTGTTGCGATTAGACCTCCGGGACATCACTGTTCGGCCAGCTATCCTTCTGGCTTCTGCTGGTTGAACAATATTCATGTTGGGATTTCTCACGCTGCTCTTACCCATGGCTTGACACATGCGGCCATTATCGATTTCGACCTTCATCACGGAGATGGATCTCAGGCAATTGCATGGGATATCAACAAGCGCGCTGCAACTGCTGCGAAGAACGCCCTTCCCTGGAAAAAGACATCGGTTGGATACTTCAGTCTACACGATATCAATTCGTATCCGTGTGAAATGGGCGATGAGGAGAAGGTCAAGAATGCCAGTATTTGCATCGAGAACGCCCATGGCCAGAGCATCTGGAATGTTCACCTACAGCCATGGAAGAGCGAATCTGAATTCTGGGATCTCTACGAAAATAAGTATTCGATTCTATTGGAGAAGACCAGGAACTACCTACGGGCACAAACCGAACGTCTTCGAATGATGCCAAATGGACCCAAGCCGAAAGGAGCCATATTCTTGTCAGCTGGTTTTGATGCAAGTGAATGGGAAAGCTCGGGAATGCAGCGTCACAAGGTAAATGTACCAACAGAGTTCTACGCCAGGTTGACTCGAGATGTGGTCAAACTTGCTGCAGAAGAGGATACCGCGGTCGACGGTCGGGTCATTAGTGTTTTGGAAGGCGGCTACAGCGATCGAGCACTGTGCACTGGTGTGTTGAGCCATCTTAGTGGTATGTCCGCCGGTGACCCAGTCATCATCAAGAAAGAGCTCAGCCCTACTGGTCTTGCGTATGAAATGGGCCAAAAGATCAATGCTTTTAATGGGGTTACGGCAGCAGAGACCGTGTCAATGGGTGTGCAAACCTATGATCCATTATGGTGGAGTGTACAGAGACTGGAACAACTTGATGCCTTGATCCGACCCGCACCACCTGCTCCAGAACCAAAACAGCGAGACCTGACCCCACCAACATATTCCTCGCCAACCCAGTCTTTCATTGCAAAGGTCACATCTCCTAGTGGACGACGAGCTGTGTCGAGTATGTCAAACTTAGGCAATGGCTCTCCACGCCCAATCTCAAGAGCGCCAACTCCTCCGCCTCCTGAGGTTGACTGGACTGTTGCTGCACACGAGTTGAGCAAGATCCTCATTCCTATCGACCGACAGACTATGAGTTGCAAGCCGGAGGATTTATCGGCAGAAGCAACCCGTGCTAGAAGAGACCGCCAATCTATCATCACACCTCCCACTTCGAATTCTGGATCTGAGCCTCTTGATAACCCATCTCAACGAATGGCATTGAGGGCACGAAAGCCCGCCAAGCCGTTAGTAGAGACCGTGGAAGAAGATGATGCAAAGAAGCCGGCTGCAAAGACCAATCGTAGAAAGACTGTTGCTGGTGCGGCTATAATCGCTGCTGAGAAGGTATGCTTCGTGCTAAAGATTCAAGGAAGATATGCTGACACTGCTTTCAGGCCGTTTCCAGGAGCACAACTCCGATACCCGAGCCAAGCTATCCAAAGCCAACGAATCAATCAAGCCGACGACTCAGCCTCATTTCCAACTCAGGATCTGCTACGTCAGAAGCACCATTACCAAACGGGCACAACAGAGTGCCTTCTTATAGTCGACCTGCAACTTCGCAAACTATTAGACCTGATTCTTCAATGAGCTCCCGAGGCCACTCAATACCTCCCGTCGTTGTAAAGAAGACAAGAGCTCCAGCTCAACCCCGTCCTGAAGCAAAGACATCTCGGGTACGGAAGAAGTCACCGCTGAATGAGGGTGGTGCGGCTGCCTCTGGAAGCACTTCAACAGCAGTCCCTCAGTTGACTTCGAGTGATGTTATACTTCCTTCAACCGAAACATCAAGCTCTCAGACTTCAGATATTGATAACTTGACGTCTGGGATGAAGAAAATAAAGTTGAATCTTACTACCAAGGCCCAGCGGGAAGCGAAGGAACAAGCAAAGCAAGCAGCGAAGCCCGCATCGAAACCTGTAGCCATCAAGCCGAAGCCTCGCCCAGCAGAGTCCCGCATTCTTCCACCAGTAGCTGAACCGGCTTCAACGAACGGATCTTCCGCTACCGCTTCTCAACCTCAGCCTTCTGAGATGCTCCCTCTAGTGCCGTCAACACCTCAATATTATCTGCCAGCATACGTTCAGCATGCAGCCGAAGTTCCTTTGCCTGCGAGCTCTCCGCCAGCTCCGTCGTCATACCCAGAACTAGAACAAGGACCACCTATTCCCAAACCCGCCCCTCAACCCGCATTACATCCTGCCCCAGAGTCAGAGCTCTTCGTGCACTATCAACCAGAAGGTCCACAACCAGGATCGATGATCCAACAAGAACCTCTCAAGTGGCTACCTCCAAACACATCCACGCCATCACCAATGAAGCGGGGCGATTTGCCCGTCTTTACGAGCACGAGTACGATACCGTTCGGGCTGTCGAAGGCTAACGGTGAAGTGAAGAAAGATGAGAATAAGGGTGACGTCGATATCTGGGAGATTCCAGAGACGCCTAAGAAGTGATCGCGCTTTTCTTGTTTCGAAGGTTTCTTTGGTTTGGGAAATGGCAGATTGGTTGTATCAAAGCGGTTCCCTTTGTCGAATTAGCGGGAGGTTCATTAATTAGTGTGAAGGTTTTCTTGATACGCGTGAGGGTTGAAGAAGGAGATTTGTTTGATACCCTCCAAGTCGGTTGTGGCTTTTTGTATTGATAATTTAAGACTTTTTCAATGGTGTATCTGTATTGACATATCCAGAGACGGTGCTGTGAGAAATTTTGATTGATGTCGAAGCCCAAGTGGGAAATATTACGGGTTGAGTGAGAGGTTCTCAGCCTTGGTAGTTTACAAGTCGAATTTTGATGTTTTTGGTTGTGTTGCTTTGAGTGGAGTGTACTTCTTCATCGCTGAGGGCCATATGAAAGCTTTGGGGTACATAAAAAGCGCCACGGCTCCATTTCTGATGACCAGTTCTCGAAGGCCTGGTGGGGTGTACGGTGCAGGTCCGACGCTTAGAGGAGTTGCAGGTGCACGTAGCCATGCTGCCCCGTTTGACGGAGGCATCTTGAAGAGCTGAACAGATGGAGTAGAACCAAACTCTTTTCGGGCTTTGGGGGAGTAGGGAAAAAATGACAAATGGAGTAGAGATCTGTCTGGTATATTGTGAAGTCTGCAGAAGAGAGAGTGTTGGGTCGAAGAGGCAAGCAGAGGTGTCCATGGATCGAGCCTCAAGAGAAACGTACGTTTTTGTCTCGCAAGCCACCGAGGACATCGGGGGGGCGAAAATGTCCGCAATGCTCTCTTTCTGGATTTCAAGTCCTACACCCATACTTTTTGTCTCCGTTCCGCGAGCAGGGTAGCTGAATACCGTAACGTTTCTACGACACAGAGTTAGCGCATCTAAATACAAAAACAGCTCAGAGTCTCGCTTAAACCAAGGCGTTCAGGGGTTCATCACCCAGGAGATGTCAATTTGTTCAGACGAAGATGCTTTGATCTCGTTGCCCCATTTTAATTGGATCTTCCTTGATGACTGAGAAACAGCCCGATTGGAACTTGGGCTGCGACCCAGAAGTCCACCGGGATAACAAAGGCGGAAGTTGTACCCCGGCTGGGGCCGAGAGCGATGTGCTGAAATTGAGAGGAGAAATTCACTGGACAATCTCAATCTCAATGTACCAAAGCCTTTCGTACATTGAGTGCGCAATTGCGCCACTTCCCAGAACATCAAATCAACCAAATTCCTGATGACAAACGATAGATTTTATTTCGATCTACTTGAGATACATTCACAATATATCTTGGCTAGTCGGGAGGTTCCAGGTTCTCAACCAAATTCCTGATTGGCAAAATCTGCTGAATGGTACTTCCACCAGATACCTCTGAAAGTATCCTTTGACACTCACCGCATAAGGTATACCCCAAACGAGCACACTCCTGCAGCGCCAACAAAGTCAACGAAGCTGTTTCCTCGTTCGCTGCCATTCCCACATCAAGAAGCAAATGAAACTGGGCACTATGAGCTGCAGGAAACTCCGCCTTGGCTAACAAAAGGAGCGGAAGTGCAATTCTAGCACCAGCCTTCACCAACTTCTCAGTTGCCTCCCTTTGTTCCCCTTCAGCAGCCCAGTAAAGTGGTGTCTCCCCGCAATGTGTTTCAACCTCCAGATCTGCACCGCGGTCAAGAAGATCTTGCAAGATCTTTTGATTATCCCTAGCAGCGTAGTGCAATGCTGTTTCGCCGTCCCAGTTTTGGGCATTGATATTTGCACCCTGCTTCAGAAACAACTCTATCAGTGGTCTTAAGTCATTCCAAGCCGCCCAATGAAAGGGTGTCCGTAGATCGTGTATCGTCGCCACCTCTACTTCTGCTCCTCTCTCAACCAAGAACCCGGCGATCTGTTCATGGGAGCGGAAAGCTGCAAGGTGGAGAGGGGTCATTCCCTGATCATCCCTAGGGCTTGCCTGTGCTCCAAACTGGAAGAGTAGTTTAATAATCGTCATGTGGCCTTTCTCGGCAGCGTGGTGGAGCGGCGTGTATCCCATATAGTCTTTAGCATTGGCATTGACCCGATGTGACAATAATAAGAATGCCGCCCCGGCGTGACACTCGATTGCTGCCACGTGAAGTGGGGACCGATTTTCCCACTCATTCGGGTCCCACCCTGCGGCCACGAGTTCCTTGATAACATCCAGAAGTCCCAGGGAGGATGCATAATATAGTGCACCTTCATCAGGAAATGGTATGAGATGGCCGAGGCGGATGAGTTGCCAGCTGGACAACGCATCCGCCGAAAGTAACAATTTGAGAGCAAGGGGGGTCAAAGGCTTTTGTTGTTCCACAGGTAACATGTTGATATGTGTAAACCAACTCGCTGAGGCGTATGTTATAAGGGGAAATGCAGCCAAATTCCCCAATGATCCCGTCTTTGTAGCAGTGTTGGCATAGTGCAAGACGTATAAAAGACAACATTCCGCGATGAAATAGTGTGCGATATGACTTGATATGGCGAAGTACTGTGCTGGCCCTTTTCGTATTCGATCTGAGATCAGATACTCCTTGACAGAGAAATGTGCTAGAGTGACGGTCCCCATCCGCGAGAGCCGATCTCTTCCTGCATCGTTAACGGACACCAGGCTGGAGAGAATTTGGAGGACGCTTTCCGGATCCGGAAATCGCTCTTCAGGATCGAATGGAGGATGTGACAGAGGTCTGACCACAATGGCTTCTGCGAGCTCCGCAAGCAGGAGGGGACGATCCGAGAAAGCTAGCCATAGCAACGCTTTCATTGCATCCTCTCGGTAAGCATCATCTATCTCCAAGAATAGGCGGGAATACGTGTCGTCCAGGGTCTTTGGCAGGCCATGGAGAGCTTTGCGAATTAAGCTCACTTTCAAGCACCGCTTCAGGGCATCTAATTGACAGACTACCCACCGAAACCTAAGAAGAAGTCAATAAAGAACCGAAATGGCTTCAGAACTTACATTCCGTTAGCTCCTTTCGCTAATGTCACCTTAATCTCCTGCTTGATATTGTCCGGCCATTTCTTCAGTTTAGGATCCGTTGCAAGCACGCTCGAGATATGTGCCTGAATGTCCCAGTCAACCTCGACCCCCGGAAGCGAAATTGGCTGGCTTGTGATCAAAGGTGCAAGATTCTCTTCAACATCCAGTTCCCGTCGACTAGTGACAAGGGTATGAAGATTATACATCGTCCTTGATTTGATATTCGAGAGAACTGCCAGGAGGGAATCTCTCTCTTCGCCCTTTGGGCACTCATCCAAGGCGTCGATGACGACGAAAACATGACCCAAACTCTGGATGACTTCGCATAGCATTCCAGTGAGTTCATCTAGCCCTAGCCGAAGCTTACCGTGATTGCAGCGCTCATAGAACTAGCTAATATGCGGCCGCAAGGTGGTGAGACGGGTACACAACTAAGCAACTAGTGATGACAGGCAAGCTGTCACCTCCTGTTTTGCTGTGGTATTGAAGTCGAAATAGAAATATGCAACGGCATAGTCAGGCTGGAGCTCGGAGAATTGTTGTAGATGTCGAATTATGGTTGAGCTGGAAATGTTTAGTCATTTATGTCTCACGGAAGGAAAGCCTAACCTCAAAATGGTCTTCCCGCACCCAGCTACCTTTTTCTTAGCTCTCATTCTAATTATAATGGTAGGAAGAGAATAACTCACGAATACCATACAGCCAAAGAAAAGAGTTGGGGAACTCTCTCCAATACTTGAAATCAGGTCGAGTTATCAGCCACTGCCCCGTCTCTGGTTGACACTTCCTACAGGAGGCGTGAAAGTTGACAGACGGGTCGGTTGTCGACAGCCATTTGATAATGGCTTCTCGATTCTCGTCTAATTTCTGAGTCTCAAGGTGATTTTTGATGTCTGAGACATCGCGACTAATGGCCAGAGACAGGGAACTGGATGACAGTCAGGTAAGAGAGACGAAAAATTTGCTGGGGAAGATGAGAAGAGGACCCACTTCTGATCTGTGCTTAAAGCAAGAACGAAGAAAGATTTATATCTTCCGATATCGAGCAAAACCTGATCGATTTCCTTGCTGTGCAAAGGCCACTTCAATGACCTCAGCGCAAGCTTCACCTTGCTCGCGCCCTCCCCTGGGTCGAGCTTGGATAATAATGCTGTTAATTCCAGCAGGCATTGCTCCAATAGCCCATCTTTCTGACTGATAAGGCTGAGAGTCTGTAAAAAGCGAGGTTGCGGTGCATTAGCTAAATCGGCGACATTGACGAGGATATCCTGGAGCGAATTGACCTCATTTCGAAGTCGCTCGATATCTCTTCGGGCGTCCTTGACGTTCAGATAATACGTCCTGCAGAGATCAAAGACTTGGGCAGATATCTGGATCACTGCAACAACGCTGGCAACAGCACTGAGCCCGTCCATGAGAGAGCATCGTTGTGCGGTTGATAGAACGGAGTGAAGTCCAAGCCAGCCTCGCGGACTTTATTGCTCAACTCGCTTAACCTCAGCCCCTCCCCAGTACCGGTCTAAAAATAGATCACATCGACAACCTAAACTTGAAGGACTTTTCCCACCCTGAAGTCCACAATATTGAACTTTTGTTTCTGGAAAATTAAGGGCTCCCTAAGAGCGCAGCTTGCACACGTTCGGATTCAGAGCCTCTTCCCTTACGTCCATTTGAGACTACAACAAACAACCTTCAAGCCCACTGCATTGGATGTCGAGGGAATACCTTCTAAGTATCAGTTCCAATTTTGATTTTCGTCCTTTCTGTTGAGAAAATTCCTGGCGAGAATATATGGCAACTTGTTAGTCCACCGCGTCCAATCAGCCTCGTCCTATCACGACGGCTAGTTTTGAAACACGACAGCCAACTGCAATTGGTAGCCTCACCCCTCATCTTTCATGCAACACGGAGGAGTCAGCCCCGCCGCATAAGGAAAGGGAGCCTCGTGAAGTTTGACAGATATTGTTGTCGTAGACTTGGCAAAATCACTCACTCTTTCCGTTTCAGGCAACTTGAGCTTCTTGGACGTTTTGGAATATCCAAACTTCTCATCTCTCCGATCCTCAAGCTTTGAAGAGGCTGAGAGACTGACATTCCCTTCATTGCCCGGTGCTTCATCCTCCTCCATTACCTCAGCCTCGACCTCTTTGAAGCAATCCACTTCAAGCTCACCTCCCATGAAACTGTGCAAAATGTACCTACCTCCCCCTCTCTCATGCATCACCAAGTAACATTCCCCAGGGCAAAAGCAACCTGCACAATCTGCTCTCGCACCTACATCCGCTCCTTCACACGACCCTCCAAACACTGCCCCGCTTGCGAAACCGCGCTCTCCCTCCAAACACAAACCCTCCAAAACCCGCCGCCATACAACCCCTCCACTGCCTTCTCAAAACAAGAACAAACACTCGTTGCCAAAGCTTTCTTTGACAGACCGGCGGAAATGAACTTGAAGAGCAGGGAGATACGGTTTCCGGATGGGACGGTGGCGCGAGAGGAGTATAATACGAGTAATGGGGTGTGGAAGTTCGTTGAGGGGGCGTTCGAGTGGTGGAGTGGAGGTGTGAAGGTTGCTTGACACTTGTCTTGGACGCAGAGATGGAGAAACGGAGTATGGTGTTGGGAGATTGCTTGGGTAGGAAAAGGACAGAGATCATATACCAATATACACGAATTTACGACTCCCGAAGCTTTGGTGTGATAAACTTGCACCAAATTTCATGATTCATTCCCACATCCCCAAACGCCGGGGTATCTATCGATTCTCCTACCGTAAAGTCATCACTCATCATCACTCTCATCCAGTCCGTCCAGGTCGTCACCTCCCCTCTTCCCATTGTCAAACCAGCCGCCGAAGTCAAGCTTCATCAGGAGCCTATCAACTCTTCCCACCTTCGCAGGAACATAAGCTCCCTCTTCACCAAGAATAAGCTCCGCAAATCCGCTGTCCCACCCCTCTTTCTCTTGATCAATATCCCGCAGGCTCTTGACCAGCTCTTCGATGGCGCTCTTGACCCTTTCCGCAATGACAGCCAATTGCTCTTTGACATCCTTTTCTTCTTTATGGAAGTCCGAGAATGCGTCCACAACGCCTTCATCAGCCTCCAAGTCCAAGGACTGCCAGATTGAATGGACACGGTGAACAAGTGCTACCAGGTGATCGATTTGTTGAAGGAGATGGTAAAGCGGGTCAGTGAACGAAGAATTGGTTAGGAGTAGGCTCGTTGCCAAAGCAGAGATATACCTCCTATGAGCATCGGCAAGTGACTGCGGGTCATGCGTATGGTTTGTGCTGGTAGTTGTTAGTTCCCGTCCTGCTTTCAGCCAGATGTCTTCATCGTCGTCAGCGAGGCTCTTCGATGAGGTAGGCCTCGACTCTGTCTCGCCGATAAGCCAATTTTTGAAGCCAAGCCATGTTCCTTGGACTACTTCGCCTTGCAGATAGGCTTCAGTCTCTCCAAGGAAGAAGACTGCTGCGCTGCTGGTTGCCCATACGCTCCGCATAGCCTCTGATCTCTCCTTCATCCGTTCTCGAATTGTCAGGACTTTACTTCTTCCCACCGTTGAACTACCATATGGAGGTCCAGGTGGTGCTGGATGATCGCGCCGTAAGGAAGTAATCTTCCATAAATCCGTGAGACGCAGATGTGCTCGATGTATTGACAGAAGATATGCATTAATACTGGAGTAGCTCTGCACGTCTCCAAGTGTAAGGAATAGATCCAGTGGTGACGGTATATGTAATGTCAACGACACTGGAACTGATAGCAGCAGATTTCTAAATGGCGTAGAAGCAATGTTAGATGCTGCTTGCGGAGAAGAGTTGCCTTTAGAAGGCGGTGTCGAGGTTCCCTTGACCAGAATCAACTGTACGAGATCTCGTGCAAGTTCAAGAAGTTCATCTTCATCTTGATCCTCCTCGTGCTCACCCTGTAATGAACCCATAGCAGCCCATGTTCTGGCTAAGATTGCCGAGACTTCGCCATCCTTGACAACAATATTTCCAAGTCCGTCTCGCTTTTCATAGGCTAGATTATCTGATCGCCGCCATCGTGATCTGATCTTGTCGTCCGTTTCGGTAATCAAAGCTATTGCAAACTCGCCACGACCCAGTAAGAAGAATTCTCGGAGAAGTGATAGAATCTCAGTTACTCTGCTAAGAGGCAATAACTTTTGAAGTGTTGTTTGAGATAATGACAACCGTATCGACGCGATTACTCGGGAAAAATTTGCGTTGTTGATAGGAAATTTCAGGGTTGATAGTTGCTGAAGATGTGACGAGAGTAGATCCAGTTCAGGAGAGCTCGCGCTTGATATTCCCTTCACACGGATGTGGTTCAAGGATCGGCCAATAAATAGTAACGAAGATGCTGTAGAGGCGGAAACAAACGCAGGCAATAACTCTCTTTTGCTCGTAACCTCCTATTAGAAGTCAGTGCCATACCCCAAAAACATCAGTGCACTTACATAAACATCACCTTCAACTATTTGGACGAAAAAGTCTTCCCGGCCAAAACTGGGCAACCTTCCATATAGAATCCAGGCAGAGACCTGCTTCAGCCACGCTGTCTCTGCGACCGTCACCAAACTTAACGCTGCCTCTTCAATATCAACATATCCCGTCTGCATAGCAGCACAGAGCCGGTCAATGACCATGGCACCAGTGCATTTCTTGTCCCCACCATTGCCTCGCATCATGAATTCCACCACTTCCAGGAACCACTCCATCCTCCTTGTCCATCCCGAAAACTCCCCCACTATGGCAGTCAATGGCACAATATTGTAGGCCCCTACGTTGCGTGCATCTTTCTTCAATATACCATCTTCAACCTCCAGCACTTTCCTTTGGAAAGCGGCCAGATGTGTAGATCTGATAGCCGTAGCAACAGCCTGACAGATACTCGATTGATGCAAGGCTACAATGGTAGAAGTATGGGTTAGGAGCTCGCAGTGGAGATTGCTCAGGTGGTCTATGGAGGAGAGGAGGGCTTTCTCCGGTGGGGAGAGGATCGAGGATGGGGATGAGTGGTCGGCGGTGAGGAGTGGGGAGGGGTGACCGGAGAGGGAGAGGAGAATTTCGTGGAGCATTGTGAATCAGGTCTGCACTCTGTCAATACACAATTCAAAAACATTCTTGTGTACGTACCTGGCGGGAGGTCCCTTTCGTGCTCTGAACTTGTCGAGAAGGTCTTGAGTTAGCAGAACGAGGGTGCCGAGAAGCTCAAAACGGCACATTGAATCATTGCATTGCTTTCAAGATGTCTCTTGTACTTGTGCTCATTCTGTGAGAAAAACCGAGGGGTTTGAGTTGTGGTTGTGCGTAGATGAAGCTTTTGAAAGTTCGTCGCGGTTTTGGAAGACGCGTTTCCTGCACGTGACGCGTCTTCGTCATCAACGTCCATCCTCTTCTGAAAATCCTCCTTTACTTGCCTCTCTTCAGTTAAATCAGACTTACGAAATAACAAGTGGAAGTTCCCATACCCTTGCAGAAATAATTCAAACGCCATAATCGTCATGACTCTGATTTTTGACAGCGATACTCGGTCATTCTTCATTTTGCAGTCAGAGCTCAAAGTTGAGATTGCCGTGCCTGAGCATTTGTTAAAGCTTGCTGAAAAGCCCCAGCAGGTTATTGTTCAGATACCTCCTGGTACATTTATCTGTAAATTGATATGTTGAAAGGGTTGTATTGTTCGAGTTAGTCAGGAACATTGAGTTGCAAAGAAGCAATTGTAAATCTAGAACTCATCTTCATCGCAGACCTCACCACCCTTATATGTCCACATCGCAAAAGAAAGACCTTTTCTCGGATAATAACTTATTCTACTTATAAACACTATACTCGCTTGGCATTTTGTACAAAAAATTGATTCTGCCCATCTATCGACTCGAAAAAGTGCCCAAAAAAAGGTTGTCTGCTGTTGTTTTGGCCCATTAAGGATTCGAACCTTAGACCTTCTCCAGCCATGGCTTCCGCAACTATAACCCCCAAAATTGCTCGGGACCACCAGGGGCGGGCTGGTCATGAGTCAATCATGACGGGAAATAGAGGAAGAAGATAGGGGAGATGCGCCTCCACTGTGCCAACGTGCCTGAAGTTTGGGATGAAAGTTCGTTATTTTGCGATATACGACCGAAGCGAATCTAGTGAATCGGGGAAGTTGGCCAAGATTTGTTTTTAACTATCTCTGACTTTGTCTTCATGGGACATTAAGGCAGGGTAGGTTTCAGAGCGGAGAGGCATTGTCCCCTCCCCCCTTTTTTTTTATACAATCAAGGCCTGTAAAGACTCTAGTTTATTTGGAACACTGTTGAATGGATACATCAATTTCACGACTGAACGATTACTACTGTTATATTCTTAAAATTGCTCTTTGGTTCCGGGCTGTGAGTTGGGCAATGTTGTTGAGACGGAGCGAGCAGATCTCAAAACATGACAGAGCCTGGCTTCCTATTCAATTTGCCTCCGACGTCGGCTTCAAGTTCACTCATGTGCTTTGCTTTGCTTGCTTCCCAGAAATTAGCCGCTAGCGTGCGAGACGAAAGTCTCATTGAGGCATAAAAGAAGCCTCTTCCTCCACCTTCCGATCTTTCCTTTCACAGTACAACGTCCTTCGTTGTGTCCTAAGGGCTTCGCTGTGTCCCAAGACAACACATTAAACAAGACTTCTGTTCTTTCGCAATCTCTTCCACTCACAATAACTTCCTCCCAAGCTACCTTCGACCTCAATTCGCGTCGCGACCGTGTCACAAGGTAGAGGCATCGTCACAGACAGTTTGCCTTGCTTCTTACCACTGTTCCACCCCTACTTCAGCAACCCCCTGAACGATTCCAAGCCCTCAGAATGGGAGGCGGAGACTTCAGGAACGCTGGTAGCGAGTCTCTTGGAGACACTGCCGCGACTCTTGACGAAGCAGGCAAGGGTCAGCTTCCCTTCCCTGCTATGGAAGAGGTTAGTAAAGCTCTCGGGGAGGTCAGCAAGAGCAACCTTGTTCCGACGAAAGACGAAGTCACCAAAGGCATTGATGAGTCCGAACCCGAGAAAGTTGGTCCTTCACTCGGCGAAGGTGGAAAGGCAATGGACCCCTTCGGCAATGATACATCTCCTTTTCCTTCCTCCCGCCGGTACGTATAGGCACTCCAACTCCTATCACTCATCTAACTAATACCTCACAGGTACCCTTTCGACGAGAACGCAACGAGGGCGGATGCATACCGGTACTTGGATCGTATCAAGGCCGAGACCTTCTATCCCGCCGAGCCGGAGGTATTCAACCACTTTCTGGGCATTATGAAGGCTTCCAAGGATGGACGATTGGACACGCAAGGGGTTATTAGGCAAGTGGAGGTGCTCTTTGCTGGAAATTACACTCTTCTTGAAGGATTTAATGCGTTCCTGCCTCCGGGATACCATTGCGGAAGAGGAGAATGGCATTTTTGAGAGAGCGTGAGACAGAGACAATTGTGATAGACATTGCGTGGTTGTACTTGAGAAGGGAATGTACAATATCTCGCAAAGGCATGCTAAAGTGATGGGGCTCAGGAAGGGGCTGCATCTCGCTTGCTTTCACAACGCTAGTATCGAGACGCACAAATAATACCAAGCTCTTGTCATGAATTGCTCCCTTACCAGTCAGATTTTGCCTAGCTAGACTTGACGTCAACCGGCTTTAGCTCAACTCCTGATTTTTCTTACATCTGAAAATACCAAGAAAGAGACCTCGCAGCACCAACCCCATTCTTTCTCCCGAACTCGATCCCTAATCTACACTCCACACTCCTACCAACCCTCCAACCTTCCAAATCCATTATCAACGAAGCACCAGCAATAGCACCAACCTCTCCACATAACCCTATATTGCAACTCTCCAACCTTCAGCGTTACAAAAACCCCCTCCGCCTCTAGAAGATATAAGACAAGGCCATCACATTTTCCGCAGTACCACAACACCCGTCTTATATACCAACCATACGCCCACTGAAGAGGAGTGAGTACTGCGACATTGGCAAACCCTCAACTAAAACAAAGACAAAGAAAAAGAAAGGAACAAAGACACTAATTGGAACACGAGATGTTGATATTAATTGCCATTGCGCTCGCAGTCTCTGTTTCCCGAGTAAACAATTAGAAACTATTTCATTGAACCTAGTAATCCAAAGAAACCAGATCGGCCGGCAAGATTCGATCAATCACTTGACGATAGAGCTAGGTCTGACAAATGCAGCAATTCTGCGTTGAAGGATAAGTAACGCTGGGTAATGTGTCAAACCCTTTTAGAACGATGATGAACATTAGTCTCCCTCATGTTCCATTTGTGCTAAACCTCGGGAGGGGGACTATTAGTCCTGTCCATAAATCCCGTGCATCGTTAATCTCTGCCTCCTTTCTCTATCGCCTTGCACAGAACAAAAGACCACATATTTATAGAGTCCGTTGTGAAAAGAGGAAAGGAACCCAACCAGGCTTTCCATTGTGCCATACCAATACCTATAAACCTATTACAAATTTGCCGTCCGTCGTCAATCATCCCTACTTCAAGAATTTACTTCTCAATCCCGATACTTCACATCCCCCTTAACATCCTGCCCGCCCAAGCTCTCCCAAGGTCCACTCTTGTAGGGTGGCGGTGCCTGTCTTCCATACCCTACCACATCCGGGCTCTCTCGGCCCCCACTCATCTTAACATCATCGGCGAACCTGCCCTCCCTCGCCTCGCGCTCCTTCCAGTTCAGTTCCTCTGTCTTCTTAGCATTACTATAGACACCACCATCGCCACCGCCCACCACCAGATCACCGCCTCCGCGCATCTTGCCGACCACCATGCCTTTCGCCACGGATTTGACGATAGCTTTTCTTGAAACGCCTGTGGCATCGATGTACACTAGTCCGACGTTCTTAAATCCTCCTCCTAGAGACTTAGAAATCTCTCCAGCTTCCGGTCCGAATTTATGCGTAACGACTGTCGTCGCTGCTGTAGAAGTTGAGGCTAGGATATTCCGTCCCGCTTGGTCAACACCATCAGCAATGGTAGAGAAAGCCATCAAGCTCTTATTCAGCAACCCCGGCTTATAATCCTCAATCGGCTGGCCATCTGGCCCAATGCCCCTCTTGGCCCTCTGATCCGCGCCCTTCTTCGCAAGCGTAGCACCAAGATTCTGCGCATACTTCTGCACCTGGCCTACAGTCTTGGCGCTCAGGCCCGCGGCGCCTTCAGAGAAGGTATGAACTTTTCTGATCCTAGCGTGGGTCGTGGGCGTGAAGGTCACGGGCTTGGAGCTGGGCTTGGTTTTCTGGGTGAAGTTGTCGGCGGAGGATTGGAGCGTTTTGGAGACGTAGGTGGAGGTTGTGACGATTAGGCGGGATGCCATGGCGGCTTTGGAGACGAGGGTCGAGTTGCGGTAGGCCGGGTGCATGGCCATTTCTAGATAGGCTGCAGAGGCAGGTGCGACGCCGATGTTCATGGAGCCATCAGAGGGGAGGGTGATTTCGACGGGGTCTGGGGATGTTAGTGAGACTTGAAATGGAGTGAGAAGTATGCATACCTTTTGAGCCAGCCTGCATCTTGCTGTCTTCTACCACATGGAACCCATCCCCAAGTTCGCCCACAACACTTCCATTCTCCTCGTCAATGAGGACGATTTGTCCTCCCGCGTGAGAACTTGCGCTACCGGTGACATATGCCTCTCCTGGCTTGAAAGTAGAGGGGTCATATGGGGGAATGGGCATATTTGCGCTTTTGGTTCTCCTTGATTTGGGACGAGCGGATTTTGGCGGTGGTGCGCGCTCGAGAAAAGCGGTACATTGTGCCAAGATTGTCTCGAATGTGTCGACATCTTCTTGAGATACTTTCCCTTGGCCTATGCCCGGGAACTCTATTCTGGTAAATGCGCCATTGTCGTGACCTATATCCCACCGGGGAATGAGGTAGCTGTCAGGTGGTTGGTGGTATATTTGCGTCGTTGCGGGCAGAGGGAGGTCGAGCTCCGGCGGAAGATGGAGGTGGAGATAGAAGTCCTCTTCCGGTGTGGCAGATTGAAGATCGGCATTAGACAGGCCAGAGAAAGGCGAGGAAGTTGGGACCATCAACAGTGATAATGTCTGTGGTCCTGCCGGCGTGAGGCACTCTTCTTTGCCGTTTTCGATGTGGTATGCATTGATGCCGTTGATGGCATACAAAAGCTTCGGGTCCTACTCAAGATTAGTCGTGAGTTCCATGATGGTGGGGACTGGAGCGGCCTAGCTTACATTGTGTCCTGAAGCCATGGTATTTGATCTCGTGAGCCTCCAAACGAGCTGTTGGAGGCGCAATTGAGTGAGGAGAATGAAAGAGACCACAACCACGAGATGGATTGTAAGCACAAGAACAGGGGAGAGAAGAAGAATGAGAGCTCCGGACGATCTTACCGTCAGGCTGGTGGGCCATCTCTCGGCGGTTATCGATGTATCAGAATAGATCCTTAGGCGCTCAAACGATGTTGGCCAAGACTCTGGAGCCAATGACGTACATCGCGCGCAAGCCACCGGCGTGTAAGGTTCAGGGTGTGGCTGTGCAAATTTTTGGTTTGATCTCAAACATAGTGGGGTCGAACACGGCCGACGCCCCTCAAGGTGTGGAGGCGATCATTGAAACCGGGTCGAGTCCGGTCCAAGAGATGTCATCTCTGACCAAGATTAGGGCTTGGACCAGTGCTTGAAGTTTGCTCGAATTTTGCGGGAAGAGCGAGTTGTGCAGCAGGATACACAGCTCCCGAGGACTCGGCGAACAGAAGACATTCGAAGGTTAGAGTTGTACCTGTGCCAAGAAGTACTTCTTACAGCTCCCGACACAACGAGTACTTCCTTCCATGTTCCACTCTCAGGGGCAATCGGAAGATTTCTAGCCTAGTACCTCGAATTTGTTCCTTACAACTGGAGGCGAGTTCGTGAGAGTTGATCCATCACTCTCCATCTCATAATCCCAGCAGCGGAGGAGAGCGAAATGCATGTAACCCCCTTTACATCCCTTAAGCAAACACGATTAGTGGACACAAAGCTGTCCTGACCCGTAGGACCTCACTCTCGAGGTGCTAATGGCGGCGAGCGTCTGCAGTGCGTTTGTTTTTCGGAATCGAGGGCAGACGGCAGCGAGCAAAACCTGGAACTGAGGGAATGTGATCGAACAAACCTGGCCCACAATCTGGCATCAAAAGAAAGGTTGCAGAGCGGGGTGAATGTCATGCATTCTTCTCAGAAACAGGATAATTGCTTCTCCAATAACAAGCGCTGTACGTGCGTGGGATTTCTCGAAGCGATGACTTCGGCCAACGACACATGCCTCACTCCTCCTCACATTAGTGTCAGAGGCGGAAAGCCGTGCCTCTGAACCGAGGCCGAGAAAGTACTGGGAGTCTGGGAGAAGGACTTCCGATCTCCTGCTCCTTGCCTTGCGAGTCATGGTCGGCGCCACGAAACACGTCCAGATCGGAGCACATACTGTGTAAACTGTGCGGGTTCTGGGCGTGTACTGTACCGATACCTCATGGGGGGCTGCTACAATACGTGTGGTGGCTGATCCATATCACATCGTGAGTCGTGACGAGGGGGGGCATTGACGCGGGTATTGAGAGATGTCGCAGTTGTGTACAGTACTCCCGACTCATGGTGAAGGGGACTTCCGAGGACACTGAATCAGGAATGTCTCTCATGTACTTCGGCAGCCGGGCAGCCGGACAACTGGAAATCCAGCAGTGCGTTAGTGCAGCTGCTGCGACTGCCCATGCGCTGCACGGATATGATCATATGGGCCGAAAGTGGACGGAAGAATGAGGCCGTTCCTCTTCTCAGGGAAGTTCCACAGGCAGTGAGGCGGTGTCGTACGTAGAACCTAGTACTGTACCTAGTACCTAGTAACTTAATGTACTCATACGGACGGAGGTACCTCGAAAGGGGACTTCGCGGGATACCCGATGCGTTTATGCGTAATTCGTGGGTAAGGGAGCCGTGGGAGTACTCCCTGAGTGTGTGCAGAACCGCAGAAGCTGCAAATGGGGCCCTTGTCGGGCCGCGGGGAGGCCCAATCGCCAAGCGGAGGAAGTGCCGAGTGCCTCCTCCACGCGACTCGTTCCGTTCCCTGCCTCTGATGAGAATATTAATGGGAACTGCGATGCCTCCAGGCTCCGAGCAGCAGGGCGCAGCAGGGCAGAGCAGAGCAGAGCAGAGTAGATAGAGCAGAACAGAGTAGATAGCGTAGATAGAGCAGAGCCGAGCCGAGCAGAGCAGGCGTCCCTCCTGTCTGCACTCTGCGCTCTGCGCTCTGCTGTCTGTTGTGCTCTCTGTCTGTTGTCTGTGCCCGAACGAAGAGCTGCTTCCCCCTGGATGGATTATTGTATCCCAATCATCCCTGGCCCTTCTTTGGCCCTTCCCCCGGTCCCAAAGTAGAAGACAACCACAAGAACCGCGCACTGCGACTGGCGGGCTTCACCATCACCAACTCCAACTCCAACTCCATTCTCCTCTCCCCTCCCTCTCCTCCTCTCTTCTCCTCCTCTCCTTTCCTCGCCTTGTTCTCGTTCTCCCACTGCTTGTCCCCCCCTTCCCCCCCCCCCCGACGTGCCGCCCAGCCTAGCCGACTATTCCCATCTCGCCAGACTTCAGTCCCGCTCCCGCTCCCAGGACCAACCCGTGTTGCACCTCTCATCACACCGGCCACGGCCCTCTCTAACCCAGACTCCTGCTCCGGCTTGCTTGCTCTTGCGCTTGCAGACCAAACCGCACACCAACACCAACAACAACAACACACATTGCATCCCGACTTCGCATCAACACAAACATTGCCTCGCCTTGCCCTGCCCGCTACTGCACAAGTCGCTCTGTCATCTGTGCCCCCCCAGCCTGCTCTCGCGCGTCCAATTGCCGTACGTCTGGCGCTGCCGCAGACTGGATTTCCGCACTTGAGGTACTTGTGCGGCGACACGCATCACAGCATCCTGGTTGGCACACAAACATCACTGTCGCCGTGCTCGACACACCTGGTAGAGACCCAACCAACTACTCTCTCCTCTGATCTCTACTGCAGCGACCCCGTTTCCCAGCTACCACTCACTGTCCACTCCTAGCTCCCTGATGGGCACGACCGCTCTCAGCGACCTCGTTGCAATCCGCCTGCCAGAGCTCTCTGCCATCCAGTCCCGGGTCTCTTAAGACCCCCCAACCGCCACGATTCCCTCCCCGCACTCTCTCGCCGCGATCCTTTCGCCTTCTGCTCCGCCTGAAGATTCGACTGCAGGTGGTTCGCGCTCTTCTACCCCAAAGCGCACTCACGCAGAGGCTTTCTCCCCGTCCGATCAACCTTACCTTCATTCCGGGTCGCCCTCTCACCACCGACCCAATATTGCTTCAACCGGGGAGCCGAACCCCGGTGCTCGGGGCGCCGATGACGGGAGTGCTGGAGTTATGAGAGGCGGCTTCGACGAGAAGAAGCCTCAAAAAATGGTGCGAAGCTCTATAGCTTGCGCGCGTTGTCGCAGGAGCAAGGTGAAATGTGAGTAGACTCGTCAATCCACTCGGTTGTTTGTGCAAAAGTCGAAAATTAATTGCCGCCATGCTTGACGTGGTTGCAAGGCTAGCAATTGAGCAAACTATCCTGAGACTTCAGACGATTCCCACTCACGCCTTCCCATCTACACCTAAACGGATACATTTTATTTTTGAAAGATAACAGCTGCTAACAAGCCCCTAGGTGTCAATAATGGTGTCCATTCTATATGCAAGGCCTGCGCCCAAAGCAACAGAGAGTGTACGTATCCTATTGCAGGATCGACGCCCGCGCCAAAGCGATCCGAAGCTCCAGTTGGAATAAAACAAGAAGGTGATGCCGGTGAAAGCAAGAAACGGATCAGAAAAGTCGAGGACACTGGGAGGAGGAATAGCTCGCGCGCAGGAGATGATGCGTTAGAATCACCAATTCTGACGAGGAAAGTGTGGGACGAGCTATATGAAATATTCAAGCTTCACTTTTCTACGGAAATGCCTTTCCTTCACCCGCCAACCTTCAGAAATCGGATGCGTCAAGCAGCGTTCCCGCGAGATCCTTCGACTACAACTGCGGATTTGGAAGAGGGAAGGGTACTTCTGCTGGGTGTCTTGACACTCACTGCAAGGTTTCACAAAGGCCTCGTTGCTCATCACTCTCCGAGCCAGGAAGATCCGCTTGCTGCTAGCGAGTACTATGCCAATGCTCTAGCTATTGCTTTTGGACCAACAATTCGGAATCTCACCAATCCTTCTCTGGAGAGTATCCAGGCATTGCTGATGCTTGGCCTTTATGAATGGGGGCAGACGAGAGGGCTGAGTGCTTGGTTGTATATTGGAATTGCTGTGAGGTTGGCCCAATCAATGGGGCTAACATACGAAGATGATCTCAACGACGTGGGCCTCAGTCGTACTGGCACAGATTCACATAAAGCAGGCGCACCCAAAACTTCCGCTTCCCCTCGAGAAGATGCTATCGATAAGGAGGTCCGGAGGCGCACTCTTTGGAGCTGTTTCATCATGGACCGTATGCTCGCGGCTGGAAAATACAGGCCAACCATGATGGCCGTGAATAACCTTCGGGTTCAGCTTCCGTGCTCAGACGACCAGTTCTTGTTTGTCCACAATGTTCAAACGGGCTTCTTGAACTCAGATTGGCTAAAGCCCAAATCTGCCGAGCAACATGCATCTATCAATGACGACGGAGTATTGAGTAGATACATTCGATTGGTTGAAATCTTTGGGAGACTATCTGAGTGGAGTTATGCTGGAGGCCGGAGGACCGAGGAACATCCTCCTTGGGATGAGGCCACTGAATTCTTCAGGTTGCGCCATGAGTTGCAGAAATTCCATGATGCATTGCCATCCAATCTCACGTTAACGGAGGCCAATCTGTCCGCCCACATCGAGAAACGGAATGCGACTACATATGCTTCTCTGCACACTCTCTATTCCCTCTGCCTTATTATGCTGCACCGGGAGTACATACCATTCATCCCGCTTCGCTGCAATAAGCCTTCTGGCCCATTGGATGAGCCCACGTTCCCCAGAGAAAAGTTTGAAATCCCACTTGGATTCTGGGAGGAAAGCGCCGATCAAATAATGAAAGCATCGAGAGACATCATTGACATTGTCTCTACTTGCCAAGATAATAATTTCCTTCCAGAATCACCTCAACTCGGCTTCGCAGTTTGGCAAGCAGCCTTCGTCTGTCTTTATGCGACATACTTCCCCCAGATGGACGAGCAGCATCATTTGATTCCGAGAGACACCCTCTCTCCCAGCCCCGATGTCAATGTCAATTCGAATAAGGGTCTCGCAGGGCGCACCAAGAAGATTCTGAGCGATATGGTGCCACGACTAAGGATGGTAAAAAGGTATCTCAAGTCCATTGACAAGATGAATATTTACTTTCATGATGTTCACCGTACCTACTGCGTCAAGTGGAGACGCAAGCCATACCCTGGCGGTGGCTTGGAACAATACAAGCAATTTGAGAAGGAGCTCAAGGAGTTCGGGGACCTGAGGGATCCTGATCAGACCATGGCATCAGATGGCTCCGAGGCACGCTCTCGAGCCAGTACGAATGACATCCCTGGAAGCAGTGTCAACGGGGAGCCAATGCAAGGTGTGGAGGCCGCTCCCCAGAGATCGAATGGCGCTTGGGCTGCCGTCAACGCCGCTAGTCCTCCCGTCGAGGCAGACGAACGGCCAAAATACGGTCATGGGCCTTACCCATATGGGACTCCTTACCAGCAGCCCTCCAATCAACCCTCCAATCAACCCTCCAACGCACCATCTCTCGTTTCTGCATCCAACGGCGACTCAACTTCCGGTCTCAACTCCCCTTACGGCAGCAATCAATCTCAGTTACAGCAACGCTACCAGACCAACTCCACTCAGCAACAACCACAAATCTCAAACTATCCTGCCATGGCCCAACATACCATGGCGCCACCAAACACGCAACAAGAACCATCCGATATCGGCGGTTTCGAGGGTTGGATCGAACCTATGGAGAAAGTACGCATCGGACTCATGGACGATTTCGGTCAGCAGGCTGTTGGGGAATTTTGGGGGGTAGATCCCGCGGCCAACTCAATGAATTATATGCAAACGGTGTGGGCACAGCAGCCGCTTGGGGCTGGGGCTGCATGGTAGATTCGATCAGTCAAAAGGAAGAGCGTCAGAAAAGTGCCGCGTTCCACATCTTCATTTCAGGATCTCAGTCAGCTGGCGGTGTTTTGGCGAGATTGGGGCAAGGCGTTGTGTGTTGTGATTGAAGGTGGGAGTGGAGGGATAGGAAGGCATTTTGCTTGCATTTTCGTGCAGGCATGAATGGAAGGGAAGGGATGGGATGGGGGCTCGGATTTTCAAAAGAAGGACTGTCAGTTGTGACGGCGCCTTGGGGGATTCAAATAGGGTGGGTTTGCTCGCTTTCTGGTGAAAAAATGTTTCCCTGCTGAGAGTTAAGATTGATTGTTTTGAACGAAATGCGTCGGTTGAGTGATGTAGGAACGTTTGAGAGGAGGACATGTCCGTTAAGCAGGTAGCATAGAAGTCAATCGCTCTCTCGACTCAGAAAACCTGCAGCGCTCCCTCCCTCCACTGTCCTTCCTCATCCTTCAAAGCCGTCATTGAGAATCATGCGTCTTAGATCGATGAGTAACGGGAACCGCGCTCTTTCCTCGCCCATTTCATCACGTTCTGTAAAGCAGGGAAGGGAGCCTGGAGATAGCGGTGCTAAGCCAGCTTCTTCTCCTTTTCGGATACCAAGCCCCCCCTTTTTTATTTAGCGAAGACAGGCGAATACCTACCAGCTACCCGCGCGAACCCAAATCACGTCACCATAAGGTAGGTACAGGGAGGCATCGAAAACTTGGCTTACACAGCCAGTGTCACAAAATCGAGTGAACACTATGAGTGATGTGTGTGCCTGGGGATCCGTGCTCCGAAAATCCATACTTGCTGAATGGATGTAATCTTACCAGAGCTGATGCAGCCTTGGATCGATGTAGCAAGAGGAGTCGGGAGGAGATCAAGCAGAAGATCGTTTGAAGTAGAAGAGAAGAGAAACGTAATTGCAATGTGCGACGCACGACGATGCTATGTGTAACTGTACCTCACAAGTATACACTAATTCGACTCGTGACCTCCATCTTCTGTCGCCTCACTCATCATCCATCCACTTCTCACTCCCACTAGACGTCAAACACATCAAAAAATCACCATTTTCTGCCCGTCCTCTCCTTCCTACCTCCTCTGCTCTTCCCCATCCCCACAAACACTACCCGCAACATGATATTTCATTACCACCCGCACTGATGCTCGTCCACTCGCCCACTAATTCGTCTCACTCCACCCCACCCAACTCCTCGGCATAACCCTCCAAATCTTCACCTCCCCACTGCGTAAATCATCTAGCTTAAAGCTCTCAAGCTTCACCTTCTTGCTTTCGCGTCCCTGCTCCCACGCCCTCACCTTCTTCTTGGTGCCATCCCACTCCGCAACCACACCCACATGATCCGGCTTCCCAACCTCCACGCTATACTTCGCGTGCATCGGTCCGTGCTTACCCTGGAACTTGGTATTACGCAGCGTGATGATATCGCCGGGGCGGATCTCGTCGTTCTGCTGCGTGGAGGCGTTGGCCAGGTTGCCGTAGACGACGGCGCCGTAGGCGCGAGTTCCGACTGGCAGTAGGGCGTTGGTGAGCGGTTTGAGAAGCTCTTGGATCAGGCCTTGTGGGGTGCCGTCTCCAACGACGGTTTCCTTGCGCGAGTGGACAGCTTCGGAGATGCGGCGGCCGAATTGCTCGTGTGCTTGTTCGAGCTGGTCTTGACGTTGGCGGGACGGTGGTGGGTCGTGTCGCTGCTCGAGTTTGATGTCCGATGGGTTTTGGGCATCAAATTGAGCAGTCACGATGGTTTGAGAGTAGTCTTGGAAGAGGATGGAGAGCTCTTTGGCGACTATTGTTTTGCTGCCTCGCTTGGATGAGGAGTCGTCAAACTCGAGGAGGATGTCTTTTCTGTTCTGGAAGACAGGTGGAATTCCACGGGGTTGTGTCCACCAGAACGAACTTGGACCAAGGTCAACATCGTTAGCCACGAAGCCGGAATCCATAGACATTCTGCCGAGCTCGACTGATCTTCGTGCATTGTTTGTTGGGCGAGAGGACCCGACGTCAAGAGATTGGCGAGTCGTTGGAACTGGTCTGCTTCCTGACGGTGGGGCGTCACGGGGAGGGGCCGGTGGAACTGGTCGATCTTGAGGCGGCGAAGCAAATGTTCTAGGCGGTGAGGCGGAGTATAAATCCTCTTCTGTTCTTTCAACTCTAGGCATCCCGCCTCCAGGAGCAGGTATGCCAGTAGTGTACTTGAACGGGTCATATTCGTCATCGTCATTCTCCCATGGAGCCACCATCTTGCCAGGGGGCGGAGGTGGTGGAGCAGCCCTTGGCATATCCGCCGATTTCCTCGTATTGGGAGGTGGTTGCGAAGGCAAAGGAGGTGGAATTGCACGTGGAGCGGCAGATGGCGGGAGAGGCGGGGGCGCGGACGAAGGAGATATGACCGGCGAGCGATCCTCAACAGCCTTCAACGCATCTTTGTGCGGTGCCGCCGAGGCAATATCTGTATCGTAATCACCCTCGTACTCGGTAACCTCTTCTTCGCTTTCCTCTTGAGCTGGACGCGAAGGAGGTGGTGGAGCACGTTGATCACCAGTGGATGTGCGACTAAGAGGTGCAGCAGCTGGAGGAGGTGGGGGTGGAGCTCGATTTTGCGGTTGAGGTGCAGATGCTCCAGGAATTGGTGGAGGAAGTCGACTGGCACGCTTGTTGTTTAAGCCCGGCGTTGTAGGAGAAACGGGAGATGCTTGATCTGTTCCAAAATAAGATCCTCGTCTGAAATTAGGAGACTTTGGCGAACCTGGCGCCTCCGATGGTCTAGGCGGAGCACGAGGCGCTTCAGCTGTAGGAGTCGCCACAGTGATAGTTTGAGCACGCTCAGACATCTCATCATCCGATTCGGATCCAGCACTTGGAGACATCGGGACAGCAGGAGTAGGTCGTGCTACTGAAGTTAGGGTCATAACCTGCAAAAGGATATTTTGCGGACTTACACTCTTTTGGCACGGGTGGTGGTGCTGGCCTTCCACCTGGAACAGGCGGAGCACCTCCCTCTTTCGATGGGACCACTTCCTCGACATCCGGTAGCTCATCTGCTGGACGGGACCTCGAAATAGGGGTCTTCTCTTCTTCGAGCTCAAGCTGCTTGTTCAGCTCCTCGGGGCTCCGAACTCGAGACAAACCAGGCATTGGAACAGGGGGAGCGCGGGAAACTGGGGAGGTTTCCTCAGTTCCGTACTCTGTTGGACGTTTATCGCTGGATGTCGTAGACTTCTTCTTTTTCGGCGGTGCTCCAAGTCCAGGCATTGGCATACCGCCGGCGGGGCCAAACATGCCATGCATACCCATACCGCCGCTCATCTTCGCCATTCGTGCTCTCAGTTCCTCCTTTCGCCGCACTTCCGGATCAATGTCGTCCTCTTCATCTTCACCTCCCTCGTCTTCTTCTCCTTGAGGCTCCTCTTCTTCGGAAGCTCCCTCTTCTTCTCCAATATCAAGTTCGCGGGAGGGGGGCGCTGCAGCGCGCATGGGTATCGTTGGTGGCCGAGATCTTGGTTTTTCATCGCTGTCATCTCTTCCAGTCGACATATCTTCCGGCTCCTCGGTTGTTTCACCAGCCCCAGACATATCTGCTTCATTACCGTCGCCAAAAGACTTTCGAGGATGGAGTCCCGGGGTTGTAACAGCACCCCTTGAAGATTTACGTTTTCTTGGGCCTTCTACTTCCTCTCTCACAGAATCCATTGAAGGCTTGGCAGCACTTTCTCCTGTGACATTGCTCTCCAGAGGAGTTGCGTCTCCCTCTTCGTTGCCTTCTGTGTGGCCATGCGATTCGGTCCGCTTTTTGGTAGGTGGACGCTTAGGCTTTTCCTTCTTCTGTGCCGCTTCCGCATGCCGACTTGCCTGTTCCATTTGCTGCTTTTGAAGAAGAGCAATTCTTTCCTTCAGACTCGTAGGCTTTGGCTGCTCTTCCTCATCGCCATCATTAGATGTTGGGGCTAATCCGGCTCGTTCCGCCAACTCCTGATCTTCTTTCTCCCTCGCAGCTATCTCTGGGTCCTCTTCACGCCTATAGATCTTCTGCGGGGGCGGATCGCGAGCTACAGGTACATACGCATTTTTGCTCGGCGGTGGTGCAACGAAAGGCTTCTTGATGAAGTTATTCGATCCCCCAGAGCTCAACCCACCAGGCTTGAACGGCGCGACTGGTGGAGCCGCCTTATTGAAAGCTGCAATACGGTCTCGGAATGAGCCACCACTCGGCTTGTCAGAAACAGGCGGGGGCTCGGTTTTCAGACTGGATGCAGTCGGCTTGGCAGCTGGTGGCGGGGAGATTTCTGCAGGCCTCGAAAATGGCGGAGATGTAGCGGCTTGAGGCTTGGGAGCTGATGGAGGTGGTTCTCGTGTAGCTGGGAGCTCATGGATTGGCTCGGGCTCGGGCTGTGGCTCTGGTTCCGCCTCTAATTCATATGCTTTTGGGACAGGCTCAGCTGGTAGTTCGGCATCTCTCTTTGGGCGTGTCGTTCGAGCAGGCCTTGGAGGGGCCGTAGGCTCGTACCTCTCCACGAAGTTCTTAGGAAAGATACCCTCCTGCTTCACTCCCGAGGCGTCCACATATTCCCCCGCATACCAATCATCATCTTCCTCCTCGGTAACTGTGATTATCTGCCCATTCGGGAAGTGGAGGTCGTCGTCATGAGGAGAGGTGTATTCGAACACGGCCTTGACTTTGAACGGCGGGCTTGACATCTTGAGCGTGCTTGGGAGCAAATTGTGCTTTGACAAGCTTGCTCAGCCTGCTGCCTATGGGGGGGTTGATGGAGAGAGAGCCCGGAGGCAGCTCTGGCACTCGGTTTGACGTTATTCGTAAATTGGGCTGTGTGCAACGGTACGTAATGCCACAGTATGTGCTGCCGTATAGGCCAGGGAAGCAGAAGTGCGATGTGTAGGAGAGCGGGGCGTTGTGTATCTAAACGTGCTAGTCTACGTCAGCGCATGAATGGTGATGGGTGAAACGGCTTTTGTGAGAATGGACAATTATTCAGGCCCGTCAAATACCAGAATTGCAGCAGTTTACCAAGCGAAGCGTTCAGACGGCGTTCAAGTTGAAATTATAAAACCGCTCGCGAGTTTAAGAGAGCAGAGGAGCCTTGGCCGCATCACACAGCTCGGAACACAGGCGGTGGAGTGGTAAAGGTTGTTCCGGCTGAAGTGGGACGCGGCGTAGATGGGCGAGCAGGGGTGTCATCGCTTCTGCTCACTCCGACTTTCCCGCATCATTTCGAATGTTTGCCTCCGGGTTCAGTAATACAATAATCTTCGAATTGACGCGTTTGTGGACACGTCTCCTTCTTCAATAGATGGTCACAGACCATTCTATTCCACGGTAGCAGCCATGGCGACTGCCAAGCAGCCCAAGTCCATTCTGAAGAAGGCGTCTTACCCCGCCACAACATCATCGAAGGAAGATCGAGACCGCGAGGTAGCTCTGTACCATGCAAATCTTATCCAGCAACGCAAAGACATCGAGCTCAATATCTTCTTTTCGACAGAGACACTCATAGATTACCCTCTTGCGAAATCACCATACGATGCCTCGAATCCATCTCCCACCGATGCAAAAGAATTCAAGCAGTTCCTCCGACCCTTTCAACCAACTGACTACGATGAGTTGATTCACGAACGCAATACCAACGAGAAATGTGGCTACACTCTATGTCCGAATGCTCGAGTGAAGGATGGCAGTGGGGGCAAATACAGGATTCTAGGGACGAATGGCAAGGCGAAGGACTTCAGAGTTGTGGAGAAAGAGGAGTTAGAGAAGTGGTGCTCAGAAGCGTGTGCCAAGAGAGCTCTATATGTGAGGGTACAGCTGAGTGAGAGTCCAGCTTGGGAGAGGGACGCTGCTGGATCGACGGTCAATATTGATCTTCTGGACGAGCCAAAGTCTGCGGAAGGCGCTATTGCTGAAGGCTTGGAGAAATTGAACCTGGAGGGAGGCAAGGCAGTCAAGCAACAGGATGCTGCAGATCTAGCGTTAGAAAGGGGCGACACCGGTCTGGCGGCCAAGAATGGTCTGGTGGACGTGAACATCCAAGAGAAAGAAGTTCAGAGGCCTGCCCAAGCTCCATCTTTGGATGATCTCAGTGGGAGGGTGGATACGATGCATCTGACATTAGAAGGACACACACCTGAGTTTGGCAGTCGACGACAGAGACGCCATACTGAAGATTTAGAGAACGAAGAAGATCCAGATACGGATTGGAGGATGTAGTCAGAGGATCGGCGTTTACGGGTTTTGATTTAGAGTGAGAACTTATGATACCCATATTGCAAGATTTCCATAAAAAGGAAATGAAAATCCCCCCAAGATTTCGTTTTCCAGCGTGTTACGTTGAGCAGTTTAATTGTAGGGCAAAGGGACCTTAAATCAATTGTTGCTCTGAGTATCTTGATCCTTGCTGGTTGGTCGCGTACTCAGGAATCAATCCGGCAGAGGTTCACATAGCAGGGAAAAGAAATTGGCAATCAAGCGTCATCTCCAGAGGAGAATCGGCGACACCTTGGGTGGAAAATGTCTCACATTGACCTAGTATGCACAACCTGCCATGAATACGCCGTGTAGCAACCAGATTCGTGCCATTCCATCCATACCCATCTCGCTGCAAATGACTCAAACCTATGCACGTGGAGGACGATCGTTGAATCTGCGGGGACGCTCGACGGTTTGTTGTTGGGAGACTGGGACGACGTTTACTGGAATAGAATCGAACTGTGAAATTGTCAGAACCTGCTGACTCATTTTGGTCGTCAGAGAACATACACCAAGGCTCTTGAGGAGATCCTTTGTCTCAGTATCCACCTCCAGTCCGTTCTCGTTCTGAGTGAAGTCGAGGGCAGAAACTTCGGGGACGTATTGATCCTTTCGCTCACGCTCTTCTTCTTGGAGCTTGAAGGAGATACCACGGACGGGACCACGTTGAATACGTTTCATCAAATGTGTTGTGTAGCCAGCAATCTTTGAAATTGTTAGAAATTGAATCTGACCTTCTCCATAATATGCCGTCGTACCTTGTTGCGGAGACGCTTCGAGGCAATGATTGCAATCTCATCGCAGATTCTCTTGTTGGTCTCGAAATCGAGGGTCAACTTGGGGTAGTATCGCTCAATGATGACCTTGGCGGACTTCTTGACGGTCTTGGTACGAACGCGACCCATGATTGCGGTTGCGAGGGGTTGTCGAAATTGAAGTCGTCGATGTCGTTTGGAATTTCTAGAAAGTCTGGCGGTGGTGTGGGAGAGACTCGCTTAGATTCCACAGTGCCTTTGCTAGTGCCAAAATTTGAGTCAATCACGTGATCTTTGCCAATTTCAAATGGATCCCAAGACATTATTGACCCATTTGTGGTCTTTTCAACCCCATGGCCGCGAGTTGGCCCTTGACAATTGAGTATTCAAGATTTGGTGGTTGCGGCTTGTTCTGAGCAGTCTTCATCATTCCTCTCCTCCCTGGACATCACGCGCCCGGAATAATCAAGGATCTCATTCAACATCTTACTTCCGGTGTCCTCACTACTGGGAAAAAACAAATTCGTATCCCCAATTCGTATTTGATGACACCATTCCGAAAAGATGTTTACCTTCAATCGATTCCTACATCGCGCTTTCAAGCCCGCCCTCCCCCTCCCCCGCACAAACTCAGAACCCCTGCAATGCTACACGGTCCTTCCATCCATTGAAATTCTTGAATTTCACCATTACATCTTTTAGACGAAGCAACAAGCAATGGAACGAGCTACGAAGAGATCGTAAAACGCCAGAGCAATCAGACTTTTAGACAAGCTTCAAGGCGCTGTCATGGAAAGAACATGCTGTCATATGGATACTTGCCATTTTTTGTTCGGACTTAACTATAGCTTGGGGTGCGCAGCACATATTCTCTGAAGAGGTTCTGCAAAAGAGACCGAAAACAATACTTTTCCGCTTTGTAGAAGGGTGGTTTGAGTCAGGGAAACGGCTTAAATTGGAATCCAAGAAGGACAAGCCTCTTCAGAACGACGAGCCTTTTCAGAGCGACGAGTTTATTCAGAACGATGAACCCGAAGAGAAGACGTGGTAATCGAATCCGAACGAAGGCGGCTATTTGTGATTCGTTCTTTATGGGCCGTCTCAAAGCTTCTCTCCTACGATAACATCTCACAAACAACTCTCTCTACTGTATAGCAACAGTCACATTCGAACGTAGATCCGACAGCTCCGTCAACTGTAAGCTAGTAACTAGGTTCTCATTAACCCTTTTCACTGTTCACCTCCTTCCTTCACCGGCGTCGGATTATATCTTACAGGATTAATCACTTAGCTTAACTCTTCCATCAATTGGTACCTCATCGGAAGGCAATCCATAGGAGTTATCCAGGGGCGTTCATGGTTTGGCTATCGGGGGTTTTCCGGCGGTCGTTGAGGATCGGCCATAATCTCACATATATCGCGGTATGCATTTGAGAGACGAAATCAGGAGAGGGCATGTTTTTTTTCCCCTCCTTTCCGGAGCATATTCATATCAGTGTGTTATTGACTTTGAACAATAGAGAGGATGGCGTGCACATCCGGTGAATCACTGGAATCCAGTGCAATAGACTTAAGATAGTCCAATTTCCTAGCTTCAGGACAGAATTGCAGCTTGGGTTCGGAAGAGAAATGATTTGCACAATGGGCCATCAAGGTTCGGCGGTGTCTCAAAAGGACATCACTGGCCCGAAGATCGACTTTTCAACGGCCTTGACCAGCAGCCTATTCTTCTCTTCATTTCCGCCACCTTGAAGTGCCAATATCACCCAGGGTTGCCAAATAGTTGTGAAACAGAGGTCACCAATTTCGCATGCATATAACTCCTGCAACTACTGATCTCAAGCAGACTTGTACAGTACAACCCCGAAAAGTTGGAAAATTTCGGAGCGTGGGTGGCTTGGCCAAAATCTGCCTCGTAAGAAGCCTGTCGTGCTCCTGCGCACATGCTACACCTTTTGTTCGACACGGCTGCATATGTCTCACTTAGGCAAGGCTCAGCGTCACTCTCTTTCCATCATGTCATGATACTTTTCTCTGTCTGGATTTTGTCTGTCCACATAAAATTGAGCAGTCAAGTTGATCAGTCGATTTCGTGAGTGGATGGTCCAGCTCTGCTTTCAACATGCTCGATCCCCTCAAAGCTATATCGCTGGCCGGCAGCGTCGTACAGTTCGTGGATGTCAGCGCGAAAATCTTATCGAAGACTCGAGAATTGTCATTACATGGCACGACGCAAGAAGCCTATAATGTCGAAATTGTGATTCAAGATCTGCTAAGACTCTCCAAGAAGCTGAAAGATGGAGCCCAAGCGGCTAGTGCCATCCCTCAAACAGACGATGATAAAGCCCTGGAAGAGTTGTGCAAGGGCTGCATCAATCTCTCGGAGAGAGTGATGAAACGTTTGGATAAGCTGAAGTTAGGAGAAGGTAATAGTAAGCGACTTGCTTTCGTCCATGCGCTGAAGGGTGTATGGTCGCAGAAAGAGTTAGAGGTTGAAGAGGCTCAATTAGCTGCATATCGAAGTCAGCTAGAGTTCCATGTGTTAACATCTTTCAGGTGAGTTGTGATGTATGCTGTTTAGAGATATTCAATTGCCATCCACAATTCAGCCGTTCTCTTCTGACATTTTGAAGAGATCGATTCAACCTGGCAGCAGTATCCCAGAGCCCTGTTACTTCGGAGGAAGCTTTCCAACGTATCATATCAGCTCTGGCCAAGAATAGCAAGCTATTCGAGTCGTCCATCTTCAAGCAAACCAATACCATCACCCAACTTCACACAGAAGTCAAGGAAACTACGGTCAAGGAACATGAAAAAACTCGATCGATACTTCTAAAAGCTGTTCACGAAGTGGATGCAAGTAGGACGCCTTCTGGAACCACCAAACTTGACCATCCGATCAATCAGGAGCAAGAGTTGGAGGCCCGGCGGCGAGCTGAGGATCACATACTTCGCAGCTTGCGAATACCATCGATGTCGGAACGTTACAACCGAATCGTGGAGGCTCATGCTGCAACATTCCAATGGATCTTCAAGGATCCAGCTGCAGAAGACCGACCGTGGAGTAATTTTGCCCAATGGTTGAAGGACGGCGAGGGTATTTACTGGATCAATGGAAAAGCTGGGTCTGGTAAATCGACACTGATGAGATACATCTATGATCACAAACAGACCAAGGACCTCTTACGTGCTTGGTGTGGGGAATTGCCCCTCATAGTCGCCTCGTTTTTCTTTTGGACCAGCGGTGCAACAGACCTCAAGTCTCAGAATGGCCTGCTGTCTCAGAATGGCTTGCTGCGATCTCTTCTCCACCAGCTCCTTTCTCAACATAGAGACCTAATCCCTATCATATTGCCCGACCAGTGGCAGGATGAGTAGGTCTATTTCTCTAGGCGTCAGTTTCCTCTCCGTGACGTATCGCAAGTCGTTTCTGCTCTCATGTTTTCAGGGTGAATCTACGTGAGAGGCTGTTTCGGCTCTCTAATTCGTTCACAGTCAGAAAATGCTAATACGGAGATACTCCAGGTATGTCGAGCCGGTTGAATGGCGACAAGACTTCCAGTGGATCCGCGATATTCTTAGGCGAGCTTTTGATGCTCTTCGAACTCAGGACCAAACTCGCGTGTGCCTTTTCATCGACGGCCTCGATGAGTATGAATGCGACCTGGATGGAAGCTACGTTGAGATTATTTCTCTCTTCACCGGGTTGGCAGAGTCTGCCAATATCAAGATATGCATTTCGAGCCGTCCTTGGCTTGTATTCGAAGACGCTTTTCGACCCTCTCCGAGCCTTAAACTTCAAGACCTAACTTTCAATGACATAAGCGGGTATATCGATGACAAAATCAACGGGCACGAGAGGATGAGAGAATTACGCCAATTGCATGCGGAAAGCGCCGATAATTTGACCTTGGAAATCGTCACCAAAGCCTCTGGTGTTTTTCTCTGGGTTAAACTTGCTGTGAATTCACTCCTTGATGGCTTTACAAATCGAGATCATATTTCAGATCTCCAAAGACGACTTCGCGAGCTTCCTGCTGATCTCGAAAGCTTTTACAAGCACATCCTGATAAATCATATTCAGCCGTTCTATTACGAACAATCGTCACAGTATTTCCAGATTATGCAAGCCGCCAATAGACCAATTTTCAGAACTAAAGATTACTCTCGACCGCCACCTCCGCCGATTTCTCTCCTGATATTGTCACTGGCCGAAGAAAAGGATAGCGCAGTAGTCTTATGCCCACCAAAACAACTCCTGAGTTCCGACCACGTATCTTATCGCTGCAAAGAAATGGCCGCGAGGCTGAAGAGTCGATGCGGGGGATTGTTAGAGGTTCTTGAATTTGGTACGAAGGTTATTCAGTATCTCCATCGAAGTGTTCGAGATTTTCTTGACCTACCAAACACAAAACTCCTGCTTCTCTCTCGCACTCAGAAATCATTCAACGCGGACGAAAGCCTGTTGAAGGCGTGGCTTCTCCACTTGAAATATGTCACGCCCCGCCAACCATTGCGCACTGTTCATAACCATCTTGAACCAATTTCGCAGTTGGTTGAGGCTGCTCTCCAGCATGCCCGCTGGGCGATGGAGGTGACTGGCAACTCGTATGTTCAGTCTCTGGATGAATTAGACAGTATCGTCATGCATCGCTGGCAAGAAGAGCCTCAAGAGATTCTAACGCCGAGGGGAGAACTGTTGGATCTTCGAATTCTGGGAGCGCACTGGGCCAGTTTTATGAGATTCCGTCACCCAACCGACGTGCGCACGAGAACCAATCGAGACAATTTTCTAGCTCTTACACTATCGTTTGGCTTGACAGAGTATGTAAGAGAGAAGCTCAAATTGAACGGAGACAAATTGTTCAGGAAGCCTGGGCGCCCGCTACTCGACTACATTGCGTACTCAGATATGACAGTAAGTTCCGAGCTGGTGTCTCTCCTCCTGAAAAAAGGGGCCAATCCAAACGAGAGATTCTCTGGATGCAGCACTTGGCAGTACATGCTCGAACTTATTGAGGATCTCAGGATCTCAGAACCTTGGGTCTGTGCAGATGCTGATCATTATCGGAAAGAGTTGGCGGCCACTTTGAGATTGTTAGTCGAAAATGGGGCTCATCCAAACCTCCTCTGCACGCATATCAAAAATTCCCATTGCCCGAAAGAAGAACCCAAATACCATGCATACTTCTCGACACCTGCCACGATTTTCTCCCCGGGTGGAATGTCTTCCGACCCTGGGTTGGTTGAAGTGATCAAATCCCGCGGAGGCATCGAATACTTGGAGGTAGTCTCTCTTCAATCTACCGATTGGGATGACGCCGAGGCAGAAGCCATGAAAATCCAGCCTGGGGTACTTCAGCGACTGCAGACGGTTCTTAGGCTACGGAGATCGAAGAAGAGGCCAAAGAAAGGCAACAACAATTGGAGATCACGCCGAAAGGGACAATATCGAGCAAATCGGCCGCGATGATTGATTTGATGGCCTTGGTTAAGCTGGAATCAAGTCCGCACGCAAGGAAGTCAAGTCAAGTCAGATCAGTTTTGTGAAAGCCATGCATGCATGCATAGTCCAACAGCAGCTAATTTACAAATACCCGATAATACTCGATCTCAACTCAAAACTCGAACATTGCTCCTAGTGCGTATTGTCTCTGAGTATTTCCTCAGCCGATGCCAGCCGGGTGTACAAATTTACGGTCTTGAACTCAAGACTTCTAACCTTGCTATAACGGCCAGTCTCCTTTGCTTTCCTCTTACATCCGCGCCAATCGAATGAGTCGACAAATATTACTCCATCAACGTAGCCAAGGAGGTTGATTCGCTTAATTATTTCTGGATATTTGGCTGCCCGTTCCTCAGGGCGAAGAAGATCTCTCCACTTAAGTGGTTCTCGTTGTATCCCGTATTCAGGGACCTTGATATTTGGGATGCACATACCAACGTTTCCGCCTCCTGGTCCCCAGCCAATGGGCCAATTGTCGGACGGAAGTTTCTTCATTCGCATGTACAAAATGGGCTGAGGACCAAGGTGGGTCACTCCATTGTGTCCATCCAGGGTCGGTTTTCCCGAAAGATTCCTGTTGAAAGTCCCTAAATTCAAATGCCTCAAATTAATTTGGTCATGTCATGATAAACTCCAAGCATGCGGTCCATACTCTGCTGCATATCTCTAAAGGTCAGGTAAGTAAATATCCACAGCCTCTCAAATTCTAGGGGAAATTAAAATATAATATTGAATAAGGACTTACGGGCCAGAAGCAGGAACATCGACCACTTCGCCTTTGTGATCATGCAGGGTGGTAAAGTATATTGGGCTGTCTCGATAATGGTACTTATCGAGAGGCGTGCCGCAAAGAAACGCCACAGGTCTGCCTGTCTCCCAGAAAAGCGGAAATATATCGGGAGGCATGTCGAAAACGACAACTAGTGCTTTCTTGTCGGCCAAGACGAATCCAGCCTGGCAGCCAAAGTCCCCGTCAACAACTGTCATGCCATACTTCCCAAGAACCTCGCGGTCGAGTCGAGTATAGGAAGAGTCCGGAAGAAAGATTTTAATTTCCTTCCCCTTCGAGACATCTTTGGCTTGCAAATTGTCTCGGATAGCTAATAAAGCTGCATGTCTATTTCAATGTGCTTTGGAGATGTGATGTGTTGGTTCGTACGGAGGACAAATGGTACCAGCTCCGAACGCAACGATCTTCTCGAGCTTGCAAACCGAGAGCGCGGCACAAACAACGTTTTGAAGAGTTCTACCTAGCGAACTCTGCTGGAGTTCGTTGCGAACGTCATCCAAGTTTTTCCGAACCGTAGCAGCATCTGGGTTAAAGCGAGCGCGTTTTTCTCTATCCTGGGCTTCATTTTGAGAGTGTGCTTCTGGAAGGGGAAACATTTCTCTCAATTTCTTAATTAGAAAACGGCACAGTAAGCAAGGAGCTTCAACTTACAAAGATCAGCCTTACTGGAGGGGGAAGTCTCGATGTTGCGGTACTTGGCTGTAGAAGATTCTGTTTCTGGCGTCCTCGATAGCTGCCCTGTACATATCATAGTTGACGCCTGGTGGGTGAATTGATTGGATCCAAAAGCTGGCTCGTTCAGTGATGAACCCCGCCCTGGCGTCTTCGTCCTTCATCTCCTCGACCTTCTCCCCGTTCAGAGGATCTCGCTCCAATTCGTCATATGACTCTTTTGGACAAGGTCCCCAGGCTGGCTCGAAGGGGCCGGGTGCTCTGGACTCTTGGCTTCTGTGAGACTTCAATGGCGCAGATCCCGAAGATGTAGGAGGACCTGAATGGCCTCTGGGTGCGCTTTGCCCGGGCTGACCAACCTGGCTTTGATGAGACACTTCTGAGGACGATGATCCCGAGGAAGGGGGGCGGGGTTGTGTTCTGTGAGCTCGGCTTGGACCAGGCTCACCAACTTAACTGTGATGAGACATCGAAGAGGAGGAGGAAGGAGGTCGGGGGTGGTGCGAACTAGACATCGTGGCTCTCTACAGCACTCTGAGCAAGACAGTGAAGTATTGTATGCAATGTTTGATCTGTGCTGGCACTGGTCGTTGGAGATTCTAAAAGTTCCAAAAGCTAGAAGATGTTGAAGTAGGGAAGGAAGAGCTTGGTTCTGAGCGCGAGAAGGGGGGTATAAATAGACTTTCAGAGTGATTCAGCGGCATCTGAATCTGATGAGCATGACTAGAGAACTCTTAACATATTCACACAGTGCAAGGTTACCATTATGCTGGACTGAACTTTCATTGATTCAGACGTGGATGATTCAGAGCTAACTGAAGTTCTCAATCAAGGCCACAGAAGCCCTGGGATACTTCGCAGGAAACATCAACAAGAAACTCCAAACCCCCGTGGTCAACCTCAAAGACCAATTCTCCATACACCTCCTCAACCATCCAACGCTTAATTCGCCAACCTATCTGCACCCTATTGAACTCCCTCCTAACGTGCCAGAATAAAACCTTGAAGCTCACACTCTCCAACTCCTCGACCTCAATGAGCAACAGCTCAAAATAGGCCCTGTTCACCACATCCCCACCATTTGCCGTCTTCCACCCATTAATCTACCACCTAACAACCCACTCCGCCGAGTTTCCAGGTTCCATAAATTTCCCCTTCGCTTTGGTCAAGAGAACAAAGAAAGAATTAGCTGGGCATTTCGACGCACTTTCCCAGAATGTCCTAGACATGGAGGACCGAGCTCTAGCTCTCTGCACTTACCTTTTTATTTCCAGTTGCTTCTAGACTCTTACATTTATTTATTTCAGACATAAGAATGGAAATTTTTCCATTGGGAGTGTTATTTGCAAAATGCCACGGGTAGACCCAAAGGGCTTCGGAGAGTCTGGTGATTACATTGTCGTTTATATATAACAACATCCACCGGCTATGCAATGCCTACTGTACAAATCTCCCCTCTATCATTGCTCATTGAACATATCCCTGAAAGCCCTTGTCGCATCTTCCTGACTCGGTGACACTGTCCGGGAATTCGGCTTCGGCGGCGGCGGGCCTTCCCCTCTATCACTCAACCCATAATCCAACCCATATCCCCTCGATTCCTCTCTCCTCGCGGGTCTAAATCCGGCACCCTTACCCGTTGCAACAGAGGGCGCCCGAGGGATCTGATGCGTCGTACCTTCCAGGACGGCCACAGCATCTTCATCCGCGAATTGCACATTCAATAACACGCGACCCTTCGGATCGATTTTCGCGTGGGTGGGATTGACATAGAATTTGCTGCCTCCCACTTTATCAGGCTCGATATGCTGAACCCCAGGAATAATAGCCTTTCTTTTCTTCCTCATAACGAAATCATCTTTGAATCCCGTGTTAGGAATTTCAGTGACGAAACCACCCACTCCTGCCGCTGCCGCGAAACTACCCGTTGAAGCTCCTTTGGGCATGACAACACGTGCCTTGACTGGCGCTTTTTCCTTCTGAGGACCGAAGACAGGATGGTTGTAGATGTACTGAGATGTTCTGATGTATGTCAAACCGGCAGAGGGGTGTGTTTTTGGTGGTCCTGCCACAGCGTACGGTGATTGAGACTCCACTAAATCGGTGCCCCTGGCTGTTTGGGGCTGAAGATTTTCGTTGATCCAGTCGAGTACGCGAACAGACAGCTCCGTGTGAGGGGCTGGTGGCAAGTCGAGGAAAGACCTGATGAGCTTATAGAGAGCGATGCGTTCAGTACGCAGAGTCTTGACAAATTCGGTCAATTGCTCCTCCGTGACATCGCTGGCTTCGAGTGCTGGGGGCATCTCTTCAGACTCGCCTGCCGCAGTTGCAATTCGTTTAGCTTCTTGTGTGAGAGCTTTTGCACACGAAGACCGTATGAAGTTTTGGAATTCCGGCTTTCGATTTCGAACTTCAGTGACGACGTATGTGTTGAATTCCCCCTCTGTCTGTCCAGCCAACCATGGCCCCTTGAACTTCCATCTATTTTCCTCCTTGCTCGACTGGTCGGCGCTTGTGGAGTCTAGCTCGCTATCGAACACACTTCTCCGTGAGTCAGAGCGGTAATCGCTTTTAGTCTCGCGGGCGACTGGTATAGTGAGAGGTACGCCCATCTCCTGCCATTTCTGCAACGACAATGCATGGTCTGCCGAGGAATTGAATTCGGTGACGTGTTCGAACGTATCGATTGCCTCGACCCGTATGAAGGGTGTGGAGGTCTTCGAAGTCGCTCGTAAAGGTAGGGGTCGTTTGAATCCCCAGTCGCCTTTTGCCCGTGAGGATTGGGGCGTAGTAATTGTCTGGTGGATAGGATGTGGGAGCGTTGCGGAATCGGAGTTGAAGATGGCTTGTGAGGAGAGGTCCCCTACTGGCCGTGGTAGCGGAGGTGGTATTGAGAAGACCCTTGAAGCTCGTAGCAGAGCTCCACCAGGCGACATACTTCTGGATGCCATCGTAGCCTCGTGGCAAGTTGGGCGTTGAAGCACGCCCGAGTGATTAGAGTTTGGGCAGTGATAATAGTTGCAGCTCGACGCCCTCGCAAGTGCATCAAATTTGCGCCCAAGGTGCACTTTGAGCTCCCAATGTCGCCCTGCCTGCGCCCGAGGAATCCTTGAGCTGAGTTGGGGCGATTGTTAGCTCTTGGGTTGATGTTGATGAGGTTCGAGATATTTTTTGGTCTAGCGCCAGTGGCCCCTGCAATATAATGCACGTGACCAAACCCCTGATTGAACAGCTCAGATGAGGTTTGAACCGGGATCTCACTGGGTCACTGCTGAGAATCTTGCTCATTTTGAATAAATGCATTTCTTTAAGTGTCTTCTTCCTGGTTGTCTTATTAGGCTAAACACAAGCTGCTCCTTTGCAGCACTTCATCTTGCTCCTTGGCGATGTCCCTAAAAAGTTACGAGTGCCTCCTGGTAGATTCGGAAGCTTCTTACATCTTATAGCAGGCAACTAAGAGCAGCGGGAGGTAATCCCTATATAGATAGCGAAACGGGGTTGGAATCGTTGGAGTTAAAATTGACAACATGTGAAGTTTCGGTATGATTCTCCTGAATATTTATTGGATGAAATTGGGCCCGAAATTTCCAGGAGGTTGAGATTTGTGACAACGATATTATTACTTACAATAAATAGCCTCAAGATGTAGCTTGTTCTTTTAACTACTTGTGCTATAAAGAAACCGGATCTATAGGTCCCGTCTAAAATCAATGACATCGTAGTCTCAATTCTCTGCTCCCACCAAGCCAGGGCAATTCGCCCCCAAGGTTTTCAGTAAGAATATTAGAACAATCACAAAGTTCAAAAGACCATATATTCACTCGACAAAAGCCCCAAACGAGCAAACTCAAATGAAACAATCTCTGACCCTTTTCCGCAATACAACAGCTAATACGCACCGGCGAAAAGCCTAGCTGACATTCGACATGCAACAAAGCTTCTTGCCCCCTCTTTCCACCTTCCATCTTCCAATAAAACCTCCACGGCAATTGTGGCTGCGGCGTAAGAGCCTTGATCAAAAAAGGGAGGTGAGTAGTCACATGATGTAGCGCACGTGACACACTCCCACCCTTCACCTTCCGAACTTCCCATCCACCTTCCCTTTTTTGCTTTCTCGCCGTCGCCAAGCCAAGCTGACGCCTCCCTTCCAGCTCCGATCTTTCCACATCTTACTCTCACCACCCATCTTGATTCTCTTCTGCGGGAGAACGATGAATGCAGTCAGGGTTGCATGGAATTCGGTGCACCCGTCGGCCCCGAAAATTATACCGAGGCGCTGAAACGGAAGAAGCGATCGTTACGCTACAACTACCTCTATTGCGTGCTTTACCTATCTCTGACCCTACGGACGTGTACGGATTTCCAAGTGGATTGTGGGTTTACTCGATGACAAGACTAATGGTGCGGTCGATCAAGCGGATCGCCCCGTCCCCGGTGCCAACATCGCGATTTCTCGGGGAGGCGTATTCTTTCGAAAAGGGCCGACGTTCACTGATTTGGGAGAGCATCATGAGCAACTGAAATGGAGATGCCCAATTTGGGACTTCATACGGAAGATGGAATCGGGATTTGAGAACGTCAGCGCATGAACAGTAATCGTGCTCCTGTGTAGAGGGAGATATGACGTCGTTGCAGGAGACTTATCATCCGATTGAAACATCAACTTTGATTTTATCCTACGGCGAAATTACGGAACGTTGAATTCTTGGATGGCGCGTGCTTTCTGTACCATCGTTCCGCGAAATGCGCGTCATAATGCTCACAAGTAACAACGCACCGCATCGCCGTTTTCCGGTTTACATCAGATGATCTAGGAGAAGTACCTTCGTCAAGAAGATGAATGGCTACATAAACTTGCCAATGATGATCTCTCATTCTGATGACGACGCTGGACTTCCGGTGTCGGGTGAGAGTATGGGGGTGGTGGTCGAGTAATTGTATTAGATGATGAATCCAGCGGCAATACCTCTGCTGCGCAAACTACGTGGGAGGTAACTCTGTTGGCATCTGAGCTTCCATACGGGGTTGGGCAGCAACAAGGCTGTTCTCAGCCGACTGGATTCCAGACATGGATGGGTGAGTACCTTAACGTCGGAAGGATCAGGAACATGAGTCGACCCGAGAAATCTCGGAGGCTGCCTGTTGCAGGAAATTCCAGCCACCATCAAGTGTGGGGGTGCTACTGAGACATTTTTCGAGGTAGAAGAAAATTCGTCCATGAGGAATTTTCCTCTGGGGAATGCCTGCCTTTGGGAGCCCGGAGCAAAAAGCAAGAGGAAAAACTGGAGATGATCACTGCACCCCGCGGAGTGGGCTCGTGGGCTGCACCGAATCTGTCATGGCTTGCAGCCCACAGCATGCGGAGTATTGCGAACCACGACAGCTGCTGACGAGTGTCCCGATGGCCAAAAATGGCGTTTTATGGCCACTCAAAGGGCCTTTCACGGCGTCCCCAAGGCCCGGCTCCACGGCAGAACAAGGCAATCGTCGGGGTATCATTGGAATCTGGTTGCCTTTGCGTCGGGCACTCTGACTTGTCGCGGCCTACGACTCGCTGGGATCGTAAGAAATCTATTGAGGTTTCTTCAAAGTTGGGCATCGATTGAAAACCAATTTGATGTTGAAATTCCCATGCCTTGCAAAAGTTACAGGCTGAGTTGGAGCATAGCACCGGGCGAGGCTTTCAACAGGATCATTGAAGCAGGGCATTTGGCCAAGGCCACACGGCTGCAATAGGTGCGCGGTATAATGCTGCAGTGCCGATGGACGAATAGCAAATTGACAACGCTTTTTGCGCAGCGCCAATATTCAACCTGCAGCCTCGCGAACCATACAAAAATCAAGAGGCCGTCAATTCGCTGAATTCGGCAGTTCGCCCTGGAAAAGGGCCATTCTCATGGCCAACTCTAAAACTTTGGTCTGGCCTTTCAAGGTAGTGTTGGCAATAATCAACCTCGTGCGCAGCTGCACCGAAGCTTCTCCGCGATGAGATCAGGTGCGGCGGAAGAACAAAGGGAACATAGAAAAACAACGCGAGAAGAAGCGAAACATTTACAGGAACACTTGAAGATTTGAGAGCTCGATGAATGGAAGAAAGAAAGACAGACACGTGGAGGTGAAAAACTTGAGCAAACGGCTGGGCACGACAAGCGCTCTCGAACTGGTCATTCCCCCTCCACCAAAAAATCGTGGTGGGGTAAGCACCTATGAGATCTGGATACCGATCTCCCTCGGGAGTGATGGGTCGTGCAGAGGGCGGCAAGCTGCATGTCATTGGCTATTCTTGGCTTCCTGGGCGGTCTCACTCAGCACCTGCATCTCGCTCGATGGACGCTGGTTCTTCAGCTTCGAGGATGCTATTCGTGACGGGGCTGTTCCTGTGTTCCATCGGTGCGTAGGAGTATGACTTCCTGGCTGACACGCCCAAATGACTGTCAGATACGAGAGCTCACAGTGTTGGGCCGCACCGGGGCGTACTGAGAATGATTTGCGGTTGCCGGTGTGCCCTGAAATCCATCATGACTGTTCTTTCGGGGCTATGAGACCGAATCGGACCTCTCATCGAGGAGAGAAGGAGACACGGCGAAATAGTTTGTAGGTTTGAAGTACGTCCCTCCCCGGCGTCGGGAGTGGAGGTCGCAGTAGGGACGGTAGGTTGAGATGGGGGGGTTTGTGCGATTGGAGTATGTCATGGTGCAGTCCGAGGCATTTTCCAGCGCGGATTCCTGGATCGACAACGTGGCTGGGATGGATGAAACCTTTGCACCGGCTTTTGACCAGAAATGAGCGTTGTGCACCTATCGGCGAACTATCGCAGGAACCGCACCGCACAGTCTGAAGGCTTCGATGCACTCGATGCAGAGCTGCGGCTTGGCTGACTGGGAGGAGGAAGAAGGAAGGGGAGGCAAGGCAGGGCAGGGCAAGGAGTTTGCGTGAGCATGGGGGGTCGCAGTTGAGAGAACTTTATCCTTCCTTGACAAGGTTCAAAGTTTAGGCGTGGTGTGGCTCCCTTTCCTGTTCCGCGCTTCGCCTCCCTTGACGCCGCGGCCCAAATCGTGGGCAAATTGTGGGCGTCTGCACGAGGGCAGCGAATGAAGCGCTGAAGGCGAGATCCGGGTGGGCGAACTCTTGGGTGAGTTGTGGCCAACCTCCTGGTGCTCCAAACCCCCTCCTCCTCCTCCTCCTTCGTCCTCCCCCCACTGGCTCAAATACCTCCACCCTCTGCCCTCTAATCACTCCAACCTCTGTATATCATCCCACTCGAACCGGAGACAACCATCTTTACTCCCATTGACGCGATTTGCAACGCAGACACCCCCTTTCAGCATTAAATGCCACTTCATCCCTCGGCCCTCCACGTTGATGTACTTCGTACCACTCATATCCTCGAGGCACTCACGCAACCATGTCAAGGTCAACCTCCGGAGTCAACCGCTGTTGAATGTTTCCTTTTATTGAAGATTTTTTAAAGACTTTGATGATTCACTTCTTGTCATATAATATACGCGACTCCCCAGGGCAAACATCCGGACGTCACCTCATGTCAATACGTCCCACCACCTCTCAATAACATCCAGCAACACATGAAGCTCAATATGCCTCAAGTAATACGAAGATACACGACCGATGTTGGGTCGAGAAGCACCAACTCGAGGCATAGCGAAGACTCTCAGACCTCCTCGAGCACTGCGCCGACTTCCCTGCACAGCAGTCCCAGACCGTCGATACATCACGCGGCTACAGAATACAAGCAGGATCTTTCTCCTTCCGCGAGCCACTACCCTCGATCATCGACAGAGACATACGCGTCGACAATAGCTTCTCAAGAAGACCTCTACGAAGAGCCAGATACCTACGATTCCGAGTATGACGTACCCGAGTATCGAGAGGTCGTCGAGACCAGCCTACGGCCCTCGAACCCTTCAGACTTCGCAGAGTACTTCCCTTCAACGAAGAGATTATTCATCCGACACGACAACACCACGTATGATGGGAACATGAACCTGCGAGTGGACACTGAAGATCGGAAGAAGCGTGCGGTACAGCTTTTCCACATGCGAATGCACGACTTGAAGAAGCGCGAGTTCTCCCTCCGTCGATACGAGCGTCAGTCGGGTCGAGAGGTCTGCCATTCAAGCCGAAAATACACCAAGCCAGCCGCGGAGAAGAGACCAGCCATAACTCGATCAGTGAGCAATGCTTTCGCAAGCATCGGCAAGCCGTCTTTCAAGCGAACCAATTCCGGATTGTCACAACACAGTCACAGGAGCAAGAAGGAGATCAAGAGACAGGATAGCGGGTACGACTCCAACGGGGAAGATGATGACCTCGAGGACTATGAGAAGAAGTCCAAGTCAATCCAGATCCCATCCAACACAACCAAGCTCGAGTTTTCCAACTACGCTCAAGTAGATGTCAAGCGCCGAGGGGCCAAGTCCTCGAAGCGCTACGAATTCGAATACTGGGGCTACAAATACACTTGGAAGCGAGTGAGCAAGAAGGACGGGGAAGGAAAGGAGGTGTCATATCATCTGTACAAAGGCGACGGTGGCCCTGCAGTGGCCCATATCGTCCCCGAGCTACGATCTCCCTCTCAGGTTCGCGAAGGAAAGAAGAATGGTGAATGGGTGCCTCCATGCTCGATGTGGATCTCTGATCCCAGCGTTGCGGAGGCAGTCACTGATGTCGCCGAGTAAGTTGCTCATCTAGCTCAAGCACTTCCCATCTAATAACAACAGTGTCATCGTCGCAACAGGCCTCATCGCCCTCATCGATGACTGCATCAAGAGCCACTTCCACCCCAAGACCAAGCACACACACTCAGTCACCGTTCCTCTCACCCCACTGAAGTACGAGGTCGAGTTCGTCTCGCCTAAAGTATTCTTCTCTCGGAGAAACTCAGGGGGTTCAACCAAAGACCGAGAACAAAAAAGCTCGCCTCTCCGGTACGCGAATCCCGTTGAAGCCTACTAGGCTCCGGATATCGACAGTTACAGCACGGCGTAACGCCGGAAATCACGTTTTGCATCATATCACGTCACAGGACTTGCGATGCAAGGAAACGCATATACGTTAGTCAATACATCACATGTATGTATTGCAAGATAGGCATTTGGGAAAGGACAAGGCATGGAACAGGCGTTTACATGGACGGGATGCATACTACAGAGACGAATTTCCTCCATTTGATGACTCGGCTCAGCTCGATCTTATCACGACTTGATGGGGATTTCTATGAGAGAGTTCTCGGGGTCTTTCTCCCTTGTTCTTATTACATATTTTGTATATTCATTTTAATGAGCTTAACGACTCTGATATATATCATCTCGCCCTTGATACCTGCCACAGTAGTGACTTTGAGTCTCATAACAGCTTACTCCGCTCAGTGGCGATGTCAAGACAGCAGTGCCATGGTTCTGTCCTCTGGGACATCGAATCCATTAACCTCTATCCCTGCGTGCCGAAAAAACCGGTGTGCCGAAAAAAACTTTATAGTTTAGGGGTAAACAGCTGCATCGCTTGCGCAGTGAGTTGGCCCAAGCGGGAGTTCTCTGGTAAGAATAAAGAGTAATGTGAATCTGTAGTGGGAGGAGAATTACGGGAATGGAATGGCGACCTTTCACTGGCGCTCTTCAGTACGAATTACAGCTGAGAACACTCGCTCCCAAGCGCCACCCGATTTGCGTGATGTCTGCTGCTGAGGCTGAGCTTCCAACACCGAAGCCTAGGATTAAACACCACCTCCGGCTTCTCATTCAGGATATACATCTAAGACGACAATGAGCACTGGCCCAGTGAATCTGCTGGCACTCGGTACATTCTCTGCGCCCTCTGCGAAGATCTATACTGACTGTCTAATCTGCAGATGGAGGCGGCATTCGTGGAGTCTCGGAGCTCCTCATACTCGACGAGATCATGTCCAGGCTCAAGCACGACCTCGCCCTGACGGAACTACCACGGCCTTGCGAATACTTCCACCTCATCGGAGGCACAAGCACAGGAGGGTAAGCTTTCCACTAGAGTCATAATACCAGTGGTGACTTCTGTCAGGCTAGTTGCACTGATGTTGGGACGACTGAGGATGGACACAAGGGAAGCCTTAGAACAATACAATACCGTTGCAGGCAATATCTTTTCGAAAAAAAACACGAAGTGGAAAATTCAAGATGGTACTTTCAAGGCGTCGACGCTCGAGGCTGAAATGAAGCGTGTGGTTGCTGCACGCCCAGCAGGCAATGCTGAGCTGATGATGATTGATGAGAGTTTGGCAGGTGGGCTGGGACGAGTGTAAGCTAGTCTGACAGATCTCCTGATCCAGCTAACTGGGAATCATCTAGCATTGTCCTTGCTATGGCTGCCAGCAACCTAGAATTTCCGCGACGATTTCGATCATATGAGGTGCGTGAGAACCGAAGCATCAACTGCAGGATCTGGGAAGTTGCTCGAGCGACGACAGCCGCTCCCACATTCTTCAAGAGGATATCAATCGCGGAGCCAGGTCAGGTCGCAGAGGATTTCCTGGACGCGGGCATTAAATGCAACAATCCGGTCGAAGAGGTTATTGAAGAAGCAAGGCTCATTTTTGGAAATGACCGACATGTGGGATGTATTGTCAGCCTTGGTACTGGTCACCCAGGAACGATTGGACTTGCTAAGCCAGACGCGTTCCAGAGAATCCTTCCCTTGAAACTTATCGATACCCTGAAGAAGATAGCGACGAATTGTGAAGAGGTAGCAAATCGGTTAAGTCGCAAATTTGTGGAGTGTCCTGATATTTACTATCGATTCAACGTGACACATGGGGCCGGAGTAGTATCGTTGGAAGAGTGGGAGAAGATGGATGAAGTCGTAGGTCACACGAAGGCCTATCTTCAGAGCGCGGTGGTAACTAAGGCGATCGACTCTGTTGTGCGGGTGCTTCTCGAGCAGCAAAGACCAGGTGCACTAGCAGGGCTAGGGAATGTCACTTTGGGTCAGATATGTTCGTTGTAGTTCCAAGAGTGAAATGATATACTGACAATTGGCAAGGTGGTTCTCTGCCAACTCTTCTGCCCCATATAGCATCCAACACTAAATTGATCTTCTCAGTCCCTTTCGAGAGAGACCCAAACTTTGTGGGACGAAAAGACGTTCTCCAGGAGATCGACAAGAGATTCGAAACTAAACGTCGGGTTGCGCTTTGTGGGATTGGAGGAATTGGGTGAGTTCGATATCCACGAGCCAGTGCCCTACTAAACTATATACAGCAAGTCACAAATCGTTGTTGAATATGCCTATACATGGAAAGAACAGAACCCTACTGGCCATATCATATGGATTCATGCAAGTACGCCGGAAAAGCTGGAACAGGCTTATAGAGGCATTGCGCGAGATTTGCAATTACTAGGTTGGGAGGATCCAAACATTGAAATCCTCACTCTGGTTGTACGATGGTTAAGCAAGGAGGACGCCGGCCCATGGCTTCTTGTACTAGATAATGCCGACGATATAGAGATGTTCTTTGGACCGGTGTCACGCTCTCAAATAGATCGTCCAAGTTCATCATTTGCTGGCCTCTTACCCCGCCATCCTCAGGGATCTGTCCTCATCACGACTCGGGATGCAAGAGTTGGCCAACGACTGACAGATCAAGAGAAAGCGATTGAGATCACACCATTACCTCCTCTGGATGCAGAGCAGCTACTGCAAGTGAAAGTGGCCACGGACAAGGGCACCAGTTCTTCCGAAAATCAAAACCTCGTGGCGACACTAGGATTCATACCGCTTGCAATCACTCAGGCTGCTGCGTTTATCAAAGAAAACGGCATGACTGTGGCTGCATACACCAGAGACCTCGAAGCTAGTGATAATGACCTACAAGACTACCTCGACGAGAACTTGCCAGATCCTCGCAGGGATCCTACAAGTGAGAACTCGGTGATCAGAACATGGAAGTTATCCTTCGATCAGATTGCTAAACAGATGCCGCGTGCTGCAGACTTGCTATCTCTCATAGCAGTGCTGGATTGTCAAGGGATTCCGGAGGCACTACTGCGCCAGGAGACGGATCGCCGGGTTGAGTTCAACAAAGCTTTGGGAACTCTACTATCGTTCTCCTTGATATCTGTGGAGAAAGGAGGACGCGAGTTCGAAGTTCATCGGCTAGTCCACCTCTCAACCCAAAAGTGGCTGGCCTTGCAGGGGTCACAGAGTATGTGGCAGGAAAGAGCGCTATTTATGATGGCGGCGAAATTCCCTAGTGGCAGGCATGGAACCTGGCGGGAGTGTGAAACTCTCTACCCTCATGCTTTGAAGTCCCTCAGTTGTTGTTCTTCATCCGAGAGTACACGTCTCCAACGGGCCGATCTCCTAGAGAACTTGGCTCTATACGATGAAAATCAAGGTCGATATGGTCTTGCTTCTCTAAGGTATCAAGAAGTGTCTCGTGTGCGAGGAGCAGTGCTAGGCAAAGACCACCCTGACACGCTCAGGAGTATGAACAACCTAGCGTTGGTCCTTCAAATCCAAGGGAAGTACGAAGCCGCTGAGGAGATGCATCGGCAAGAGCTCCAGCTCTGCGAAACGGCACTAGGCAAAGACCACCCTAATACGCTTATAAGTATGAATAACCTAGCGTCGGTCCTTGAAAGCCAAGGGAAGTATAAAGCCGCTGAGAAGATGCATCGGCAAACGCTCCAGCTCCGTGAGACGGTGCTAGGCAAAGACCACCCTAAGACGCTCACGAGTATGAATAATCTAGCGTTGGTCCTTAAAAGCCAAGGGAAGTACGAAGCCGCTGAGGAGATGTATCGGCAAACGCTCCAGCTTCGCGAGACGGTACTAGGCAAAGACCACCCTAACACGCTTACGAGCATAAATAACCTAGCGTCGGTCCTTGAAAGCCAAGGGAAGTACAAAGCCGCTGAGAAGATGCATCGGCAAACGCTCCAGCTCCGTAAGACGTTGCTAGGCAAAGACCACCCTGACACGCTCACGAGCATGAACAACCTAGCGTCGGTCCTTAAAAGCCAAGGGAAGTACGAAGCCGCTGAGGAGATGCATCGGCAAACGCTCCAGCTTCGCGAAACGGTACTAGGCAAAGACCATCCTAACACGCTTACAAGCATGAATAACCTAGCAACGGTCCTTGAAAGCCAAGGGAAGTACAAAGCCGCTGAGGAGATATATCGGCAAACGCTCCAGCTTTGCGAGACGGTGCTAGGCAAAGACCACCCTAAGACGCTCACGAGTCTCTTCAATCTGGCAAGCACGCTCATAATGCTAGGCGATCTTCCAGCAGCCGAGATTCTTTTCCAACTTGAGTTAGAACGATGTGAAGCTGTATATGGAGCTGAGCACTCCGAGACAATCGAAAGCCGGCGTAACTTAGCATCTTTGCTAGAGAAGCAAGGGGAAATAATTAACGGAGAGATGTTGTAATACAATTTATTCTAGACGCAATATTGCACTATAACAGTAACAATAGACAAGCACACGACGTGTAAGTCAAAATGCAATAACGTCTTTTAATATGAAATAAGCTTTTGCCAAGGAAAATACAGCCACGCCATTTTCCCAAGATCTCGGGTTCTGCGCCACACTATATTTTCTTATCATTTCCATGAAATACAATCAATATATATGAGCGTCATATCGATCCTTCCTCGAATCTATGTGTTGGGTCTATCCTCAAGCCAACCATCCCAGCCGCATTCGAATTTCGTCCTCAGAACTGGCACTGGATGCATTGATAAGGTCCGGCCACACTAGCTGAGTGGCCAACTCAGTATCAAACCCATGGCGGTTGCTTGTATTAAAGGAACGAGATTTCAGATGCAAAGGGTTGGGATTCTCCATATTAACCGACAGAACAAGGTTTTTGCTTGGGGAAAATTGAGGGGACTTCAAGGACTTGACAGCTGAAGAGACACAACGACAGCGGGTGGCGGCGGATAAAGAGGAAGCAAAGCTCGCCTGGTGTCGCGGACCAGAAAAGGGGCTCGCTAACTGACAGCGCTTACAGAAATGCTCAAGTCACTTCGCCTTCAAGAAACCCGAGCAGGGGATGGATGAAAGTGAATTGACATCATATGGCAGCTGGCAACTCGTTGGCATGGAAATTTGGTTTGCTCGGCGCATAAGACGAGATGCCTGTACCAATTGAGGTTTATTGAACCACACATTTGGAACTCTCCTTCTCCTCGTCGTCATAAATCAGATCCTCCGAGATCCCCTCATTTTTTCCAGTCCTCTTCTCCCAATCCAATTGCCTCTGTTCCTCTGCCTTTCTTATCTCAGAATTTCTGGCGCCATCATCCGGGACCTGCAACAGCACCACACCCTTCAAGTCCAGAAAATGATCAGCTTTGGACGTGATAATTCCCTGGATATCGTTCATCGTTTCATCCCCGATTCTCTTTTGTCGATTACAGAGGACATCGATCCCGCCAGGAGATTCTAACCCCGTAGAGAAGAAAACAGCCATCCAGATAGATCGCCAATCGGCTCTAATCTCTCCTGACGCCAATTTCAATATTAGTGATCATCCGTCCGAAATTAGATCAACCTTCTAGGAATCTCGAGTCTGACTCTGCCGTTGAAAACTAGGATGGACAAGCAAAAAGCTCACCAGAGGTATCCTCAATCCCCATCTCCGTCTCCTTCATCCAACTCTCTAGTTTCCCGTCCTTCCCATTCCCCACCACTTCCCAGCTCAGTTCTTGGTGGGATTTCATTTCCGCAGCGCTTATCTCTTGGTACGTATAATCTAACGAATTCGTGTCTGTAAAGATGGCATGTACATTTCGCCTCCCGTGCCAGAGATTTCGGCTGGAGTACTGGACGTACCATGTTCCAGGGTATGGTGAATGGGTGGAGGGAGGCATCGCCGAGCGTAATGTGGGGGAGAAAGTGTTTGAGCCAAGACTTCCGCGTCTTCCCGACTAGAAGTGATCCATTTGATGGTCTGAACGTCGTACCACGGTACTTGAATATAAAAAGCGGTCAAGCTTTGCTTTTGCTTTCAGAGTGCACGGGCCTCGACTGATGATGCTTGGCCAAAAAGGGGCTCGCTAAGCACGAAAACACCCGAAAAAGGGCTCAACTCATCCGCCGAAGCTGATTTGCACGAGGCCAAAGATGTATGGCATGAGAGAATCGCCGGTATAAACTGGATCAGGGAGGTTGCTTGACGATGCGCAATTGATTTCCAATTGTGCCAGGTGCCGATGACCGGTGGACGTTTCGTATGTATCCGCCACGCTAACACTCAGTATGAGCGAATCGTTCGCCTACCAAACCTTGCAAAGCCCTCAAATCCTTTCGCAAAAGGCCAAATCAACCAGAGGTGTACCTCCTGAAGATACTTGATTCTGGGATTTGGTTCGTTAGAGCGCTGTGTGAATGAGAAAAGATATTTTTGGTCATACGCCAGTAGTAACTTAGTACTAGCGAACGAATTCGCCAGTACGGATGTCGCACCCTTGAATAAAGTACGCAGTGACTTGGCTAAACAGTGCCATATCTGGGCTTCATTTTAGGTAGGAATATAGGAATATGTGCAATTCTATAGTAGGGGTGGCTTTCAATTCAATGAAGTGTCCCCGTTCGCCAGTACTAAATTTAACACTTGCGAGCGCAGCTGAGAACCAAGAGTAGGTCGGCAGCCAAACCTAATCAAATGACTCGATAAATGTTCTTGAATGTGTAGATGAATGCGGACAGAATTTTTAACCTCATTTCCAAGCGCTGCTGCTTCACAACTTCCTTCAATCAAGAGCCAATACCCACACCCCAATTTATACGAGACAGATTTCCTCCTCCTGGTATCCATTCAAAAAGGCAGAGATGACCGTCCCTGGGGGGCCTATATGGCATACAAAAGCCAATTCTTCTATAACAGTTCTTCCCATCAGGAGTTCCTGGCCTGCCGGTTGCTGGTCTGAGTATCAGAGAATTGATGAGGAAGTACTCCGACATGAATATGATGAAGAGAAAGCAATCATCGGCATTCCGAAGTTCGCTCCAGTCGGCGACATCTGGCCAAACTTCCTCTGGACTCCCAAGCTCTGGAAACTTTGGGGCTTCCAATATCAATCTAAAGAAGCCCCCGCCGAATTCGACGAATTTGGCGGGGGCTTTTCTGCCTTTGATATCAATACTCCCGTGTCGCAAGGACCCGTATACATTTCCTCCTCCATAATCACACTCAATTCCCATTATCTCGGCCTCATGGTCGGCCTCAAGTTTGTCGAGACGCTTCATAGAAGAAATTCCCGTCTCCATGATGATTTCTCCGTGTATTGAGGCCCAGGACCAAGATGGGACGTACTCTTTTAATCGAGTTGAAGAGGAGTAGCGCTTTACGTGCCATAGGAGACAATACGGCAGGGTCTCCTTCCAGAGACCGGCAAGATATGTCTTGTTGAAAATTTTCGCGGCTCTGGATGCTAGACCAGCAACTGCGGGAAATCTGTCAGACTCACAAGTGAGATTCAATGTGGAATATTGCCTGATTAGCTCAAACCAGGCAGTAGGCACTTCATCAGTAGATGAGCGAGTATCTCCAAATATGGTCCGAAAAGATCTGGCCATGGGCTTCCTGCTCGAAACTGTGCATTCGCATCGACAGCAAGTATCACATTCCCAAGCCATCTCATACTCGGAGAAATGTAAAATTCGTGGAGAGAGCATGCGTTCTTGGAGAACCCATGCCCGTGTGTCGAGGACGTGTTTTAAATGTTCTTCATCCCTCGGTACATGCGAGACTCCAGAGGAATCGGTACAATCGAAGAACGGTCCAACGCGCACATAATCTCCATTTTTCGGACTCCCCACAGCTATTCCAGGCGGTAGCCGCCTCCGGGTGCCGAGCCCTGATGTTGAGTCAAGAGCAGCATCAGCCGAGATATTGAAGATCGCACAAGCATAAACATCTTGCATCCGAGAAGATTCAATGTCCCAATCTTCTTTCGAATCTTGAACGATGCATAGAGAGTCGATCCAGAGATATCTGAATCCCAGCCCGTGCGTAACGAGAATTGCGTCCTGGAAAGTTTTCGGCAATTCGGCCACACATATACCTGCTATTCTCTTCTTCAAGGTGGATTTCGTTGTTACCAAAGGAGAAACTTTGCCCCAACAATGAGATAAAGTTACATATTTGCCTCTGGTGCCATTGGTGACGAGGAGTCTAGGGTGTTCGCCGTCCAGCCCGAGATAAATCACGCGAGTAGGAAGTCGTGCCTCAATGGAACCCTGGCATCCGGCGTGTGTTGGTGATATGCACTCTTCCAACCATTCTTTTGCAAGCTTCATACCAGCAGTAGAGACAGGGTCGTCCAATACGTCGCGAGTAACCCCTATCGAAGGCCACGCTTTATTGGCTTCTCCTCTGTCTACTAATTAGCACCTTCAATGACATTGACCAAGAATGAATGGCGGACCCACCCTTGTAGAGTGTAAATTTGCATCTCTTCTGACGCAAATAATCGTTGATGCGCTGTAGATCCACTAGCGATAAGGAGGGGCGCTTCCATGGTGGTTTTTCTTAGACAGACATACGTTTTGAACCAGGACAGGCCTACTTGGGTGGTTGTCTGGACGTCATGTATGATCAAGCAAGTCTCACAGCCAGCTTGTGAACTTGCGGCTAGAGTACGGCTTGGGATATCGATACCTCTTATTAGGATCATTCCTTCGCAAAGCTTATCGAACCTGTCGAACTGAAGCTTCCTGCACACAGCGCAATCCGCCATGCTGGCCGATAATCAGCAAGACGAGAAGGGAGATTTCGATGAGAGATGTATTTGAGGCAAACGAGAGCCGAATGATGCTTTATGCGAGTATCGCGAGGCTGCAGAGGGTAGCGGACGCAGCTGAAAAAGCAAGTACAGCCTTACACAGCCTCATGACCGACAGAAAAAACGACATCTGAATATTCCCTTGAGTTAACGTCCATCTGTTCAAAGTTTGCCCTACTTTGTGGAGTTCCAGAATGCCCAATAAGCGCCTCCTTCCGGCTTCCCACCCCACACCAGCACTGCGGGTCAAGATAGATATACAGATGGATGTCCATCTTTGACAAGCGACATTGAAAAGTTGTAGCCATCAATCCAATTGACTGGGTGATACCGGACAAACGTGGCATGATGTTCAAGTGGGTCAAAGACCCCTTCATCCTAGGGACGGACGGTACAGACAGCCCGCTTATCTGTCTCAGTTCCGCAAGACCATACTTACGGTCCCTCTTTCAGGTGGTCGGTGAAGTGGTAGAAGTTGGGAGCTCTGTGACGCGCTTTAAAGTTGGTGATCGCGTTGTGAGCCAGGGTTGTGGCATAAACGAAGCGTTCAATGACTCCGTAAAAGGAGACTTCCGACTATACACTGTTCTCGTCAACCACATGACTGCTCCCATTCCTCCCACGATAGCCGTCGAGCAAGCAGCCATCCTGCCGCTTGCAGTAATCACGGCGGCTAGTGGCTCTTCCTTAAAGACCAATTGGCTTTTCAACTACCTACCGTACCCCACTTGAAACCGACTGGCAAAACACTTCTCGTCTGGGGAGGAGCAACAAGCGTCGGCTGCAATGCAAATCAGCTTGCTGTTGCCGCAAACTACGAAGTTATTACCACCTGCTCGGCTGCGAACTTCGAGCTTATGAAAAAGCTCGGCGCAGTCCAAGCCTTCGACTACAGCAGCAAGACTGTCGTCCCAGATATTGTCCGCGCGTTCAAAGACAAGACGACAGCTGGAGCGCTGACAATGGGTACCGGGGCTGTTGAAGCCTGTCTTGATATCCTGCCTCAGTGCCACGGCAGCAAGTTCATCTCTGTGGCGAGTTACCCTATGCCTAACCAACCACCTAAGACTTTCGTCGTCCCTCGCACGATACTCTACTTCTTCTCTGGGGGGCTTGAGTATGGGATCAAGTCGAACCTCAGGGGCATCAAGCTGGGGACCATTTTGCCAATACGTCGATGGGGAAGGCGGTTTATGTTGATTTTTTGGGCGATGCGCTGAAGGATGGGAGTTATATCGTAGCGCTGGAGCCCGAGGTCGTTGGACGTGGGTTGGAGGCTGTAAACAAGGGATTTGAGGTTGGTAAGAAGCGTGTGAGGGCCAAGAAGGTGGTTGTTTCTTTGCCGTGACGTTGGCTTTTGGATAGGCTGAGATTATGGGATCAACTTTGGGAAGGCTATAATTTGGTTGTGATGATGTCGGTATAATATTTCTATCGTCGGAGTCTTGACAGGGAACGCTCGGGTAGCTGGCGCGTTGCTTCTTTGGAGATACACGCAAGAATTAGTAAGGAAATATCCAAGAGAACATGTGAATGAACTTCCGCTAGAGCTTTCGACCAGACTCTGATTTGTATTGCTGTTCAAATGTGCTTGCCACCGCATGGCCCAATCTTAATTACTTGGGCGTAGATTAGAATAGCGTGCTGATTCTGCATGAGAAGGACTCGGGTCGGATGGGGAGACAGCGCAGGTGCCAAGCTGGGTATTTTCAAGCAGTTTGTTATTAAGGAGGCTGGTCATTTTCTGGTGATGGATAGGAGACTGGGTGCGGTTTGTTAACGGAATGGCGAAGTGGACCTGATGGGAGGTTGAGGTTTGGAGGCAGTTGGAAGGGCCAGGAGAAGCACCTAGGTAACGGGAGAGTCAGAAATTGCTCGATACAAACTGTTCCAGGAGAATCCGGGAGATTGTCTAGGGAGTAAGTCATTGGTCAGCTAGAGAAAGGAAGGAGTTTTTCTCCCCTAACACCTACAGTATAGGGGCTAAATTTCTAGACGAGGAGAAGTTCAAGATTGGTAAAAAGTTGATGGGAATGCATAATGGGAAGACGATTGCTGAGGACATCTTGAAGGGGAAGTTGTAGTCGCGAGAAAAAACAGCTGCAGAGAACCAGAATTGAGTGCATCTGTGAGAGGTGAGTGATCGGGCATGAAGAGCCATGGCAGTAATGAGATTTTCTATAGTGATTGCAACTGATCATTTTTTGGTCGTTGTAAGGCTAAGAAAATTGCTCGCGAGGAACCTCGTCGTCGCCTCGCCTCGCTTGCGAATGGCCTCAAAAATTCGCAACCAAAAAAAAGCTTCGAAGCTGCGATTAAAATGGCAAAACTGAACATTTTTCTACTGGTGACATGCCGATGTGACCAGACCTGCACCCTTGCGGGGGCCCACTCAGGTGTTCAGAAAAGTCTCGCGCTACTTTTTTTGTGCCTCTGGTCTCATGGAACGCGAGCGGGCGGGGGATCGCGCTCTCATGCTGTCACCTAGAGTCGCCAGAGGCAAATATGCTACTAATCGTCAAGTGTGTGGTGCCCTCTAACGTTAGGAATGGGGGGTGATACGTATCCTTATGACCTAAGTTATGCCATGAACTGTTGCACGAATATCGCTTATTTGAATACATAAAAGCCATTTTGAAGGCGGAAGAATTCCGGAGCACAGGAGATAAGAGGCCATCGCGAAACCGATTTCAAGGCGGCGACGGAACTTCGACCTCCCGATGAAGAATGCAAGCGATCTTGGATACCGAGGGGGGAGGGGGTCACCTTTGAAGCTTCGATTAGGGAAAGGGAAGATAAAGGGTCGAGAATCCTCAATATCTCAAACCAGACGCTGCGCGAAGCCTTTCAAGATTAAGTGATTGAAGGCGTAAGCAGGTCGATGCAGAAGCGCTTCGCTTTGATGATGGAGGTCGAGGTTCAAGAGGTTGAAGGGGACCAGAGCAGTAACCTTCGAACCATTGATCGAGGACCTTAGATCTCTTGAGGCAGAGGTTATTTGAAGGTTTTGAATCAAGATCAAATGCAAGGGAAGACTGCGTTGAGGTGCAGGCCGCTTCAGAATACCTTGTATCCTTCATCCTAGAGATCGAGTCAAAGAGTTAAAGAGCAACAATGAGTCAAACAATGAGCGAAGTGCAAGACGGTAAAGCTAAATAATCCAATTCGCAGAGTCGATCAAGCAAATACAATCTCGCCTCGCCATCCCGGTCGTTGGCTTCTATTGGCAAGAGCACGGTCCCAAGGGGAGGGCTTCATAGGCGTTATCCTTGTTTGATTCGTTCTGCGTCTTGATCCGGCTCCTTCCAAGTGTTGCTTTCAGGCTCCTCCTTATTAATGCACCGTTGAATCCAAAAGCTAAAGTTGTCTCATGCCCACCCTCCCCTTTTCGGTCCTGCCCTTTAAGCAAATCCCTAAGTGTTGATAGTCTCGATGTTTAAAACTAGCGTTCATATGGTGTTCCAGCTTTCCTTCCGAGGCAGCTTGATGGCAAAAATCCATTTCGTTGATCACCAGAGGCTGTCGACTGAGTTGCAGAGGTCGAAGGGATGAGGACGCAGAGCCTCCGAATGAGCCATCGATCTTCCGAGAAGATGGGGAAGGGTTGTGACACTCAAAAAGAGAAAGTTGCAAATTCCAGTTCTCACTTCTATGGGTTGGCAGGCTTTTGGCTTGACGAGCCTTAACATGTGGTCTCGGTTTCAAGACTCTAGAATGGAAGACATCTGCCTATAGGGAAGGGGGGAGGTCAAGGAGCTGAACAGTTCCCATGTTCCAAGAAGGTAGTGCTTCCAAAGTCTCAGATAACCTCGAATAAACCACAAGATCCAGATAGTGAAGTTTGTCTGGATCCCACTTTAATTCATACGCCTTTGGGGTTTAGAGTAAGGCTAAGGCTGGAGGATCATAGGCCCTGGCCATCAGAAAGCAACCAAAACATGCTTAATTCGACTCAGTGAGTTTCACGAACTCGGAATAATCCGTCGAGGTACCAGTACTAGCTTGGACGGAAGTGTATATCTCTGAGGGTTTTTCGTGCTTAAGCAGCTCAACTTGACATTCCACCGCCTCCTCCAACCGCTTTCACGAGCACCACTAGACTCCCGAGACAAGGTAGACATCAATCCAATCTCTCACTTGAGGGCAAGCATTGGCATTATACCAGAACACAGCAGAACAAGGCAGAAAAATCACAAACAAGATGGCTATCGCTCTTCACAAGTCCCCTCTTTCGGCTCGCTTTGGGCTGCGTCCACCACTAACTCTGGACTACAGACTGGCCAGAAGACCGCTTGATGATTCACTGTGTGGTGAGCTCTATTGTCTACCACTGCCTGCTCTCTATCTCCTACTTCATCTGGTACTTCTTCCAGCGCCGCTACACCACAAAGCACTTCGCAGAAAACGACACAATTAGAACCCATCGGAACGGCATCGCCAGCAGCCTTGGAGCCTTCGACTCTCACCGAGTATCCGGGCCAAGCGACGAAGAGCCACTCTCTCATTTCTCTCCAAGGCAAGCTACTTTCTCTTCCCATTGATGATATTGTCGGAGGCTCAGAGCCGCGTGGTCCCATTAGGCAACGGGATTCTGACCTTGTCACAGGATGACCACAAATCCTGACTTGCCTCCTCGAGCAGCGCAACCGGGCGATATCATCTACACCACCAACCTCGAAATCGAAAGTGCACAGTATCCGTAAGCCCGCTCTCTCTTATTGTTCTTGTTTTGATTGAGGTGTCGTCGTCCTCGAGCCAGCCCAGAAACGGGAAGGCGCACGTGCACCCCCTGTCCAAAATTCCTTGGCCAGTGGCCTGTGCAGCTTGCTGTCTTCGTTACGTAGCGTCTTGACTTCAAACTCGACTTCTTCTTCACCTCCTACCTGTCCTCGCATACTCTCAACAAGCTAATTCTAATCCACTCCTGTCGTCAGGAACCAACCTGAGATCTTGTGCGCTGCGTACCTGCGTTCTGTGACCGTGATCGAGAGCAATGTCCACGATGGATTTTTCTGATGCTTTGTAAGTTGCCTTGCGCTCCATCCCATTGCGCCTCTCCCCGTCCCTCCCCTATCTGCTAAGAAACAAAGATCAATAAACTAACAACTTGGATAGCCGACTTGTGAATCTGGGTGTTGGTGCGCTGATGGCTGTGGGTGGAATTTGGCATATCTTCCCGCATCACTACATGTAGGCTGCGACAGCTCCCACCGCGAGTTCCGCTCAGTTAACAATGGGACTTTAGCTCGGACATCATTGTTGGGATTTATGTTCTACTTTTTGGTCTCGGTGAGTCCTCTCCCTCAAAAACCCTTCTTGTTGTGCAGAAGCTGATCAAAGGAACAGCGATCGCGTTGCTAGAGTTCCAAATCCCACCGCAAATCTCCCGCTATGCAAGCTTTCTCTTCTCTTTCATCGGCCGAGGAATCTGTATGTCCCCTTTCCTGTCCTGTCCCTTCCATTGCGAGCTTGCGAGCCTCCCCCTCCACCTTTCCAACCATCCCTTTCCAAACTTCACATTCAACCAGAAAGCTCGCTGACGCTTCACTTGCAAAGTCTACATCTTCTGCGGCTCCATCCTCCTCGAACACAACACCATGGACATCATCTTTGGCACCATAATTGGGATAATTGGCGTGGCCTATGTAGTCCTCGAGTTTATCCCGTCCATCGAGCCACCGCAGAATATGCGCGAAGCGGACGGCGGATGGGGTGCTGAGCAGGTGTAATCCCCCTCCCTAAATCGCTCGTGCCCTTACTCTCTGTCTCTATAAGCTCTCGAATGATTGTGCATACAACGGCAAGGAAGGATGGAGGCGGTGTTTGGGAAGGATTCGATTTCTTGGCATGGATGGGTGGGGTCTTGCTGAAATTTGGAGGAAAGGATATGAATGAGGAGAATGGAAGGGAAGGAAAGAAGGAAGGATGGATGGATGGATGGATGATACGATATGAAGATAGAGAGTGCCCTTCTTTTCCTTGCGTTTGTACCATATTCGGTTTCTTCCTATGCAAGCACGAAGTGCCCCACGACGCCTATCCTTGTATTCGCAATATTTGCCTCTTATTCCGTTGAAATTGCCCAGATTCGCCGATCCCAGGCAGCTGGAAAAGGACTGCAAGCCCGTATATCTACCTAATGCCTGTACAGCAAATTCTTAGCGGTGGAATATCTTGGGGAAGATGCAAGATTCAAATTTGCTTTGCAGACTCACATATCAGCGCCAGCATTTTGAAATCATGATTATCAGACAAAAGCAAATTATCTTTTAAAAATCCATTCTCCAAACTATACAATAGCTATCATCCTCTCTCTCTCTTTCTTCTTTCTACACAGTCCCATGTACCTCCTTACTCAAAATCTCTTTTTCAAAACGTATACCGCCAGGAGAAGAAGCGAAGATTGTTTGATCCTTCGATCCAAATCCAGGAAAACGCCAAGAGATATCCCCTCCGATCCCAATTGATCCCAACCCGCAATCTATGCCTTGAAGACAAATCCAACCCGCGCTAAAACGATTCCTTGCTTCATATTCATAAACATAAATCATTCAAAATAGCCTGGTAAACGAGCTTACTCCATCATCCCCAACTCCGCCAACTCACGCTCCTTTGCCTTGAGCGCTTCGCGCATCTTCTCTGCTTCCCTTTGCAGCATCTCGCGCCTTTCAAGTTTAGCTCGCTCGCTCTCGCTTGCTGGATCCCGAGCGCTGTTCAGGGTGCTGCCGACGCCGCTGTTTGCGGGACTGGTAGCGTAGCCGCTGCTGAATGGACTTCCGACACATGGATACCGTCCTGGACTCTGCCTATCTCTATCGGTCTCGGGATCTGAGAAGGTGCCTGGGTTGAGGATGGATTTTATGGACGAGAGACGCTTGGGGTGTGTGGATTCGGGGAAGGAGGGCTGCAGGGGTTCAATTTCAGCGGCTGAGAAAGAGCGTTTTCTTGAGGGCGAGAGGAAGGAGTTGGGCGACACGGAGGAATGGCGCTGTGTTGGTGAGGGGTAGGAGGCCATTGGTGGAAGACGGTTGTCGTTGCTCAAGGACTCGTGATGTTCGTGCGCTTGCTGCGTGATTGTGGAGGCGTAGGCTGTGAGGTCGCTGCTAGGGGGTGCTTTATGGTTTGCAGCGCGACTGGAGGAGACCGGATCAGGGAGGAGAGCACGGCCGGCTTCGTTTCGGATTCGGAACCCCAGATTTACAGAGCCGTCTGGGTTTATGGATCCGCGCTGGGACTGGGGTTCGGCTGGGGGGCTGTGTTGATCCGACTCGGGAGAGCCCATGGAATTGTTTGCGATGTCAATGCCGGATGCCTGCGTGCCTTGAACTGCCGGGACGACTCGCTTTCGTCGTTTGATGACGGATTTCTTCATCGCGACGGGGCGGTGCACGCCGTGGAGCTTGTAGTACAAGCCTAGGGACTGTCAGCATGGGTGGAGGCGGGTTTGTTTCGGAACAAGATATACGTACCACAGGCGTTGCAAATCGTGTGACCACTCTCGTCTCTTCTCCACAATGGAGTAATGGTAGTTCCACAATTTTGACAAGCCACGACGACTGTGGTGTTTTGCGTTTGGATGCTCAGAGAAGCAACGTCGATCGGTGAAGGTGCATCTGTGGGTTGGTCGTTTTGGGGTTGCGATGTTTGTTGTCTGTCCTGGGAGACGGTGAAATGCGCGCTCTTGGAGACTCTGTTGTTGAATGCTGGACATCCGCTGCAACCTTCAGCTCCACCTGTACCATTGCATCTTCCACCTCCTGGGCACGACCCAACTGGCGTATGATCCGCAGCTACAAAGGTAGCACCGGTTGAAGATCCGCCCGTCCTTGCTGGAGAGTTTCTCTGCTCTGGAGATCGTTGTCCTGATGAGGGAGTGATAATGGAAGGTGGACGCTTCAAGTTTGTGGGTCTGGAAGCATTTCTCGCCTTCAGGTAGAGTCCACATGCGTTACAAATTGTAGCTCCTTGAGGTGATCTTCTCCACAATGGCGTTCTGGTTGTCCCACAGTTGCTATTCAAATTAGTACGAGTCCGACCTGGAAGTTAGTCAAACTTACCTGCAAATTTGGCCGCTTGGAACAGTATGTGGTGGTGGCGGTGAAGTAGCTGATGAGTAGGTTTGGGATGTTTCTCGTTGGCTTCGCTCCACGGAAAGTGATCTTGGTGTGAATTGATGCATTCTGTCGGATGACGGACTTTTTGATCCTGGGCTTTGAAGCTCGTGGGTTGGGGAAGGGCTGTCCTTGGCGGTCTGTTCGTTGTTTCTCGCTGCTTGTGAATGGCCTATTAAGCGCTGGGCAAGCTCGATATCTTCTTTCGATGGTTCTCTGCTGGGGAGTGTCGTTCGCAATGGGAAAGTGTCTTCCCTCCGCTGATGCGGCGATGATGATCCTCGGTCACACATGGCTCTGAAAGGGTGATCCGACATAAAGTCAGTCACAGGAAATTGACGCAGCGCGCAGCACATAAGGTAGTCTTGTTGAGTTTGGAAGAGTGTTGGAGCTGAATATGGTGATGCTTAGTTAACGAGCTGAGAATGATTCCAGTATCTAATCCGATGGAGGAACTGATACAGTTCCAGGACGAAGGATATGGTCGAGTCCAAGGCAGTGGCAGCCGTTTCATCGGCCAGGCGTCTGATGAGCAATGTGATCTGGTCTCCTTGTTGGAATGTGGTTCCCTTAGGATCGGGGTAGAAGAAGTCGAGATAGTTAGGGATATGCAAGAGTTGACCAGTGAGAGGGTCCCAGTATGTATATGTACCAGGGGCTAGTGCAAGAGCCACTTGTCGGAAAAAAGCAAGATAATCGACTAATAGGGCTTGAGTAACGAGGCCAAAAATAGGGAAATACCCAGACGCAACTTGGTGCCGTAATCTGATCCTTTCAGACGTACAGAAGGGGATATTGGTGGCTGAAAATGTCTTGCCGACTATGTCTTCTCCGGGAGATGATTTGAAGACGTCAGCGAGCAGGTGATATTATATTGAAAAGGCTAACAGAGGCAATAGAAGCGCTCTGTCAGTTGGGATCTGAAGTGAAGATTGAGTTGGTGGGTTAGACAAAGCAACCAAGCCGTCCAAGTTGATATCTTCACGGTGCGGGGTGTCGGTGTTGAGGATGGACGTCCGGTATACTCCGTAGGATTTAGGGGCCAGATCGGTATAGTGTGTTCAGAACAGGGACGCTCCTGGGTAATATTCTGTTCTTCGACGTCCGGGGGGTCAACGGTCTCGAGATCTCTAAGCTGGCCAGAGTCGGAAAAGACAAGAGATGCGATATGACTGAGAGCCGAGGGCTGGTGGTGAGATGGAGGGAAAAGTTTCCGGTATGCAACCACCCAGGCAAACCGCAGCCGTGGTTTGTGGCCGTGCTCCTCTGAACCATGCAGTCTCGAGGATCTTTTTTTTAATGATGGTGGATATGTTGCGATCCAGATGGGGGATGGAGGCCAAGGGGGATCTCCTTCAGTCCTCGCTCGTCACGACTCACAACCTGGTCGAACCTCAGACTCGAAGTTGCCCTCGTCACCAGATGCGTAGCCCTTGATCTGATTGTGGCGGGGCCAAGTCTGGGAGGGGCAGCGATGGCCGCAGGCGTTCTGGTCTCCCTCTCCCCGTGGCTGACCGCAGAGAGGGCAGCGGGTGGAACGAGTGTCTCTTCACTCTCTCCAGCGGTCTCGTGTCTTGAAGAATCTGATAAAGGACAAGAGACACAGAAGCCGCCTGGCCAGGACCACAGCAGTGGGAGCCACAGATGGACTGTTACTGGAGGGACGCGAGTTCCGGGCCTGGTGTCGCCATTATCGTGGGGTCATTGGTTTTGGATGTCGTCCCCTCTGGAGTCTGGTCATGCAGTTTCTCCTCCTCCGATGCTGCTGCTGCTCTGCGGCGAGAAGGGCATGGCATGGGCAGGCCAGCCCCAGTGAACCCACACGTCGTGGATGAGTGGGCCGGCTTACGATGTAGAAGCCGCGTTGGTCAGAACTGTGTAATGGGTAATGGCTGCGCTGCTATTGGCGGAAAAGGCTGCAGGCCCGACGACATGCCAAGCAATTGAAACAAGCTGCATGTCCCAAATCGCGGCTGGGCTTGCCCGTATCTGGCCAAGGCGCTGCTGCCGCATGGGGGCCCTGCCACATCTCAAGCCACGGCCGCCAATCTGTGATCAACGGTGACATCTCGCGCGAACCTCATCAACGAGCTGTAAAAGCCTGCAAAGCTTGACTGACGAGAGAGAGACATGCAATCTGGGGATCACCGCCAGCCCCAGCCATGCCAAGAGCCATGCGGCCCATCGACCAGCTCAATTTACCCTTCGGCGAGGCCATTGGCCCCTCTCCCGCGTCCTGCTCCTCGGATTGTCACTGCCTCAAGCTTTCTGGACCCCAGAAGCCAACAGCACCATGAGTACGGACCGTACCTGTACCCGATTCAACACGAGAAGCTCGTTTCCCCCTCCATCAATCCGAACTGTAGGGGTCGCCCTCGACCAACAGTGACAAGAGCGGCGCCTCGGAGAAAGAGGGAGGAGATGTCGCTCCAAAGAAGTTATTTCGGGCACTGGACATGCCAAAATATTGAGATGTCATCGGTATGATTCTGGGCTTTGTTCCATGATCTGGAAGAAACGAATCGTTTGTGTGGGGTTTCTCCCAGGGTTAATGTTGATATTGCCAAGCGACCCCCCTCAGACTCCAATTGGCCTCACAGGTCGAGAAGCCCCGAGCAGTAAGAGATAGATTAGCCTTGGCGAGGCTCTGGTATACCTATGTTCTCTACCTTCGTATGAAGGTTCTTCATTGCTGTACAGACTCAGCGACAGTTCCTGAACTCCGTCAACTTTAAAGGGAAGTTGCTGCAAGTAAATGCCTCTATCTCATCGCCTCACAGCGTTTCCTTATTCTTCGTTTCATGTTCAGATGTGGTACCGCGGTTTCGCGACTCGGCACCTCAGCCGACTGCCCTCCACCTCCTATTTTACAATGCGTTCGTCTCGTGTGGTTCCCTATTGAGAGTGACCCTCAAGCGAACAGTTTCCCATGACGCAAGCTTTTTGGGGGAATCTTGCGACTTTTCGTCCGACGACATTAACCTTATGCCGGAGTTTGATGCTCGAGAGTCGAATCGAACTGTGCCTCTTTGGGCTGTTCGGCCTGTCTCAGAATCGGCCACAGCCCCAAGATACGAGTATTTCGTCCCAATCTCGTGTTCGGCCCCAAACTCAAGATCTCCGCCAAGTGGTCATCTCCTCCCTTGTCTGAAACTAATTCTATCAATAGTCCTAAAAAAAACGGCACAGCCTTACTCAAAGTTCATCCCAGCCCTTGTGCTTGTGCAACGATCTCCCGATCTCCACGATGTTAAGCATTTCCAAGCTTTTCCCCGCCAAGGCTGGCTTAAGCTTCCTCTCGCGAGGCTTCCCCCTTAATCGTAGTCTCATGGAGGAAACGTTTCCAAAAAGCTTAATTTCACCTCCTTTCATCCATTGTTTTTCTTCAAGGCTGTCACTGTTTCTTACATTCCCACCTCCTGTCATTCGCTACTCGCAAAAGATGTCTCGTTTGTTTTCTCACCATATCTCTCCTGTTGTTTAATGACATCGCGAAGAGTACATGAAACAGCTTCAAATCTTACGAGTCTGTAAATACACCGTAAAAGAGGGGCTCAAATCCTAGCCGCTGACGTGCTCCGGAAGCTTGCCGAGAGGATTCAAAACAAGAAGAATCAAGTTTTGTGCAACTCCTATGTTCTAGACGTGTAAAGTCTCTCCCAATGCCTCGAGGGAGCGTCAAAATACCTTCACCCGGGTCAGAGTACCTCCATATGAGTTCTCCAGCCCCTAAACAAGCACGATTTCTTCTTCAGCCGAACCATCACAAAATAAATCAGATGATTCCATACACGCCACCCCATCGGAATGTCACCATATCCCATAATGTTCTGATTCAGCGCAGACAAACTGCAGCACAGTTACAAGTTTAGCGGCAGAGTCGCAACCATCCGAACGCAACGACTTCTCGCATAAGCTTTTCCAAGCGGATGTGTCTCATGCGCTCCGTCCTTTTGATGCTGAGGTAGCGAGGATAAACGCATATCATGTTAAACCCAAACGTTGCATTGTTCACCGGTTGGGAGCTGACGTGGGGTTACATAATTTTGCCCCCCAGATGTCACCGGTCATTTCGATTCTCCTCCTGTCTCCACTGTTATTGGTGACTTTAGACGAATCATTTATTTTCATTTGTTTACTCTACTTTCACGAAGTGTCATTCTCTTCATGGATTTGCCAAGAAGAATGGTATCATGAGACGGCACTTCGGCAGCTTACATTTTCAAGAGCAAGGCGAGCGCAGAGTACGCGTTGCTATCATCTTGTTGTTCCACAGAAAGGACTCGGGCTTAGAGTGAACGTTGAGCGAGAGCTGAGATGCTCGGCGGGAGGGATGAGAAAATCAAACTTCTTCACGTCAACAACAATGTAGAGATCAGACGGAGGGATGAAGTTGTATTCAATGCCCTTGAGCCCTCCTGTCAGCATCTCTTGCTCATCACGTACAATCTATCTTCACCAACTCTGCTGTATTGCTATGCCGGAGCTGTCTTTTGAGAAGCCTATCGAAGCGATGGGAAGACTTCGTACTTCGTATGGAGATCAGACGAGGACTTGAGATTTCCATCAATGCCCTCAGCTTCTCTCGTCAGCTTCCTGCTCCTGGTGTGTCTGCATCCAGCGGTGAGTCTCTCTTGTTGTAGCCCCCAAGCTTTCCAGGCACTTCCTTCCATCTACCTTCGCTCTGCGTTGATGCTGGCACAATTGGGACTCAAGGAAATCGGCTATTGGCAAGTTCCTCTGACAAGCCGCAGCTACAGGTTCTCTGAAAATGCAAGTCTCTCCTTAAGGAGACCATAGTCCAATCGCAGGACGTCCAGATTAAGTGCAAGGATCACTGCCCTCACCACAGTTGCCGATGACGCTTTGATATCGTTGCTTGAGATTATCAAGAGTCTGCCAACAACCTTTGTTTTCCAGGAAACGCTGGAATTACATCCTGAATGAAGTGGTGCTGAAGTTGAAAGCCCAGTCTTCCGATAGCTCTACACTAAGTCGACAGAAATGATGAGAACCCAACCGCAGCGCGCCCTTAGATACTCGCCTTGACGGATCAAACAATGACTTGCTGCAGCTCCCACAATAGCACCTCCGGTGTGGAAGGAGGTTTACCGAAAATTCCTAACGATCCTCAGGGCAACAATCAGACTCGCCCATCCATGCCAACATACTGTCCAACAACTCCACTTTAGTAAGAATGAATGAAAGAGGAACAAGAAGAACGCAGAGCCAGCGGTGAGCTCCTATCAACTTGGAAGCGAGAATTGTATAAATTTCGACTCCGATGGAAGTAAGGATTCTTTGCTACGCATGGTTTGCACCCACAACCCAATCACACACATCAAGCTTCGCATCTCTCAAACTACCGCCCTTTTCTCTTTAACAGCTGCCTAGTAGACTTCCGATACGCTTGACTGCTCTTCTCTCTTCCTCTCAGCGTCCTCGCAAATTATGTTTCCCACTGTCGATTCTTCAATCTAGGAACGCCAACACCCTTTTCTCTTCTATCAAAAGAGCACCCAACGAACCCTGCGCGGCAGCATCTCGCAAAAATGGTTCGTCTTTGCTTCTGCAGTATTGGATATCTATTTATATCTGGAGATGGACAGGGTGGATTTCAGGTGGATGATCAGTGACTTGTGCTCGCTTCTAGGTGCTCGTTCGTGGTCTTGGTGAAGTGTACGATGCCCCGGGCAGGGCTCCCGGAGTGACTTTTGTGACTTAGTATTTGTATTTGAATATTTTGTTCGGAAAGAAACGAAATAGTGTATTGGCTCTTCTTGAACGAGGCATTAACAATATAGCCAATGATTTTTGGAAGCGTCTGTACCTTAGACTCGACAGAATACCTGAAGTGAAATGGGATGCGGGTGTTGACACGTGATTGAGTGTCACGTGCGATTGACATTGTAGCCTTGCTGCGCGGCTACACTTTTGAGGAAGAATATTGTGTAGATTTAGATTTCAAACCTCCCTGTTCGTAGCTTGAAGATGTGTAGTGATAAAACTCATACTAAATAACGATCTGGCCGTTCGCAAAGCTCAAATGAACCTGACGAAGCTTCTCGCACGCAAGGCTGACCAGCCCCAACCCCAACCCCAACCCAGAGCCCTGAGCCCTGAACTCGAACTTGAAGCTCTCACACGGATCACATAATAATAGGATAAGATGAAACATTGGAATCACTCCGCTACGTATGGACGTATGGGTCTTTCTCAAACATCAGACGGGGGGTGAGGATGGGTTTCCTTCATCAATTATCCGGCATCCGGTATATTTGTGTCAAGGTCACGGAAAATCACAAGCATCAAGATATTCAAGGAACACAGGAATCTCTCTATTCATCATGCATCTATTAGGTATCAATCTTCCCTCATTCAATGCATCCATCCATGCACCTTTCTATGCATCTGTTCTAAAAACGCCCTTAAAATGCAGTAGGCAGACGTCGAGCGCTTCGATCGTCCGCATCCATAATGCCCAAACTCCATGTTATGCCTCAATGCTGATGCCCCATGCTACCATTCCAAACTCGCGTCGTTTATCCCAAATCTAAATGTACAAAATCTCCATCCCCTTCATGTCTGGCAGGTTGGCCTCCTTCTTGATCATGAGTTCCGGTGTTCCAGCCTTTGACTTCGAAACTTGCTTCATAGCCTTGATCTTTCGGTTTTGGCGCTTGTTAGGACCCCAGATCTCGTCTTCGTCGTCGGAGTCGGCGTCCCGCTCGATGCTGCTGCTTCCGGATTGAGATGAGGTAACGGATCTAAAGCTGCCTGGGGTTGAGGGGGTGGAGGAGGGTTCGTCGAGGAGTTGAGAAACAGCTGCATCGATGCTGCCGTTATTGTCGTAGAGTGCTTTGCGAATGGTTTCATTGTTGGCCAAGAATGGAAGGGAGGTGGTGATAGAATTGACCATCCAGTCAGCGATGTAGGGTCCGTGGTCAGATTTTGCCTTTGCGGCAGCTTCCGCCTCAGGGGTGATCTTGATTTCTGGACGACCAGTACGAGGGCCATTGATGTTGCGGACGGATGAGTAATGCTCCCAGGTCTGCAAGATGTTAGTGAATGTTCAAAATTTTGACTTGATGATAAATTATAGAAAGTGGCACTTGCATGATGTGCGACGTGGATGACTGGGCGAGCACCATGCTCCTCAGCCCTGAGATAGTAACTGTTGTCCCGATTATATATCTTGACATCGACGTCAAAAGCCTTGGCGAATGCTCGAATCTCGATATTGTCTCCGTATGTTCCGTTGCGAGACATACGTTCAAGGTATTGCTCCCAGGCAGTTTCGATTTGTTCGGGACTTGGAGTTGTGTTGTCAAGTGGAGCTGAAGATGCACCAACGTTCTTTCTCTTGGGGTTGCGACGAGATCCACCACCGACTTCGACGTGAACAAATGACTTGAACTCGTCGGGGTGCTCTCTCATGTATTCGACGGTCTTGGTGCGGATTTCCCGAGCATGGGTTTGATCACCGTGAATCTGGTCTGAGAAGGAATTGAAGAGACAATTTCCTGGGCAGAGAATTAGTCTCTGGTCAAAGACTGATATGTAGTTCGGGGGGCGTGGGGGTTACTTACCGTCGCCCTTGATCTTGACTGCCATGAGGCCGAGAGATTTGAGAAGAGGGAACTCCTCAGGAGAGTTGCTGCGACGAGCGCGTGGACCCATTGCGATTATGGGCAGAGTGTGTAATGAGAAGTAGTTTGTATTTGGATAGAGAACTGCATCAAGAATGTGAGCGAGTGCGAGAATTTATGGGTGGTGCGGATTTTGATATTAACTGAGAGCTTCGGCTGCTATTGTCAAAGGGACTGAAAGACCACAATACCACTCTAACCGAAGCTCAGAATGTCAGGGCGCGCCGCGCTAGCGGCTCGATAAGGGCGCGATAAGGAAATATCTCACGTGAAAAGCAGAACTATGCCTGAAGCAGACGCGGTAAGGAAATTCAGGGGGTTGGTCAAATAGCAGCCAACCGAACGCGAGGATTCTGCCACAATACCAAACCGAACTCGCAAGATTCAATTTTGGGAGGTTGGTCATTTTTCAGCCAATTGAAACAAGGCTTTTTTGCCAACACACCGCTTTCCTTGAAGGGTGCGCTCACGTGAGGCTGAACTTTCCTCGGAGACACCAAATCTGGAACAATAGCAACGACACCTAAAAAGCCTTGCTCACCAGGAGAGATGCTCCAGAAGCAACCAGCAGTGAAGCCGTCACTTTGCTCAAACGGATAATTGAGATGGCGATTGGTTAGGATGAATAATTACCCAATAAGGAAGCCAAGAATCCAGAGATCCAAAGGTGGGGATGGTTCGACGATGCTCACACGGGGCGGCGGCAGGCGGCATGCGTGGAAGGGCGTGGTAGAAAGGAAGGACAAACAGACTTCAAGATCCTCTTAAATACTGCTCGTGAGTCACGCCGAATCAACCGCAATATCGAGATCCTCGAACCTCGAATCTTGGTGTCAATTGCAAGGTCGAAGGACAAGAGCCTCAAGTCAACTCAAAATATTTATTAAGGACGAGGGTGCCTTCCTTCGGCCCTTCTTCACCGCGGTATCTTCCGCATTCGTTCATTAGAGTCACCGGTGTTTCAACTCTCTACTTCACCAATCCTAAGTTATTTGGAAGGCACGCCCAGTCTTTTCAGAATGCCAAACATTGTCGTAGTCGGGTTTGTCAACCTTCTCATTGTCTGTGACGTGGGCTGACCGAGCTTCAGTGCTGGCGTCTCTGGCCTCACCACAGCTCTTCTTCTTTCCAAGGACCCCAAGTACAAAGTTACGATCATTGCAAAGTATATGCCAGGCGATTATGATATAGAATATACATCGCCATGGGCTGGAGCAAACTATCTTCCGTATGTCACAAGATCACTCTTATCACACGTGATGCTGATTTTGATGCTTTGTTCAGCTTTTCAACCAAGGAAGGCAGTCGATGGGAGAAGGGTACTTGGCCAGAGCTTGTTCGACTTGCTAAGGATGTTCCAGAAGCTGGGATACATTTTCAGGGTACGTTTGCTGTGCACATCATCTGCTCTCCTTCTGATAAGGAGCCACTCCAAAGCTCTTTCCCAAAGCCAAGCCATCATTCCTTCTATGTCCCATACTAACTTCTACCAGAAGCGCTCATCTATAACCGCAACAAAGATGCCGGTGGTCCCGTAACCGATTGGTTCAACGACCTCCTTTCCACGAACCCCTGGTTCAAAGACCTCGTCCCTAACTTCCGGGTCCTCCCCAAATCCATGATGGTTCCCGGAGCAGATTCCGGAACAGCTTTTACGTCTGTCTGCATCAACACAGCCGTCTACCTCCCATATCTCGTCTCCCAATGCCTTGCCAACGGCGTCGTCCTCAAACGAGCCGTCATCACGCACATCTCTGAAGCCGCTACCTTCCACCACTCAGGCCGGAAAGCTGATGTGATTGTGAACTGCACTGGTCTGCTCGCCTCCAAGCTAGGTGGTGTAATGGATGCAACCGTCACCCCAGCCCGTGGCCAAATCGTCGTTGTCCGCAATACGCCAGGCGCGATGTTCACAGTTTCGGGTGTGGAGGGCGGCGAGGAAGGAGAATGCTGCTACATCATGCAGCGAGCTGCGGGAGGTGGTACGGTCCTTGGCGGTACCTACCAGAAAGGGAACTGGGAATCGCAACCCGATCCAAACACAGCCTTGCGCATCATGAAGAGGGCTGTTGAAATATGTCCGGCGTTGGTGGAGAAGGGGCAGGGAGTTGAGGGTTTGAGTGTGGTTAGACATGGCGTGGGATTGAGACCATTGAGAGAGAATGGTGTGAGGGTCGAGAAGGAGAAGATTGACGGTGCTTGGGTGGTGCATAATTATGGCCATGGCGGATATGGATATCAGACCAGTTATGCCTGCTCGCAGGGAGCGATGGATCTGGTTGATGAGGTGTTGAGCCCGAAGGCGAAGTTATAGGCTTTATTTTCTGCTTAAAAAAGCTTCCGAATTTGCAAGGACTTTAGACAGTGATCATGCTTTCAGCATCTGGCTTTTGCGACAGTCTCAATGTTCCAATCTTTGTGGTACATTAACCAAATCTCAATTCCAAAAACCTCAAGGAACATTGGCTACCACTTCCTAATGTCCTAGACCAAAATTAAGCTTCTTTTAGAATCGTCAGGTCAGAATGTGCCGCGAAGAAGTAGAACATTCTTGTCAAACACGTAATGCATTGCTTGTAATGCCATGTTAGAACTCATCGCTAAGAATCAAATCATCGCCGTAACGCAAAGAATAAGCTCCCACCCCTCCAACAAAAGCAACGAGAAAAATACCGCAGTCCATTCCCAGCATGATTAAACATTCTCCACACCCTTCCAATCTAAACACCCATAAAATTACCTCCTTTATTCTCCTTCCCCTTCCCTTTCTCATCAATCACCTCACTTACAACCTCATCCTTCTTCACCTCGCCCAGATCTCCCAGAACCTTTCCCTTCTCCGCCTCCCAACTCACGCACAAAATCTCCGGCCACTCAAGAAACCTCTCCTCGCCCTCCACCCCAACCAAACCCCAAAATCTCTCCCTTGAATCGTTTAACCTCTCCCCTCGCCTCATATTCGTCTGCCCATCTTTGTGCCGCGAGGAAGATACCGCCCCGTCCCTGAGGGAACTTATCTGTTTTGAGCTTGGCTTCGATCGTCAATTTGGTGAGATGTTGCCAGTTGAGTTTTGTAGGTTGGAAAGGGGGAATAGAAGTTAATGGCGAGAGGAGGGACGGCAGGTTGAATGAAGTGAGAAGGGTGGTGGTTGGAGAGCGGAGTTTGAGGGTTGTTAGGTTTGGGAGGGTAGCTAGTGAGGTGTGGAGGATGGAGAATACGGAATTGGTTGAGCTGGAGGGGGTTAGCTTCATTACTCTACTTCTGGCTGCTGCAACGAAAGTTCAGGACCTTTGAATGTCCTGGAAAAGTTTGGGAGACTGAAGAGTAGCTTTAGGCTGATGTTTAGAAATTTTCAAAAAGTGAAAATAAAAAAACAAGAGTAAAGGAGGAAGAACTTTTCAAATAGTAACAACGGTAAAGCGGTAACAACGACAAAGAAGCAACGAAAGGGATCAACGAAAATGTCAACTCACGAAACAGCAACTGCAACACACTTAACCATCCCCTTCACCTCTCCCCTCAACTCCGCAAACCAACTCAAACCACCTTGCCATCTCACCTTAGTTCATTCACTTTATAAAACACCTTCAAAGCCTAAGCATACAGCTCTTCATCTGGTCTTAGAGCGATAAGCAGAGCAGGCGTCTTTCCATCGGTCTGAACAAGCGAAGAGGCGAAGATCATGTCACGGAGTTCGGGACAAAGGAGATGTAGATGGACGGAAGTGTATTTGAGGCCACAAGAGACGAAGCTAGAGGCGTTGCGGGGGGGGCAGGTTGTAACGGTTTTGGCGATTCATTGTGGGGTGTTTCGTGTGCGTAGTTAGGAGGGGCTGAGGTAAGGTTGTTGACAATGAGCGAGGTTATTGACGACAAGTGAAGTCATTGACGAGAGTTTATTGACGAAGTACAGCTCTTGACAAAATAAAGTTATTGACAAAAGTGAGGTTATTGACTAGAAGGGAGTTATTGACGACAAGAGATATGTGTTTTTGGAGACATTAACGAGGTGTTGTAGTGTGTTTTCCGTAGGTGTCTAGGACGAGTTGAGAACTTGAAGGTTTGTCATTCTTCGTCAATTTCTCAGATGATTTGCTGAGCTTGAAGGTATGACTTTCCCCCTATGTAGAGAGATATTTTAGTGAATGTCCAGGACAAGAGGTAAACTCTTGCAAAAGGTGAGTCGCTCTTAGCAGAAATTTTAGACGATGTATTCAAATAACCATAGCTCAAGCAAATATAAAATAGGTATATATTTGCTTGAGAGAAATTGAACTGAGCTAATGTTTTAAAATAAAGAGTTAATAGTAAGTATATGGCTTTTAATTGAAGGCGAGCCTCTCTTCCCATTGCACGACTCATTCGCTGAACATTGTGTGTAGCCAAGTAGCGTGACTGATTCTCATTGTACAAAATGGCTCCTGTACACTGAGATTTTCTGTGGGGTACACCGACTAAACGTCGTACTAAATATCTCCTGAAAACTAAGATTCCAAGCAAGCAACTTCACTGGCTTGCATTGTACCAAATATCTCTTGAATATGAGAATTTCAGCAACGTAGCTTGACAAACTTTCCAAGTACCAAAGCTTCCTGGAACATTGAGAGGTTCAATAAATAAGAGGTACTCCATGGCGTTTGAGTAAGCGTTCTGGATAAAGGGAAGATATCCTGCAGCTAAAGTCATGCTACAATCACCGGAGCCGCTTGGCGACAATCAAGAATCCGGACTCACAGCTCAAATTCAAATCAAGTATCACGTCACACCGCAACGAAACCACCACTAGAGAAAACCATGCTTTTATTGCACTATTGATCTCTATCCACCACCGCACCATGCAAATATCCATCAAAGCCTTATCAAGACATCCCAACCTGCCCCTCCCCATCTATCCTCTAATGCAACCATCTATTCCTTAGCCTCATCCTCCTTGACCGCGCTCTCAATAGCCGCCAACAGCGCCTTGGGATTCGCACCGACGATCTCCTGGACCTTATCCTCGTTCTTGAAGATTAGGAAGGTGGGCATGGCGCGGATGCCGAGCTCCTGCGCGACGTCCGGGACCTCATCGACATCGAGCTTGACGAAATGGGCGGCGGGGAATTGATCGGAGAACCTGTGCGTTAAACTGTTAGCCCCTGCTCTACTCTCGTCTACGGTAGGTGCTGATTGAGGGAGACGGGGATGGATAGGGAGGGAAGAGGAGAGACCTACTCTACGACTTTCGGGGCGATGACCTTGCAAGGACCGCACCAGGTTGCAAAGGCATCGAGAACGACGATCTTGTTGTCCTTAAGAGCGGACTGGAACTCTGCTTTGCTGTTCAAACACGTCAGGATCTCTCCATCAACCATCGAACAATTGCACCACCATTGCGGTCTGAACGCGTTCGCCTTGGCGCACCTGGGGACGGAAAACATACCTAGAAAGATTGTGGACACCCATATTGACAGCCGATTGCTTGAATCCTCTGGTAAAGTGGTTGTAGATGAACGGAGATGTGGTCTTAGTTGTTGTTCTGAGTAGTGTCGTTGACGATCTGAAGAAGAGTGACATCAACTATCGCACGTTGTGCTCGGCTGTTTAAATAGGAAGATGGAAACTGGATGGGTGTAGTGTGGCAGAATATGTACGAGGCTGTGCTGTGCAATTGGAAGCGCTGGAACCAACGCAGCAGCTGTTGATTTCTAACGGCCCTTCGATGACGCCTTCGCTTCGGCTGGCGCCAGGGCTGAGAGCTGGATTAATAAGCAGCCAGGCAGATCTCAAATGCTTGGATTCCAAACGCTCCCCTTTCGATCTTACTGTACTATTGAAATAGACGTATTCCATATTTCAGCAGCATAGAACTGCTTATTTCACGAACCAGGAATCCGCTCCTTCGATCTCGAAAGTTCTATCTCTCTCAAGAATACACTCGGAGATGTCTCAAGCATTTTGAATTTATACCTGGCCGTGCTGGCCAGCCTCGGCCACATGCTGACACATCCCAGCTCAAAATTTCTCCCCCTGCCAGGACTCGCAGCCAGTTCAGTAATCAAATGGTTCCCCTACTGCCACGTGATTCCAAATAAATTAGTCCTTCCCAGGTTAGTGCAACACAGTGAGACAGCGGAGAATTCGTCATACTAAAAGCAGGTCAAACATGCAACGGAAGAAAGGAAATTTCTCTTTGTGCTCAATCGTATTTGCTTTTTGCGGGGTTGATCGAATCGATCGATAGGCGGGGCGGTGTCTTATCGTCGAATCAATGTCTTTCAGCGGGCGTTATCACTGAATTTTACTAAGAGGCTTGAGAAGTTGCCACTCCATCAAGAAAACCAAGCTCTGTATTGTCCTCCAATATAAGCGGAAATTATGGAGTCGTCGAGATTGAGAGCTCTCAGCGGAATTTGTGAAGGTCAAAATTTTCCATTATCTTCCTGACGGCAGGTAGATAAAACATACAGGCTATTATCTCACGACTCTCTCAGAGTCAAAGTCTCTCGCATCAGAGCCTGCTCTGGCCTCATCAACTGCCCATTGCTGGTGCTGTAATTCCACAACATGTTCTCACTAAAACGTTACAAGGTTTGGTCCATCCTCCAGATCCGGATCCAAGGGAAGCAAAAAGGGAGTGGCGCCGTCGTTTTCCTCCCCATACCAGATTTTCCTCAAATGCCCCGACCCTCCAAGATTAAACCGTTAAAAATTCAAAAAGCAAAAGTCTATGTGCTCAGTGGGGAATCAATTCGTCGAAAGAATATTATGAAATCGTGAAAGCGTAAGATGGCGATTCATGAGGGCAAAAAGGTGTGTCGAAGTCGAAGGTGATGAAGTATTGAACTGATCGAGGCCGGAGAGAGACCGAGACATGATTGGTAGAAGACGAAGCTATTTGTTGTAAAGAAATGGTCGAAACGAATGACTTGGATCGGGCCCAAGGAAATATTCAAAGGAGTGTGGTTGTCGGTGTCGACTAGAGTTGAAGGAAATGTCCCGAAGAGTGTCGGTGCCGATAATGGCCTGAATGTGTAAGGAAATAAATCAAATGAGTGTCGTGCTCGTTTTCGTCGTATCATGCTGTTATATCTCTCGGGTTCCGCCAGTCCATGCTCCATCAATCATTCTTGGCCAGAGAACCAGAGCTCAACCTCTTCGCTTCACCTGAAGCTCTCGGTTTCAAGTCTAGCAATCTCGCACTCCCGGCACTAATGTGTCTTGCGTGTTTTTTCCCAAAATCAACACTAGTAGCCCTCTGCAGACCCGGCGCGTCGTCATCTCCAAAGCCCTTAGAAGTGAGTTCAGTAGGAGTGTCGCCCTGAGCCTCGGTCATCGAATCATCATCAAGTTCGTTGAGAAGTCCTTCTCGAGATTTTGCGCGAGACTCACGATGCACCACAGTTGCTTGTCTGGCAACAGCACCCCATTTAGTGTTCTCTGATGAAACAGGACTGCCCATACTGCCGCCGTCCTCTTCATCACTAGAAGGCATGGGATTACCGGTAGATTGCCTGTTGATCTTGTACTGTTCCTCGGGCCCAGGGGTCAGACGGCTAAAATACTCGTCTTCAGCAATGCCCAGTTCCTCAGCTGATTCACCAAATTCTTTGTAACGTCGATGCAAAGAGCTTGCACTGTCACGGAGTGGATGATGGGGATGTGGAGTGGAACCTCTCTTAGAACCAGGTTTCCGTCCAGAAAGCCATGAGCCCTCGGAATCGATAGAAGCCAGCGATTGTGATAAGCCAGTAACCTCAGGTGAAGGAGCATCCATTGTGCGATGTCCACTAGTTGGAGTTTCGTCCCGCAAATTTACTGCGTCAATCGACCTGTAGCCACTTGTTGGGGTATCGTAACGGACCCGTGGATCATCTGATGAGGCTCGGTTGCCAGTCTTCTTGTCGGGGTAGTCCGTCCGTATTGGTGGTACCAGGTCGGCTTCTGGAGATTGCATTCTCGAGTCCGGTGGCGACATTGGAAGTTCAGGAAGATCTTCCCTGAATTTTGACATCGTCCGCTTTGGTATGTTGGACTTCATTGGGGTATATCCAACTTGTGGTGCTGGTCCATTTTGCATCGAGTCTCGTGATGTATTGGAGAATGATTGCGGTGGAGAACCTCGCTTGTTCCTCGCTCGGAGCCTGAAGAACGACGCCCAGGAGGAATGGGCTTTGGTCGGGGTCTCTGCAGGCTTGGAAACAGGTTCTGGCTTTGTTGAAGAAGACTCAGCGTTACTAAGCTCCATCAATTGAGATATACTCGATGGTCCTCGAGCATGGCCTTGAGGTGATGGAGGCGGCGAGATATTGGCTTTGGCTACTGTGCCAACTTTAGCTGTCGCGATGATAGGATCCGAATGCTCAGATCTAGGGGTCACATTTTCGGTGGCTACACTAGGACTTCGGTAGGAATCGCCGAATAGATTCTGGGCACTGGCAGTTGAATCCTGTCGGTATGCATCCGCCGGCCGTTTTCCTTTGCCTCTTCCAGTTTCTGATCCGGTTGAGCCTTTCCTCTTACTCGATGTCACCACTGCAGAGGTCCCAATTCCCAGGCCAAGTATCTCTCTACCCAGAACTCCCCGCTCCATATTCGCTGGTGGCGGTGTACCATCGCGAGCAGCAACAGCTTCATCAGCGTTTTGCTTCTCTTGGCGTCTGGCAAGTCTCTTTTCCATCCTTATCCCCTCTGCTATTTTCTTCTTCTCTCTCCTTTTCTGGTCCCGCTCCATAAGCTCTCGCAATTCCCTCGCATCCAGATCATCAGCGAGGTCGTCGATTCTCTTGTTAGCCTTCAGAGTCTCCTCAGGAATAGCTATGCGATCCGTTATCCTCATTTTCCGAGATTCAGATCTATCAGAGCGAAATCCACTCACTCCTGGAGTATACCTGGGATTTTCGGAGTATCGTATAGTGGGTCGCGGGGCTAACACGCCGAGAGCGTTCAATTTATACGATGTCCGTCGTTCAGACCCGGAAGAGAGGGAAGAATGTATCGATTCGGCAAGAGGGAGCGAAATATCTGATGACGGGTTTTCCATATTTCGATTCAATCCATCACGCATCTTCCTGCTTTCCCTCCTCATCGGTCTGCCAGAAGAGTTTAGTTCAGCAGCAGGCCGTACAGGTACGAATGCCGTCATAGCTTTGATCTCTGCCTCTCTATCATGTTGCTCTTTTCGTTTCTTGCTCGATTTTCGATATGCCAATTCCTGGGCGCTTCTCTTGTGTAACGTGGGCATCCTTTGCCACTCCTGTGTGCCCTCGGGCGGTTGTGTGCTTGCTCGTTGAGGTTTCGTGCCAGCTGTAGCAGGTTCTGGCTTCTCGGTATTTGACCGAGCTCCTTTGCCTTTCAGCTGTGCTGGTATGGGAGGAACGGGCGGCCTCTCAACGTCGCGGGGAACTGCGATGCTATCTTTTCGACCGGGCGAGAAGCTGTACGTACGGCGCCGTTCTGGATCCCGCTGTAGCTTTTTCGAGTCTCTGGAAGATTTTCGTTTTGTGTCCCGGCGACTTCTCCTCCGTTCAGGACCCGCAGAAGCTAATTCCGTGCCATCATGCCTCGCAGGGTCCGGAGATGCCCCAGCCTTATGCATCTCCGATTTTTTATTCTCAGCCCCACCTGTTGGTCTTCTTCGATTACTTCTCCTCCGGAAGGGCCACATGCCCATGGTTCCATTCGTGTTATCAACAGTCCAATGGTTACGCCGCCCTGCGGCCGGGCCTGTTCGATCCAACAGCTCGTGTTTTACCCAATCGTGTTAGCTTGCAGTGCCGTCGGAGCAGGCCATCAAAGCCGGTGAACTCTCCCACAAGGATAGGTTGTGAAGTATATCAAGCACGACTGCTCGGCGGTCCTTGTCGCAAAACTCTAGCACGGAAGCACGGTAGCGCGTGGGAATGCCGTTGTAAAGAAGTGGGCAGCGTTTGCGCTTGCATGGTCAGTGCGGTGGCAATTGGCGATTGGCGCTTGAGGGTGGGCGTTCGAGGGTGATGCGAGAAAGATTAACGATTGACAAAGAACAGCTGTTCTTGGGGGTCCTTCAACGCAAGGGGGCGTTATCTGCTGGTTGCGCCGTGGCAAGGGTGAAGTTGAAAGAGAGAGAGGTCAATGGTCAAATCCTTTGAGAGAGCTCGGTAGCCGAGAGCGGGCAGGTACACCCGCAAGGGAAGAGCAAAAAGCAGACCAGGAAACGGGACAAAACGGTCACTGGGGCTCAGAAGGCACACATAGCTGAATTAAGGTACGAAAAGCACAGTACCGGGCAGTACAGGACAGTACGAGTACAGTACGAGCACAGTACGAGGTACTCGGATGCCTTTGACTTGCGAAGGGCTAATGGCCTGCTTGTTAGGCTCTACTGCATCTGCATGCACCATGTATGGCAGCTACAAATAGGTCGATCCTAGTAGTCGTGGGTCGTGACATGATGAAGAGGCTTGCTTCCCGGCCCTTGAACCTGCCCTTGAACCTTCCCTGCCCGCTCTTCTCCTGCCGGAGCTTCCAATGCCTCCCATCCCCAGACCCTTGCCGCAACGTGAGGATGATGGGGAGAGGTCGAGACCCCGTGCCGATTGAGTGGCCAGCACCGCATCCACATCTCATCTTTCGTCCTCATGCAGGGCGGTGCTGCATGCGCGGAACAACGTGATATACCCACATACAAGGAACGCCGTGGAACAACGCTTATTCCGAATTGTAGTCTGACACGTAGAAGAGAGAATATTGAAAAGAAGTAACCAAGCACCAAGCGGGCCGCCGTGGCCATTGAACCCCGTGCGTCTCCGCCCTCTTTTCGTCCGGTGTAAATTTACGCCCAGGGCAGACACGAGGGCGGCAAGCTCCATCATCCAGGAGAAAGCCTCCACCCTCCCAGCCCGGCTCCGGAGAGGTGGAGGATGCAAGATTAGTACTGTATGGCATGGGAGCAATGTGTCGTCAACTGCGTCTACATGGAACTGTCCGCCAGTCCACCACTCCGCCACTCCGCCACTCCGCCACTCCGCGTTCTGCATCGACGGATGTGATCTGTCGATGCTCTACCAGCAAGGCGCTGACGATCTTGACCTCCATCGGGCCAGCAGCTCGGGGTCAGCCACAATGCTGTCACTTCGGCGGGCGTGGCTTGTTAAGGATGCAGATGACCCCTCCATCTTTTCAGCGTTTGGGAAGAAGCAAGCCGCTCAAACCTTCGCTCCCGCCGCTGGATGTCGGCTCGCCGTTATTAATCCCCATCCCCAGAAGCAAAACGTACCTGTAAGACAGGTGGTGAGCAGAGCAGGCTCTCGAAACAAGGGGTGGGCCAATCGTCGGCTGCGAGTCTGCGACGGAGTCTTTTCGCTTGGAAACGACGGAGAGGGCAAATTTCTCGACAGAACTACTCTGGAGATGAAAGCAAGTTTCTTGGATGTTGGTGGCCGTGTCTCGATGCCGATCGGTCTAATTTTATGCTACTCGACCAAGGCGCCCCAGAGCAACCTCGTCATTAAATCGCCGAAAGCTACTCGAGCAGGCTCCTCCGAAAGCTCTAGAACAGATCTTCCCAATCTCCAGATCCCATGCTCTGCTACTGTAAAAGGCTTCGCACGCAATACGAGCCCCCTCGGAGCATCGTGTTTCAACACCTGGTCGAAATCCTTCAATTGGGCCATTGGAATGTTTCGAGAAAAAGAATACCGCAAATCTTATCAGGCATCCATCTTCAATATCAGATCCTTCTTTCCTTCCACCATTTCGTACAGTGTCAAATCACCACTTGGCTGAAGGTCATGGGAGAACGCCAGGAAATGGGGTCCTGGGTCAAAAGGGCCGTTGGCGGGCCCTGATACGCGCTCGGAGATCTCTCACGCGAGATGCAGGGGCTCCATGCAACTTCAGTCCCGAGGTGGAGAGGATCGTCGTGCCTTCTCGACTACTCTTGCCCACCGAAGAATCCACGATGCGCTCACTTCCCGGAGAGGAGAATCTTGAATCTGGACTTGTCATGGCATCTGCGGCTGAATGGCTGACTCCTGATCTACCGGGGAAAGATTTTGATATCATCGGCGTCTCCAGCTGAGCGCTGCCTCGAAAACTTCGAGCTTGAGTGGTTGTCGGCATCTGCCCCGCAAATTGAGAAATTTCCTGGGGGTGCCGCAACTGCAGCAAGAGAACAACTCATTGGAAAGGATTTTAAGTGGCCAATCTTGGGGAAAGATCTAAACTTCTGAATGATCACTTCTTTTGGCTTGTGGCTCGGATCTCTTCAACCTTTGATTACATGCACCAGCAGCGCCTCCAACGAACCTTCTTTCAAACCTTAAAGGCTTTGTGTCAGACTCCTGATACGTAGTAGCGTACTACAGAACTCTTGTCATAGCAAATGCGAGATGCTGATGGTGTGCATCTTCAATTGAGTGATTGGAGCTTAGCAAATGAGATAATGAAACATTATTTCCTTCCCCCAGATTTGATACAAGCATATGCGTCCAATCGAAGAGCAAGCATCAAGGCCAATTGAAGAAGTAAAGCTCGGCGTCAATGGCAAAACTCTTTCTCTTACTACTCTATTTGCGAATTTGACTTCTGGATATGCATTGGACCGCGGAATTTACATTGAATTCGAATTTCCTTGGAGTTGGCCAGGCTTCTGACTCTCTCATCGCCTTTTTTCGGGTCAGAAATGCTTTGAAGCAGGAATCAATCCTGGTTTGAACCTTATGTGATGGAGCCGATACTCTTTAGCCACAGTGGGCCCAGTGTATACTTGCCTTTTCGCATCGTTGAGAAAGAATTTTCTTGGTTGAAAAAGGGCAGATTTCTCAAGACGTTTCTAGCTCATACTCCACTTGATCAAATTTGGTTGGGAGCTAGATGGTTTTTGCTACGGAAGAATGCACATGCATTTCGAGGAAGGAGCAAATCCCCGCCCTTCCAGTGCTTGCAACCTAAATAGCCCATATCACGTGCCTTGTGTTAGCTTCTCCGTAGCAGCAGCCTTGTGCCTTCTTTTGCATCGTCACCCAAAGGAACATCTCCGTACCTATGGCCTACAATCCAGGTACTGGGGCAGGCTGAAAGGGCAACCTTTCTCCGAAATGGAAAGGGAGGAAGTCTGATTTCATTTGCTTAATTTTTAACTACGTTCAATACTTCTTGTTTTCGCATCGTATATTCATTCATATTGTTCCCTTTAAACTCGTGTTGACTTCCTCATATTTTTGAGACTGGGATAGCGGCGAGCGGATGGAATCTTGGACTGATGGCTGCTCTGGTGCCAGATGTTGTCTGTGGGACCAGATGAGTGACACTGAGGGTAAAAGGATGTCAGTGGAGGAAGTTGAATGTGAGGCGAGGTTTACGCATGAGGAATTTTTGGATGCAGAGGAGTTTTGTTATTATGAGGAGGATGAAAATATGACTGAGGAAGATAAGCAAATGAGGCAGCAATGGAAGAGTAGTAGACGATGATGAGGAACAGGTTTCTGATAGTACTACTAGGGAGCTCCCAACTGCAAAGTGGAGGCAGGTTTGAGCTGAAGTATGTTAAGACTCCTCTCCATTGCTCTTCATTCAAAAACGATGCTTTAAGTGCAGGCACGTCTTTGGGTTGAAGAGCTGGGTGTTTAATCCAATTGGTTGATATTTTCATAGTGTGTATTCGCAGTTCTTGATTTCATTGTATGAAAAGCGCGTCGGTAATTCTCCCCGGTATCAATTTGACTTTCTCACAGTGAAAATGGCACTGCAAGAGGTACTTCTGTCTTTCTTATCTGATCACGTGTCAACGTGACATCGCGTTTGTTTTCATCTCGAACATCAGCTCGATCATCTTCACCTCATCAATATCTCAATAGCGCTGCTCTCACCACCGAAGTTCCTCCGCCCCCATTTCTTTTTTTCAATTCAAAATGAACGAGTCAGACGATATCATTCTAAGAAATGGTTATTGCTACCTTGTTCAACGAATCGAGCGCGACGACCACGACCACTCTACTTGGTGGTGTTTTAATTGAGGGCCAGATGTCCTAGCTAAAACTCGCATATTTTCTTAAACCCACACCAAAATTCCCTGAAGTGCCAGCATAAGATTTTCTATTGTTGCTGCGAAAATTAACATAAAATCTTGAGAGAAAGGGGTGCAATTATTTCTTAAGTCTAAGTTTAATGCACGTTCGCCTTCTGAAGTTGGCATTAACTTGCGTTGAGATATCTCAAGATTTGCGCGTTTTCTCACCGGATAATCGCCGACCCGGCCCTCAATTAAAACACCACTAAGTAATCACGAGCATCTCTCGATCATCGGGTGCTACAGCGCATTCCAACAAGCCAATCGACGCGCCAAGGCGGAAGCCAGAAGATTGCAGGAAGAAGGTAGTCGGCCAGGTCGAGGAGGAGGAGACCCGAACTCGATCAAAATGAGACAAGGGGTGCTTATACCGGTTGGGTCTAGGTGCGTTTCGATGGTGTTGAGATAGTGGAATTTTCTGTCCAAGAAATCGAGTGCGAAGAGAAGTTTTATGACGACGAGGAAGAGGATGATTTCGATGGCGATGACCTTGATAGAGATGAGGAGGGTGATGAAAAGGTGTATGGATGGATCGAAGCTCCTGTACAACCACTGGCTCCTCTAGTCTCTGCTCGAGCTCCAGGCACCCAACGCCGCAATACCATAGCAGGACTCTCAACCCACTTCCCATACATCCGCAGTCCCACAATCCCTAACCAGCTACACCTTCGCCCTCTCCAACTCTCAGTCACCCCTCAGCCAAGCAACACTAAACTACATCGTCATTCAACACAGCGGCATCATCCTTCCCTTCGACCCCGATTTCGTCAGAACCTCCAACGAACTGACCACGTCTGAGATGTTGCGTATAGAACAATATGATCTTGAGACTATTCGCCATGATGCGTCCGTCGAGTGGTTGCCCGAGAGTGCGATAAGGGAGAGGATGAGAGGTGCTTATTCTGTAGAAAGGGAAGAGGAGAGGAGAGAGTTCGTGAGGGATTTGGCCAGAGGAGGTGCACCTGAACGAATTGTCATCGAGAGTATTGCGGTATCTCTCCTTCTCATGGAAACTCCTCAATATGTTGCTCCATGGCCTGGCCCTGCAGGTATTTCAATCGCCGGTTCTGTAAGAAGTATTTCTGACCTCGGAGCTGGGGGAAGTGAGGAAGAGAGAGCGGCTAGGAGACAGAGATTGGAGTAATTGTGCTAGAGGACCATCGTGCATGCCCATTAAGTGACTTTCGAAGCTTCGAAGTTGGAATGCAGCACGGTTTTACAATATATGTCAAGCGTTTTTAAGGTATACGATATGGTAAAGAAAGGGGTTTCAAAGTTAAAAGATGAATAAGAGAGTTAAAAGAATGTTTTAAGCAGCTTCTTCGGGTCGTGATCACGTGAGCATATGGCCCCTGAACCCCTTTTCGGTAACACATCAGTTTGTTTACTTCACCATTGTACCAAAACCTCATGTCAAAATTCATTATCATTACATACACTATCTCATGAAAGTGAGTGGAGAGTGCCTTTGGCAAGGCCAGCCTTCAGATTCGGTCAATTCCCTCCTTCTTATCTGGTCATCAACTGTGCGTGCTCTAAAGTCAAAATGCGCAAAACGTGGGAAAGGAAAAGTCAAAAAGGTGGCGAGTCAAGCACAACCTGTAACAAACTCAACAAAATCCAGCCAGTAAACGCAACATATCCACCAAAGGTGTGCACTCATTTGACTGAAATGACCAATCTTCCTTCCCGCTTCTTAGAGTCAGATGTCGGAGAGTTGCCGCCCAGATCTCTCTTGCCTGCCAATCGCTGCGAGTAGCGCTTCACCATCTCATCGACATCACCTGCGCTTTCCTCTTCGATAAACTCGGTGGAGTCGTTGAAGTTACTGGCGTCGGGTAATGGTTGCACTTTCGTGAGGACATTCTTCTTCGTGACGGCCGCCTTCTTGACGTAAACCTTCAATTCCTTCAGGGCTGGTGTCATTGATGCTTTTCCGACTTGCTGCCATTCGTTTTCATCTTCGGCAACTTCCTCGGGAGCTTGAATGACCTCGTCTAGAATGGCTTCTCCAACTGCTTTCGCTTCTAGGTCGGACCTCATCTCATCTTCGGGGAAGTCAATCCTCGGGGCACCCTTCTTCTGTCCAGTCGCCCAATCTAGCTCTTGTCGTGTCTGCAGAATTGCATGGTACGCCGTTTTGCCGGCCCATCTCCAGAAACCTTCCTCCCTCATCGCGGACTCCGCTTCCTCTCGCTCAATGATCTCGATATCCTCCTTGGCCGCGGCGACCAACTTTGTGACAAGTTCTTTTCGAGTCTTCGAGTTCTTGGGAGGGTATTCCACTTCGACGCCGAGCCGGAAGAAAATCTTGGGATCAAGGCCATCGAAGGGATCAGTTTTTGGTGAAGTTTGAGAAGCGAATTTGCGAGAGCCGCCACCGTAACTTGAGTGGTTGATCGAGCTGGTGAATTTCTTTACAGTTTTTCTTTGCCTGGGTGTCATGTTCTCGGGAGACTTGACGCTGAGATTATCGATTTGCCCGGCAACGCTATCAATGTCTGTATCAATGTCGGCATCATCGACAATAGCACCACTCTCTTCGGATTCGGGCTGCTTGTGATCGTAGATGTATGTACCTTCCCAAGCACCCTTGCTCTCATGCACACTCAGATGAAGTGCTTCGCTGACAAAGTCCAATTCTTCTTTTGGAAACGCTTCCACATTGCGCCGACCCTTGCTGGTAGAGTTATTGCCGGACTTTTTTGCTTTCTTCCGTTCTCTCCTTGTCACCTTAGAGGTTTCCCCGCCGACGCTCTCTGAACTCGTATCCGTGAAGGTGTTGGTACTTGCCGTTAGCGTAGAACCTCGACGGGGTTTGCTTCCGCTGAAAGCGTAGCCTGGGGGGAGCATAGCATTGGCTTGATCGAGGGCAGATAGCTCGCGTATGATCTTGAGGATTTCCTTATGCCGGTTGTGGTGCATCTCATCAGAGGAATTGCAGCTAACAAGATGTCAGTTTAATATTGGGGAAGAGCGGCAGATGCATACCCAAAGCATTCGTGTGATTTGCCTGCGAGAAAAAAGAGTGAGTGAGATTGAGATTGAGATTGATAAATAGAGCTGGAGAGGAGCAGTTCTTACCAACGAAATGCAATTGTTGATGGAACCTGTAACAAGGTTCGACATGCTTTCCGATGCAAGAAGTTTTCGCACGCGCATCTGGAGAGATGTTAACGAAAGCAACAAAGAATCTCAGGAGGAGATCCCGTACTATGGAGAGGTGTTGCACATATCCCGCAATGGTGCTCTGCAATGAGGTCAGTCAAATTACTTCAGCACACTCAATTGGAGCTTGCGTACCAAGACCTGGAGAAACCTCCCATCTAAAAAGGTTCTTGCCTTTGTAGATGCGGGATTCTGGTGCAATTGTTGCCCAATTCATGTTGAAGATATCGGACAAGAAGTATTCTCTAGATGTTGAAGTTCCTTCTATTTCGGTTGGTCAGTTCCTTGTTGGTTTTCTGTATATGAAGAGACTTTGAGAGAATTGAGGAAGGGAAATCAAGGATAGATCGTTCCTCCAAGTCTGGAGAGATCGAGGACTGGTCTCAACTGACTTGAATAAGCCAGATTCAAGGTCCAGGACCGTGTTTGAGAGCGACCACGGGGTTTGAAGACCCTCGAGGAAGTTGCTTACAGCTAACGGAAGGAGGAGGCAAGCTAATCAATAGCTTGAGTGATCAAAGGGGCAGAGTAAGGTGTTGACCAGTTCGCGCAGGGTAATTGTTGCTTTGTGGAAAGGAGATGATTTTTTGATAGCGAAAGATGACGGTTGACAAGCAAGACGCGCAGTTCCGCTGGGACGTCACGGTATTTTGAAATTCCCTAATTAGGTCGGGCCGGCGTCAACTACAAAAGCGGCAACGAGGCTGAGAAAGGGACCACAAATTTACAAAATTTGTTCCGTTGCAAACCAGGACAAGTTGAATTGATCCAAGAATTTCAGAACAACAAGAAAGAGGCCATTGGGAGGACTTTCTGTGAAGGTGTCCGGTTGTTCGGACATTCGTTTGTGTTGCATTGACCGCTCTTCAGACACAACTCACTCTAACGGATAGACACAGCTCTACAAACGCTTCACCAGAATTTCACCACAGTTGCATCTTCCTGAGACTCTCGCCACGGGTACTTGAATTTTGATGCATTATTTTGTGCGGAGAAGTTACTGACAGGGACCACCCAACCAAACCGAAAATCACAAACTTCCACCGGAATGACGAAGAGGATTTTAGAATTTGAAGGCACCGAACGAAATTGGGTCGCATAATTGTGACCCATATGTATGTCCAGTGTCAAATTTGGGAATAGCTGAAATTTTAAAGGATTGCAGATCAGTCTACAAGTCGCGTACCATTCGAGCTCCAGCCCAGACGTATGGGTAGTTGCGTTGGTACCAGTTGACACTGAATCCTGTAAGCATGGAAGCGGTTGTGGGCAGCAAGGTCAACTCACAAGGTCTTGCGTCCAGCAATGCGAGGATGAGTTGCCCAGGAGCCACCAAGAACGATGTTATGCTTGCCATCAAAGAAGTCGGCTACAAATATAAATATTTAGCAAATGCTCAAATGACCTCGAAAGTTTTATACGCACCAGTATAAGCGGGGTACAGTTTCATTGGCTCAAAACCCTCATACTTTTCGAGGGTAGAGTTCGTCCATTCCCAAACACCTCCCATGTCAGCCTGGCCAGCAAGTTTGTTGCCGTTCGCCGTGACAGCGACAGGATGCCAGTGCTTAAAGCCTACATTGGCCCCTGCTAAATTGGTGAAGAGCTCTTTGGACCTCTCACCGATTACCAAACCTCGTGATGGCGGGCTTTCTTCGACTCCATTATTGACCAAGTGCCTGCCTGTGTGTTAACAGAGTAGCAATAATCAGGTGTCATAAAAGGCGTACGCATTGACAGCTGGAACGGTCTTCCCCAAATGCTGTTCGGCCTCTTTGGCTTTCAAACCATCCACATGGCTATAAATGCTGCGTGCTTCCTCGAAAGTTGGTATTCTTCCGCCCATCCAACTTGCACATCCTGCCAACTCGTCAAATGAAGCGAAAACAGGCCAATCCAGTGCAAATTTGAGAGGCACTAGACCGTAAACAGTACGCACAGCCTTGCCTTCCAAGAATGCCTTGGTTAGAGGAGGGAAGCCGTTTGAGTGGCCATTCGTGTATCCATTCGTGTATCTATTCATATAGCCGTTGGCGTGACCGTTGGAATGGCCGTTGGTCTGGGCACCGTTCCTGTGAATCTCAGCCCATGAGGCAGGAAGCTTGGAGCTGTGTGTCTGCTCGAGATAACCAGCATACTAGTCCATGGTTAGCCTTGAATGGGAGTGGCGTGGAATCGGTATACTTCTTCATTTGTGATTGGGCGAGCTTTGGCCTTGAACGATGGAACCACAACACTCCTTGGAGGTTTCTCGTTGTCCCTGATAATCGTCAGGTTTCAGAGGGACACAGTTCAAGGGGCCTGAAATCCAGACTTACCACCCGAAATGACGATTAGGTCCAGAGTTATCTTCAGGATCATCAAGACCAATTGAAATCCTTTGCTCAGGAATCTCGAACCACTGGTTCGGCACTCGGGCAGCCTTGGCACGCTCTGCATCACCCTCGAAATCCGGAGTAAACGTGGTGGGCGGTAGAGTCTTGTCGCTTTGCAAGAGCATGTAAAGAAGGGTCTCTAAGTGCATGATCTCATGTTCGAATCCAATCCAAAGAGCTCGTCCAATATCACGCGGAATGTTTTGGCCCTTGGTCAGCCCCGTTATTTTAGCCCTCACTTGGTCCTGATACGCCAGAATCTCCTGCAGTGGTGGCCATTCATCAGGAATTTCGGAGTGAGCATGGCAATGCTCAGGGTTGTCGACATCCGGATCAATTCCTCTTTCAAATATCTGAGGGTAGTACGAGGGCTCACAGGGGGGCAGCTTGGTGGTCTTAGTAAGCTGAATATCCATGAATGTTGGGATGTGACCCAGATAGAAGATACAAGCATTGCGGAGCTTGATTGGTTTCCCCAGTAACTCTTCGTCGGGAATCATGCCTCTCGTGACAGTGTCCCACACCTCCCATAGGCCCTTCCAGTCGTCCAAGGTCGGAACCGGCGCTGCGGCGTATACCGCAGGGTCTGAATCGAAGACCATGTTTGGTTTTGTCAACAAGTGAACGCCTGGGAATTGTAAACGTGGTTAGCAAAGTTCCCAACTGTGCAACGTCGAAAGAGACACAGCGTAATAGAGCCCACAAGGCCATATAAGCTTCGTGATCCTCAACCTTCTTCTTAGTTCATAGCACCAGAGAGCAGCTCGCTGGTCCGTGCGTCACACCAAAGACAACCCGTCTTCCTGGGACCCCCACATTGTCAGGGATGGAGAGGGGTCATGCGGTCAAGATCCTGGTTCTTTCGGATTCATCCGGAAGCCAGAGCCTCAGCTCAGTGTCACCATCGAAGAGATTCACGGTAGTTGTGAAAAAAGCAAAATGGGAGATCTGCACTACTTACTATAAGCGTCCCATGAGGCTGACCAACGACCAACCTCGTGCAAACCCGAAAATTTCCAGAGTTGAGCTGCCTCTTCCGCTGAGAATTTCAAGCTTTGCTCGACTTGGATTCGCTCGCCAGCTTTGAACTGAATGTCCCTGTAACGGATGTCTCGGAGGGGGGAATAAAAGGCCTGATGGCGTCCGCCCTCGCTGTCAAAAACATATTCGCCAATCACTTTCCAGTCATCGAGCTCAAAAACTCGCTCGCCGAGTATGTCATTGGCGTGAAGCAAGCCATTCAAGATGAATCTGTCCAGAGAGTTAGCCAAGGGAACTTGACAGAATGATTCTTGACAGAGCAGAAAGGTCGTACTTGTGAGTGGTTCCCACATAGTCTGCAATTGAATGAACGTCAGTACCGTAGATAATGTCACAAATGTACAGAACGAACCGTTATAAGCATGGCTGAAGTGTTGTCAGTGAGGTTTAACCTTTTAAATGATGGGAACGCTCACTAAACTTTGGCTGGATCATTGGTTGCATCTAATCCAACTAGAATAGAATCACCCGACTGCAGAGCGTCCGAGAATCCACGCAGGAATTCGGCTGCTTCGTGGCGGTCAAAATTCCCTGATCATTGTCAGCTCGCAATCAAGTCATTCTGGAGCAACCGCCAACCACCTATGCTGGATCCAAGAGACATGACACACTTGGGACGGCTCTTGTTCTGGGGTAACTTCAACCAGTCGAGCCCATCTTCGTAAGTCCCGAGAAGTCCGTGGCATCTAACATGCTTGAACCTTGGAACTTGTTCAAGCGTCCTCTTCAGCTCTTTCGAAGACAGATCCAAGGCATAGTAATCAACGTCCTTGCGAGCAGCTTCCAGCGCGTGAAGTAGTATACTCACCTTCCGTAAATTGCTGTTTTTGTGTTAGTTTGAAGTATTATGAAGAAATGCCCCACTGATAGTCACCGACCCACTGCCGAGCTCAACAACCATGGAACCAGTCGGGATGGCCTTTGCGATACTATCAGACGAAGTTTGAAGGACATCTATTTCAGCATTTGTGAGATAGTATTCCTCTAAATATGTAATCTGCTTCATGATTAGCCCAAAATCCATCTCGCTTCTTGAATCCAGACTCACATCCTCAAACAGCTGCAGGCCCCGCTCATCATAGAGAAGAAGAGTAGGTAATTTCTTCGGGCCGACTTCAGGCCTCAAAGAAGTTAAAATGTCTGCTTTCAGATTAAATTCAACGTTGTCGTGGCGGATATCAATGATATCGATTTTGGAGGCGCTGGCGGCATTTTTCAACCCCTCCAACTTGCTTCTGTAGTAGATCTTCGACTCCGCACGCCCATCAACGCCGTTGATGACACTTGGCATGGTCATGATGAAGAGCAGAATAGAGAGCCAAACTCTTGCCTATAGAAGGGCAAATGAAGCTCGTTGAAACGTGTGGATATTAATTATGTGAAGTTGAAGTGCAGTGAGGAGAGCTACTTAATATAGTGTCCGTTGCATGAGAGAAGTTGGCAAAAGCCGAAGGGGATTCCCAGGCATGCAGAATGCCCCATTCTGAAACTGCATTATTCAGGCTAGGCTGAGGAATCACCAGGAACGGCGCCAGAAACATATCGAATGTGGCCCAAAGGCAGCGCCCGTAGTACCTGAGTTAGACAATGGATTGGGAGACTCGCCCCGCAGTCAGCAATGGCGTCCGAACGACCAAAATAAAGCGCCCCCACGCCTAGGCTGGTCCTGCGTGACCTCATCATTAATAACTCACTGTCTACCCCGCCGAATAGCAACACATACCCGGAGACGGGTATGATTATATATGACGTTCCTCGGAAGTACGGGTGAGGCCAGCCGGGAATATGGTTGGTGTCGGGAGCTGTGTTGTCGACTTTGACTTTGACGGGTCGCCTAGAAATGTCGAGGGAGATCTGATGTGGAATCAAGTTAACGGAACCTTAGCCCGTGCTGTAGTTGGCCTTCAAGCAGTCATCAGACTTCAGCATAGTCGTCTGTAAGGTACACGACTGACGCTGTGATCGAGTATCTGGTTCCGAGGGGAGGGGCAGCTTACGTTGCAGCAGGGCGGGGGTCAAAACCGCCAAAAGCATCCTGCTGCAGTCTTCGGGGCGAAGAGGGTGTGAAAACGAAAGTACCAAAGAGGCGCTTTCTCGAGGTGACGTGAGGATGACCACTCGTTTTGTTCCAAACCCTGCATCGGAGCGGGGACTTCACTGCGGGGAGAATAGGTGGCGTTCTGGTGGGCTGTTAAAAATACCTCCTCTTTGGTGACAAATGGAATCAGGTCACAACCGGTTTAATTCTACTTGGAGAACAAAGTAGCGGCGTCCCCGAGGCCCCCTTTCACATGTTCCTCTGTGGTTTCCTCTGAGTCATGAGGCAAGCCCTTCGAGCGACATTGTAGATACGAGTTTCCGAATCCAGACAATGGCACTGTGCAGAGTTGCCAGAAGCGGACAGCTTAGGTACCAACGAAGCGAGTAGGGAGAAGAATAGAGCCAGACAGTGCAAGTATTTTGATAAACTTCACCTGGGGATTAGCGAGACTATTTCGACTTGAATTTGGTTGAGCCATTGCATGAGTTTTCTAAGACATAGTCTGAGAAGAGACTGTCAATGAGAAGGCAAATTCCAAGTTGACCAAAGACATCAAAAGAGCCCAAGAAGCATTTTCTTTCTCAGGCAGACAGATTAGAAGCTGTCCTTTAACTGAAAAACATCCTGACAGAGAGCAAAATGCAGGAGGACCAGCTATTTCATGAAATAGCCATCTTCTTCTCTACTCAGAAAATAGAGTTAACAACTTCAAACAGACTCTTTTCGCTTGAGAAGAGTCACCTGATCTTTCCGCACCAGATGCAAGCTGAAGAAAACTGAGAGATTCGTTTCATTCACGAACAATTCCAGTTACAGAAGGTTAAGGCAACAAGATCCAATATATCGCCCCCCCGAAAATCAAAGGCGTTTGGATCGAAGCTTGCAAGGGGGTTGACGTACTCGATTAACTCACGTGATGAACAGCCCGGAAAAACTACGGCCCGTTTTGTTTACATGGCAACGACTTCAAAGACAACATCGCACCACAACTTCCTCACTCTTTCAACCATTTTCGAGAACAACCTCTTCGCCCACACAACAATGTCTTACAATCCAAGAATGTCTATCGTGCCTCAACAGCAAAATCGGGGGAAGAAGAAGGAGGAAGATTCTGATGCGTTTATGCGCCTGGTACGAAATCCCCTCTCGCCAATCCTACGCAAGCACTGATTCAAGCAGCCCGACAAGGAAATAGTAGGATGCATAAGTGATATCGGGGTTCCATTCGCTGTCGCAGATCTTCAAAAGCCAAACCCTTTACAAATCCAGATGATCTTCGAATGGTTCGCAGAGCTGCTGATGAACGCGACGCGCGAGACTGTTGATCCAGCTATGCGCGCAGCGGCGGAGGACGTTTGTGGAGAGTACATGGATATCATTCCTTCAGAAACGCGAAATCTTATGGGTTTCTACGTCAGTCTGCGCAAATTGTTGATCGAGTGTGGCATCACAGACTTTTCTTTTCAGGATCTTTACAAGCCAACACACGATCGACTGGTCAAGATCTTCTCCTATATCATCAACTTTGTACGATTCCGGGAGAGTCAAACCGCCGTGATAGACGAACATTTCAACAAGGCAGAGACTACGAAGGTCAGGATTGAGACGTTATACATGGAGAATCAGGAGATGGAGGCGCGCTTGGAGGAAATGAAGCGGAATCGCAAAGCCATGGAAGCACACATTGCGGAGAAGGTTAAGCGGAACGAGGAGCTTAAAAAGCGATTGTTGGAGCTACGCCAAAGCCAAGAGAAAGTAACTCGACGATTCGAAAATGTGAAGGTCAAGAAGGGGGAGATGACCGCCATCTTGGAGGACAAAACGGCCATGACTATTTCGCTCAGACAAGAGAGCTCAAAATTGCGACCTTACGTTCTACAATCGCCGGCTGCTCTTCAAGCATCCCTGACCGAGCTCAGCAATGCTCTGAATACTGAGAAGGCACAGATTGATGCCATGGATCGACGAGCTCGTGGCTTGCAAACTTCAACAGATACATTCTCTGTCGTCTCATCTGATGTTGCATCGTGTATCAAGCTATTGGATGAGATTTCAGCGGAATTGGCAAAGGAAGAAGAGGAAAACATTCGAATTGCAAAGCAACGAGATGCTCTGGGAGAACGGGGAAATAATGTTCGAGAGGTTGAGAGAACTGAGGGCCTTCTGCAACGGCAATTGTCGAAATGGCTCGAGCGAACGGAGAAGCTGAGAGAAGGTAGCAAAGAGAAAGCGATGAGTGCGAAGGAGAGAATGGAAGAGCTTCGTGCTGTGCACAGAAAACTCACAGAGGAGAGAGTAGAGAAAGGACGAGATATGGAGCGGAGGAGAGTACGGATAGAGCAGACTGAGAAGAAGGTACGTCACCCCATTTCCATTTCTTCGAGACATCCCGCTGATAAAATTAAGATGGCGGACCTAAAGGAGAACATCGAGAACGAAATCCACAGTGCACATGATGAGTTCCTCAAGATGGACTCCCATATCAAGCTGTACATCACTGAGATGGAGCAATCGATTTATACTTAATTCATTCGTGCTTGGGTTCTGGAATTGGAGAAGAAGCGGCTGGTAGCAATTGGCGTTTGGGTATACCTGTCTGAGATAGCATGATAATGACCCAGCAATACAATGTATAAGTTCTTAAATGCCACAAATGGCCAGACTGAGCATCATTCGTGTTCGCACTCTTCCCAATCACCCTTCCCAAACTTAAACCACCTTGCCAAGATCCTTCCAACCTCGACCGTCCGTCCACTCCACCCTCCATCCTCGCTCTCGAGACCAGCTTGCCTGACACTCCCATTCAACATCGGCACACCTTCTTCCCAAACCTTGACCCTATTCTTTCTTCCCTCCTCTAGCTCCATGTCACTTAAACATTCATCCATTCCCCGCTCCTCTAACACCACAACCTTCCGTCCAGTCCGCCACCCCGCTTCCACCAACCCCGCAATACTATTCCCCAATCCCTGCGCGCTCCACTCACTCGTATCCCTATGCAACTCCAGTAATCCATACACAACCAGCAACGGCAGTTTCGTCCCCGGTTTATCGAATTTCTTTTCCGGCGGGGCTTGGCTTTCTGCGTCTATAGAGGAGAAGACAGCCAGATAAGCGCGGAGGCGGGAGACCGTGGGGATGAAGACTAGGTGGATATGTCTCGAAATCGCTATTTGGTGGAGGGTAGGCACCAAGAGTAAATGAAGAGGCGGAGGTTCGGAGGTGGGCTCAGATTGAGTGTCTGAGAGGCCTTCTGCTGGTGGTGGAGGAGGTTGTGCTTGGAGGGTTTGTGGGATCGAAGCTAGGAGGGAGGAGTGGAAGCTCGAGCGTGGTTGGCAGATTATCAGGGTTGTAGGGTAGGTTTGGTGGGTCAAAATGTAGATGAGGAGCTCGGAGGGGAGAGCTGGAGGTAGGGCGACTGGTATGGGCGACATTGCTGGTGCGGAAGGACGTCTGTAGAGACGTCTGGGGAGGAATCAGAGGGGTAGATTTGTGTAATAAAGGGGCGGCGGCCGTCTTGAAGTTAGTGCTGGATGTTAATTGAAATCAAGTTGGACATCCATAGCAAAATCTTGTAGAGAACCTTCGTGTTGAGTTGTGGTTTAGGCAGTTCATTGTACCAAGGAAAGACGTGCCTTCAATGTAAATCGCTTACAGTGGTATGCAAAAACTCCCTGTTTTAGCGCGTTTTTGACGAAAAGCAGTACACTTAAAAATGGGTGCACCAAAAGTTACCTAAATCATTTTCAACCACTAATTGCTCCACCAAACCACGTCCAAATTAGATAAGAAGTAGATTAATTTACTCCCCTGAAGTATCTCTTGCTAATAATAAGAGCAGATTATAGCTCCTTACCTAAGCCCGCGCGTATCGCGGCTATCTATAATCTTCTCGCATAACCCGTATAGAACCGGGAGCTCCTTGAGTAATAGTATAATAATTTCGATTTTAGATAGGAAACAGGGTACTCCCGTAGTATTTTTATAGCTAGGGAAGACTTTAATTATTATAATAAATAACTATGGTATATACTAGAGTTAGAGAGTGCTTAATATATGCCAGAAGTAGAAGGGAAGTAAGGAGGGGGGAAATCTGGATATATTAGTTACTTCCCTATTACCTAATTTTAAACCTAATTAGAGAGGGCTTTCGTAATATTAAGTCTAATATATAAGGGAATTATAGGAAAGTCTATAGGAAGTATTTAAACTTTGGAAATTACCTAATTAATACTATTTAGAGATTTAGAGATTTAGATAAGGGCTAGAAAAGCTAGAGGATATTTCTATAATTTAGGATATTAGAATTTCCTTATAAAATTAGTATAAAATTAATAAAATTACTATACTTAATATTACTTAAAGTTCTAGTAATTTTAATATTATAAAAGATAGTTCCAAAATTACTTATTACTTTACTAGAGAGCTAATATTAATACTAATTAAAAAATACCACGGTTCTTAATAACTATAACTACTATTAAAAAAACGAAAACTAATTTAGAATTATGGGAAATAGCTCTTTTAATTATTCTAATATAAAAAAATCCTATAGCATAATTATAAAAATATTTAGTATAAAGAAAAAACTTCAAATATAGATAAACTTAACTAAAAATAATAACTATAATACTAGTAATAACTTTCTTTAAAAGAGCCTAAAATCCTGTAATCTAATTAGTTTATTTCTCGCTTCCCTAAACTAGTAATACGTGAAAATTAAGAGAATAGCTCATTAACCTTAATTCTAAATATTATTTTCCCTATTTCCTAATTACCTTATAATTATTATCTAATAGCCCAGAACTTATAAACTCTTAATAATCCTGCTTTTATAAGTTACCTATACTCTAGTAAAAGCTAATTTTGTCTTTAGGATACGTACTAAAGGCAATATCTAGTCAAATTAAGTCTTTTGCTTAGATATCCGGAATAGTACTTTAGAATAGGGCTATTAAATAGGGCTTTTAAATAGGGTTACTATATTAGTAATTAGTACTACTAAATACCTATATTTAATATAAAATACTAATTAGCTTCTGAATTCTATATAGTATACTAAAGAGAGACTTTAGCCTTTATAATAAGGAGAAATCCTTATACTAGTACCCGATTTTTCTATTATCTTTAGCTATTTTAGCTTAGCCTTCTCTTCTAATATTATAAATATTAAATTACTAATATCTGCCTATTAATATTAATAAAAAAAGAGCAAATTAGTTTATAGATAGAAGAGAAATTAGGTTTACTAAGAATTTGGCTTAATATATAGGCTTAATAGCTATAAATTCGGGTAAGGAAAAGAAAAAATAAATTATAATCTAATTATATTATTAGTAAGAGCTACTTTAGAGAAGTAAATTAATCTACTTCTTACCTAATTCGGGCATGGTTTAGTAAAGTAATTAGTAATTAAATATAATTTAGTACTATTTTTTTAAGATACTACTTTTTATTAAAAACACGCTATAGTAATATGTAAAAATTCCTTATTTTAGCGCGTTTTTAATAAAAAGTAATACCTTAAAAAAATAGTACTAAATTATATTTAATTACTAATTACTTTACTAAATCATGCCCAAATTAGGTAAGAAATAGATTAATTTACTTCCCTAAAGTAGCTCTTACTAATAATATAATTAGATTATAATTTACTTCTTTTTTCTCTTACCCAAATTTATAGCTATTAAGCCTATATATTAAGCCAAATTCTTAGTAAACCTAATTTCTCCCCTATCTATAAACTAATTTACTCTTTTTTTATTAATATTAATAGGTAGATATTAGTAATTTAATATCTATAATATTAGAGAAAAAGACTAAGCTAAAATAGCTAAAGGTAATAGAAAAATCGGGTACTAGTATAAGGATTTCTCCTTATTATAAAGGCTAAAGTCTTCCTTTAGTATACTATATAGAATTTAGAAGCTAATTAGTATTTTATATTAAATATAAGTACTTAGTAGCACTAATTACTAATATAGTAGCCCTATTTAAAAGCCCTATTTAATAGCCCTATTTTAAAGCACTATTCCGAATATTTAAGTAAAAGACTTAATTTAACTAGATATTACCTTTAGTATATACCCTAAAAATAAAATTAGCTTTTACTAGGGTATAGGTAACTTATAAAAGCAAGATTATTAAGAGTTTATAAGTTCTGGGCTATTAGATAATAATTATAAGGTAATTAGGGAATAGGGAAAATAATATTTAGAATTAAGATTAATAAGCTATTTCTTTAATTTTCACGTATTACTAGTTTAGGGAGGCAAGAAATAAACTAATTAAATTACAGGATTTTAGGCTCTTTTAAAGAAAGTTATTACTAGTATTATAATTATTATTTTTAGTCAAGTTTATCTATATTTGAAGTTTTTTCCTTATACTAAATATTTTTATAATTATACTATAGGATTTTTTTATATTAGAATAATTAAAAGAGCTATTTCCCATAATTCTAAATTAGCTTTCGTTTTTTTAATAGTAGTTATAGTTATTAAGAACCATAATATTTTTTAATTAGTATTAATATTAGCTTTCTAGTAAAATAATAAGTGATTTTGGAATTACCTTTTATAATATTAAAATTACCAGAACTTTAAGTAATATTAAGTATAGTAATTTCATTAATTTTATACTAATTCTATAGGGAAATTCTAATATCCTAAATTATAGAAATGCCTTCTAGCCTTTCTAGTCCCTATCTAAACCTCCAAACCTTTAAATAGTATTAATTAGGTAATTTCTAAAGTTTAGATACTTCCTATAGACTTTCCTATAATTCCCTCGCATATTAGACTTAATATTACGAAAGCCCCCCCTAATTAGGTTCAAAATTAGGTAATAGAGAAGTAACTAATATATCCAGATTTCCCTCTTCCCTATCCCCCTCTTACTTCTGGCATATATCAAGTACCCTCTAACTCTAGTATATACTATAGTTATCTATTATAATAATCAAAGTCTTCCCCAGCTATAAAAATACTACGGGAGTACCTTATTTCCTATCCAAAATCAAAATTATTATACTACTACTCAAGGAGCTCCTGGTTCTACACGGGTTATGCGAGAAGATTATAGATAGCCGCGATACGCGCAGGCTTAGGTAAGGAGCTATAATCTGCTCTTATTATTAGCAAGAGATACTTCAGGGAAGTAAATTAATCTACTTCTTATCTAATTTGGACGTGGTTTGGTAGAGTAATTAGTGGTTGAAAATGATTTAGGTAACTTTTGGTGCACCCATTTTTAAGTGTACCGCTTTTCGTCAAAAACGCGCTAAAACAGGGAGTTTTTGCATACCACTGTAAAACAGGGAGTTTTTGCATACCACTGTAGCCCCACTACAGACCTCCAAAGTGACGATGCGCCTTCAACTCTTCATGACCACGCATGGAGTCGATATCTAAGATCTCCAGCCTGCTGGAAAGCGGTATGATCTCTCTCATTTCTTGGAGTGTTGCCCAGTTGGAATCATGCACTGACCTTTACTACAGCTCGAGAGCTCACCCTCGATGCCGCTCAATCTGCCCGGAGCTCGCGCAGCTCCACGAAGACGTTGCCAGCAGTGCAGATAAAGAAGTTGCTTGATAGTCGAAATGATCGAGAGATACTAGAAGGACTGAGGAGGGTCGTCTCTGTACGTCTGCCGCACTCCGCCCAGTGTTCACGGCTTCATTCATCAGACTGCATTTGGAACATTCAAACCCAGCTTGCGAAGGCGATATAGAGTGAAGCTAATTCCAGAATCCAGATGATGTACCGCTCCCAGCCATGCCTTACATTCTTTTCTTCTGTCGTCAAGAATGTCGCATCCCCGAACATCGAGATCAAAAAGCTAGTCTACATCTACCTCCTCAACCACGCCGAGCAAGAGCCAGACCTGGCCCTCCTCTCCATAAACACAATCCAGAAGTCGCTTTCAGATGGCAACCCACAAGTACGAGCCCTGGCGCTCAAGACCATGTCAGGAATTCGGGTCCCCGTCATCAGCCAGATTGTCTCTCTCGCAATCAAGAAAGGACTGGGGGATATGAGCCCTTATGTAAGGAAGGCCGCTGCCCTGGCAATACCGAAATGTTACAGGCTGGATCCGAATACACTGCCGCAATTACTGGAATATTTGTCGACGTTGCTTGGGGATAAGCAATACTATGTGGCTGGGGCTGCGGTGACGGCTTTCATGGAGATTTGTCCGGACCGGCTTGATCTTATAAACAAGCATTATCGAGGATTGGTCAAGAAGTTGGTGGACATGGATGAATGGAGTCAACTTGCTACGTTGCGACTGATGACTGTATATTCGAGGCAGTGCTTTCCGAAGAGAACAAGGAGAGTGAAGAAGAGCAATAGTGCTCAAGGCTTTTATGGGGACGATAGCGAGGGCGCGGAGGAAGAAGGTACTGGAGAAGTGATCCAGATCCTTGACCCCGACCTTGAGCTTCTCCTGAAAAGTATTAAACCACTTCTACAGAGCCGGAATTCAGCAGTCGTTGTAGCAGTTGCTCGATGCTACGTCAACCTTGGGACACAGGAGTATATCAGCAGCTGCATCGGACCATTGATTGCATTACTACGAGGACCACAGGACATTCAACACATCGCATTATACAACGTTGTATCAGTGTGTCTCACCAAGCCAGAAGTATTCGTCAAATACGCATCTCATTTCCTAGTGCATTCTACGGATCCACCACAAGTCTGGGAGCTGAAACTTGAACTTCTCACCCTGATATTCCCTCACTCCGATCCTTACCTCAAGAGCTTGATTCTCAATGAGCTCGAACACTTCTCCCAAGGTTCAGACAAAGAACTTGTACGGGAATCAGTACGGGCCATTGGGAGATGTGCCCAAAGTGACGCAAGAACATCGGCACGATGCTTGCGTCTCCTTTTGAAACAAATTACCAGTCTTGATGGAAACCTGGTTGCAGAGTCCTTAACTGTCATTAGGCATTTGATACAGCAAGATCCGGGATCACACCAGAGCACTGTCATCCGATTAGCAAAGAATCTCGACACCGCAACGAATCCTCGAGCGCGGGCATCGATTATTTGGCTTGTAGGAGAATTTTCAGGCATCGATGGCGAGAACAACATTGCCGCAGATGTACTCCGAATCCTGGCCAAAGGGTTTGCAGATGAAGCTGAGCCGGCAAAACTGCAAATTGTTCTGCTAGCAGCAAAAGTGTACCTTCATCATCTCAACCGTTCAGGACCAGAACCCGTGAAACCTACCATGGCACCTGCGCCAGCACACGACTACTCATCAGTAGGCAATGAAGGATTCGCAGATCTCGAAGAGCAGTCTCAATCCGGGTTTCAGAAGCCAGAACCCGAGCCAGAGCACCCCATCGTGATGCTCTGGAATTACATCCTCCTCTTAGCCCGCTACGATACCTCGTACGATCTTCGTGATCGTACGAGGCTCTATAAGGCGCTCCTCGCAGCGCCATCTTCCACACAACTAGCAAGTCTTATGCTGTTAGCGCCAAAGCCTGTTCCCCACACACCCAGCCCATCAGAAAGTCGCACCGGTTTCACGCTTGGATCAGCAAGTCTTGTTGTGGGCGAGGATGGCGGTTTACACGGACTTAGAGGCTACGAAGCATTGCCTGAATGGGTGGAAGCGGGCAAGGAACCCGATCCTTCGCTGAGAGAGACGGAAATATCGAAGACCGAGTACGAATCGAATCGAGTTGTGCCGGCCGGGGAACGCCTAGATAGTGTAATAAGAGAGACGAAGATCGGGTCGCCATCAAAGACAAATGGTTTTGGCGCCGTCGGCGGAAAGGAGAAGACCCTTGACGATTGGTTGGCGGAGGGCGAAGGCGGGGATGAAGAGACCGAGGATGAAGACAGCGACGAAGAAAGCGAGGAGGAATCCAGCGAAGAAGCATCGGAGGCCGAAGACGAGAGCAGTGACGACGGCAGGGAGCGTGATAGACTCATGAAGTGAGTAGTCGCGAGGCTGCTTCGCAATCACAATTACAAATAGCCTCAACTAGAAGGCATCAAAATGTTTGTGTTCAAGTCGAGGAAATTTGGTCACAAAAATATTCAAAGAAGCTACGAAAAAAGAAGCCCGCGGCATTACTATCAGCCATAAGCTTGCATTGAGCCTGGCCCATTACTATCTGAATTTTCTGAAGCAAACAACTGTGAATTGAACCTTTCTTCGGCATGTAAAATCTGAATCGGCCCTGCCAAGAAACGCTGGAAAGTAACAAAGACGGATGCTAGATCCATGCGGGAAACCGTCTAGTCTAACCAGTTCATAGCCAACCCGCTCGCAAAGCAAGAATGCAATAAAACTAAATGTATTGGTACAAAAAACACCAACTGCATGAGCCTGACTAAAATGCAAAAGCCCACACTTAGAGACTGAATTGAACCATGAAGCCCTTTGCCCCGAGTTCGAAAGCCCCCAATATTCGTAAATTTACAAGAAGAGCAAAAGTGACCATAGACCAACCAACTACTTGAAGGCTTTACTGGGAAACCAGTGAGGCTTGTTGCAACACTACATGCGCTTGACCTGATATGGTCAAAGACGAGTCTCAAGTTCCGCAGAAGATCGTGGTTGTTGGTTGGGAGAACGGCAGAGTCCTGTTCCTCCTTTACCAACGACGGCTAATCTACGTTAGTAAATGAATAAGCACAAAAGTCTTGGACAAACCTGTAAGCATCGGCGACCACAGGTTGAGGTCTCTTGATTTTACGGGATGCCTCGCTCTTCTGCCGTGAACCATCACCACTGCTATTCTTGCGAACCAATTTCCCCAGAATCTCTGCTGACGTCGGACTTAATGGAGTGCCTCCGTCCTCGGCACTATCCGTTCCATTACTGTTGATCGTATCGGCACTGCCTTCCTCGTCGCCGTTCCTCCGATCCAACTGTTGAGGTGGATTATTTTCTTTCTGGTTTTGATTGTGAGGCTCATCGAAGCCGTGAGCAGGGCGGTTAGGGTCGTTCTGAGGTGCCGGCGGGGCCGAGTTCTGGGTCGCATTTTGCTGGAGATATTCAGGCGGGCCGGATCCGTTGCTATACGACCCCCGCGCACTTACATAGCCAGAATCTTGACGAGGGGGAATGTTGCCATACGGAGGCTGAACAGGAGGCCCGTTGGGGTATGGCGGGTTCGGTTGAGGGCCGTTTGCATAAGGGCCTTGAGGGCCATTGTTACTGTATTGCTGGAGAGGATTTGGGTATGCATTGTATGGGACATTTTGAGGAGGGCCATATTGAACGGGACTGGTCTGTGGGGGACCACCGTACGGACCAGGGACTGGTGGTCCATTACCTAAAGAAGGGGCTCGTTGCGGTGGTGGGTATTGAGGGGCCCCTTGAGGAAAGTGGCTAGGTGGGCCGTACGGCGCAGAGGGCTGCGCATATTGCGGAGGGCCTTGCTGGAAATTTGCTGGTGGTCCATATTGTTGAGGATATGGCTGTGGAGCATTGTAAGGAGGTGCGTTACCATAGGACGGAGCTTGTGGTCCGTATGGTTGGGAAGGTCCCGGTTGATACCCATTCGGTGGGCCATAAGGCACGTTAACAGGCGGTCCGTATTGTTGATTCATGGGTGCAGCGTAAGGGGAAGGGCCATTTCCGTAAGGGGCGTTTGTGGGAGGTCCATATTGACTATTGACATACGGCTGGTTCGCAGGAGGGCCGGGGGGACCAGTAGGTGGACCATTTCCATATGGAGCATTTGCTGGTGGACCCGGGGGGCCGGCAGGTTGACCACCTCCATACGGAGCATTTGTAGATGGCCCCCACTGTGGCTGACTCTGAGGCGCGCTTGGAGGTGGGTTCCACTGGGGCTTTACCTGAGGTGTGTTTGCAGGAGAAATCCACTGAGGATTACCTTGAGGAGTATTGCCATAGGCGTTACTCATGGGTTGCCCAGTACTCTGTGCAACATTGGGTGGTGGCACAGTAGGATTTTGTTGGTTCTGCTGGCTCCCCGCTGGAGTCGGGGTTTGTGGGGATTCATTCTCTTCGTTAGGTGCAGGGTATGGCGGGAGCGATTCCTGCTTGACTGGTTTAGGGGTGCCAGAAACTCCGAGAGATGCAAGAAGTGCTTCCGTTGGGTCCATAGGGCTAGTAGCACGCTCACCTTCCTCCGGAGCCCAGGCGTCGTCATCCGTTTGCAGGCACGGCGTACCGGCTCTTGGGTTTGTCAGAACAGGGGTCCCAACAGCAGGCGTACCCATCACTTCGTCTAATTGCCCTTCATCTTCTTCGTTTTTTTGGCGCTTGGCTCTTGGTCCCTCAGCTTCAATTTCGGAGGATTCAAGGGCAATCTGGTTGTCAACATCATCTTGCTCGTCGATCTGACCCTCTTCCTCTTCCTCGGATCTTGGCCGTTTTCGGCTTTCCGGACCCTCATCGTTCTCCAGCTCCGTCACTAGCTCGGGTTCCGGCGTGGGGATTCCGTGACGTGCTACTGTCCAAGCAGGAACTTCGGACAAGGGAATCAACGGGCCTTCTAGGGGCTCATCTGAAAAACCTGGATCTTCTTGCAAGAATGACCACTGTGGGGCATTTCTGATGCTTCGCACGAACTCTTTACCGTTATCTTTTCTCGCATATCTCGAGATAGAAGGGATATGAATCGACCATGCTTGAACCAGGGGAACTGGCGTGGAGTTAGGTAAGAAAATGGCAGATAACGGTTGTGCGAGTGCAACAGTCTCTTTCCTCTCTGGCTCCTTGAAAATGTATCTGAAATCCCAATCGAATTGCGCATCCTCGTCTTCGGGGGTTGGTGTCTCGCTTTCTACCCTAAATGGATCGTCCCCACCTAAACCCTCAGAATATTTACTTTCTGAAGCCTGGCCTTCAGAAGCAAGTGAGTGCGTCGATTCTTTCCGAACAAACCCCATACGAGGCGCTTGCTGATTTCGAGGTGTGCTTGCAGCACTAGCCACTTTCGATTCAGCAGCTGCAGTAGCTGGTGAGCTTTGAGCAACTTGAGGTGCGCTATGCTGAAGACTTCCATGATTTGATACGGGTGTCTGTGGGGTCTGTTTGGGGGCTTCTGGCCCATAGTCAAGCTGCGGTTGTGGTTGAGACTGTTGACTTGGAGTTGCAGATAATTCTCTTTGTTGAAATGAGGCGCTCCGTCTAATCTGTTGATAAGGTGGTCGTGCAGTAGGGGGCATATTCCATTGCGGTGGAGGAGCTTGGTAGGTTGCAGGTGGTCCAGGTTGAGGCCCTCCATACCCAGCGGGTGGTTGTGCATATGGGTTTGGAGGTTGATACGGTGCAGTAGCCGGAGGGCCGTACTGCTGGGGGGGAGGTTGATAACCAGGACCGCCGTACTGTGGAGGGCCATTTGGCTGAGGATACTGGCCGTAAGGAGAAGCTTGGTATCCTGGACGACCGTATTGTGGGACGGGTGGAACACTATATTGTTGTTGTGGAGGTTGATTATAAGCAGTTTGGGGCCCTGAAGCACCGTATTGCTGATTTTGCGGATAGGCCGTGTATTGCTGAGGTGGACCAGGTTGGGGCGGATACGTTTGGACAGGGGGTGCGGGTCTGGGGTATTGTTGGTACGCCTGTGTTGATGGTTGAGGAAACGAGCTATACTTGTTAACATAATTGCAGGCGAAAACTTGAAAGCATGGGTTATGGAATAGCAGGATGAGCATTAAAAATTTGAGGCCATCTGAGCCAACAGTCATTGCTACCACGAGAGAGAGATAGGAAACACGTGCAGCGACAAACCGCTGGGCACCGTAGATCGGCTCCACGATGGCCCCTGCAACAAAACGGGATAAACTGAAGATTAAAGAGAAGGATTTACTCACCCAGCAATTGGCAGTGATCCTTGAGGGCAGTCTTTGACAAAATGTTCCCCTTCGCACTTGTAACATATTGGTGGAGGGTTGGTATTCTTCCGCTGGGGTAGTGGTGTACTCGGTGGATACTGAGGGCCATTGTTCGGGGTAGAAGGCTGGGCGCCCTGGGGCCAAGCTGCTGCCATCTTGGACAAGACCGGAATCGGTCAACAAGGCATCAAGTCTGTCCTCAAGTGACGCCGACAACGTTTAAGATGTCGAAACCGAAGACCTTCAAGTGGACATTGAAATTTGTTCCAAAAAGTCAAAGGTGAATCTTTGAGAATGACGACACCTAAATACTCTGGGTTGAAGGACTGCCGTCAGGAGGAGGAGAAGTCAAAATGCACTGAAACGTACTCAAATGTCGTGCAGCCCCAATCCAAACCAACCGTCCCTTGGGCCCCCGAACATGTATTGCTAAACCGACGAGCAAGAACGCAAGCAAAGCTCAGTGATCACCTGATCATCTGGAAGGGAAGTACAGAGGCGATGAATTCAATGCAAGGCGATATCTGACTTTGAAGAAAGGGGAGCAGAAGACGAGAAAGCGAATTCATAGACGAATGCTAACGTGAGAACAAATTCGATGGACGGAAGAAAGTATGAAGGAGCCGAGCAGGGTTCAGGGCAGCCGAAGCAACACTAGCTACGGTGGCCCGCCAGAGTTCACGTGCATCGCAGGACAAAGCGCCAATTGTCGATGCCTCTTTGTCTTGATAATCCATACCTCCAAATTGTCTACGTATCGATGTTGAGTCAACGCGACAGCCTCCTCCGCTTCGACCACCCGTGATATGACTTAGAAACGGCTCAGACAGCACGCGACAATGTTGTTGCGACTACAACCATTGCTGAAAGAAACCGCCTCTGCCAGCTCCGACCCCCCTTCACCTTCCGAGCTCTGTGGCGGACCTTGCCGTCGATAGTCTTGGAGCATCTGGCAATATGCCTGGCCTGCCTTGTAAGTCTGGGCTTTCTGGAAGCTTCTGTGCCTGAAACTAATGTGCTTTCTTCCTCCTCAGCCTCGGTCGATCTTGATGAATGCATAGAAAGCCTGTACAAAAAGAACCTCCTCGCCGAATCCGTCATCGAAGCAATATGTGCGAAGACCAAAGAGCTGTTGATGCAAGAGAGTAATGTGGTACATGTGCAAGCACCTGTAACAGTGGTTGGGGATATACATGGCCAGTTCTTCGACCTTATCGAGATCTTCAAGATCGGAGGATGGTGTCCAGATACGAATTACCTCTTCCTTGGTGAGGCGTTCGTTAGCCACTGCAAGCCAAGTTCTGACTTGAACAGGTGATTACGTTGACCGGGGCATGTTCAGCGTCGAAACGATATCCCTTCTTGTTTGCCTGAAGCTTCGATACCCGCACCGCGTGCATCTGATACGAGGGAACCATGAATCAAGAGGAGTCACCCAATCATACGGCTTCTATACGGAATGCTCGAGGAAATACGGGAACGCGAATGTGTGGCACTACTTTACAGACATGTTCGACTTCCTCACTTTGAGTGTCGTCATCAATGATCAGATCTTTTGTGTTCATGGAGGTAAGCTTCTCTAAAGCAAGCTGCCTTGAGCTTTGGGACTGACAGGACAACTCAGGCCTTTCCCCATCCATCCATTCGATTGACCAAATCAAAATAATAGATCGATTCCGAGAAATACCCCACGAAGGGCCAATGGCTGATCTCGTCTGGTCGGACCCCGATCCGGACCGGGACGAATTCTCGCTTTCTCCACGTGGAGCAGGCTATACCTTTGGTGCACAAGTTGTCAGAAAATTTCTTGAAGTTAACAGCATGTCACACATCCTCCGCGCCCATCAACTCTGCCAAGAAGGCTACCAAGTCCTCTACGATGACCGTTTAAGTACCGTATGGAGCGCCCCGAACTACTGCTACAGATGTGGAAATATGGCAAGTGTGTTGGAGGTCAGTGATACCGGGGAACGATTCTTCAATGTTTTTGCGGCGGCGCCCGAGAACGATTTACATAAAGACGTGCAGTCAGGAGGGCAGGAGAAGATTGCGGATGGAAGTGCGCTACCCGATTACTTCTTGTAAATCTTTCACGTTAGAGATGACCTAGTCACCCGGATAGAAATCTTCTAAATACCCAGACTTTCTGAATACAAAATCACAAACATGCTGATAATTCAAGATTTGGAACTACGCTTGCAGAATTGGAAGGTTCTTGATTCCTTTCGTCTTGACGCAAATCCAATTCATGATTCTCATGTACGCTGAATACAACGAAAACAAACGCCTACCCATGTACTTCTTGTGCTGGAAAGCGGTGAGGAAGTGCATCTACCAGTCCTTTGCAATATCAAAGCTCCACTCGAACTCCAAGTGTCGCTTCTTGTCGTCGTCTACGAATGTGCTGACTGCGGTGTAGTGGCCACGAGCAATCATACCTGACGGGGCGTCTTCCTCGGCGACTGCCTATGATCAGACTCACTCAAGCCGGAAGAACGACATGGAAGGTAGAGAACTTACATTTCTTGGTGTAGAATGGGGTTTGGTCGGTGCTGGGAGCATAAGAGCCCTATTCCAGGATTAGGACACATAGTATATTGGGGGAAGTTGTGGTAGACATACGATCATCTCTTGATCCTTGCTGACCCGAATACCTTTGCGCTTGACAATCTGGACGTAGTGCAAACCCGACAGAATCTCATGCTGGACCTTGAACTTCGCTGTCATGCTGAACTTGGAACCCTCCTTGATCTTGAAAGGCTTGTCCTTGAGAGTGGTTTCAGAGCCTTTTTCGGAGAGATCAATGGTCACGGGTGGGCGGCCTTCGGAGTCCATGGTCAGGGAGAGGATGATACAGTGACGAGGGTCATTGGGATCTGAGAGGTCCTTGCCACTACCTCCAAGACCGAGAGATTGCTTATAGCGTGTCATAGCTTCATCGTCGGCATCTACGAGTTCTTGGTTAGCGCAAACTCCGAGTCCAGCTCACGACGTTCTGGAGGTAATATCGCGCCAGCTCACTGTTCTGTGACTCTCGGGAACAATCAAGGTAACAATAAAGTACAAGGACTCAAGAAAGTCGAGACTCGCGATGGGGATGCCATCAGTTCAGGGGAACTCCTGAAGTATTGCTTCCATCATATTTGAGGATGTCACATTACCTTGGCGATAGAACTTGAATAAAGAACACGGGCAAATACCAAATGAGATGCCCCAACGATGCAAAGCAATAGGAAATAGTAATGAAAGGGTTGGTTGCCACATACCAAGCTGGTGATATTCATCCATCGTCTTCTTCTCTCCAACCTTGAAACCCTCAGTCTGATCCGGTAGCAGATCTTGTTCGTTGTTAGAAGAGGCCATTTTTGCTGTTTGATGTGGTGCAAAGATGGTTATGATCAGAGAAGGGAAGGGTTTCAGCTATGAATGTGAGATGTTCAAGATATGAAGTCTGACACGGTGAGGTTCAAGCTGGGAGACTTTGCGGTCGATCCGCAGTGGGGTTGTTTTGTCGGGCTGGATCCCTGCCACCCACCGCCCTTCTGCAAGGTCCCGCACGTGAATAAACTACAGTGAGATTCGAAAGAAATCACAAACCCCTGTAAGATGGGCAGGTGAGCGGTCAATCTTAGTTTGTGCACTTCTCGTCAGGCCCGGAATTTGAGCTTGTGGGACAGGCAGTGAGTCACGTGACTAAAGGGGGCTCCCGGATTTCTTGTACAAGTCACCACGGAGGAAGATCCCGAATTGTAGACAACGCTGCAATACAAGTGCTGCACACCTGATAGTGAGCTATTTGACTGCTTCATCTTGCCATCATTGAATCCAAATTCATCGACGAGGCTTCTGAACATCCAGGACACGGTCTCGGCCAACGCACTATATCGCCCATTTAGGAAACAGCCGGCTCTCGTTAATACCCCGGCCGTCCCCAGCCTCTGATTAAAGCAGCCTTGTGGTCGGTCCATCGAGACGAGCTCGAACTCCTCAGGGATATCATCCGAATCCCCCAATCCTTGAGACGTTTATTCGCATTGCGACTGCGACCGCGATATCATATCTTATCGCCCTTCGCTCCTAGTGGCTTCCTCTCCTTGACGACTCGCGACCGTCGCCTGTAGATTTTTCTTTCCCATTCGTTTCGATAACGTTTTGCGCGTGGAGAAATCAGATCAGCTTACCGCAAGTCGCGACACCTCTTTCTTCGCAGGCGCAATCTGAATACTGGTGAGTTCTACAATGTTCCTATCCCAGGGCTGAGTGCGCGGGCTTTGGATGGGTAGAAGTTCGTTGCTGACGCCCCTTTGGGTTCTAGCAAAGTCGCGGAGTTTCCTCCTGTCTCTGCCCCTTGCGCTCCGTCGCCGCTCCGCCCGGTCAAGCATCATCGACTTCAACATCCCGATCCACAAATAATAAAACCCAAGCAAAATGGCTCCGAGTCGTCATCTGCCAGCGAGGACAAATCCTCTCATGACTGAGGAAGTTCCGGAATGTAAGATCTCCCAGGCGCCAATTGCTACCAAAGCTAATGTCGAAAAGACGATCAACTCGTTTCTCGTCGCCGTCTGGGCCAGACAGATCTTGCGGTGAAAGCTGGTCAAGTTGGAACGTCGAATTCAACGAAGCCGAAGAATCTGGGCACTTTCGATTATGCACACCTCCGAGCCCCGTTGCCGAAAGGTATCATGTCCGGCATCTTCAAGCCATCGCCTGCTTCCTACTTCCTTATGCGCCGCAGTCATGATGGATACATAAGTGCAACAGGCATGTTTAAGGCGACTTTCCCGTATGCCGAGGTTGCCGAAGAGGAGACGGAGCGCAAATATATTAAGAGCCTTGAAACGACAAGCTCCGATGAGACAGCTGGCAACGTGTGGATTCCCCCGCAGCATGCTCTTGAACTTGCTGAGGAGTATCAAATTCTGCCATGGATCAAGGCGCTCTTAGACAATAAGCCTATCGAGATCAACCTTCCGAAAGATGCCACGCCAAAGACAATTTCCCCACCTCCAAAGTTTTTGATGCCTCAAGAAACATTGGTAGCTCCTACTCCTACTCGTGGTCGTCCTCGAAGATCTGCTTCTCCAAGCAAAATTGCGTCTCCAAGGAAGATTGTGGGATCGAAGAGAGCAAGAAAGAACGCTGCACAATCCGAGTCTGTCAAGTCAGAATCTCTCGAACCATCCGAGAAACCAGCCCCAAAAAGTCTCCAGGAAGCTTTGAAAGCCCCTTCTGTGAAAGCAGAGTCAACCGAGGAGCCTGTTGTCCGCGTTAATATTGATACCGAGGTGGAGGTTAAAGGGGATGTCGAGACAACTCACACTCACGTTGAGGTTGAAATGCCAGCTGGATCCCCCGAACTGCCTCTGCCTGAGGATACAGAGGCGATGATTGCTAAGGCAAAGGAAATGGTAGATGTCGCAATGAAGAATCAGAACGGAGCAGTCGTTAGCAACTCCAAGAAGCTCAAGCGAAAAGCCGAGGATGAAGAGAAAGAAGACGATTCCGCAGAAAGTGCCCGCGCTAAGAAGGCAAAGGTCGAAACCACCGAATTGAGGAAAGAGAAAATCAAGACACGAGCATTGCTCGGCATTAGTGCTACTTTGGCCATTGGGTAAGTCATTCTCATCCCCCCCGGCTGGACAACAGCGATGCTAATTCAGTAACAGTGCCGCTGTTCAATACGCCTTCAATGTTCTCTGAGGTGGCGAATCGATGCGTAGAGTCGCTTCCTTCCATTCTCAATTGTATTTCAGGCGTTTTTGATTGGCATCAAGCTCCAAGCCCCATGTGGGAAGGTGTCTGAGGATACCCGGATCCATCGTGGTCAGAGTACATACAGCCAAGATTGTTGTGTACTCGATAAAATTGGCCTTTCCATAGGTTCTGTTTGATAGGCTTCTTTAATTTGAATCTTTAAGACAACCTTCTTTCTTTCTGCATTCTAGGCTATTGCACTTTCCTAAATGAAAAGGCTGTCCAAAGAGCTATGTCACGTGATGGCCAAACGAGTCAGACCTGTCGTGCTTGCCTCCTTTGTCACTTCCAACTGCTCTGCAACACCTTATTCACGGAGGCATCTAACCTGCCACGCATCAGTGATTGGACATAATAGCCGTCATATCTTTTGAAACACCTTTGATGGTGACAAATTCTTCCAGCAGGCTTCCACTCGCCCAATATGGTGACAAAGGCCCCTCCTACCCAGGAGGAGCTTGCACAGGTGAGAAGAATGAGGGCTGAGAAACCTTATGTTTCGCCTGAGGTCGTGGCCGAAGGCGCAGCCAGGACCCCTAATCTTACACGGTTCATCATTGCGAAGCAGAGAAGACTCGAAACTCTTCAAAGCGAAGCATCTCCTGTCGGTCTCAGTTCACCAATCACAGGTTCAATTGCAAACCCATTTGAGGCGAAGGCACCGCCCAGAGGTGGTGGGTTGAAGGTACGTCTTATTGTACAAGAAGATGAATCCAAGCTGACTGCCAACAAGACACACTTTGCGACTGCAAGACTCATTGACGACAGGAATGCTTTTGTAGTTGTCGACGGATCCAATCTTTCGCTTCCACATACTCCTGTGACATCGCGTCAACCCAGTAGACGTTTTCCACGGGTGAAGGGCCGTCGGGATGTTTACGAGCCACCCGAAGACAATCCCGCCCCAGCGACAGCACCTGCCCAGGAGGCTCCCTCAGCACCAGACCAGAAGCGATCCGCAATTACATTGTACGCGGAACCAATTACCAGCAGTTTTCGCTTTCCAGATACTCCTTCTCCTCAGAGCAAGGAAACTCGAACACTAGAAGAGTGCTTGAAGGTGGCTCGTAAAGCATCTCAAGGTATCCCTAAGGAGTTCCACAACAATTCTCAGCATCCCGCGCAAAGTGCTTCTGGAAATAGAATCACCGGAGAAGGAACAGCAGAACCTCACGAACTCCCACTCAGCCCTCAGCAGTAAGTCCGTGTCCTGTCCTATTCCTATTTCATACCTCATTTTCTCGCTGTTTTTTGATCGGAGCAAATTGATTAATTGTTGGGCCTGACCTCCTCGTTGATAACCGCAACTTACTGATTATTTTTCCCTAGAGAAGAGCAGCTCACCGACCTTGATCTGGAGATTCTTCACCTCGGCGAGGACAACCATGAGTTTTCTCCTACAAATAATCGTAGCAGTCATAAGCGAGCTAGGAGTGCTATCCAAGGAAAGACCCACGATGATTCGAGACAATTCGCGAATGACGCAGATGGTAAAAGTGACGCACATTCAGAGCAGCCATTTTCTAAGAAACGAAGACGTTCAGGCCGCCAGATACCCAGTGTTGGGGTCCGAAAGCAAGCTTTACAGAAGCTCAACAGCACACGAACATCGAGAAAGAACCGCAAATCTGCTGGAGATGAAACAATATCTGCCGACAAACATGGCAAATCACCGAAGAAAAAGCGTAGACTACCAGTCAACGAGCTTGTGACCGTGGGTGAACGGCCTGGCACCTCGGACATCGAAGTGAATAGCAGTGAGGTCTATAATCTTGTACTTGAGAACTACTGCTGATGAACTTTCTTTGCGGCAGGCAGGCAGGTAGCGCTATCCCAGGATCCGATTTCTCAGCAGACGGACGATCAAGACTCGGATGCCAGCGAAAGAGAGCATTACAAGCCAGGCCTACGCGTGAAGATCAATATTCGTCCTCACAAAGGATTTGGAGCTATCGATATCTCTCTATTTCGTATGCCAGAGAACGAGAACCTTCCCTCTACGAGAAGTCATCTGCCACTCGTGCCTTCAGATGGATTTGAAGGGAAAGAGGCAGCACCAATTGGTCTCTATATGCCCGTGAAATGTCCTACTCGCCGACGAGAGTCATGTCAGAAAATAGCAATCAAACTTGGCGAGTTGACCCTCGTGCCTGAAAAACCTCTGGAAGCGGTTCCGGTTAAAATGTCACGACCCCTTCCAAGGAGGAAACAACGACACCGCGGAACAAATCCAACTTCCAATACTCATGCTGAGCCTCAAAATGTTTTAGGAGATGGGGGGCAAAGCGACGTAGCTGCTCAGCCTTCTGATTTTGAACAGCATTTGTCCGACATTGCCGAGGCTGAACATGATCAAAACCATATGCCGATAGACGGCCCGGGCGAAGAAATGGAAGCAGAGGTCAGTGTTTCCGAAGAACGTCGACCACCAACAAAGAATGTTCTCCAGGACTGGCACACACCAACTATTCCTAGTATCGGTGACTTGTCTGAAACGCCCGCACATCTAATTTCTCCACTGACACGTAAACAACCTGCTGTACATAACGATAGCCCAACAAGGGAAACTTTGCAGACATCGGAAACGTCAGACAGTCAAAGAGTTCGAGAGCTTCTCAGTGGTGTGGACGATGTCCGCATTTCTCGACAGTTGGTGGCTACGTCGATAAATAAGAAGACCCGGCTTCGTGCTAGAAAGGAGAGCCTTGAAGTTACGCAAGAATTGAGGATGGTTTCTGTGCAGAAACGGCCAAAAGATACTAGGCATGACAGCGAGAGTCCTGATGAGGAAGGGGACAGCGACAGAGAGAGCGCCGAGAGCTACTTAGAAGCTGAGAGTGAGAACGAAGATGCATCAGAGGATGAGGAAGAGCCTACAACAGAGGAAGACTCTGAGCAGGACAGAAACCATGATGAAGGAGGAGACGAAGAAGACGAAGAAGAATCACATGACGAAGAGGCGGTTGCTGAGAATGCTGATTCTGACAATACCCTTCAGGTTTCCGCTCAGGCTGGTGCCAAGGAGTTACACGGGCAGGCTGATATGTCTGTCAACCCAGAAGTCAGCAGAGCCGCACAAACCGGACACAATCTTCCCCAACCTGACCAGGAGAGCCAGGACACCCGTGCTGGAATTGTCCTAAACGCAGCCGAGGCTCTGAAAGAAGTTACTTCGCAAGCTTTGCAACAGTTGAAAGCCTCGCCTCGATGTCCGATGTCTCTACTAGGCACTGGCGGACAAGACACCAAAGACAACATGACCGCTGTGAAAGGACATAGCTCCCGACGAGACGAATTCCGCGCGGCGAATTCTGGATATCTTGATGATCCTGATGGCTCGTGGCGACCACGCCTCCCCGAAGCAAGTGGCTTGGTAATGGAAGTAGATGAGGACATTGTCGACAGCCCCACACCAGCACCCTCGCAAAACCGACAAGCTGTTCATCGCCGTATGTCGAGAAGGCGTTCAGGATTGGGAAGTCAGCAACTGACAGTGGTGCAATCTCGTCGAAATAGTCTAATACCCGAAAACGAACTTGCAAATGCATCTGATACCCAAGGCTCAATCGAGCTTGGTGACTCTCGCACGATCATCCGACGCGCACGACCTGACGAGGTTTCAGAGGCTGGAGAGAGCCAGCCAGAGATTCCTGAAACACAATTTTCATTCGTGCATCAGATGAGTTATATGGAGCGGGCATTAGGACAGTTGAGCTCGCCAGTTCAAAGACCAAGTCTGAGTCGAACGAAGTCCATGCCAGCGCACGTATTCTTTCTTCAACCAAAACAAGGTAGCGATACAATGTTGGCTGGAGGTATTACGGTGGCAGAGGCTTTCCAGCATACCGTCTCTCCAGTGAAAAGTGGAAGCCGTCTGCGAACTTCGCTGGGCGAGAGTCCAGGCCGCCAGGAGCAGAGCTTAAAGGCGTTGACCAGGCAGGCGAGTCTCAACTTAGGAACATTACCAGAAAGCGCACGGAAGAGAACTGTTTCTTTACAGTTCAAACCACCGTTCTTACCAAGCACACTGTAGAGAGGGCTTCATGGAAGATTTCCATTATATGATATTATCGGGGTCCGGCTGGAAGTGGAATCAAGAAAGATTTGCTTGGAAGTATGCTTTTATCTTGCAATAATACAGGAGGATTTTGGTGGAGCTAATGGCATGGGGGAGAGTGCCTTAACTAGCTGAGGATAATGCTATGATATGCTGGCGCCTGTATCCATAGAGAGCTCATCTTCACCAACGAACAAAAGATGCTACTAATAAACAACCTAGTTGCAACACTCATTGACTTACATTCGTCAACGTGAGCTGAGGAAATCTTTTGCCAAACCATCGTATGAGAAACCCCGCGAGGAGAAGCACAATGAGAGAGTCCCTGATCTTGGATATGCTCTAAGATGGATGACAGACTAGCCACCAATGAGTTTGCGCAGACTTCCGTCTTTTAAAGCTGAGGAAATATGACGTATTGGGCAAGGTTCTTCTGCGTGTGAGTGCTTTCATTGCTGTTTTGAGAAGTTTGATTTCATTTTCTTACCCCGTAACGCCGTGCTAAGTAGAGCAACTGACCAACCGTTTCGTACAATCATTTTGCCCCTTTTCCCTTGGCCTCCGTCTCACCAAGCTCCCTGATATAAACATGGGTCGCTCCCTCACCGGTGTAATCCTCTTGACCGTTCTCAAATCCAGGGCAAACACCAATAGCTAGGTACGTTCCATCGCTTGAAAATGCTACGGCCGCAACACTGGTTGGGTATTTCTGATACTGCCGGATTCTCCTCTTGGCAACAGCATCCCACAACGCAACTACACCGTCTCCTCCACCGGAAGCAAACGTTCCATGGATAGGATGGAAGGCCAAGGCATTGACAGGATAGACAATATCGGATCCATCGCCCTCAGGATCTGGCTGTCGGTGGCACTTGAAAGCGTATTTCCGCGCCTGTGATTCTGTAGAAGGATCGAACCACTCAACGGCCACTCGTCCCTCAATACTACTCGTAGCGTACCCATCGTCGTTCGGCATACAAGCCACAGCTCTTGTCATGAACTTCAGTGATGATTCTCGTTGTTGCCACGGCTTGAGTTCAGCGGTTGCTCCGTTTGCTTGCGAGGCTAACATGGCAGTAGCTTGTAGTTGGTAGATGTAGACAAGACGAGAGGACATGGCCACGACGAGTTTGGAGGCTGTGATTGAGAGTGAGTGTGGTTTCGCGGGTAGGGTAATCATAGTTGGCCCCCTCGAAAGGTCTTTGAGGTCGTGGAAGTGGAGAGTGGAATCCCACGATGCTGAGATGAGTAGCGCTGAGCCTTTATGAGTTCATGTTACTATAATTGAAGATGAGAACTCACAATGCTCTTTGCTGTAGACTACTGACTTGACCGGTGCTCCGTGTGTGCTCAGTACTGTCTGGTCACCCGTCTTAAGATTTATTCTAAAAAAAAAATGTCAGGATAAGTAACACAAATGTTGTTATAATTAAATACCTCTTCACTTGCCAGTCCATTCCAGCTGTGAAAGCTTCATTATCGTCGGTTCCGAAGCAAACATCGAGGACTGGTGCTCGGTGCTCATACTTCTCGATCAGCTTGCCGCCAGCTTCTTGATCTTGTGTATCATACAAGTAGACATGCTTATCCCAAGAAGAAACCAGCAATAGTGTGGGAGATTCGGGCGCGAACTTGAGGGAGGATACCGCGTCCGTGGGTGGTTGCGAAAGCTCGAATTGGATTGCTGTGCGAGGTTAGCACTGCTTTTATTTCTTGGATATGCAATGGAGCCAAACTAGACAGAAGGAACATACCCGGAGCCATCTTGCAATACTTCAATAAAATCACACAGGTGAGGAGAAAAGCAAAGTCAGATCAACTTTGTTTATTTTGCTTTCTGCCGAGCTCACCGCCTAAAAATCGCCAAAAGGGGAGGGCAACCAATGTTCTGGAAACATTTATTCACGCCGAACACCAAGACAACACAGATAATCAGACTCCGTACTTTGAAGACCAAAACCTCTGTGATCGAGGTCTACTCGTCCCATCAACGTCTACAACACGAAGCCTCGAGGGTTTCAGTCCTAACCAAATCACCATCACCCCACATTGCCCCTCACCTTGAATCTTCGACAGCAACCAGAGCTCCCGGACTCGCCACTATGCCGTTCGCACAGCTTGTGCTGGGCAGTCCTGGATCTGGAAAGAGTACTTATTGCAATGGGAGTATGCTTTTGCACCTCTCTACATCATGAACGGCTCTAACATGCCTCAGTGCAACAGTTCATGTCCGCAATAGGACGAAAATGCTCCGTAGTAAACCTCGATCCCGCGAATGATCATACAAGCTACCCGTGCGCAATAGATGTCCGGGATCTCATAAAACTAGAAGATATAATGGAAGAAGACGATTTAGGACCAAATGGAGCCGTGCTTTATGCGCTTGAGGAGCTAGAACATAATATGGAATGGTTGGAGGCTGGTCTGAGTGAGCTAGGAGAGGACTATGTGTTATTCGATTGTCCAGGACAAGTGGAGCTTTACACACATCATTCCTCACTACGGAACATCTTCTTCAGGTTACAAAAGCTGGGATACAGAGCATGCTTCCATTTGCCTCTTCATTGCGGTCCTTGCTGACTGAAGTAGCTTGTAGTCCTCCACCTTTCAGACTCGTATTGTCTGACACTCCCTTCACTCTACATATCCAATCTCATCCTATCTCTGCGAGCTATGCTGCAGATGGATCTCCCCCATCTTAATGTTCTTACAAAAGTCGACAAGCTCTCTACGTATTCTCCTCTCCCATTCAACCTCGATTTCTACACAGAAGTCCAAGACCTATCGTACCTGCTTCCACACCTCGAAGAGGAATCTTCGGCAATGCGTGGGTCGAAATTCGAAGGTCTGAATACAGCTATCGTCGAGCTTGTAGAAAGTTTCGGCTTGGTAGGATTCGAGACGTTGGCAGTAGAGGACAAAAGAAGTATGATGCATCTCCTGCAAGTTATAGACCGAGCTGGCGGATATGCGTTCGGTGGGGCCGAGGGAGCCAACGATACCGTATGGCAAGTCGCAATGCGAGAAGGCGTAACCACAATGGATGTCAAAGATGTCCAAGAGCGCTGGCTGGATGCGAAGGACGATTACGACGAGAAGGAGAGTAGAGAGTGGGCCGAGCAAGCCAAGATTCGAGACAAGGCCGAACCCGCAGCGGACTCTGAGATGGGGGACGACGATGAACTGGGGAATATGCCGATACCTGCTGGTGGAAGCGGTATAAAAGTAGTTAGGAAGAACCAATGATGCCCCTCATCCATCACCGTCACTGTCTTCTTCGTCCTCGCTGTCTGACCTGTCCACCACCAACACGCCTTTCTCTTTCGTAGTCTCCGCTCCCGCGCCTCCAAATATGTAATCGAGTGTCGAATCGCTCTTCTCGCCAATTTCCCGTCTGGCTTTCAAGATCAGCTCCCTGGCTCTCCGAATAGCTTCCTCCTCTGCCTTCCTAATTGTCCCGCTAACTCGCACTACTCTAAACACACAGTTCTTGCCGTCCTTGACAGGGACAGAAGTCATGAGTGATAATGCCGCCCAAGCAAGCTTATAATATGCCCGCGAAACTCGGAGGATGAAAGTCGAGGTCGCCGGAGAAAGATACTTCACTGAAAGGCGAATAAATCAGCAGAGTTTCTAACTTGGCCTACATGAACTTCGTAATTACCATTAAGACTCTCGGAAATAGCTCCAGATCCGTAATCTCCAAATACGTCCGCGATTTCTGCTTTCAGCCCCTTCAGCAGAGCTCCGGCTGTGAAGGCGTCTGTCGTTGGCTGATTGAATTCCACAATATCCGGGACTTTGGTCTTCCCTTTGCGGTCCTCTAGTTCAGGGTACAGGATATTGACCAGTAAATACCGGTTTTTGAGTCGGACCATTGTTGTTGTGGTTGTGAGATGCTGGCGTCGCGCCTTGCAGAGAAAAAAGTTGGGGAAGACGCGAGGCTGGGGAACCTTTTTGAATGAAATCTCGAGGCAAGCCAGCCGAGCATCATGTTTCAATGTACCAGGCTTTCTCCAGACAAAGACAATGTCGACTTTGAAAGCTGCAATACTGATAGTTTCTACTACTGCCTCGAAGGACCCTTCAGTTGATTCATCAGGTGGGATCTTGAAGGACGTCTTTGAGCAAGAGGGAGGAGGGAAATGGGAGGTGGTCGACACGAAGATTGTTGGAGATGAGGTGCTTGATATTCAACGGAGTATCATGAATTGGGCTAATCAAGAGGATGGGGTCAATCTTATTGTTTCTACGGGTGGTACAGGCTTTGCAGTTCATGATAGTACTCCTGAGGTTGGTAACTTTCTAGAGGGTTCGAGGAAAGAGATGCTCATGAATCTCAGGCTGTTACCCCTCTCCTACATAAGCATGCACCAGGACTTGTTCATGGGATGCTTGCGGCCTCATATGCAGTCACTCCTTGTGAGATTCGGATTTCTCTTGTTTTCGAAGCCAGCTGACAAGTCCAGTTGCCCTCATGTCACGGCCAGTGGCTGGGGTCCGAAACAAGACCATAATCATCACTCTGCCGGGGTCTCCAAAAGGGGCCAAGGAGAATCTGCAGTCTGTGTTGAGATTGCTACCTCATGCATGCCTTCAAGCGGCAGGGGCAGACTCGAGATCCCTTCATGCCGGAGGTGTGAGAAAGCTGGAGAACGAAGCTGGAGTTAGCTCAACATCTGGCCACCAACCACACTTCCATAGTCACGGTCACTCGCATGGGCACTCGCATGGTCACGGATATGGTCATGCTCATTCAATGCCAGTTAGACACACATCTTCCGAGGAGAACCCCAAGTCAAATGATCCAAGCCTGGGGCCAACAAGACGAAATCGTTCTTCGCCTTACCCCATGTTATCAGTTGACGAAGCCATCAAACTCATCAAAGAGCAAACACCTCTGCCGCAAATTGTAGAAGCCAAAGTCGATGGAAATCTGGTCGGATCCGTCCTGGCAGATGATGTCACGGCTGGGGAGGCTGTTCCGGCGTATCGAGCGAGTATTGTGGATGGCTATGCGGTGATTGCTCCAGAAGAAGGCGGCTCGAGCAAAGGAACATTTCCCGTGGTATCAGTATCTCATGCTACCCCTGGCGAAATTCCTCCTCTAGAACGAAGTCAAATCGCCAGAATTACGACTGGTGCACCACTTCCACCTGGTGCAACGTCAGTAGTAATGGTGGAAGACACCGTCCTGAAGACTATGACTGAGGATGGCAAAGAAGAGAAAGAGATCGAGATCCTCGCCGAAAACGTGAACCCAGGAGAGAATGTCCGAGAGATTGGAAGTGATATCAAGAAAGGGGAAATAATTCTGCATAAAGGAGAAGAGATCTCAGCAATCGGTGGAGAACTCGGATTACTTGCATCAGTCGGCAAGGCAGAAGTCTTGGTTTACAAACGACCGGTCGTAGGCGTGCTCTCAACTGGAGATGAGATTGTGGAACACAGCAGACCCGGCGAGCTGCGTCTAGGAGAAGTTCGAGATTGCAATCGACCAACTCTGCTGTCCGCGGTGCGGGGTCATGGTTTTGAAGCTGTTGATCTCGGTGTTGCGAAAGACAAGCCCGGGGATCTTGAGCAGACGCTGCGAGATGGACTCCGTAAGGTTGATGTTATCATCACCTCGGGTGGAGTATCCATGGGTGAGCTCGATCTGTTAAAACCGACGATTGAGCGATCTCTGGGGGGCACGATTCACTTCGGACGCGTCTCGATGAAACCTGGAAAGCCAACGACTTTCGCAACCGTGCCGGTGAAGAATAACAGCGGAGAAAGAGCTTCAAAGGTCATATTTTCCTTACCTGGTAATCCTGTATCAGCTGTGGTGACATTTCACCTCTTCGTCTTGCCTTCTTTGCATCATGCTTCTGGAATTTCTCCAGCAGGGTTGCCCAGAGTATTGGTAACCTTGGACCACGAGTTTTGTCTTGACCCTCAGCGAGCAAAGTATCACCGTTCCATTGTGACTCTGGGCAAGGATGGGCTTATGCATGCTAGTAGCACTGGCGGGCAACGAAGCTCGAGAGTTGGAAGCCTGAAGAGCGCGAATGCTTTGCTTTGCCTTCCAACCGGCAAGACATCATTGCCGAAAGGAGCGACCGTTGAAGCTCTGTTGATGGGGAGAATGAAGACGGAATTTGATGCTTTGTAATATAGCATGAATGAAAACTTCAAATCTTGAAGTCTGTTGAAGCTTAATAGGAAGGGGCGTTCGAGCAATCGTCGTGGTTTTGTCCTTCCTGACTCCTCTACGCGTACTTTCCTTCAATAATCGCCCTCCAACGCGTATTTGAATCCCGCTTAGGAATTCGATGTCTCCCCTGGACACTTCCCCTGAACACCTTCGAGCAGCAGCTCAAACAAACCCCAACACTGGCGCCATGTGCGAATTCGGCTACTTCATTTACAATGGATGCCACCATCGATTCATTGAAATCACCAGCTACTGCTCACCGGTACTGTGGAAAGCGGGTATGACGGGGAAGTTGATTCCGTGCAAGGAAGTGATATACACGAACATGTTCTACAACTTCAACACAGTCTTTACGGCTTTCACTAGGCCCAGAGGCGACAGGAAACCACGATGGTGGAGAGGAAAGTCGGGATTTTGCAGGAAATGTGAGGATGAGTTTAAGGTGACTGCCCTTTACCCTTCTTTGCGCTATCCCAACCCATCCACCGTTCTCAACAGGCTTCGCTAGCCAGTGACTCTTCACCAGTGGGGAATTGTATTGAAATTGAGGCGCTGACCTCGCAATCAGATGCCCAAAACAATCCACAATGAAACACAGAACGGAATTCCGATGACGATCATCCGAAAGGACGGAAAGGGAGAGAAGGAAGCAAAGGAAGAATTGGATTTGAACCAAATATGGCCACCGCGCAATTTTGATTCGACTTACAACCCTTTTTTCAGTCCTCTGAAACGCGGCCACCTCCCACAGCCAGAATTCGATCACCCATTCATCTACACACCATACGTCAATCGAACGGTTTCTGACCTCCTCCAAATCGCCGATCAATCTTCCGAAGAACACCAGGATCGCCGCCACCTATACTATCCACCGAACCTTGAGCTCTACGATTCCAATCGTCAGTTATCTCAATGGTGTTCGTGCGCTCATTACATGGGTATCCCATTGGAGAGCTGTTCCAACCCGTACTTGACAAACAATGGCGGCTTGACGTTGGCAGACAGATCTTATATTCAACATGGTTTGAAATTGGGTTGGGAGGTGGAGTATATCTGGAGGTAAGCAGTCCGAAAGGTATGGAGAAAGGGACCAATTGCTAATTTTCTGGAACAGGAAGAAGTTCAGGATGAGGGGAATGGACTTCGAGTCTTTCAAGCGCTTTGCGCCAGCAGGAGAAACCCTCCCATCTATGAGCAATGGCTCAGGACGGGAATGATAGACGATTCGACCGGCGGCTCCATTCTGTACTATGATAGCATGGAACTTAATCGCATGAAAAAAGGGCCGGTACAAACTGGTCTTGCGTCGCATTAGAAATATACATACGTTCTCAGCACCAATCCGTTGTAATGCAACATTCCAAAGCCCTAATGTCTACCTGAACGCCTCGCCCTACCACTTTGCCAATATACACGACAAACCCTTTGGATGTCTTCGTTCGCCAACAAGTCGTAGTCCTTTCATCTTCCCTATCCATCTGCTCCTTGGAACTCCAAAGCCTTGGAAGATACCAATAACCCGATGATCAAGCCAAACAGTCCGAGAACAGAGCTGAAGATTTCAATGACGAGAATCTTGACGAATCTACAGCGCAATATTAGTGATCACCCTATTCGAGGGCTTCATCGAAACTCACAAACTCGGATCAGCAGCATCAGCCAGCGCTGCGCCACTACCATTGATCCCCACAGACACACCACAGATCAAATTACACATCCCCACTGTTAAGCCAGCCCAGAACAACGCATATCCAGTGTAGTAGTTGCTTCCTGAATACAGAGCATCCCCTTGTACGAATTTGAGCTTTGCCGAGAAGACAATGGACATGATGACGCCGTAAATGGCGACAACTTCGCAGAAGATGATGGAGATGAGGTTCTTCGTTCGGATGCGAGGGGCGCGGACACCACCACCGATAATCGATGAGCCTGTTATCAAGATTCCCCTGTGATTTGATCAGAGACAGATATGTTGGGCAAGAGATGTGTTTACCATGCAGCTCCAACGACTGACAATCCAATGCAAAGTCCGATGCCTAAACTTGCCCAAGCGTGAGGTGATACGTCTTCGAGGAATTGTCCGACCTAGCCCCAACATCAGTCTCCATTCCCACACAGTCTTCAAGCGTTGAACATACATTAAAAGCTTCTCCGTCGCCAGTAAAGAGCATATCTGCGAAGGTCAGTCTCGTCTTTAACCTAGAATCCTCATCTTACAAGCTCCGACTACAGCCAATGCCGTGGTAGCACTACCAACTCCATATCTTAAACTCATCTTGCCGCCAGAATTGGATTTCGGATTGGTGATCTCGAGATATCGTCGTCTTGACAGCTCAAGGTTGTCAAGCATCGCGAAGCTCAACCGAGCTAGGCTTCCACAAATTCACTAGCGCCTGCTGACTCATTCTTCCAGGCATATCTGGTGTATCAAGAAGTTCACGACAAAGAAGAACTTCGACTCTACAACGTCGTCTCGCCCCCAGCACAACCATCATGGCGGCGACCGGACAGTCCTTTTACGAGCTCTATCGCCGTAGCAGGTACTGTGCCTTTGCTCTACAAGCCGGTTTGCTACCATGTACTGACTGAGAGACCTTTAGCATCGGCATGGCGCTCACGGACACCCTCGACGACTTGATCAGCGAGCGTCGCATTGAGCCCCAACTCGCGATGAAGATCCTGGCGAACTTCGATCGCAGCATCACTGAGGTATTAGCCGATAAAGTGAAGGCGAGGTTGACGTTCAAGGTATGTGGGCCCTGGTGGGGAATGAGGAGAAGGGAAGCGGCGAGGCTAACAGGGCAAAGGGTCATCTTGATACGTACCGTTTCTGCGACGAGGTCTGGACCTTCCTGATAAAGGACGTCACTTTCAAGATGGAGAACTCGAGTCAGACGGTGCAGGCGGACAAGGTCAAGATCGTGAGCTGCAACAGCAAACGGCCTGGAGATCCTCAATAGCTAGGACATTCCACAACCTTACATTATCGATCTGGGATCGCAGTGCCTTCTATGCTGCAGCAGGATGTTCTTTATTCATGCGCGATATGCCTGCGCCATTTTCTAGAGTCACCGATTATTCCTCAGAAGTGAGATGGTGACATGAGGGCTCTGGCAGAGTTATGGTACGGTGTTCCGGGTAGGAGGCGTTCATAAAGGTCAAGGACAAGGCAAAGAATGAACCCAGAGATAGAGACAATACGTCTTGGGAAAAGATATCACAGACTGCCGTCAATCAAAACGCTGATCTTATAGCACGTTCTGCTCTACTTGCGGCTGACTCGCGGGGTAAAGGCGCAACGAAGCCATGAAAATGAGATTAATATGCAGGTCCTCATGCAAATAGATGTGAAGGCCTTTTCCATCTGCACCTGAATTCAACGTAAAGGCAAGATTATGCCAGTCAGTTTCAGGCCCTTTCTTACCCCTTAAAACCAATCCTTCGGGCCGCTCAACAACCGAGCTCCGTCCCGCGCCCTTAAAAACTTGATACCAGCACACTTCACCAAGCACACCCAATCCACGCTTCACACAATACGAGACAAGCTGCTCCTAGCATCACCTTCGTCTAAACGCCCTGCACCAAACTAGCAATAGTACACTTTTACAAACAAACACGTAGCAGAAGACATGCTGCGCCAACGAGCACCTAAAAGCAAGAAAGACAGCGTGACCACCACACCAGGTGCCACGCAACCCACCGCATCCTCCAATACAGGGGCAATATCAACGAGCAGACACGCCACAATGGACGCGGCTGATGATCCGCGGCAACCCCTGCTTGGTGCCAGGGACGACGCTGCTTTATCTCAACGACACCTCTCATCTCCGCCATCTCAAGATCATCCTTCTGACGAAGAGAGACCTGAGGACGACGACCAGGCAAAGAAGATGGAGAATCTGAGCAGGAAGAGCCAATGGATTGTTCTGGCGCTGGCCAGCGGTGCATGCGCGGCTTTCAACGGGGTATTTGCTAAGTTGTACGTCATTTCACTTCTCTTTTCCGCGGTTCCGATTACGGCAAATCAGCGGAAGGAGAAGATATACTTCTTCTCAGCTAAAGGTTTGATGGAAGGGTCGAAGGCTAGTGACTCTTTACATTGTCCCTTTTCCTGAGACCTGTACCTGCACCGTTGATATGGTACCTGTGCAGGCGGAAGGTGACATTCTCGTCTCTCCCGGTTGGCTGACTTGGATTGATACCCAGAACCACGACAGAACTTACAACTAGCTTTGCGACCTGGGTCGCGAATCTTATTGGTTTATCAAATATCGAGGGAGGTGTTGAGGTCGTTGTTCGTGCTGTATGTTCTCTCTCTTCTCATCTACTCTTTATTCTTGTTCCGTCTCATCTCCGGAATGACCAGGATTTCAACTCACTTACACCGGATGGCTACATACCTCTTTCGCACTAATCATGCACCCTTTCGCTTCATTGCAAGGTCTTTATGCATCAGTTCAGTTCTGATCATCGTATTCAATAGATGTTCTTCGGCCTAAATCTCATCTTCAACGGCATAATGTGGACACTCTTCACCAAAGCTCTCGCCAGAGGTACTTCAACAACGCAAGTCAGCATCCTCAATACCTCGTCAAACTTCATGATCACCGCTGTTCTCGGTTGGATGATCTTCTCTGAATCTCTACCGCCGCTTTGGTTTGTGGGTGCTGCGTTGTTGGTCGCGGGCAACGTGATCATTGGTCGGAGAGAAGAGGGCGAGGAGAAAGGAAAGGGGGATGAGCAGGCGAGGGCTGAGCATGGCGAGGCGGGTAACGAGGAATCTGAAGGCTTGCTTGTTGGTGAGGAGTTGGACGATCTTGATGAGTTGGAGCTCGAGAGGAAGAAGAGAGAGGAAGAGGATGTACTTCAGTTGGATCTAGAGGAAGAGAATCATGGCAGGAGTGGCAGGACGTTGATTTGATACGACAGAATGAGACATAGAGGCATTTTGGGCGTGTGATACCCACCATAGATGTGAAAAATCCCATATTCAAGTCATCCTTTTACAGTTACCTATTTCAGATAGCGAGGCCCATGACTGAAATGTGCAAGTCTGTCTCATCTGTCAAGTGGCATCAAATCCTTGGAAGCATTTAGGCGGGCATTTAAACACGCTTTGCGGTCAAATGACCCAATGCATATTCGAAGAGCGAATTGTTCGCATTCACCTCACCTGCAGAATCCTGGAGTCAACCTCGAGGTCTCGACCTTTCATCAACCAACACCACAGTCCCCAAATCACCTCCTCGATCCGATCAACGGAACTGCGACCATTATTCAATCACCCAACTAGTACCGAACAACGGCGGCTCAATTTTCCTCAGCGGTTGGTACATCGAAGGTCGGTGCAACAGGATATTCTGACAAGCCTCCTGGCCGAGACACTGCTCAAGATCATATCGCAACCTCCGTCAAAAAACTGTCTCGACCTCGCACAATCATGTCAATTCCTCCACAACTTCGTCAAGCTCAGTGCGGGTAGGATCTGCAACGAAGCTATCCGAAGGCACTTTCTCAATGAAGCTGCGCCATTGAAGTCAGAGCTAGAGGCTGAATAGTTGGTTTCTATGCATACTCGAGTCAGCGCAGAGGAAGGACGTATCCAAGAGCTTCACTTCGACCATGAGGTCATGCTCTACAAGTTGCTGCTTTCGAGGCCTACCCCAGGCTGTGACCTTCCCTCTCACAGTTTCGCAAAGCAGTTGCCTTCAGTCTACTGGGAGAGGTTAAGCCAAATGGTAAATCACACCTCAAGGTCAGCTCTCCGGGTCCACAACACCTCTATTTTCTGGAACAAGGTCTACTTGTAGTTGGTGCGGGAGACTTTCAATTCAAATCGGCCAAATCGCGAAGGAAGCAGTAGTAGTGGACAGCGATACTTCTTCGATCTTCAAGACTGGTTGGTGTTTGAGGCATCTCCCAGGCGGCCGCACTCGTTGTGGTACTTCTTGCAGCGCTTTGATATAGTGGATGTGAAGGATCAAAAAAGCTTGATGCTACCTCGAACTTCTAAAGAGAAGTTCCGGGGGAGCTGATTTGGTTTTACGGTTTTGACAGGCTGCGGTTTGTTAGAGATGAGGAGTGAAAGAACTTGCCATTGCTACTCTGGGAATAGATGGTTGGATCCATTGATTTTAGGAGGTTGGGACAGTAGTTAGTAGTGCTTTTCTCGGCCATCACTGAAAGAGGGATAGATCGAGGGATCAGAGAGGGGCTTGTTGAACTTAGCGGGAAGAATAAGCAAATGATAAGTTGTATCTCCTCTTAGATTTCAGAATTCCTAATATTCAGACCCCTTTTCCTTTAGCTTCAAGTGAAGCATTTGGCATGTAGAGAGCTTGTTTCCAGAGAAAGTAGAATTCTTCTCCAAGTCAGAAGGGTTACACTTCAATGTGGATCACTTTATTCAGTTTTGAGGTCAAAGTTCGCGTGATGCTAGGACATGAAAAATATCATTGTCAAGATAGACACTGCTGCATTGGTGATGCCGATATGGATTGCTCCAATAATTTGAGTCATTCAGCAGTCGAGCAGCAGTTCATACACCAACTCACTAAGTGTATTCACCATATCTCGGATTTAGAATACTATGCTTTCTTGAGGCAGAACGGGAAAAAGTAAGCTTTCAATATCACTTGAACTATTAGGACAGATATCCATACTATTTTAGCTTATGATAGGCTCTCTCATTTGATTCATACTTAAAACATTTAAGCTCTAATGTTCCAAAATCTCTATTGTTTTGTCATATGACCAGCCTTTCAATGTCGCACCAAGGGCAAATTATTTAGCTCTCCCCTGCCTTCTGGTTCTTCCCCACAGCTAATTTTCTTAGCCCAGAAGTAATCGCCCAAGTGTTGGAAATTTGTAAGACTGTGCTAATGTAGTAGGTGGAACCGAAGTCATCGCTATCACCTCCTGTATATAAAGTGAACGATCTTGCTACAAAAGGAAGCAAACACGACATCAAAGCCTTATTACTGGCACAAGGCGCCTCAACAAGAATTAAACACCAGCCACACCAGAAACCCGGAAATTCAGCTTTCTCATAACTTTGGAGTCTCTGGTCTTCAAGGATTCATTCAAGTTCATTTTCGGAGGAATTGTCAAATATCCGTCTGAAGGTTTACTGTCAAGTTTCTGCTCACATCGATCAGTTGTGTGAATGTGAGGACTTCTACTCTTTCAGCTCTTCTGCGTGGATCCTTGGATATCTAGCATTGTTTAGTGGTCACTCTGCGCTATCTACATGTCTTCTCACCATTGAAATGGAATAGTGTGAATGCAGTTCACTTGAAACCAACAAAGGTGACCTTTGACCAAGGCTATTGGCCGGCCAATCAGGCGTTGGCGATTCTCTTGAGATGTGCAACAAAAATCCCATGATCTAACTCACTGACTCAGTGACTTAGTAGTCATTTATACGAATTGTGTCTTGGAAGTCCGACGAGTACTTGCTCCTCAGTAATTTCACTGAACGGCGACACATTTAACCTCCACGGGGCTCAGCAAGCCAGATATACTCAGAACTGCTTTACTTAGCTTTTGAGGTTGAGGAGATATTTCTACCACCTCTCAGAAGACTGAGTACAGATACTCCACAAGAAAATCAGGCAGGCAGAGCGACAGCTTTTCCCACCAGACCGCCTTATCCAAATTCACGCTCAACAACGTCCCACAATCGTAGTACCTCAACTCTCCACGAAGCCCACAACAACAGAACCAGACTCTCAATCATTGCTGCCCCAATAAACACGATTCAGATGCCAATGTCGATGTCTAATCAATCTCACGTTGCTCGTCGCACCATCGCAATTCCCCCAAAGTGGCTGGCAATACATCTTCCCACAATAATCCTCCGTCGCTCCGCAATAGCCGTTGCCCGAGCAACATGGACCGTTCTGGTTTCCCAAGCACGTATAACCTGCCTCGGGACCGTATTTTCCATCAGGCGAGATTTTTGCACCCGGAGCTAGACTGTATGTTGGGATATTCGCTGGCAAGGAGGCGGGCTGTGGGAGCAGGGCGGATGCAGAAATGCCTGGCGGAAGGGTGGGGTGAGCAGATGGTGTCCAGAGTATGGTCGTTACTTCCACAGATGTACTTCCCAAGTGGCTGGAAACAGATGTAGGGGTGCTTGTGGCAGATGTGCTAGCTATCGACGTAGTTGGACTGATATTAGAGGAGGGAGAAGGGACAGTGCTGAGGGTTGATGATGTAGTGACAGATGTTGCAGCAAAGGCGACTGGGCTTGATGGTGCTACAACAGTATTTGAAAGAGAAGCGAAGGTGATTATATTGGAAGCCTCGACCGTTGTACCGGGTCTTGAGGAGGAAGAAGTAACCGTCAGTTCTGATCCTTTATCAGTAGAAGTAGACTTTGATGCGATGGTGGAGGGTGTTGGTGACGAAGGAGGCGGAATGGATGCAGAAGCTAAAGTACTGGGTAGCGAACTTGAAGCAGTCGAATAAGGGATAGACGGGGTGGCGCTTGGTGTCGATACAAAAGTACTCGAAACAGTCAGAAAAGTGATAGCGCTAAGTAGTGATACTGATGTATTCGAAATAGAGGTCGATCTGGAAGAGCTGGGGATAGATGAGTAGATGATGGTGCCAAGTACTGATTGCGAAGTAGAGGAAGCTGCGGAAGATATAACAGTGCTCAGTGCTGCTATTGGAGTCTTCGAAACATGGATGGAAGTAGAAGTACCGGCTGTCAACGACACAGTGCTCGAAACAGAGGCGGATCTCGCAGAACTAGGCACAGATGCGGAGGGACTGGATCCTACTGCCGACTCCGAAGTAGAGGGAACAGAGGCAGAGGTAATAGTACTAGACGTCGATTCTGGACTCATAACGGAAGCAGGCGCCATGGGAGAACCCGCGACAGTAGAGATTCTTTGGCCTGTTGCAGCATGGGTATTGGGGTAGAGGATTGAGCTAGGCGTAGGATTCAAATTTTTGCCTTGACCTGGAGGGCCGTTGTAATTCCCTGAATTACAATTAGATTCCATCGTATCGCATTTCTTGGTCCAGATATTGCAATTAGAAGTTCCGATTGGCCCCGAGCTGGAGATACAAGCTGTAGATTGGTCGTAGCATGATGCGGTGGCCTGCCCTCTCGTCAATAAAGATTCGGCAGTTGTTTAAGGGATAGGCTTACATTTTTGCAATCTTCTTCTGTCGAGTACGGGCTCAATTCGATTCCAAACCAATTGGCGTTTGTAAGGACGACATTTGAAGGCAGAACTCCCACGCCCTGAAATGGCAGGCTAGGATGTTGAATAATTGGCGAAACGTCAGTGAGATAAACGTTTGGTCCTGGTACTGTGTACGGTAACATCGGTGATGAGATATCAAACTGTAAGGCCGGGTCGCCTGCCTTGATATACCCCGGTATACTGACAACATCTTTCGGAAGGGTTGTTTGACCGGAGTCCAGAAAGATTTGAGCGCAGCCAGTATAAAACGAAGGCGTACTGTCTGCTTGCTGAAGGGTTATTAATTCGGGTCGAACGAGGTAGTAGCCGCCTGCGAGCTCGGTAGGTACTACAATGGAGAGCAAACCCTTATTCTGTATGAGGTTATCCGTGCACCACTGTGATGCGTTCTTGTCATAGCCCTCTTCGTAGATTTTGAACCATCCTTTTCCCGCGCCAGGATCTGCGATGGCCGAGTCGACGTATTTCATGTAGACACTGCAAGGTCCCTTGTGGCTTGAGTCTAAACGCCGGGCTTCGAATTGTCTGGATATTGCTTGAATTGGAAAGTCAATACACCACCTTGCTGGACTCGGCACACTCGATAGACACCAAAGGTCCCATTGTATCCTATGGAACATCAGTAATGACTCAGATTGCCTTGGGGTATACGGCTTCGACAGCTCAAGCACGGCCAGACATACCACAAGCCAGATCAGGGCTGGTGAGGTCGGTCACAGGGGCCGTGGCATTTGTTGTGTACTGAGGCATGCGAATACAAGCCCCAGCACCCTGATCAACATCAGTGACAATCAAGTCACTGAACAGAGTTTGTGCCATAACTGCTTGAAGAGCAGATAGGACAATAGCAAGTGAGCGCATCTTCATGGTTGAGTCCTCTTTAGAAGATGGAGACAGATGGGCAGAGGTGGAAGAGAGGTGGAAGGAGGTTGTGAACGAGCAGTATAAATACTTGAACATAAATCATGTTGTTGCTTTGGATCAAATTGGCATTCTGAATCGAATCCACACACTGAATTGAAATTTGCTGTTTTCATTGTCCCCACTCCAGGTTGGACAATGAAGAAAAGAAGCCGCTGAATCAAGAAAACTAAAATTAGTGAATCGCTCCCAATTTGGGATGGAATCAAATACCAGTGTACTTGCTATCAGCTGAAGTCCGGCTTATTTGAAGATCTTGCCTTACAATTCCAAACAGCGTGGGAGCATACATTAGAACCAGGAACAAAAATTGGAGAGGAGATTCATTTAAAGTCCAGCAACACCGCCGGCCAAGGTAGATGGCACAGGCAAATCTCATCCATCCCCAAAATCACACCCCTCTATACAATTTCACCATCACTCCCCTTGCTCATTGTTCGCTATGCTTGTTTTGATACATGTATAGTACATTGCCCTCATTCTCGTGATTCGGTATAGCTGGTCGTTTATTCGTTGATCTTTGCGAGGATACTGCGATTATCGTTAGATTCCCCGAGGGCCGAAGATGGGAGTGATGTTGACTTACTCATGGTCTCTGAAAAGGTGGTACTCCTCATCTCCAACCTTGACTGGTGATCCACCATACTAAAATCTTGTCAGCACAAGTCCACCTTGAATCATCACCACCCCAAGTCTCTGAATCCATTCACATCCTGCTCCCCCATTCCCGTCTCCGACCCGGAGGATAAACAAAACACCATCCCAACTCACCTGAGGAATCAAAACCTTATCACCTGGCGCTACACTACACGAAACCCTCTTGCCATCCTTATCCAATCCGCCGGGACCGACCGCCAAGACTTTGGCCTCGTTCAGCTCCTTGACACTCGATTCTGGCAGGTAGATGCCACCCGCGGTCTTGGCCTCCATCTTGACACGCTGAACCAGGACGCGGTCGAGCAGCGGCGCGAGGGATTTGATGGATTTGAGTGCTGTAGACTATTCATTGGAATCATCAGTATTTGTGCCCGGGAGAAGAATGCAGGGTGAGGACGGCGAGAGCTATGGTACAGAGCAGGACATGAGTGTTGCCATGAACTGATTTGTAAAGCTTCGGATTTGGAGGGAATTAAGTGGAGGACTTACCATTTTGGAGGGCTCTGAAGCTGTTGCGTTGAGTCAATTGCACGTAATAATGGATTGGTTCAGTGGAGTCGTTAAAGGGCGTGAGGTGCGTGAGGGAGAAAATGGTCTTGGGTTCCTTTCGCAGAGCTTCGAAGATCTTCTCGAGCAAAATACTTTTTTTTAGCCGAGCTCAAGCCGGACCAGGGGTGTCACATGATTATCCCTCCAATACCCCTTTTCGAAGCGTTGTTTACAGCTATTGAAATTGATCGACGAGTCATCAAAGGAATTGAGAATGAAAAGATTAATAGCATTAGAACAGGGTGCTGGTCATAAGGACTCTACATAGTCCTTCTCTTCGATCTCTCACGGAGACGCCAGACTTCAAATTCTACCCTTCCTTTCCATGCCCCTCCAATCTACAGCAGCTTCTCTGCTTGATAAGCTTCTATGAACGGCACCATTCAAGTGCTGACAAAAATATATAATCCAACTCATACGTAACTCAAAACAACCGTAATCCATGACCCGTAACACCGATCCATCCAATGCACCCTTCACCCTTCCCCTTTCCATTTCAAACTTGCTTGTAACGCTACATTTCTCTCACTTTCCGGCTGGAGCAGGTGGTGCTGGTGGCTCCAGAGTGTGAGCATGCCCGTCGGCTCTGATAATGGCACCTGCCAGCTCCTGGCGGCAGATTAGTGTCCCAGAGACCCAGGGATCATCTAATACTTCTGACATCTTGGCCCGGTTTTTGGGGTTAATCTCAAGCATACGACCAATGATGTGCCTGCTTTCTCTCGGCAGAAGACGGAGAAGACGCCATGGGCCTTTAATGATCTCTGGTTTCTTCTCAGCTTCGGGGGCTGTTCCATTTGCTTCATTTGTAGCTGCGTATTCAGTTTTTGCCGTGGTGGGATTGGTCTGCGAGTCAGGGACGGCATCTCGCGCGGGGGTATCTAAATCGTTGGTGGACTTCGATGGGGAGTCAGATATCCTTCTGATATCTGTTCCAGGAGTTGGAGGTGATGCAAAAAGCTTATAGGAATTATCCGTCATTCGTGGCATTTTCCAGGGAAATCGGCGGAGAGACATGCAGCAAAATATGATCGCCAGGGACCAGATATCGGGGGGCTGAGGATCATACTTCCTCTCATCGTAGACTTCAGGGGCGAGGTATGGATCAGATCCAACAATGCCTGGAACGTATTAGCACACTTGACTTAAAATGGAGATGTTGCTGGCTTACCACTTGCGAGTGTGATACCGTTTTCAAAAGGGTATTTGTAAACGGTAGCACTGCCGAAGTCGATGATCTTCATGATTCCCTGATCATTCACGACAACATTGTCAAGCTTCAGATCTCGATGCGCTAGTCCCATACTGTGCAAATACGTGACACCGCTTAGAATCTGTAGAAACGAACAACTGATCTCCTCCCTTGACATCTTCCCGGTCATGACGATGGCGAACAAATCGAATGGAGCGTATTCCATGACTTCGTACCACTTTCCTTTCTCATTGATAATATCGAGAGTCTCGATAATATTGCCATGGTGCAAAGTAGATCCAACACAGAACTCGGCAGTGACTTTTTTGGCGTACTCCTTCTCTGTCTCGTATGAATGCCTAGCTCTGAACTCCTTGACTGCAAATGTCGTTCCGTCACTACTTCTCTTCATCAAACGCACTGAACCGCCCGCTCCGGCTCCAAGAACCTTCCCAAATTTGCCATACTTTGACTGGATTCCATGATCGTCCCCAAACGGCAGCTGCTGAGGCGTCTTGTGATGAGGAGGGGTCTTGGTTCCAGATCTTGCGGAGGGAGTTGGAGATGCTGCGCGTTTCGCTTTGTGGTGCCCACCAATCTTCAAGAAGCGCTTGAGTTCTGACATCGATCCATGCTTACTCTGAATGGTGGAGGAACTTTCGTCGTGCAAATGTGACAAGTGTTCCTTGTGACCTCCCCCAAATATGTTCGAGTGCCTCTTTTCAGGAGCATTCACGTCAACTGCACTGCGAGACGATCTTGGGAGGCTGGCGGATGAATTTGAGGAGCCCGTTGGCCGGTGCTTTGAGCCGAGAGCAGTGAACTTGAACCTCGCATCGATTGCGTCAAGATTCTTAGACTGCGGAGGACGTTTATGAGCAGCGTATGGGTCGTTCGCGTCTCCTGCTGGTGTGAAGGGTCTGGTATATGTTGATGATCTGCTGGGGCTAGTATCTCGGGAGGCGGGGACTGACGAGTCGTGTGTACCAGGACCGATCGAGAAAGCACCGTGGTGTTTTGGTGCTGCTCCAGTGGACTCTGTAGAACGACTCGTCGGTGCCGTTTGGCCTGATGACCCTGGCCGGGAATCGTCTATATTTGTAGTTGATGGTGACGTATTGGGTAGCGAGATTTGTGGTGTGACTGCTGCAGGGTCCTCGTCCGTTTTGACTTTTTGGAAAGTGGCACCTTTGACGGTGCCGTCGATTGCGTCCCGCGATCTTGTTGCCGCCGGTGTAATGGGCGGTGAGTGCATCGAAGATGGTCGAGGACTTTGGTGAGGTGACGGCCGGCCGGAGGAGGTATGCGTATTATGCCGGCTAGGTTCGTGTGAACTGTCGTCGTGCGAAGGGACCTGCGACATCGACGGATTAGACACAAGTAAAGGAGAAGAAGAACAAGAAGAGATGAAAAGAACTACATATGCCAATGCAAGTAGGTGGGTCATCTCTGAGGCTGTCCCATTAGTGCGGGGGGTAGATCTAATATCTCATCCTCAATGCACGTAGAGTAGCTGATGCCGGATCCAGGGAAATGGCAGAACGCCGAACTTCTCCCTGGGGAATTATTCGAATCACCGTGGGGTACCAAGACATGTCCATTTTGGCCTTTCGGATAACCCGGATTTGATATGGAAGACAGAGGTGTACGTACCCTTGAAGCGGGAAGAGAAACAGGTTCAAATGCGAAGTGGCTCATCCGGCGTTCCTGTAGATGTGTGCCATGAAGTGACTTGGATATTTCCTTTAACTTCTCCTCGTCCTTCCCGGAGATAGCTTGCGGCGACGAGATGGCGTCAATGTGTGCCGGTTCGATTTCTTGGTTGATAGATGCAAAGCGCACTGCTGAGGAAGCATCGGCTTTCTTGGGATCAAGGCTAGAAGCCGTATTCTGCTCAGGACCTGTGAAAGAGGGTTTGTCAGAAACGAAACTAATGCTTATGGATTAAAGCCGAGAAACAGAAGATGGCGTAATTGAAACATCTGAATAGTAAGCATGGACATACCAACGGGGCCTGCTTGCGGCTGTTGATTCTCTTGCTCAGCCATGGCGAATGAGCACTAACGATAAGCTGAGCTTTGAGCAAGCACGAGGACAGAGCAGGTTCTCTAATAGCGAAGGATTGAGTGATGGCAGACCGTGGAGCAAAACTTCTGCGCGGTTGTGGTTGTGGTGGTGGGGCAGACTGAAGCGGGTGCTAAAGATGGGGGGGTCCTGCCCGATAAAGAAATGTCTCTGGGGCGGGATAGAGTAGGATTGGAGCAGCTGCAATGCACAGCAAGAAGTTGTCAATGGATGGCAGAAGCACACACGACTCGTGGATCCAGGAAGATGCAGCTCAGGAAGTCGACGACGTTGCAGGCACAGCGCGCCCGCTGGTGGGCAAGCCATCGTCACTTGTCTACGACTGAAAAGGCAATATCTATCTCGCTCAGAACACGGATACGGCGAGTGGGCCAACCACGCCTGCGGTCTTCATCCAATGAGGGGCGCTCCACGTTGTTGCTTGTTTAAGCCACATCTCGCTTCTAGAATTTCCGATTGGGCCCAGAAAGATTCTTTGCAGAGAATTTCATGTGCAAGCCAGTTGCGTCACGAGGGGACGGCGCTTTCGAATGTTCTGTACGCAGTACATCCGGCAAGATGACAAAGGCTGTGAACGGCCCGGAGACTGTTCACTGTCCGAATTTTCTTACCCCTGTTGACAATGGAGAGTCATCGATGAAGTTTTGGGACCAACGGTTTTAAGAGAGCGAACCCCGAGCCCCCAAAAGCCCTTTCCCCGAAGAGTTGAGTTGAGCATGTTGGGAGCTAGACCACTGTATCTGGTTTATGCACACACACCTTCAAAGTAAGGAAGGGTCAATGATTGCCCGAGGAACAGGAAGTCGGCGTGCAGATCTGCTTGGTTGAAGTTGTACGGTGCCGTTTTGGATGCCTAGATTCAAGTATACCAGGTCCATACCGGTATCGTAGAGCCACAGAGAAAGCTTGTCAGGTCCTGCCGAGGTGGCCAAAAGGGGGTCCGGTTACCGGCATTGGCATGGTCTGGATTCATCGGATGGCTGATCCACACGTGATAGCAAGCCTCAAGAACGGCCTGATGAGCTGGGGATGTATGGTTTCATACTATACTATCTCGATGTCCCGATAATGTACAAAGCCCTGGACTTGGTGTTGTACCCCTTTTCATACAGAACCTTTCCTAAATGCCGCCGCAATGTCGATAAAGCAATTTGATCCATGGATCAATGCATATCTCTGATGACTTCACATCGTCCCAAGCTCTAGTACAGCTCTGTACTAGAGCAAAATTCGTCCTTCCTGTGAATCTTACGCCGAAATTCTCTTTCGACGCAACGGCTCTTCCACAAAGTCTTGTCTCACCACACCCAGCGCCACATCCAACATTCTCCCTGTTGTACTATCCATTTCCAGCATCCAGATCACCCCTAAGGTTGAACGGCAACCCCTACAGTCTTCGCCTGTGCAATAACACTCTTACAAATCCCTTCCAGACTCAGTCCACTCAACCGCAGTTCACTCTGCTTGATCTTCGCAATCTCATAAACGTGCTTCAGACTGATTGTCCCCACAATCTCATTCCCACCCGCACCCTTTAGCTTCCCCTTCTTCTCCTCTACCCCGGCGGCGTTCAATAGTAGCCAACTCGTTGTAGGCGTCCGGATCTCGAAGTGAAAGGAACGGTCGGGTCGTACGGTTACGCGGGCTGGGATGGGAATTCCGGGCATCATGTGTGCCGTGCGGGCGTTGAATTCCTGGTGGGCTTGTAAGTGCTTACTCTAGAATTTTCAATTGGAGCTTAGGGGTTGTTCTGAAGCTCAATTGCTGGGGACGATGAGAGGTCGACGGTGCGTACTTTGCAGAAATCCATCGACTTTACACCTTTACTTCCCAGCGCAGGACCAACTGGCGGACTTGGGCTGGCTTGACCAGCCCCGACGATCAGCTTCACAATCTGATCTGTTGCCACGCGCGCTTTCGACATGTTGATGTGGTTACCGTGATGCGAGAGCTTGAAAGCATGAAGGTTTTATATTTCGCGATTAACTTCCAAGAGGCCCGTGCGGGGTCAGGGGGTTGAGTCACGTGCAAGAAGTGTTGTCAGTTTCTTCAGCAGGCGTAGAAGATAATGAAGCATAGGTTTTGTGGTTCTATATTCGAGTATCAGTCTCCCTAATTCTTTGAGTATCCTGGCAGGTGCCTTTTGTATAGAGAAAAGTCGTTCTTGTATACAAATAGCACAGCAAGTGAGGGATATTTGGCATTTACTCCTGAACATTTGCGGATTTTTACATTTTATGAAGAACACCCAATTTACTTCCAAGTAGTCTCGGAACAAAAGCCATCTAAATCGAATGTTTCCCAAGTATATTGTGCCCCTGTTTGACGTTGATGTCCTTCTTTTAGGGACCAGAACCTCGCTCCTGCCGGGGTATCCGAGGCTCCATTTTTGAGATGACAAAGTTCCTAATATTAGATGACTTTCTCTGTTTGAGAGCGACGTAGCTGTTTCAGTCAGTACGAGTATGAAGTTCATCGCATTGATTGACTCGTGATGTCGCAATGAGTACCGATAAGACTTGCTAGGAACACCCATTGAGGTTGCTGACGTAGAAGGGATCCGCCAGCGAGGCGAGGCGAGGCGAGGTGGTGGACTAGGAGGGGCGACTAGATATTTTGGAGATTTCAACCTTCTGTAAACAAATCCCCACGACCTCAACCTAAGAAAACTACCAACACGTTCCTTCAAGATGATGAATTGGGCGAAACAACAGTATGTTTTCTGTTTCTACATCATAGTTGAGCTTGTCTAACCAGTGCGTTCGAGCAAAAAAGGCTGGCCAACGTGGCCGGCACCCAGGAGCCAATCTACGGCCCATCACACATTCGGTCTGTAGCCAAGCAAGCGGAAACTACACCCTATAGTATTCTCAAACGAGAGGACTTGAAATGGGTTACCCCGGACTCGACAAACGTGGAAACAGCAAGCTTCTACTTTAATGGTGATAACGGACACATCGGATTTGCTCAGGTTATCTACAGCAACGTTGCGTATGATCCCTAAAACTTTCCTTGCACAAAAAATCGCTGACGATGTGCAAAGCGGTATTAAGACGACTGTTCAGTTCAACACAAAGATTTTCTACCCCAAAAGCGAAAACAAAGCTCCGCTCTTCTTCTCTGACCAAGTCAAAGATGTCGACTTCAGCGAGGACAAATGCAACTTCTACGCCGAAAACTGCGCTGTCGAGTTGTCCGAAGATGGCAAGACATATACAATTAAGTCGATGGTCAATGAGGGCTCTATTGTCAACCTCAAGATAACACAGGTTGCACCAGGTTTCCAGGTCGGAACGGATGGGACTACATTTTTCGGGCCGGATCCACAGGCACCTTGGGGTACGATGAGGCATGTCTTCTGGCCGAGGAATAAGTGCGAGGGATCAATTTTGACCAAGGACGGTCCTGTAAATTTCAATGGGAATGGGCTATTCATCTATGCCATTCAGGGAATGAAACCACATCACGCTGCCGCAAAATGGAAGTTCGCCGACTTCCAGGGCACAAATTATTCTGCTGTAATGATGGAATTCATCACCCCTCCATCTTATGGTTCTACCGTGGTCACTGTTGGTGGGGTTGTCAAGGATGGAGAAATTATCACGGCAGGATCTTCTTGCGTCGCCTCACACCAAAAAGTCAAGGAAGACCCCGAGAATGAGTGGCCAGAACCAGAGGAAGTATCATTCGAGTGGACAGGGAAGACGAAGGACGGCAAGGATGTTAAGGCCGTTCTTTCTGGCCCTCTCAATGACAAAATTGACAGAATTGATGTTATGTTTCACGTACCGGGGTTCGTGAAGAAGATTGTGGCAGGGGCTGCAGGAACGAAGCCATACATTTACCAGGTTTGTATTCCCCAACTCCTTTAATACATCGAGTCTAACAGGGCTTTTAGTACTCTCCAACCGACCCGGCCATGCCTCTGAAGATAAATATTGGCGACGAGGAGGTTATCGAACAAGGTGTCCTGTTTTCGGAGGCAACATTCATCTGTCCATGATCTTCACGACTAATAATTGCATCGTTGGTTTATGACTTTCATGGCGTTCTGAGTAGAAGAGGCAAACACATTCGTTGGGTACTACAGTGCATTAATAATGCAGCAGCTCAGGTAGCACGCACGTAATAATAGAGTCTCGATACGAGAGACTTGAATCAATTAAATGACCTCGATACAACTTCCTCCCGTACCTTTTGAAAGTGATTTCCGTCACCTTCAAGAAGAGCGTTCTTTTCACCTTTAACTTTTTAGATTCACTCCATCTTCTCAAGCCGCTTACCCCTCAACGCGTTAGCGCAAGGCTGGGGCTCGTCGCCTTGCACTGTGAAACCTCACAGTGACTCGAGGTATTCAAAAACAACACCACTGCATTGGCCGACATAGACTGCAAGTTAATCCGCTCTTGTAAGGTCAAGATCAAAACAAACATGGCACCATTCTCGTCTCCTGCGAGTCGGGCCTTTCCTTTCGGACCCAGAAGTGACCCCAGAAGTAACGGCCGGCCCACCCTCGCAGGCAAGACCGTGCTGTCCAGCCAGCACGAAGCTGGGAGAGGCAAGTCCTCACGCGGAATAGGCATGAGAGGTGCGAAGCGCATGCGGTAGGTGTCACTCTTCTTTGCTCTTTCCGTTCTTGTCCACTAGTCCTTGGAACTGATTCGGGTCGCACTCCAGCAAGATTCCTCGGGACTGCATACAAGGAATCAGTAAGTTGAGACCTTATCACCCATTTGAAGACGACTTCATGCTGACTCTCTTTCCTGTAGCAAAAAGCGATATCCGGTATGTGCGAACCCACCTTGCAACACATTAATCAACGCCACGCCGCAATATACAACCCTGCAAACACTGCTGATAACATAACTTAGCCGTCTTGCCAGGCGGGGCGGCGTAAAGAGAATATCGGCTACTATCTATGAGGAAACGCGGTACGCATTGAAACAGTATCTCGAGAGGGTCGGTTTTGCCTCACCCTTTCCTCTCCGCTTTCTGCTAATCGAAATAGATCCTGAAGGATGTGGTTGCGATTACTGAGCATTCCAAGAGGAAGACAATCACTGTCACAGACGTGAGTTCACTTCCTGCTACTTCGGTACATAAAACTAATTAATACAAGGTCATCTTTGCATTGCGCCGTCAAGGTCGCCCCATTTATGGTTTTGATCACAAGGGTGGATCTTCCAAGACGACTCTATACTAGGGAACCTCTCAGGAGCTACGTTCTCGCGCGTCAGCGGCGGCCTTCTTCCTTTTGTCTCTGGAAGAGAATCCGCGGCGCACATGGCGTTGAATGGCGCAACTTCGCATTGTGACTCGGTCTACCTACTTCGACTTTCATAAACGAATTTCTGTCACAAATGCGCGCCATATGGTGGTTGACTACTACAAGGTGTTTATTAGTTGGGATATGGCGTTCACAGATTTGCAGACGTTTGTAGGATACGATTTCTTTCGTCGAATATGTCCTTGGTGAAGAGGAATATTGAGATCGTTCGGAAACATCCAGATGGAGAATGAGGATACCCCTGGTCGCCTTCGGAATAAGAAAAGGTTTTGTTTCATTCTATCAAGCCTTTGTGAGCAATGGTCTGGGAGCCTCAAAACAGGTATCGTCTCATCTACATCCTCCAGCCACCAACTTCCCTTATCGAATTCACATTCACACTCTCATTCCGCTCCACAGGTCTCCTCTCCTCTCCATCATATATAACAACACCACTCTTCCTCACACTCTTCCTCCCCTCGCTCCCAGGCCCCGTATTCATACTACTCGGCATCCGACCTAATCCCGTGTTTGCCCTACTACTCCTACTACTCCTCTTCATCATCCTAATATCCTCCTCTTCCTGCTCTCTACTCTTCTGCGCAACTAGCAATTCCTTCACATGTTGGTTACTTGCCCCGCCATTCCGGACCTGCTCGCTGAAGATGAAGGTTTTCCTGCCGCCAGGATAGCGTCCCTTCTTTACTTTCCGCTTGCGGTGGAAATAGGTGCATGTTATGTAGAAGCCGTGGATATGGCCTGGTATTACGCCGGCTATGAAAAAGATTGCGTTGAGGATGCAGTCCATTCCTGGGCCAGCGACGAGCATTACTGAGATAGGAGGGCCTGGGTTGATTAGTTTGGGTGGATTACGGGAAGAGAAGACGACATACAGAAGATGTTGATGAGGAAGACCATTGATCGTTCAAAAATCATGACGCCGATTTGAAGTGCACTTGGCACTCAATTCCTCTTGTGCAAATTATTGCTGAAGTTGGATAATGTTCAGAGCAACAGGTGTTGAGAATTGAGCAAGAGAGGGAAAGTACTTGTAGAAAAGGCATCAGCCACAGCAACAGCAGAAATCAAACTTATCTTATCAACCTCTTGGTTATCAGATTTCAGGGTCCTGCAAGAACTGCAAGAAGTGGTGATTTTTGGCAAGATCATCATGGTGACGCTTTTGATGCAGGTGGGGTGGGATGGTGGGATGAAAGCAGGAAATGTATATTGACAGGGGTTAAGCGAAGGGCTTGAGTGGAAGAATGATCAAGGGCGTTCGGAGGCTGATTTCTTGGCGTCGAAAGCGTTGATTTTATGTGATATGAGGCTTATGATTGAAGATTGACTCGTATGATCAAAATTCCTGAAGTTGATGAGAATTGTAGATTATGGGGGTGTTTCTTTGGCTGGACTTCGGATGAACCAGAAGTCCTCCGTACCCGAGATCAACCCCAGCCCCGAGTGAGACTTTAGTGGCACCCCATGTGATGCTGTTTGCTGCCATTGGCTGCGTCGCAATTGAAACCACAAGATTCACGAGGCTGAAGTTGGGCCCTTGAGTCCCTGCAAGGATCTTGGGGAAGGTCAATTCCCCTTAACGCGAGGCTGGAATGAAACGGCCAACCAGGAGTCTCGGCTCGTACGACTTGGGCCGATGCTTTGCATGAAGGTTCGATTTATTAAATGACACCAGCTTCCCCAGATTCTTTCCTTCCGTCATCTCTGTGTGTCTTTGAAAATCCACACGCAGCAGGAATTGAAGACTCCCAGATATGGAGACTACAGCTGCTACAGAGAAGACCAAGAGAAGCAGGAAGTCGGTAAAGCGCGCAAAGACTGGATGTATAACCTGTAAGATACGTCGGGTTAAGTGCGATGGTATGTTCACTCTGGCATGGAGCTTGAGAACGCATTTCCAATCGATCCCACTTCTCAGTATCTTGTGCTGATATTTTGCACAGAAGGAAAACCGACTTGCCACAGATGCCAGAAATTTGGAGTGAAGTGTGATGGATACGTTCGGCCTAGAAAAGCTCCGCCAATGGTCAAATCCACTCGGAAAGTGCTACTTCCCAAATCATCGATCAAGATCCTACTTCCAACATTCGGATTTGAAAACGAAGTCGAAAGAAAGTACTTTGCATAGTTTAAGGAAAAGACCGCTCTTGAAATCGCTCCATACTTCGACTCAGAAACATGGCGGCGCCTTGTGTTACAGACTTGCCAAGTACCAGCAATTCGTCATGCAATCATTGCAATTGGGGCGTTGGACAAAACATATATGACCTCGCGGACCGAGAATGACTCAAACCTAGATCTCTCAGAGGATCCAGATTCCCCCAATGTTCACCGAAGAATCGCGCTTAACCATTATATCAAAGCTATACGAAGTATGAGGGAGTCCGTGGAGCACGGCAAGCAGGATTTGAGAACCACACTCATCACTTGTCTGGTCATCGCTTGTTTCGAGGCTTTCCACGGAAACCATCCTCTTGCAAATGCGCAGATACTTACCGGCATGAGTTTGATCTATGAATGGAAGGCCACCTTCTCCAACGAAATACCTATGGGGTTCAAGTCTCCAAAACCAGACGTTGTTGAAGGTGATCTGGTGCAGACATTTGGGAGGCTTGAAGTTCAGACTTGTGAATACGTAGGAATGTATAACAGGCCTACTGCTACCCTAGAACGGCAAGCAGCTTTGCGAGCTGCTGGCACGAATGTGCTTCGTAAGTCGCATATTATATGCTATTTTCCTTAGATGAAAGCCGAGTCCCTGGGGGCTGTCTTATGAGCTCATCACGTTTTTATCCTTTGTGTCCTAGGAGCGAAGACGGCCCCGGGGCGCTCAAATGCTCTTCAATATCTGTCGATGTGCTGTACTAATCTGCAGGGCAGGAAATATGCCTCGAGAATTTGAATCATTACAAAGTGCAAGAATATATCTGGAGTTGATAACGAGACGACTTGGGGATCTCTGGCATATATGCATGGGCCTCTTTTACCCTCCCGATCAGAAGCCCGTAGAAAGAGAGGCTAATGACGCCAATTTCAACGAAGTTTTCATGAGAAAAGAGACGGCAATAGCCGAGCTACGGCTATGGTATTCCTCTTTCGAACCTATGATGAAGAGGGGTCATATCTCAGAGACTGTCGGCTCGCTGATGTTAAAGATGCATTTCAAGGTTGTGGTCATGACGCTGAAAACTGCTTTGCACACCAAATTCGAAGACACACCCGAGATGTGGGATATCGTCGATCTGTCAAGGAAGATTCTCACCCGTGTGCAGAGTGGCTCCACCCCAAAATTTGCGCTAGATGTGGGCATCGTCATTCCTCTTTACCTTGTTGGAGTGAAGTGCTCGGCCACTTCCCTTCGACGAGAGGTTATAGAATTGATGCTTGCCGACCCCAGGAGAGAGGGGCTTTGGACAGCGTTGTGGCAGGGAGCGTAGTCCAATGGATTCTAGACGTAGAAGCGGTATATGAAAACCGAGCGAGAGGGTTGATCCCGAGCTGGGCTAGAGTGAACTCCATGGGGATGGTCGTCGATATATGGGACAGATCGATGAAAATGTGGGGTTACCAGCAAACATCCGAAGAGGATCGTACTATGAAGAGACTGGAAACGAGTGTAAAGTTTTGATGGATTATGCTTGATGAGTAGAAATCACTAGATGGGTGTTTAAAGAGTCGCCGGTGTGAGGGTTCCGGGGAAATTATGGAGAATGTACTGGATTTGAAGTTGACTTGGCCTGGATCTTCCGGTGGGGGTCGGAAGATGCCAGATGCAAATTTATGAAATGCTGTTAACTCTCCATAGATTTTGATCGTACCATAGGGTCTTCATATCTTAATAGGACTTCGAATCTTAATCGATGACTGCTACAAAATTAGAAAAGAACTTAATTTGGAACAAAAGGTCATGTGACAGAAAGTCACGTCTATTGGCGATCCCGAGCGCGTTTGTTCAAAACAATCCCCAACGCGACTCCAACTTCGAAGACTTTCAACGAACACAACTCGACACTTACATGAGCCACAGCACATCATGTCGAGCTTCGGAAAGCGCTCCTCTTCCTGGATCGACCTGACAGGTTCGGACGATGAGAACTCGGCGCCACAGCCCAAGCAGGCACGCGTCTCTGCTAGCCAGTCCGCCTCGGCATCTCAGCCGCGACCCAGCCAATCCTTGAATGCTCGAGATACATGGGGTGAAGCTGATGAAGAGGACGAGATTCTCGATCTCAGTCAAGATGCTGACGAGGGAAATGGATGGGTTTGTGTAGGAGCCATCGACGGTAAGATTGTGGGGATCCGTTATTACGATGGGTACGCAACGATGGGGGAGCAGGTCATGGTCAAGAGAGAACCGAGAAATCCGTATGATTCTAATGCGATTAGAATCAACAACGTCCAGGGAACTCAGATTGGGCATCTTCCGAGGAATTTAGCCGCCAAGCTAGCTCCTTATATGGTAGGCAATGCTCTGCTCTATGGCTTATTGGACACTATCTAACACGTGATATAGGATTCAAGGACTATTGTCATTGAAGGAGTGCTTGCTGGGGAGAAGGGGGGCTGGGATTGTCCCATAAACTTGAAGATCTATGGTCCTGGAGAGCGAATCGCTCGCAATCAGCTCGAAGCTAGGATGAAGCAGGATCGAGTGCCAATCAGAAAACTAGGTATAGCAGCACCAAAGCAACCCAAGCAAGCTGTTCCTCCTCCTCAGCGAAGACAAATGGGGTATCACAGCTCCCAAAGTTCTTCTCAGTCAGCCAGCAGCCAGCCTGAACCTCTCCCTGGACTTGGTATCGAACATTTCGTTGCGAACAGCGAGAGATTTAACCCACGAGATGTTGAGAAGATGGTGGAGCAGTGGGGAGCCGGTGAAGATGCTCTTAAGGCGATGCCATTCGCTGAGCAGCCCGAAGGACTGGTCTCAACTCTCCTTCCATATCAACGGCAGGGACTTGCTTGGTTGCTTGAGAAGGAGCATCCTGTTCTTCCAGCACCTGGTTCTATCGATGTTGTCCAACTTTGGAAGCGATCACAGCGCCATGCCGGATTTACGAATCTAGCAACTCAATACACCACTGCAGCGCCACCGGTCCTCGCAAAGGGTGGTATTCTGGCCGACGACATGGGACTCGGAAAGACTTTGCAGGTTATCAGTCTCATCCTGGAAGGCGGCCCAGGCACAACTCTCATTGTTGCCCCAGTCAGTGTCATGTCAAACTGGGTTCAACAAATCGAGAGGCATGTCAAGAAGGAACGAAATATGAAGGTATTGACATACCATGGAAGCAACAGAAAGCGAATGACCCACAGAGAATTCGGAGAATATGATGTTGTTGTCACCAGTTATGGTACACTGGGCACAGAATATTCGTCAAATGGCAAGACGGCGGAAAAGATCCCTCGAAAAGACGGTCTCTTCTGTATCAATTGGGCTAGAGTTGTGCTTGATGAAGGTCACAACATACGCAATCCCTCAACAAAGTCTGCCGTGGCAGCTACGAGCCTTCTGGCGACCGCCCGATGGGTACTCACAGGTACTCCAATTGTCAACACCATCAAGGACCTGTATTCAATGCTCAAATTCCTTGCTATCACCGGGGGCTTGGAGCGTATGGAGATCTTCAACGCTATTCTCACCCGACGACTTGCTGTTGGCGATCCTGGAGCTGAAGCTATCCTTCAGTCTGTCATGCGGACTTGGACTTTGCGCAGAAAGAAGGACATGAAGTTCGTTGACTTGAAGTTACCAGAACTCTCTGAGTATGTTCATCGTATTACGTTCCGAAACGATGAGAGGGAGAAATACGAAGCCCTGCAGTAAGTTCATTCCAAATATTATCATTGTACAGCACAACTAACAATAACCAGAGCCGAGGCAAAAGGCATGGTCAAGCAATTCCAAGCTGGAAAGTCAAAGAATGGCCTCGACATGTATCGACATGTCCTCGAAGTTCTTCTTCGGATGCGACAAGTTTGCTGTCACTGGAAATTGTGTGGCACACGGGTGACTGACTTACTTCCCCTCATCGGGTCCGGCGAGGTTGTTGCCTTGACAAAAGAGAATCGTGCTGCTCTCCAACTTCTGCTCCAGCTCGATATCGACAGCCGGGAGGACTGCCCAATCTGTCTGGAGGAATTACACAACCCTGTCATCACCGCATGCAAGCATATCTTCGGCCGAGAATGTATCGAGAAGACCATCCAGTTGCAGAACAAATGCCCGATGTGTCGTGCTGAACTTGCGGACACCGACTGCCTGGTACATCCTGCGGTGGAAGAAAAGGCTGAAGAAGATCCGGACCTTGACGTCGAGACCAAGAGCAGCAAGACCGAGGCTCTGATGAGTATCTTGACCGCCAGCCGACGAGATCCCAAGTCAAAGGTTGTGATCTTCTCTCAATGGACGAGTTTCCTGAACATCATCCAGCATCAACTGACCGAAGCTGGCATGAAATATTGTCGTATTGATGGCTCGGTGTCAGCTCAAGCAAGGGACGCTAGTATAACAGCCCTCGAATCCGACCCTGACACTCGTATATTGCTCGCATCCCTCTCTGTTTGCAGCGTTGGCCTGAACCTCGTTTCGGCGGACACGGTCATCCTGGCTGATTCTTGGTGGGCTCCGGCAATTGAAGATCAAGCCGTTGATCGAGTTCATCGACTAGGACAAACCAGACCTTGCACGGTATGGAGACTCATTATGGAAGACAGCATCGAAGAGCGAGTTCTTACGATCCAGGCTGAGAAGCGCAAGCTGGTTGGAAAGGCGTTCCAGGAGAAAGAGAAATCAGGCAAAGAAAAGACGACAAGAATGGGCGACATTCTAAAATTACTCTCTTAGCTGCACTTGTTGTTTCCTCGGGGGGTTTTTTTCTTTAATTTAATTCGTGGATGCTTTATCTTAATGGAGTTAGTGTGGCTTGTATCGTACAAAATTTTGGCGCACTGAGCAGGTCTTTGCTTCGGAGTGCTTGGATGGTGGCTATTTGTTTTCGCCGGGCGCTATTTCATATCTCTATACACTACCTTCTGGACATAGATAGAGCGCGAGTGCCTTGAAGACCTTCGACTGCTATGCATCAATACAAGTACTACATACCTAAATAAACTACGTGTCATTATCGATTCCAGACCAATGGGCCTTGCTCGTTCACGCTCTGCCCTGCTTTTCCTCCTAAATTTTTTTTTTCAGACGAAGCAAGATATGAGGTTGAAATGTTAAAAGTACTCGATTAAGCGTGGACACTCGTTTGTGCTATGCGGACTCGTGGCCGTCTGAATCTAATCATGGTCAATTTATGTGAAATAATCGAGCCCTTGCTTTTGCAATCCATCTACATAATGCCTTCAACCCCCAACTCCATTCCAGACAATAACTAGGAACTCGTACAATGACCGCCCAAGGCCTTGGGGAGCCAGTGCCTTCAATACCATAGGAGTAACCAGAACCGAAAATGAAACGTTCTTCTTTGAGTTGATCTACCCTGCCGTCGACTCCAATGCAACATTCAACTGTGGAATTTCACATCCTCCAAAGCCTTCAATTCACACGCAACTGCTGTGGTCGGTGGCAGCCACGGTAGAACTCCTCCACTATGGCCAGGAGTGAGATCGGTCTGGTTGAGATCCTTCCACAGTTTCTCGTTGACAGCCAAGAACTTCAACTTCTCCTTCAACTGGTCGTTCTTCGATAATAACATCCTTGCCCATTTGATATGCATGTCAGAGCAAACCCACAACGTGTCAACAGCGAAATTGATGTACAGCTCCGTCTTGCAGGGAATTCCAACCACGTCCGGTGAGAATGTCAACACCTCGTAATGAGCCATGGCAACTGCACGTGATTCGGAGCAGATTCGGAAAATGATGGGAGGTTTGGTATGTGAGAACCAGCGACCATCAGGGAGGTAAGAGGCAGTCGGTGTGCAGCTGAGTTCGACGGTGTTCGGCTCTTCCGCCACAGCGTCCCAAATCTGAAGCCGGAGCTCTTGCGGCAGGAGAGGAAAGAGTGTGAAAGATTCGGTCGCAGGGGGAGATATGAGTGGTTTCTTCGATAGAAAACAATGTTGGTAGTGGTGATACATGAAGTAGACCAGACGTATCTCACTCATATTGAAAGAAACAGACAGAGGAAGCGACAAATTCGCATGGGTTTTGAAAGTATTAGGGTATGCTTTGCCCTGTATATATCTCGTAGAAGCTCACGTCAGATATGACTAGCACCTCGCTGATTTGAAGACAATACGGCAAACGAAGCGTTCATGTCCTCCTTCTTATGACGCTATCACTTGACGCCGTTGCCTCATAGCCACCGTCACGGAAGAACTATGAGAGCTGAATCGGCCAGATTGCTGGGTGGTGGTTGACTGGAAGTAAGGGACTGTTGTCTTCAGGGTCGGCGACATCTCAACTTTGATTTGATGTGCGGGTCTCTTGACTTCAAGAGACCCAATAAAAGCGCTCATAAGCTGATTTTGAGCCTTTTCATAGCAGGAAATCTGCAAATCAAGAAGGTGCTGATCTGCGAACAATGCTGAGGAGGGTTTCATGGTCTGCCCGAACAATGCCCCAAAGGAGATTGAGGTCCAGGAAGGCCCGCTAGCGCCCGCTCCAGAGGCGGACTCGACCCCACGTAAAATTTCCCCACCACACTGCTGAGCATCCTGAACTAAATTAAACGTCGATTGAAGATGGCGCATGAGACTTGGGTCTTCAGGTCTCGGTCTTGGTTGCCCTTCGAAATTGCTGGTATGGACTTATAGCCCCCTGTGTCTCGCGGAAAACGCAATGCTGACTCAAGAAAGATATTGTGGCAGTATGGCACGAATATCGAATACCGATCCTCCTCTCGACATTTACACTCCTTATGATCTTCCGGACTGTGTTGCACCTGCGATCGCCCAGAGAGAGAATCTTCTATACTCCGCAAATTTCCCCGCCATTGCCAACAGAGAAAGTAAGGCTGCTAGACGACAAGAGGGTCAATGGAGAGAAGAATCCTAGGCGCATTGTGGGAGGGTTGAAGAAGAGGAAATCTTCAGAGGATGCTGCACAATCTGGAGTTCGAAAGATCCAAGTCCTGGTCTTCTTTTCCTCCTTGACTGGAGCTACCGAGAAGACAGCGACGGCCTTCACGGAAGACCTTGCTAAAAGCACCAAGAACCTGGAAGATTCAGCAACCACGTTTCCCGAACCTCAATTACTTGATCTATCATATATTGATTATGACGACTATTTCATCACGCCTCCGAAAGGCGAAGGAGGAACTCAATTCTTCTATTTACTTCTCCTACCAACATATAATATCGACACAGTCCTCGACAATTTCCTTGAGCATTTACAAGAAACACATAATGATTTTAGGATAGATACAGCACCATTATCTCGACTTTTGGGGTATTCGGTCTTTGGATTTGGGGATAGGGAAGGATGGCCAACAGAGGAAGAAGGATTTTGCTCGCAGGCAAGAGATGTGGATAAGTGGATGGCTAAGCTGACAGGAAGGAAAAGAGCTTTCCCATTGGGAATGGGAGATTCGAAGATGAATGCTGCAGAGCGCTTGCGAGAGTGGATGGAAGGTGTAGGAGATGTCCTGGGGCATATTGCCCGGACTGGAGGACTAGGTGAAGGAGTTGTTGGAAGTGGAGATGCAGTAGAAAGTGATCTAGAGGACCTGGACGAAGAGGACGAAGTTCTGTTTGACGAGCAAAAAATTGCTCAAGGGAAGACGAAACTTCAAAAGAACGATGTGCTGAACGATTTAGAAGACATCGGCAGCACATTAAACAAATCATCAGTTGATCCCTCGGAACCTCTGGAGGTAGATTTCACATCTTACTCCAAGAAAACTCGACCCACACCACCACCAACTGTCAAAGAAATGGTCCCCAAGAACTCGCCTACCTACAATGCTCTCACAAAGCAAGGCTACTCCATTGTCGGCTCTCATTCTGGCGTCAAAATCTGCCGCTGGACCAAATCCGCTCTCCGTGGCCGAGGCTCCTGTTATAAATTCTCCTTCTACGGCATCGCCTCCCACCAGTGCATGGAAACCACACCCTCCCTCTCCTGCTCCAACAAATGCGTCTTCTGCTGGCGGCACGGCACCAACCCCGTCGGCACAACTTGGCGCTGGGTTGTCGACCCGCCCGACCTGATCTTTGCCGGCGTAAAAACAGGCCACTACCAAAAGATCAAAATGATGCGCGGCGTGCCAGGTGTCCGAGCTGAGCGTTTCGCTGAAGCTATGAGGATTAGGCACTGTGCTCTCAGTCTAGTAGGAGAGCCGATCTTCTACCCTCATATTAATGAGTTCACTGCTATGTTGCACGCGGAGCACATCTCCTCATTCTTGGTCTGCAATGCACAACATCCAGACCAACTCGCTACCTTGAAACCAGTTACACAGTTATACGTCTCCATCGATGCCTCCAACAAAGAATCACTGCGGAAGATTGACAGACCGCTGCACAGAGATTTCTGGGAGCGCTTCAACCGCTGTCTCGACATCCTACGCGAACGGAGGTTCGAGCAAAGAACTGTTTTCCGGCTCACTTTAGTAAAAGGATTTAACATCGAAGATGAAGCCGAAGGCTATGCTGCCTTGGTGGAGAAGGGATTACCCTGCTTCGTAGAAGTAAAAGGCGTTACCTACTGCGGTACATCCTCTTCCGCCGGCGCCGGCTTGACAATGCAAAACGTGCCTTTCTACGAAGAAGTGTGTGCCTTCGTCCTCGCTCTCAACACCGCTCTCGCCAAACGCGGACTTGAGTATGGCATAGCGGCGGAACATGCACATAGTTGCTGTATCCTGATTGCGAGTCAGAGATTCAGGAAAGAAGGGAAATGGCACACGAGGATTGATTATGAGAGATTTTTCGAGTGCTTGGAGAGTAGGCAACCCTTTAGGCCGGAGGATTATATGGGGCCTGAGACGCCGGAGTGGGCTACGTGGGGAAATGGCGGGTTTGATCCGAGGGATGAAAGGGTGTTCAGAAAGGGGAAGAATAAGGTTGCGTTGACGGAGAGTCAGGGAGAGGTGATGGGTGAGTAGCGTACTTTAAAACCATTTTAGGAATCGAAGGGAAGGATCAAAGAGCATTTATTCTGAGGGCAACAACTTTTGTGTAATTCTTGATGCCAAGAGAGCAAAATAAGGATCTGTAAGGCCAACACCCGCAATGCAGCAAAATTATCATCATCATCAAAGACGTCCATGAGCGCTAATACGCCTTCCCGTGTGTGAACTCCGTTCTCCCAAAGTAAAACCAGGGCTAGAGAGCCAAAAGAACAAAATGTATGTCTAGCTCTTAACCAGTGGCAGTTCCAGAAGGCTCACCCTCCTTCTCCAACCTCTCCCTCTGCACCATAACCCTCTCATTACAAATATCGATAAACATCTCGAATTTCTGAATCATCTTGTCCTTGTGCCGCAGCTGCTCCTTCAGGTCCTCGACCTCCTTGCGCCACGCCTCCTTCGTCTTCTCGATTTCGGCTTGGGCATTTGCTACCTCAGTTCTTAGCTCTGCTCGCAATTTCTCCTCGAATGTCATGGGGGGTTTCTTGTAGAAGGTCGGGAGCTGCTCCATGGCTGTTGCTTCGACACGTGAGGGGTCTCGCTTGATGGCTGCGCGAGCATTATAGATGTCTCTTGGTAGGTAGCGGACTGTTGGGTTCTCTCGGTGAAGAATCTCGAGAGTTTCTTTGACAGATACACCTGCATACCTATTAGTATATGTGCATGATTTGATATCGAGACAAAGCGTAAATACCATTCTCCTCAAGCGCCTTCACGGCAGCAATAGCCTTCGGATCTAGCTTCCTCGCGCCAGGATGCTCAGTGGGACTCTCACTCGGCGGATGGTTATGCGTCAAGTGCTCGCCATCAATCCTACCCCTCAATAACCACGCCGTCTTATTCTCCAAGCCAAAGACTCCAAATTCACAACCGCACTTCCTTGACTTCGTCTTCCGCTGTCTTTGCTCGCCAGGAACTTTTTCCTTATTTGTTCCACCACGATCGCAGATCAGGAAGACTTTCTTCAGACCTCGGTTGTCACGCTTTGAGCGTCCAATGACGAAAGCGTAACCGTGGGCCAGGGCGTGTGCTTGGGCGAAGGTGAAGAGGGCTTCGAAGGTGGGAAAGCTGCCGCCTGGAGGAGGAGAGAGCATTTCTCCTTGGATGATTTGCGGGGTTGAGGGGGAGCCTTGGGGGTCGAGCATGGAGTTGTTGGGGTCATTGAGCTGTTGGTCGATTGCTAGTTGGGGATCAATCATCGATAGGTCTTGGGCGCTGCCATCTGGAGAGCTGTCTTGTGGTCTTTGGCCGAGGTTCGAGTTTCCGGGAGAAGCTGTCATGGTTGGTCTTTGGAGGGACAGGTTTTGCAGGGCAGGAGAGGCGTTCTGGGATTGTCGTTGGCCTTGGTTGATAGACGACGAGGGGTTCATCGCGTGGTTTACGCTCATGGATTGGTTTTGGGGAGGGCCGTGAGGAGGCATATGAATTGTTGTACCAAGAGCTGGAGGACGTCGTTGAGGGGTGTTCGTGCCAGATCCAGCAGACGGATTACTCAAGACACCCTGAGCAATCTGCTGCTCTGCAGATACTCCCACATTGCCATTCTGTCGAGGTGGTCCTGCTTGCTGGACATTGCTCGGAGTGTATGGAGTCGAGTAGGGGGACTTGTGTTGACCAGGAGGACGGATGCCTCCCTGCGTTGGCCGGCCTTGGACTTGTTGTTGAAAGGCTCGCTGCTGCGACGGCGAGGGGTTGGCGATGTTGGGCTGCTGGACTTGGAATACGTGTTGGCGGCCGGGGTTTGTCTGGGGAAAGGTTGCTCGCGCGTTATCCTGTGGAGTCAACGACATCTCGTCGACTCGATCGTGAAGTCAGTGGGTGCGTAGACGTATCAAACGGGGTCGGCGTGAGGTGAGGGCGGGAGTACTTGGATCAAACCAGAGGCGCGTTTAAAATCGCTCACTCGTGATCGGCGCTGAAGCGAGGCACGGGCCACAATCTAAGGAGTTTCCCAAGGAGATTGAGTTTGATGATCTCATAGACGGAAAAAGTATCTGAGATCTAATTTCAAGATCCCAACTGTCCCACGTCGCATATGGCCATTGGCCACGAAAAATGTACTCTTCAGAAATTTTGATGAATTATGATATTAGGATCTATTTTCGTGTACTGTATTCTTCACCGGAAAGAAACCATGGCATCAAGGTATCTAATGCTCTAAACTCCTGTTCATGCTCCAAAACGCAAAGTGCAAAACCGTACTCAACCGTCTCAAAAACCCCGACCCGACCCTGTCCTGTTGACCTTCCCAGATCAAGCGATTGCCGACTTCTCATCATCGTGCGCTGTTGCGGGTCTACTCTCCACAACAGCAGGCATAGGAGAAACCGGCTCGGCTGCCTGCTGAATTTCGCTTCCGTGAGCAGGTCCAGGAGCCGAAGTCGGTGGTGTTGGGTGGGAGCCTAAGGGACTTCCAGGTTCTACTTCTTCCTCAAGAGAGATACTATTAGGCGTAGGAGAAACCGGCTCGGCTGCAGCCGAAGCCAGCGGCGTTGGGTGGGAGCCCAAGGCACTTCCAGGTTCTACTTCTTCCTCATGAGAGATGCAATCAGGCGTGGGGGAAACCGGCTCGGCTGCTTGCTGAATTTCGCCTCTGTGAGTAGATTCAGGAGCCGAAGCCGGTGGTGTAGGGTAGGAGCCCAAGGGATTTCCAGGTTCTACTTCTTTCTCATGAGAAATGCGATCAGGCGCAGAAGAAACCGGCTCGGCTGCTTGCTGAATTTTGCTTCCATGAGCAGATCCAGGAGTCGAAGTCGGCGGTGTAGGGTAGGGGCCCAAGGGGCTTCCAGGTTCCACTTCTTTCTCATGTGAGATGCGATCAGGCGTAAGAGTCCTGACCTCTTGAAGCTCCAAATCTGGACTTCTCTTTCCCGGCGCCTCATCGCTTCCATCTCCAAAGACCTGTTCTTCGTCCAGCACCCGATCAGCAAAGCTGGGTTTTCTTGCCACGCCACCCTTCGAGATACCGATGTAGTCTCCGGGGCCATGACTTCCGTCTGGGATATGGAATCTCCTGTCGACCCTGATGATGGCGTAGAGAGCAACCACAATGATCTCGATGGTGAAGTTGAAGATGTAAAAGCATTCCTTGGAATGGTACCAAGCTGGGTGAGTGAATGGTCGAGGGACGTAGCTGATGCCTGCTCGGAATGCCGCGCCGAGAGTGAGTAGCACGGACGAGAAGAGCAGGATAAAGATCTTGTTTCTGAACCTTCCCTGACCGAACTTCTCAATAGGTGGTCTATTGGGGATAATGACCCTGAGGGATAGCAAGGGGATTGGGAGGAACGCTGCCACGGCAAAGTAAGTTCCTCCAACCAGCTGAACGTCCCGATCAATTCGCCGAATGTTGTGGTTGAGTGTGTAGAAACTCTGGACCGTGCAGGTAATCAATGCTGTCAACATGAGAAAGATGGAGACATAGTAGAGGTAGAATGCGATTGAGAACCACTTCGCCCAGGCCCAATGCGGATGTGAAGCTCGAACTATTCGCTGGGCGAATATCAGGTTGATAATGAATAGGAGGAGTACTCCTCCCGAGACAAAGACCTGAGCCGCAATGACTATCTTGAGGTTGTGTTGGTAACTCGTCCAGACAAGACGCATCATCATCGTTGTGATTCGGGCCATGCAGAATCCAAAAAGTAGGGCGCTCATGATAAACTTCTTTTTCCTTCGGAGGTTAACTTGGAGGATGGCCATATGGGTTGCAGCCCCCGTCACGAACAGAACAAGGAAGACGGAACTGATAGGATCATCGACCTTCTTCGTAGGTAGGCCGCCTAGGCCAGCAGTGGTGGGGATGTATGGGGGACCATTGGGAGCCTGCGCACTTGTCAGTATGCATAATGCCGATTGATGGATTCTGCTTACTCCTCCTGGACTCGACATGGCGAATGGGGCTGTTATTTAGAATGCGTAGGTTTGCAACATATGGCGGGTGGGGGGAGGGGGGGAGGTTATCATGTAAACCGCATGGCCAAGATATTACCTAGTATCGGTGTGGTGATTGTGATCTGCGATGTCTTTCGCACTTGCCACAACATTCAAGGAATGCACAACGGGACGACGCATCGCGCCATACTTATGGATTTGAGAGGGGGACGCATCGCTTTTTAACTTCGTCCGAACCCCCTTAGTGAAGTCCACGCCTCATGGAACTCGCACGCCGTGCAGACGAGAGGGCAGGTTCACACCTATGAAATCTGAGAGATCTTGAAAAGACATCGGAGCTTTGCTGAAGGGCGAAGCCGAGTTGGTCGATCTGTCAGACGACGGCGCCGATGGCCGGTTTGATGAGCCAATGAGCTGCGTTGCAGGGGACGGGATAACGGACAACGGACTTTCAACCCAGCGGGTCAGCACTTTCTTTGAATGGCGGCGGTTGACGAGGTTGCACGAGGTTCTATTTTGTTTTATTTTGGTTTGTTTTAGCCTGACGTCGTGCCCTCGGACTTCGTGGAACGCGACTTGATTTGACCAGAGAACGAAGCCCAGAGGTCCTTGTCAGATGGAGAGATAGTTCTACTGTACTAGAACCAGCCGCCACATCTCAGCGCCAGTGCGGCTGTAACCACTGGAAGTGAGGAGAGCCCCTCATAGCCCCCTTCGCTCGCTCCGTACATTGGATTTTGAGGGAGAGCTCCAGCCCTTCGCACTTGTGTTAGGGGAACAGGGGCAAGGGTTCTCTCTGGAACATACCATCAGGATGGAGTAGGACAGGCAAGGAAGTCTTCTGGATGTGAAGGACCCAATTATCCGAATAATTTCAAGGATCTTCGTTGCATAACGCTTTTGCATTCTTATAAGAGTCTACCGCAGGTCTACAAACAGCACCCTTGGGTTGTCCCATTAATGGTATCGCCCCCTCGCTGTACGAATGCCATGTGATCTCTTTTACATGAGCTGGGTTTTCATCGCTTCTGTGGTACCTTTGTAACGTGCCTGCCCGCGCGGAGTATCGTTCTTCTTGAAAATCTTCTAAAGGAAGTAGTCAGGAGTTCCTAGGCACTGTTAGAGCTGAATTACCCACTACCGGGAGTTTAAATAACTTACGTCGTGAAACCATAGGTTCGCCTGCTCTTGGGCAGGGGTCAAACTGCAAGCTGTGTGTCGTGGTCAGTGAGGCTCCAAATACGTACAGGGCCAAGGCTTACAAGGTATACTTCAAATGCTCGTCGATCTCCATAATAGCCGCTTGATTGCCACATCTATAGCAATAGTTCGGAGCTGCAAATATTAGTCGAATTCTGTTGAAAAGAAACCCCGAGCCTTACCTGAGAAAATGGTGACCACGTTCCTATCCTGAGACCAATTATATCCCTCCATGACCAGTTGATGGGCTCTTGCCACTAGAGTCAAGCCATTATTGTGGTTGAAAGCCTCCGAAATGTCCTGCCCAAACGTATACCCCGCACCTCTTGGTGATATTCCCCAACCGCATCTATCATCTGGGTCCGACCACAGCAAATCGCACATAGGCCCCTCATGCGGAACCTCCTGTATACGATCCAGTGCTCTGATGTTATCAAGGGTATCGATGCTGGGGGAGAGACCTCCGTGCAGGCAGAATATTTGGTTATCGATCAGGGCGGTGAGGGGGAGGTAGTCGAAGAGATCGGTGAAGTACTTCCATACGTTCGCATTGCCATATTTTCGGAGACATTCATCGTAGAACCCATAGACTTGTGTGATTTGGCGGGATTCGTGGTTGCCACGGAGGATGGTGATGCGTTGGGGATATCGGATTTTCAGGGCTACGAGGAGGGTGACGGTCTCAACGGAGTAGTAACCTCTATCAACATAATCGCCTTATCCCATGTTAGTATTCTCTCTCCAAGCTTGAATATGGTTGGAGATCCGTACCCATGAATAGATAATTCGTATCTGGGTTTGGTCCACCAATTCTGAAGAGCTCCATCAAGTCGTGGAATTGACCATGAATGTCTCCGCATACAGTGACAGGGCATTTCTTGGTGAGAGTCAGCTTTTGGTGGCCACAGCAGCATTCAAGATTTGCTTACCACCGGTTGCACATTGGACTCGTCCTGCAAGACCTCTCGTGCCTGGAGACGCGTTGTTAGAGACCGATCTGGATGACATACGCGCCCTCGACGCTCTGTCGACTTCATTGAGATCTGCGAAGCCCACATACCTTCTCGCAGAGCCTCTGTACATCGACCTCGGCCAATTGCTTGCAGGTCATCAAGCTCTCAATCCATCCATCAAGGGTAGGTATGGACGCGGGTTCAGTGGCAGGTGATAACCTCGAGGGTTCGGGCGCTCTGCCAACATCTTCCATATTGGTATCCATGGTGTCTCTGCTCTGGTGTGGGGCTCAAGGTTGAGGGTGTTGATGGCGGGGAGCTTGAGAATGACGACAACGCGGTGAGAAGTTGCAGAAAAGGCTGGTCTCTATGTGACAAGCAACGTGGTAGCAAAAAGGTATTCGACTACAGCAGTAAAGAGGCGACAGAAACTCAGTTTGCACCCGGGTATCACAGGGAGATTGTGGTGTAGACAGGGAGTTCAAGTTTGGGGAGGTGCACCGTTAGGAGTTCCTGCGAAGCGAGAAATTGGATCGTGAGGCGGCGGCGGCGGGGCCAGAGGGTCAGGGTCGTGATTCTTTGAGCACGAATTGGGCAAGGAGGCAGCAGACCATTTTCACCCAGATTTTTGGCCTGTATTATTCACGCGACAAAAAGCATGCTGATTACACACATAGTTTTTATTCCGAATCTAGATGAGTCCTACGCCTAGACCTACAGGCTCTTTTTGGCCACTTTCTCCCGAGGAGCCTCGCCCTATCAGACTCTTGAAGTCCAAGCCGACATCCGACAGCATCTTCGCATGCTCTTTTGCCTGATCCATACACTTGTTCCAAATGTCGCCATCTTGAGGAGTACTGCTCAGCTGTCTTGCTAGAATGACATTGAAAGTATCCACTTGCTCTTTAGCCCATTTAACACAGGCGCTCATCAGCAAGGGAGGAAAGCACATCTGGAATGTGGAAACGGTATTTCGAATTATGGTGAAGTAGACAAAAGATACTTCCCAGATGTACTGATGAAGGTTGCCCTCGAAAATGCATTGCCTTCGGAACTTAGCATGCATGGGTTCTAGGGATGTGATTCCACGTACCTCGATCTTTTATGGATGATGTTGCCACGAGCTTCAAGATAGGCTTCCCTTGCACGATCTTCAAAGCCCAGTCGCGCCAGGTAGAGGACATTGCGCTTTGTCTGTTTGGGCTTATCATGAGTATCGACGAGCTCGCGCGTAATTAGTCCAGCTAGCTTGGTTGCCCGTTCCTCTGCTTTGAAGCTTATGAAATCCTGTGCCACAACGTTGCTTTTAAGACTCTTAGCCAAGGCATTGAGTTTCTCAACTCTTACAACCGCTTCGTCGAACTTTTGAAGGGCGATGAGAATATCGAGTTCATCCACCTGGCTCTCGACCCATCGTAAATTCTGTTGCTTCCCATCAACTTCAATGAGCATATCTTTGATGTCCGAGAGAGTCTCCAACAACTCGGTCTTCTTAAGCAGGCCAGGGTCTCGAGAGGCGAAGTAATTGATGGTCTCCTTGGCTTTGTTGCTAGATTCCATCTCAGAACGAAGGCCTTTCCGTAACTGTTCAACAGCCTTTCTGAAGTTCATCATCAAGGTTTGCTTATCACTATCATCGGACTTTTCAGTTCGATACGTGAAGGACTCCTGTCCAACTCCTCTGATCATGATGGCATCGGCAACCTTGTTTCTTGAGCTTGTTGATTCGCTGGTCCCAGCTAGGTCAACCATCTCAATATCCAATAAGGGCCAACATCGATCTGCCACGAGCTTGGAAGGCGCTTGTCGTTGATCTGCATTATTCATTCCTTCAATCTTTCTCTTCTTTCGTGAAGCGACGAGGAGGTGGTCATTCAGCAAGATAATTTGCATGGCACGGCGGGATTTCCAGGTGGCATTATCTAGCTCAATCCATAGCCCAGCATTCTGAACCACATGGCGGCCAGGGAGGGCAGGTAGAAACTTCTGTGACCCCTCCACTGTCTTCCATAAAGCCTAAAGTTTGTTAGTATTTAACGTCTATTAAATCGTCATCTGAAACATACCTGAAGTTGCGAGTTCCACATTGCTGTACGATCAGCCACCGAACTTCTCTTGTCCCTCTTGCTCAAGGTGGATGGAAAACCAGAGTCAAAGTCATTGGAAACAACAGGACCCTGAGATGATGTAGTTCTGAGAGCCATAGTGTTGGTCTTGAGTTCTGACATCAAGTTTCGCAGCGCTCGCATTTCCGCCTTCAACTTCTCAGCCTCCTTACTAATCTTAATGAATTGTGTCCGATTTTGGTAGACATTCTGCTGAAGATCCGTCGAGGCTCGATTCTTCAATTTCTGTAAAGCTTGCTGGTATTCATCGATATCCTTCTCTGAGGCGTCACTCAAAAGTCCAGCTATATATCGATCTGGGCGTAAATTAGGATCATTCAATGCCTTCGTGTCTATATCAATTCCTTGGCTCTTTCCAGGAGAAGGTCCCCTTCCGCGGTCCTTGGACCCGGCAAATTGGTTCGGCAACGTCGGAACATTGGGTACTGGAAGGGCGGTAGCATCGAAATCAGTCGGGAGATTGTTGAATCGAGTAGAATATCGACGTTTGACGAGATCCGATGTCTATATGCGTGTCAATACCACCCTCTGAAGAGCTGGCTTGGCATTTACCTTTCCACCAACTTGTGGGCGCTGTGGAGCATCGAATGACGATTTCGCTCCATTACTTCGAGGTGCGCTCCCAGTCGGTTGTGTTGGACCTGATATCTGCTTTGGTGCACTGATCGCTGGCCGTCCCTTTCGCTTTGTTCGAAGGGAGATCCCCTTGCCTCTGTCTTCAGACATTTTGAGTGAACAGTTGGCGTAAGATGATTACCGGTTCACTTCACGTTCATGATCAATGACAACGTCGGACCTTCCTTCCAAAATTCCGACGTGCCCTGTCGCAGCTTCCCTAGCGTCTCACAAAGCGACGCTAAACCTAAAGAGTTGTCTTCTTTGCCCTGGCGCCTCAGGAATCAAGGGCCCGAGCTCAAAAAGTTCGAGAGCTTGATATCTCCTGTCTTCAGATCCGCCCCAAGCGTGCCCACAGCTTCTATCATTTCCCTCCCTTTGCATCAACTCGGTCTCGAGAAATACAGATCCAATTGCGAAATGGTCCAAACATCTACCATTGTTGCTACAACAGTTGGCACCCTCGCAACTGGTTTCGTGGGTATGGAAAGCTCCTGCAATTCCTAAAATAATTCAGCCAGCTAACACTTTATGATGTTAAGCATATGCAGTGTACTTTGACTACAGACGTCGCAATGATCCACAATTTAGGAAGCAGCTGAAGAAAGAATCGAAACGACAAGCTAGGGCTGCGAAGGAAGAGGCAGAGGCTCACACAGTGCGGCAACGGGAAGCCATCCGGGCTGCAGTAGAAGAGGCCAAGGAGGAAGGATTCCCAACAGACGTAGAGGAGAGAGAGGCATATTTCATGCAAGAAGTTGCTAGAGGCGAGGGGTTGAGTGGAGAGGGTACGTCCGCTGCCCCCATGTGGATGTTGAAATCTAATATCTCCAGGCACGGACAACGTTGAGGCTGCTCTATGCTTCTATAAGGCATTGAAAGTCTACCCTCAACCATCAGACCTGATTACAATCTATGACAAAACTGGTTCGTACTTCCTCACACTCCGCGTTTGACTTCCATGGAGCAATTTTTCGAACTGCTCTCTTTTCCCTACCCACACTCGTTGGCATTTTTGTCAGCCAAATCTTGAAAATTCGAGCCTAATTTTTCAAATGTAGTGCCAAAGCCCGTTCTCGATATTCTCGCGGAAATGATTGCTGCCGATTCGAGTCTGAATGTTGGACCGTTTGCCAGTGGGCCGGGTTCAGATAGAGGACTTGATTAGACATGCCCAACTCAATAGACACCAAGACTCCCCTCTCCACACAAAGTCCTCGAATCGACGAGTCTTCATACCTTCAAAACATTTCAGACGCGACCTGGATACCTGCTCTCGTGAGGCATCTCGCTCTTTGTATATCAGTCACCAGAGTTCAGGATTCGACTTCTACATTATTTGTACCGTACATTGTCAATATTATGAGGGTAGGATTATACCCAACGGACGGGAAGCGCATTAAGAATATAAACGGGATGGATTTGTGACTGTTTCTCCCAGATGCGCTTTGAGTGAAGTGATTAAATTATTTACCTAGAAAATTTTGGTTAGGTTCTAATCCGTTCAGCACCGCAGAACTATTTCGAGAATTGCTCCCAAATTACCAATTTCTCCATTCCTTGCGAGTCTGTTCCCAGGCGGCTGGGTGGACCCAGTCTCATAGCTTTGCACATATCGTAAGGATTAACCATCACACCTAACAGCTTTATATGCCAAGGACTTCGATGGTCAAGTCTGTGCTCACTGACGAATAAGCGCCTCTCGGTTTCTATTTGGAACACCCCCTTGCATCGTCATTGTCTTGCACTGCTATAACTCGACATGCGTCCTCGCTATCCATGATAACATGTATCATCGGTTCTGTCTGTGCAACGATGGTAACAATAAAAGAAGAGTTTGCTCGCCCGAAGATGCTAGCTGCGAGAACGGATATGACAACCCACCCAGCCATGGGTAGTGCGAGCTGCGAGCAGGGCTACGTTGGAAAATAAGCCTGTCCTAAACACGAAAATGCCAGACTGAAGGCCTCTCTAAATACACACAAAGGCCTGTCATGGAGTAGGCGGCAGCTTCATCTGTTGCTCCTGATAAATGACCATCATTGCATTGCGATATTTGGTGAACTCTGCTGAACCTCTGAGAGAAATGTTTCCTGAGCTGAGTGTAGAAAGCTGGATCAGTGCAATTGAGAGGACTCAATGGAGTTAGAAGGATCTGTTTGTTTTCGAAAATACGTGGTGACAGGTTCTCCTCCCTGGACCAACAACTCACAGGGAGGCTTCGCGAAGTGCAGCTTCCATTGCTTTGCGAAGGGCACGTTGCTCAAGTTTTCAATCCTTGAGGTATGGTAACTGAGATATTTTTCGAGGATAGGATGCCAATAAACGTGCGGCATGAGTCATCAACCTAGAATACACCACAAGTGCATTCTTGGAAACGGTGGAGTCAACAATGCTCGATGTATATTATTCCAGCAGAATTAAGACATTGGCTAATGAGATACCCCTCAATACTTACACCAATTGCAGGAACACCACCACCACTGCAAAAGTCTTCCTTGTTCCATAACGCTCATGGACACTTATACTACGCGGAATAAGATGAACTCGTGAAAAATCCGACAGCTGTGAGCCTTTGTGGAACTTCTGTGCCCTTCTTCCGAGAAATTCTAGCTCGAACTCTATTCTAGAGAGTTTGACTTCTTTTTCAATTCTCTCCCCTTCCTCGACCTTGTTCCACGCTCCGTCTCTGATGGCAACCGTAGTGTTCTCTTGTATTTGCTCGCCCATATTTCTCAACCTTTACTGGCATCATTGTCTCTCCAAACGAGACCAGCATTACCAACCTTCCGCTAAAAGGGATAATCATAATCATCAACTAGATTTCGGACGTTGGCTGCCCCGATATTTGGTAGTTGTGCGAGATCCGTGGTCGCTCAACTATATTCAATATCCAAAAGCAAGCTCAACGCTCAACGTGCTCAAATTTTTTATTTAATGTTGCATAGCAGTCGCCCTTGGCCCTTTGCCGACAATAAGATCCTCTTTTGATCCAATGAATGACACTGAAGCGGTTCTGAGCTTGATCAGGGCTAAAAGTCTTGTTAACATTGACTGCACAGTCGTTGATGATCGCGGCATTGCTTTTGGTGACTTGCAGCAAACAACCTGGGCCGCGAAAGTTCAGAATTGCTAACCTCGGACCACTTGATGAGGGATGGTGGCAATTTGTGTGCCCGTGAGAAACAGAGTGACAGAGTTCCAAAGAGCTGAAGCAAATTTGGCTCAACGAATACAATACATGTGGAGATTTTAGAACGTCGAAGGGTCGACTGAATTGGATAATAGATAAGAACAAAAGGCGGGGTTGAAATGGAACAGACGGAAGGTTACGCAGGATCTCCACCCAAATTATGTGCAAAGTGAGTTGGCTGTGGGCCAGAGCAGGCTGCAGCCAGAATATGCGCAGTTTTTATGATAGATGGGAGTGGGTTTGTGGGTCAGCAACTGATTTTGGTGTGCACTAAATTGATTGGCGTGTTTAATGACCTTTTCGCAATTTGAGAACCGTTGAATAATTGACGTTGTGGGTGCTTTCGAGCCAACGGGTCGCAGCTCGCTATCCTTCATAATCTGTTGCTCTTCACACTTGTGGCTCATTTAGTTAACGATGTGAGGAAATTTTCGGCCTCTTGCTCTAATTTGTTGAATGGAGAATGAAGCTGTTGATGGAGTGATAGGTATCACGTCAAGATTTCGGGGAGATAACGTTGCGCGCATAAAGCTACTTTGAGTTCATTAATAGAGCCACCCCATTACTTCGGCCACACCCTTGTTCAGGGGAAGGAACGCGATTCTGTGACCTTTCTCGCGACTCCAAATAATCTTGGTGAGAGCAGCCAGTCAACAGGCTTCAACAACCAGATCAACAACCACCACAGCTGAAGCCACTTTGTCACCAGCGAGCATCAGTCTGATGATATTGAACTCCTCCGCCACACTCTGGAGATGAAATAAACCTCGAAACCCACAGCCATGACGGAGGTGGACTCCCCGGCAAGCCCTAATGGGGTTGCCAAAGACGCATTCGCCGTGGACCCCATATTGATCGTAGAATACCTTTCAAAGGTCATCGAAATCACTTTGGGGGCTACGCGGAAAGATCTAGAGAGTGGCAACAACCTCTTGTCAAAGATCCGCTACCAAGATACGATTTCCCGATGTACTCGATTTGCTTCGGAGAATCAGGTCGCACTTTATGTTACGAAGGATATTGCATCAGCAGGCGGGCTAGATGGCTCCCTTGATGGGACAAGTACGTACTTGTAATCTGCCACAGACAATAGAGCTAATTTTCTCTCGTAGACTCCTTGAGTTATAGTTACAGTATGGCGACGGACATTTCCTTCTCACCCGCGAACATGGCCTCTATCGCGCTTCTGAAACGACCACAGCCTATTGATCCTACAATACCCATAATCTCTCAAATACAAATCATTAATCTGCCCGGCGTGGCCACTCTGAACAGCACCGCAAATGGCCAAGGCGGTGCCTCTGTCTCTCCCTTCGAAATCCTGCACAGCGTCGTCCACCTAGCACTAGGCCCATATTTCGATGCATACACAAAGACCCAACAGACGACGAATGGGGTCCGTGGCAGATCAGATGTCGAGGCGAAGACAGGCATTCCGGTGACAAAGAAGAGGATAGCAGAGTTGGAGCTAAGCTTATTGCACCTCCAGCAAAACATCGAAATCCCGGACCTAATCTTGCCTTTACATCCCATGATCCAGAATGCGATTGAGGAAGCTGCAGCTAGGAATATCAAGCCCTCTGCAGAGTTGATCCCTCAAGCTCTGCTCTCGGACAGCCAATTTCTCAACAACCTACAGTCGATTGTGAATGGATGGATCAAGTCAATACAAACCATTACGAAGATGTCTAGAGACGCCAACAGTGGGACCGCAACTCAAGAAATCAATTTCTGGCTTTCGATGGAGTCAGCGTTGGAGGGGATCGAAGCTCAACTGCGAGGCGAAGGGGTCGCACTCACGATGGAAATCCTTCGAACGGCCAAACGATTTCAAGCGACGGTTAGCTTTACGGCAGATACTGGACTGAAGGAGGCAACAGAGAAGGTCCAAAAATACAATCAGTTGATGCGGGATTTTCCCTTGGATGAGTTGCTCTCAGCAACATCTCTGCCAAAGATCCAGGATGCCATCGGTCTCATTTTTGCCCACCTGAACAAGAAGCTTCGAATTTGCCCTTACCCCATCCGGCGAGCATTACCTCTAGTCGAGGCCATATCAGCTGATCTAGACTTACAATTACATTCGCTGCTGCATGGTCGATCCTTGATGCACCTCGACTATCGGGAATTCAATAATTTGATTGCAACCACCGAGTCCATCTGGAAGGCATGGGATGAGAATGTAAAGGAATTCACAAACGTTGCTCGGGAGGTTACCCGCCGAAGAAATGAGAAATTCATTCCCATCAAGATCTCCCCAAAGCATGCAGACCTTCAAGCGCGCCTGAAGTATGTCAGCACGTTCCGAGACAACCATGAGCAATTACAACGAACCATCGTCAATGTGCTTGGACCCAAGAGTGGAGAAGGTGACGGTAATACCAATGGCGCTGTCATTGTCGAAGAAATGGGTGATGTAGATGCTGTTGAGGAAGTTCAACAAGCTTACGCCGCTTTGAACAACGTGGACTTGCTAGATGTTACCCCTGAAGGCACACGAATCTGGGTGCAAGCCGAAATAACCTATAATGAGCGGACATCCCGTGTCGAGAACTCAATTATTGCACGGCTGCGAGACCGATTGGCCACCGCAAAAACTGCCAATGAGATGTTTCGAGTATTTTCGAAGTTCAACGCTCTGTTTGTTCGGCCAAAGATTCGTGGTGCTATAACAGAGTATCAGACTCAGCTGATCGATAACGTCAAGCACGATATTTCCTCTCTCCATGAACGTTTCAAGCAACAATATGGTCACTCGGAAGCTCATGCAATGGCTCAGTTAAGGGATCTGCCTCCGGTATCAGGAGCAATTATCTGGGCTCGCCAGATTGAGAGACAGCTCGATGGCTATATGAAGAGAGTTGAGGATGTTCTTGGAAATGATTGGGCTCTACACTCTGAGGGACAAAAATTGCAGAGTGAGAGTAACCTTTTTCGAAAGAAGCTGGACACCCGACCTATATTTGAGGCATGGCTTCACGATGTCCAAAGAAAGCAAATCTCGATTGCAGGCCGGCTTTTCAACATCAATAAAATTCGATCCGCTAACAATGCGCTTGAATTGGCAGTCAACTTTGACCCCCAAGTTATTGCACTTTTCAAAGAAACTCGCAATCTTCTATGGCTCAATTATGCTGTCCCTCACCAGATCAACAACATCTCGAAAGAAGCAAAGCGCGTATACCCATATGCCGTCAGCCTGATGGAGAGTGTGAGGACTTTCGCGCAGACTAGTCGACAAATTGCAGAAATGTCAGATGTATCGATTCTTCTCAGCGGCTATCAAAACGAGGTCCAAGCTCTTATATCGAAAGGTGTACCCTTGAAATGGGAGTCTTTCGTTCACTCATTCGATCTACACATCAAGCAAACGCCATATCTCTCGAACGGAACCGTCGATCATAGTGCTGGGCGCAATGAAAGCAAGCATGTCCAATTCGTTCGGGAATTTGCCGCGTCAGTCTCTTTGTTGCAAAACAAGACCGCTACCTTGGCTGCGATCAACATCACCATTCAAAAAGCTCTCATAGAGCTTCAGACTTGTCCATACGACTCTGAGTCATTCAAGCAACTGCTTGAGACCATCCAGAGGGCAGTCGATCAACTGAACCTGGAGAATTATGTGAATTTGTCATACTGGGTCCGAGAAATGAATGCTCGTATCAAGACCACATTGCTACTTCGAGTACGACAAGCTATCGGAGCATGGATCGAGAGCTTTGAGAATGAGCGATCAGAAGGGGTCAACGATGATAGTCGTCGAAAACATCTTAGTGGTGTTCCGGGGGCAGTCAAAGATGAAACGCCGACACTGAAACGACTTGTCCATGAAGTTTCGATGCGAAATCAAGTCATCTACCTTGAACCTCCTTTGGAAGATGCCAGAGCAAATTGGTTCCAACAGCTTCACAATTGGCTAGGAGTTGTCTGCAATCTTCCGAAAGTAAAGGCTTCACGATACGAAATGAGCTTATCAACGACTAATGAGACAGAAGCTCGTTTCACTGACCTTCCTGCTTCTTGCACCGACAGCTTATCGCGCGTATACTCGTCCATCGAGACAAAATTGCGTGAGATCAGCACCTATGTCGACAAGTGGCTTCAATTCCAATCTCTCTGGGATCTCCAGTCTGAACAAGTCTACGAACTTCTCGGCGAACAATTATCTAAATGGCTTCAATTACTTCAGGAGATCAGAAAAGCTCGCTCAACCTTCGACACGACTGAGGTTAGCAGATCGTTTGGCCATTTGACGATCGATTACGATCAGGTACAAACCAAGGTGAATGCAAAGTACGACCAGTGGCAGCATGAAATCCTGACAAAGTTTGCCGTACGCCTTGGCACGAGGGTCCGCGAGGTATATTCCGAGATTGAGAAAGCAAGAAAGGATCTAGAAGTGCAGTCGTTGGAAGCAACATCAACAGCCCAGGCTGTCCAATTTATTACCATCGTGCAAACCTGCAAACGTAAAGTCAAAGCTTGGGGTCCTGAAGTCGAAACGTTCAGGCAGGGTCAAACGACACTGGTTCGGCAACGTTATCAATTTCCAGCGGACTGGTTAGGTGTAGAGCAGGTTGACTCCGAATGGACTTCACTCAATGAGATTCTTAATCGAAAGGCCAAGATTGTTCAGGACCAGACTGATGCCCTTCGCGCCAAGATTACCGCTGAGGACAAAGTTGTAGGCGATAAGATTGCAGAAATCACCAGTCAGTGGAATGAAGAGAAGCCGGTATCTGGAACTATCGCTCCAGATGTTGCGTCTGCAACACTAATGTCCTTCGAAACCCGTATTACGAAACTTCACGAGGAGTCCGAGATGGTTTCAAGGGCGAAGGAGGCCTTGGACTTACCTGCAACAGCAGATACAGCTCTCGCAGCCATCCTGGAAGAGGTCCAGGATTTCAAATCTGTATGGGCTGCGCTCTCAACAATCTGGAAGAGCTTGAATGATCTTCGTGAGACGCTCTGGAACAGCGTACAACCACGAAAACTTAGATCTGCCATCGATGGATTGATCAAGATGACCAAGGAGATGCCGAGTCGGATGAGACAATATGCCGCTTTTGAGCATATCCAAAACGTATTACGACAGTTTCTCAAGGTCAACCCTGTCCTTACAGATCTCAAATCTGAAGCTGTCCGAGATCGACATTGGAATAAGATATTCAAGGCACTTAAGCCTGGAAAGAGATATTCGCCAATCTCGATGACACTTGGCGATGTCTGGGATTTGAATCTTGCTGCAAGCGAAGTTGTGATCAGAGACATCATCGCCCAAGCTCAAGGGGAGATGGCTTTGGAAGAGTTTTTGAAGCAAGTCCGTGAAGTCTGGACTAACTATTCTCTTGACCTGGTCAATTACCAAAACAAATGTCGACTTATTCGCGGCTGGGATGATCTTTTTGCAAAATGTAGCGAGAACCTCAACTCTTTGCAGGCGATGAGACACTCGCCATACTACAAGGAATTCGAGGAAGAAGCCTCGTCATGGGAAGACAAGCTCAATCGTGTCCATGTCTTATTTGACGTGTGGATCGACGTCCAGCGTCAGTGGGTGTATCTCGAAGGTGTCTTCACTGGCAACGCCGATATCAAGCATTTGCTTCCCATCGAATCCTCAAGGTTCCAAAACATCAACTCCGAATTCTTTGCTGTGATGAAGAAAGTCTACAAGCAACCTTTTGTTTTAGATGTTCTCAATATATCGGGAGTACAAAAATCACTCGAGCGTCTGGCAGAGTTGCTCAACAAAATCCAGAAAGCCCTGGGTGAGTATCTTGAAAGGGAACGGGTGTCCTTTCCAAGATTCTACTTTGTTGGTGACGAGGATCTGCTTGAAATCATCGGCAACAGTAACGACACCCTGCGTATCGCAAAGCATTTCAAGAAGATGTTCGCTGGGCTATCCGGTCTGATCATGGACGAAGACCATATCATCTCCGGGTTCACTTCAAAAGAGGGTGAGGAGGTCAGACTAAAGAAAGAGATCTCGCTCATCAAGACTCCAAAGATCAACGATTGGTTAGCGCTCCTCGAAAGCAGCATGAAATCCACTCTGGCGGAGCTTCTTGCCGAGGCAATTGAGCGTTACGAGCCCGTCTTCACTGCCGATGAGATTGACCAGACAGCTTTGAGTAAGTACATTGCCTCATTCCCGAGTCAAATAGTCGTCTTGGCTACGCAGGCTGTCTGGACATCTACTGTTGAAAAGTCTCTCGAAACTGGCGGATCAACGCTGCAGAGCTTGTACGAACAAGAAGTCAAAGTCCTTCAACTTCTCGCTGCCACGGTCCTTGGCGACCTGGATCCAATTCAGAGAAAGAGATGTGAACACCTCATCACTGAATGCGTCCATCAGAGAGATGTAATTGAGAAGCTCATCGGGCTCAACGCAACCACACCGAATCATTACATGTGGCTCCTTCAGATGAGATATGTGTACAAAGCCGAAGGTGATTTCCTTCAACGCTTGTACATCAAAATGGCAAATGCCAAGCTTAATTATGGCTTCGAGTATTTGGGGGTTGCAGAACGTCTTGTTCGAACACCACTCACGGATCGCTGTTTCCTAACTTTGACACAAGCACTTTGTCAGAGATTGGGCGGCTCTCCATACGGCCCCGCAGGGACCGGCAAGACCGAGTCTGTCAAAGCCTTAGGTGTTCAGCTTGGACGGTTCACTCTTGTCTTTTGTTGCGACGACACCTTCGATTTCCAGGCCATGGGGCGCATTTTCCTGGGTATCTGTCAAGTTGGAGCTTGGGGTTGCTTCGATGAGTTCAATCGGCTTGAAGAACGTATCTTGTCCGCTGTATCTCAACAAGTACAGAACATTCAACTTGGTCTGAAGCAAGGTCTGGAGGATGAAAAGTCCCAGATTGAGCTGGTTGGTCGCCAACTCCGTGTCAACGCCAATACTGGAATTTTCATCACCATGAATCCGGGATATGCCGGCCGTTCCAACTTGCCGGACAATCTTAAAAAACTATTCCGAAGTGTTGCGATGTCAAAGCCAGACAAAGAGTTGATTGCTGAGGTTATGCTGTATTCACAAGGTTTCAACCAAGCCAAGCAACTGTCAAAGCAGACGGTACCTTTCTTCGATCGCTGTTCTGCGAAGCTTTCTAAACAAGCTCACTACGACTTCGGACTTCGTGCTCTCAAGAGTGTGCTTGTCAGTTCTGGTGGCCTCAAGCGTGCTCGCCTCACGCGTACAGGTGGTGATCTTGGCCTGGAGGAAGAAGTGGAACCCCAAATCATTGTCCAGAGTATCCGCGAAACCATTGCACCAAAATTGATCAAGAGCGATGTCGAAATTATGAGGACTATCGAGGCGGAATCATTCCCCGGGGTAGAGTATGTACCGGCCAGTCTCGAGAAATTGCAGGACGCAATCCACAGTATTGCCAAGGAGAGACATCTTGTTGTCAACGATACCTGGATGACCAAGATCCTTCAGCTGTTCCAGATCCAAGGCATTCACCACGGTGTGATGATGGTTGGAAACTCTGGTTCGGGAAAATCTGTGGCTTGGAAGCTTCTTCTACAAGCTTTGCAGCAGGTGGAAGGTGTTGAGGGTGTTTGTCACATCATTGACTCGAAAGTCATGTCAAAGGAGGCGTTGTACGGCAACCTGGATTCAACTACACGAGAATGGACTGACGGTCTGTTCACGAGTATTCTACGCAAAATCGTTGACAATTTGCGAGGTGAGGAAACAAAAAGACATTGGATTGTATTCGACGGCGATGTCGATCCTGAATGGGTCGAGAATTTGAACAGTGTCCTTGACGATAACAAACTTCTAACTCTCCCTAACGGCGAGCGACTCAATCTCCCTCTAAATGTTCGCATAATGTTCGAAGTCGAGACTTTGAAGTATGCCACGCTTGCAACAGTCAGTCGTTGTGGAATGGTGTGGTTCAGCGAAGATACCGTAACATCGAACATGATGGTCTCCAATTACCTCGATACTCTTCGGAAAGTTGCCTTCGAGGACCTAGATGAGGATGCCGTTGCCACGGGGCAAACAGCGGCCAAGGCTCTTGCAATTCAGGCTCAAGTTGCCGATCTTCTTCAGGCTTTCCTGACGACGGAAGACTTCATCTCCAATGCTCTGGAACGAGCCGAAGGGTTCAACCATATCATGGAGTTCACCATCTCGCGCGTTCTGAATACCCTGTTCTCACTACTTAACAAGTGTGTCAGAGACGTTATCGAATACAATACCCAGCATGTGGACTTCCCTCTCGACCCTGAACAAGTTGAATCGTATGTCGCAAAGAAGCTCCTTCTCGCTTTGGTTTGGTCCTTGACTGGTGATTGTCCCTTGGGTGACAGAAAGAGCTTCGGAGATTGTCTGGCTGGCATGGCTACATTTGGATCGCCAATTATGGGTGACAACTCGTCCCTTATTGACTTCGATGTCACTTTACCTAAGGCTGAATGGACATCATGGCAGAATTCCGTACCATCAATTGAGGTTAACACGCACTCTATCACACAAACCGATGTGGTTATTCCGACGCTCGATACTGCACGCCATGAAGACGTTCTGTATTCCTGGCTTGCAGAGCACAAACCGCTCCTTTTGTGCGGCCCTCCTGGATCAGGAAAAACTATGACTCTATTCAGCGCTCTCCGTAAGCTGCCAAACATGGAAGTTGTCGGCCTCAATTTTTCCAGTGCTACGACACCCGATCTGCTTATCAAGACTTTTGAGCAATACTGCGAATACAAGAAGACTCTCAATGGTGTCATCCTCTCTCCAACCCAAATTGGTCGTTGGCTTGTTCTGTTCTGTGACGAAATCAACTTGCCAGCACCAGACAAGTATGGAACTCAGCGAGCGATTTCCTTTCTACGACAACTGGTGGAGCAGAATGGCTTCTGGAGAACCTCAGACAAAACCTGGGTCACGCTCGATCGTATCCAGTTTGTAGGCGCTTGCAATCCGCCAACGGATGCAGGCCGAACTCCAATGGGTGCGCGATTTTTAAGACATGCTCCTCTCATCATGGTCGATTATCCCGGAGAACTTTCACTTCATCAAATCTATGGAACGTTCAATAGTGCTGTTCTGAAGATTATCCCATCACTCCGAGGCTATTCTGAGTCACTTACAAAGGCTATGGTCCAATTTTACCTCGAATCCCAGCAACGTTTCACCCCGAAGATTCAACCTCACTATGTCTACAGTCCTCGTGAACTCACTAGATGGGTCCGAGGTATCTACGAGGCGATCCGACCACTTGAAACCCTCTCAGTGGAAGGTCTTGTCAGAATATGGGCCCACGAGGCACTTCGGTTGTTCCAAGATCGTCTTGTCGCAGAAGACGAGCGAAACTGGACCAACGAAGCCGTTCATCGTATTGCGCTCGACTTCTTCCCAACCATTGAAGAAGATAAGGCTCTTGGTGGGCCAATTCTGTTCTCTAACTGGCTCTCGAAGAATTATATTCCTGTCGACCGAGAACAGCTCCGCGAGTTCGTTAAAGCTAGATTGAAGACGTTCTGTGAGGAAGAAGTGGATGTTCCTTTGATCCTCTTCAACGACGTTCTTGAGCACGTTCTTCGTATCGATCGTGTCTTCAGACAACCCCAAGGACATCTGATTTTGATTGGAGTCAGCGGGAGTGGTAAGACAACATTATCACGTTTTGTTGCCTGGATGAACGGCCTCAAAGTCTTCCAAATTAAGGTGCATGGCAAATATTCAGCCGAGGACTTCGACGATGACCTGCGCGATGTCCTTCGACGAAGTGGATGCAAAGGGGAGAAGATATGCTTCATCATGGATGAATCGAATGTGCTTGACTCTGGATTCCTCGAGAGAATGAATACGCTGTTGGCAAATGCGGAAGTTCCAGGTCTCTTCGAAGGAGATGAGCTTGCCTCCTTGATGACTGCTTGCAAGGAAGGTGCTCAGCGGCAAGGCCTTCTTCTCGACTCGCAAGAAGAATTATATAAGTGGTTCACACAGCAGATTGTCAAAAATTTGCATGTTGTGTTCACCATGAACCCGCCAGAAGATGGTCTATCTTCAAAAGCTGCGACAAGTCCTGCTCTCTTCAATCGTTGTGTGCTGAACTGGTTCGGAGATTGGTCTGATCAGGCACTCTTCCAAGTCGGTACTGAATTGACGCAGGCCGTCGATCTTGATCGGCCCAACTTCCAAGCTCCAGACAGTATTCCCGTCGCTTACCGCGAGCTCACCCTCCCAGCCAACCACCGTGCTGCTGTAGTTAATTCTATGGTCTACATTCATTATTCCCTTCACCGCTTCAATATCAAACTTCTAAAGCAGCAAGGACGAGTCACGTATCTGACTCCTCGGCACTTCTTGGATTTTGTCGCCCAGTATGTCAGGCTGTACAATGAGAAGCGTGAAGATTTGGAAGAGCAACAGCGCCATTTGAACGTTGGACTGGAAAAATTGAGAGATACCGTTGACAAAGTTCGGGATCTTCGTGCTAGTCTTGCGGAAAAGAAAGGACAATTGGAGCGGAAAGACGCTGAAGCCAACGAGAAACTTCAACGTATGGTTGCAGACCAACGAGAGGCTGAGCAACGTAAGACAACGTCTTTGGAGATTCAAGCCGCTCTCGAGAAACAAGAGGCTGAAGTTGCCCAACGTCGCGAGTTGGTTTTGAATGATCTCGCCAACGCAGAACCTGCGGTTATTGAGGCCCAGAAGAGTGTCAGCAACATCAAGCGCCAACATTTGACAGAAGTGCGCTCTATGGGCAATCCACCACAAGGTGTCAAGCTCGCCTTGGATTCCGTGTGTACTTTACTCGGTCATAAGGTCGACAGCTGGAAGACAGTTCAAGCCATCGTTCGAAAAGATGACTTTATCGCTAGTATTGTTAACTATGACAACGAGAAACAGATGACGAAGAACTTGCGTATCAAGATGCGGAATGAATACCTTTCAAACGATGATTTCACGTACGAGAAAGTCAATCGCGCAAGTAAAGCCTGTGGTCCCCTTGTCCAGTGGGTCCAGGCTCAAGTCAACTACTCGGAAATTCTTGATCGTGTCGGTCCGTTGAGAGAGGAAGTCGGAATGCTAGAGGAGCAAGCTCTGCAAACCAAAGCTGAAGCTCAAGCAGTTGAAAATACAATCAACGCACTCGAACAGAGCATTGCAACATACAAGACGGAATATGCAGCCCTAATCAGCGAGACGCAGGCAATCAAGACCGAGATGTCTCGGGTGCAGTTTAAGGTTGATCGAAGCGTACGACTGCTCGACAGTCTCTCATCTGAGCGAGTTCGTTGGGAAGAAGGGAGCAAGTCGTTTGAGACACAAATTGGCACACTCGTGGGTGACGTTCTTGTTGCAGCTGCGTTCTTGGCATACAGCGGTCTCTATGATCAGCAATTCCGAAAGAACATGATGGAAGACTGGTTACATCAACTCCAGCTCTCTGGCATCAATTTCAAGCTGCACAATCCAATGACAGAATACCTTTCCACAGCTGATGAACGACTCGGATGGCAGGAAAATTCGCTGCCAGTTGACGATCTCTGCACGGAAAATGCAATCATCTTGAAGCGCTTCAATCGATATCCGCTGATCATTGACCCATCTGGTCGCGTTACCGAATTTTTGCAGAAGGAGAGCAAGGATAGGCGCCTCACAGTCACCAGTTTTCTGGACGACTCGTTCACGAAACAATTGGAGAGCTCCCTTCGTTTCGGAAATCCGATCCTCATTCAAGATGCAGAATATCTCGATCCTGTGCTCAATCATGTTCTCAATAAGGAATACCAAAAGACAGGAGGTCGTGTTCTTATCCAGCTAGGGAAGCAAGAAATCGATTTCTCTCCGGCCTTCAAGATCTATTTATCGACGAGAGATCCTTCGGCCACCTTTGCGCCTGATATCTGCAGTCGTACAACTTTTGTCAATTTCACAGTTACGCAGAGCAGCCTTCAAACTCAATCCTTGAATGATGTCCTGAAATCAGAACGACCTGATGTCGATGAGCGTAGATCCAACCTCATTAAGCTGCAAGGCGAATTCAAAGTGCATCTCAGACAGTTGGAGAAACGATTACTACAGGCTTTGAACGAGTCTCGTGGAAATATTCTTGACGACGACAACGTGATTGAGACTCTCGAAACACTGAAAAAGGAGGCTGCCGAGATTTCAACCAAGATGAGCAACACCGAAGGCGTCATGACAGAAGTCGACGAGATTACTCTTCAATACAACATCATTGCGAGATCTTGCAGCGCAGTCTTTGCCGTCCTCGAGCAACTCCACTATCTCAATCACTTCTACCAATTCTCTCTGCAGTACTTCCTCGATATCTTCCATTCAGTACTGCATGGGAACAAGCGACTCGCCAGCGAGACAAATCATAATGTCCGTCGAGATATCATCATCGAAGATCTTTTCGTCACCACCTATCAGCGTACTTCTCTAGGCCTGCTTCAGAAGGACAGAATCACCCTCGCTATGCTTCTTGCCCAAGCTGCGCCTTATAAAATGGATAAGAGCTTGATCGATGTCATCTTAGATGAGGGTATAGAAGGCGTCGACGTTTCAACAGAATCACATAGGAAAGACGAAGTTCTGGCCAGAGCATCCAGAATACCAGTTCTCAAGGGAAAACTCGAGGTAATCTCAAATGCGGCTTGGGAGCGCTTCCTCTTTGAAGAGATAGGAGAAAATCACGTTCCCCAAGTGTGGGGTGCAAGCACCGAAAAACGAGATCAAGAGCTTATGTCTCTCTTGCTCATCAAGCTATTCCGCCTAGATCGATTTGTACCTGCTGCTGAGCGCTTCGTTACTGCTGTATTCGGTCAAGGCCTCCTCGATACTACGGAAGATCTCAAGCAGACCGTTGATCAAGTCTCTGCGAGCAGCCCAATTGCTCTATGCTCAAGTCCTGGATTCGACGCCAGCTACAAAGTCGACAACCTTGTCGAACGATCTAGCGCTACATGTACAAATATTGCCATGGGATCCAACGAAGGCTTGGCTAGCGCAGACAAAGCCATCAGCAACGCGGCCGCCAATGGATCGTGGGTTCTTGTGAAGAATGTACATCTGGCTCCGACATGGCTACAGAGTCTTGAGAAACGCATGGACTCACTCAAACCCCACGCAAACTTCAGGTTATTCCTTTCGATGGAGTCTAGTCCTAAGATCCCTGTTAATCTTTTGAGAGCCTCTCGAGTCTTGATGTATGAACAGCCAGCTGGTGTCAGGGCAAATATGAAAGATTCAATGGCATCTCTCTCCACTCGGGCTACCAAGAATCCCGTCGAGAGAACCAGACTGTATCTTCTACTGTCGTTCTTGCACGCGGTCGTTCAGGAACGGCTACGCTATGCACCAAATTTGGGCTGGAAGGGTTTCTGGGAATTCAATGACAGTGATGTAAGTGATACAAGCCTTGGCTGCACGCGCCTTCTAACAGAGATTAGTACGAATGTTCGGCGTTTATCATAGACACATGGATCGAGACCGTTGCTTTGGGTCGCACCAACGTTGCCCCCCAGAATCTACCATGGGACATGATCCGAACCTTGATTGTTGAGACTTACGGAGGAAAGATTGATGACGAAGGTGACTTTGCGCGCCTCACACAATTGGTCAATTCTTTCCTCACGCCTTCGGCATATGACATTGGCCACAAACTTGTAGAAGGTATTGCGGGAAGTGGATTGGACGAGGATGATGGAAGCTTGGTTGTGCCTAGTGGGACTACTCTCAAGGAATTCACGGACTGGATACAGAAATTGCCGGAGAGAGAGCCACCTACATATCTTGGCTTGCCCGCGAATGCGGAGAAGCTTCTTCTAGTTGGTCAAGGTCTAAGCATGATTCAGAATTTGGGGAAGATTACGGAGTTGTTGGACGAAGGAGAACAGATTATGGCGGAGGCGGTTTGAGACGATTTAGGTGTACAAGACAGATTTCCATTCGTGGTCTTAGATCTTTAGGGCATGGTCAGATCGGGCGCAGGTCTCTTTACTTCAGCATGGTTTGCAGGCATGGGCTGGAATTTGGCGGTCGTTATTATACCCAGTCTTGCGTCGCTAGACTTACAGATTGCTTCTCTTTTGTAGTCTCGATTTCTTGTAGCATAGCGATATTGACATGCATCTAAATGTATTCATTTGCCACCACGTTGCAGCCTCACGGGAACGCAAGGGGAACTGCGGAATCGAACGCCGACCAGTGAGGAGGGCCGCATCAAATGTGAGTGGCAAGCGCACCCGAATTGCTTGTCTCACGGTCCGCTTTATCCTACCCATCGAAGTCCCTCACTTGCTTCTGATCGTCCTTTTTGTCTCTCGCTTCCATCGTCTGCATATCTATTCGTTTCTTCACATCCACCAGACGGGGTTTAGACTTCATCTATACAGCTTCGTTTCATCCACCCTTCCCAAGGCTGTGGTGAGGCATCGTGGTTCCAATATGGATCAAGGTACTCTTACCACACCATCATGGCTGACTATCGCTGTTTTTCTTCTGTTACCATTTTCTTTGACCTACACAGCGACGCTCTGCTTGTCGGCACTTGGTATCAGAGGCACAGCAATCAGCGAAGACCCTCCCCCTGTCCCGTACTGCACTCCATTCGTGGGAAATGCTTTGGCTTTGGCTTTCGACACTCTTGGGTTCTTGAGTTCTGTTGTGTTTGTCTGCCCCTTTCTTGATCTAGATGAGATGGCTCATGTCATTATAGGAAAGACTTTGGAAATGTGCCAGTCCGCCTTGCTCTGGGTTCCGAAAAGATATACTTTATTTCGGGAACTGAAAACTTACAAACGATCTTTGGTAAATCCCGAGACCTCTCCACCAAAGCTTTGGCTCTCGTTGCTCTCGTCTCCGCTCATGGCATGCCGCCTGCGGACGCAAAAGTCTACGAGGCTGACAACTCTGGCATTCATTTGAAGCCACTTCCCAGATCAAGTACGCCTCCCGAGAAGAGATTGCGGTTCATATCACACCATCATTTCCAGAGCGAGCTTTTAGGAGAAGCAGGGCTGGGTGAGTTGTCCCGACAATTCATTCGACAATTTGCCACCCGCATCTCTGAGAGGTCCCAGGAAATCGGGGATCAATGGAGTCACTTGCCCGATTTGTACGACTTCGTGAAGTCCGAGACCTTCGTAGCAACCACAATTGCGCTCTGCGGCGAGCACATCTTCAAAATCAATCCCAACCTGGCGGAAGATTTTTGGAGTCACGATTCTTGGCTGCCCTGTATCCTGAGGAAGGTGCCACGATGGGTCGTTCCAAGAGCCTTCGCGTCTCGAGACAAGAACCATGAGAATATTATGAAATGGCATAAGCTTGCGCGGGAACTCGTTGACTGCTCTGACGAAAAGTTGAAGGATGTATTGTGGGAGCCTGTCTGGGGAGCGAGGATCATGAGAAAGAGAGCTGAAATGTACAAACACGTTGAAGAGATTTCCCCAGCTGGCCGTGCAGCCTCTGACTTGGGAATGATATGGGCGTACGGACACATCTCCGAGTTGATTTATAAATTTGCTGACTTTGACAAGGGCAAATGCGAATATCATCCCCTCAGCGGGTTGGTGTTTCATCCATATAATCGCGGATCCCACTCTCACTGCTCGTATCCTTGAAGAAATTTCGCCTTGCTTCTCATCGCACTTACCGGAGTCTGTGGACTTGGACAAGCTTAGTGGTTGTCCTCTTCTGCAATCCGTCGTTGCTGAGGTGCTTCGATTGAACGTAGCTGTCATGATTAATAGAGTAAGGTATCCCTTTATCCATCGATGCAAAAGAGCTTACAATTACCCCTTCCAGACCTCCATCGTCCCAAACTTCAAGCTTGGTAAATGGACGGTCCAGCCGGATAAAATTATTCTTGCCAGCATCTATTTCAGCCATAGGGACAAAGGATGTTGGAATACTGGACGAAAACTCGACAATGGACAGCAAGAACATCCACTCGACAAGTTCTGGGGCGAGAGATTCCTTGAGTACCCCAATGACCCATACAGTGGTCCTTCGAAGAAGAACGGCATGGCCACTTTCTCGGAAAAGCTTTCCAATAAAAGTATCGTTCGAAACGACAAAGAGGCCAATTTCACGACTAGGGGCTTGAAAGGCGTCTATATTCCTTGGGGGGGAGGAGCAAATATGTGTCCTGGGCGGTATTATGCTAAGTACGAGATGTGCCTTGTCGTTGCCATGTTAATTTGGGCTTTCGAGATCGAGTTTCTGGACATTGAAGCTGCGAGGAAGACGAAGCCAAATACGGCGGCATTCGCGATTGGAACTTTGGCGCCGGCCGGGAAGAATCCTATTCGTCTTCGGAGACGGAAGTTTTGAGCCATTAGAAGAAGACCTGTCCTGTAAAACCTTGGTGGCGAGAGTTAAAGCGTGGTTAGAGGCATTGAAAATATCAAGCCCTCGGCAGGGTGGAAGAAATAGCTGTTCTGACACCTACGCATGGTTGCGAGGAACTATCGGTACTTTTGAGCACGCCACCACTCCTTCTGGAGACGGCCTGAGTCTCTTCTTGCTTCCCTTCGCTTCCTCATCACGAGAGCAACAACATAACTTGAAAACATTCTTTTCGAGAAGCAAAACAAATCCCTTGATCGATACCTACCTCCATGCTCGCTGAAGGGAAATCAGCAGCCAGTCTCCACTTCAACCTCGGGTTGGTGAGTGTGTTGAGCTGCTGCCCCCCAAGCCAATCAATCCATCGCCACCACCTCCCAAAACACAGTTCTGCGAGGCCTCGATCAAGCAGCTAGCCGCTCTGGAAGACGGCAAGATCCTGCAACCATGCGAACCCCCACAGTCGAGGACGGCAGGGCTGCTGGCTCAATAATTGTGTGCCTCCAGCCACAGGAAAAAGCAACCGCATGCAGCGCCTTGTGCAGTCTTCCTTGGTAATCGACACCCTGACGGGAGAGTGCTTCACCAATCAGGACTTATAAAACTCTGAAGTGTGGCAATGCCGCAGGTCTCAGATCACATACAGTAATTTCCAAAGTTTTGGTTGTTCGCCGAGATATTGGTTGCACCACCTCAGCCCTGTCTGTCCAAGTCGGGCGGATGCTTGGCTGTCAAAATCGGCGGCTGAAAATCCTAGGAAACCATAAAACCCCTGCTGCCTCGTAGCCTTGACGAGTTATTCTTTCCGTTCATGAATTATTATCTTGCATCGAAAGTTTCAATATTCACGTTTTGTCGTTCGGAGGCTGGCAAGGCTCCATTTTCCTTCCAAGGGATTTGCCAACGTCACAACGTATCATGGCCGAATTCATTAAGTACTGCAAAGGAAATAATTATAATGAGGTCCACGGGAGCTCGGTTGAAGAGGGCCTTCTTCACTTCTTTGGTTGCCTAAAATTTTCAGATCGTGCGGAGTTCCTCGGATCCTTGCAGGGAACGGAAGCAAATGATAAGTTAAGACTTCGAATAACAGGGGAGCTCGCTCGGACTGCCAAGTTAAGGGAGATTTTCGAAGCCGAGGGACTCAAAACTGAGACCGGAAAGCTGCTCAAAAGTTTCAAAGCGACTCTCTATCAGCGATTCCCAAGACCGAGGAGTCAGGCTCCTGAAGAACTGCCACAGAATGTACCAGCCTCTCAGGGCCCGACATCAAGATCAGAGAACCTTGAGGATAAATTAATGGAAGTAGTGTTAGGGGACCTCCGAGCAAACGTAATTTATTTCAAGAAAAAGTCAAAAGAAGACCCCCCGGCCCCCTACGACCACCCTGAGCTCGAGGATACATTCCCCGATCAGAGGGTCCCACTCAGTCTCCTACTCGAGGAAAACCCAAAGAGAAATCCTTTGATGTGGAAGTGCGAAGAGGACATGATTCGGTATTTCCACATTCCGGCTAATAATATGTCTTGGGTCGAGGTAAATGACACCTGATCTTAATCTTGTAGTGGCGTCCTGACCTTATTCAATTATAGGAAGCAATTGCTCGGTATTATAATGAAAAGAAACCTGATCTCCACGGCCCATATCGCAAGCCGCGACAGGGAGTCCAGGAATTGAAGACAAGAATGTTATTGAGGCCACAGTATTGGCGCAGCCTACAGCATGGGGATCGTCCGGATCTTCCCACTCACACTCGCCACATGCGTCCGCGGTGTTACCCTATCTCAACAGGCAAGAGAATATTGATGGAAGCCAAGCATCGTGCAATGACTGATGTTTTTGGTTAGATCATGAGAATACCGTGCCGAAACCGAAAAACCTTATGCTCTTCGTAAGTGTCACACATCGGAAGTCCCGAACAGTTATTAAAGTTCATAGATGCCTTACCTTCACTGGGAGACTGACCGAAGAAGACTCAAAAGTGCCGAGATCCTGAAACGTCACGGTCTTGCCAAGTGGTCCCCTTTCAGTGATGTGGTTGGCAATGCAGCAGACCCTGTCGTCGAGACAACAATGGACCGAGAAAATTCAGACGGTCTCTTAGAAAACATAACAACAAGAAATTGGTCCCGCAGACCGTCTGCCAGCCCCGCTAAGATAACGCACCAATCGAGACCTCAGCGCCAGACATTGCTTGGAAGATTGCTCCTCAAGGCTGCTATCTTATTCGAAGCGATGGACGGCTTTGCAGACGAAAAGCTCATCGAAAAGCACTTGAGCAAAAAACCGCCTTTGCACCCACGCCGTACTTTGGACCAGTCTTATTACTGGACGCTGAAGGACACATGCAGTAGAGATCGTGACCAGGTGGTGTACAGAGGGACGGCGCCATATCCGAAGCTCTTGCACTTTGGGTGTAAGAAGGATGACCCGAAAAAAGATAAGGCATGTCCTCAATGCACTGAGAACGTCAAGAAGGTGCCACGGGTGGTGATGGTTGACCAATTATGGATGTGGATATTGGATGAAAGTAAGTTTTGTAACAGATGGACGTGTAGATTCGTGTCCATGTTCTCACGTTTACGGATGCAGCCTTAGCCTCGATTTGCTTCACCGGCTAATAAGCGGCAGATACCATCATCACCAGCTTCCCAAAGAGGTGGGGAAGGAACAAGCCAGATCCATCTGCTGTTCAGAAGTGCATAAGAACACGTTTGCGTGCTGCTCGAGTCGATGAAGTAAGATGTGCATACGACCTAGCCATTATAATTCTAGATCAGGTCAGCCGAGTCTTCTTTGATCGAACACAGCCTACGGATCTTCAACCCCAGGTGATAGACAGTTTTGCCAACGCCATTGGAAAGGTGGTAGGTGATCATCTTGCACAGAGAGACCTAAGAAAAATGCTGATGTAAAACAGACTCACAAGCAGACCATTGCTTTTGATCACTTCTGGGAATGTACTCGATTGGTCTCAAAGGGATATAATTCTCGTGATGAAACTGCCTTCACCTCAGTCAAGAAATGGCAAGATACTTTACTGGACATTAATCCTGAAGGCGATCTCTTGCGAGAAATCAAGTAAGTATTACCCTCAAACTATTTCGTGTTTTTGTCTGAAAGCTCAGAGCCCGAGAACTCCTCAGCAGCTACCACGTCTCTTTGTCTTTGGGCCTTGGCTCCTCAGCTATTGAGGTCCCTCATTGAAATCAGTAAAGCACTGTACTCATTCGATGCCAGGGATATACTGGACGAATTGTTCATCATGACGTTGATCAAGACTCAGCAAGAAACAGTCATACGGACCTTTGTTAAGAACTGCCAGCGTCTCCAGAATTGGGACAGTCCGGGAGATGCCGATAATCGAAGCGACAGAAGCTCACCGAGGCTGAGTCCAATCAAGCCGAAGCAGAGAAGAATGTCTTCTCTTACAGCAGTACCATATCTCACTCTTGATCAGCAGTACGACCCAGAGGATGTCAATTGGACCAAAATATGTGCGAGGGAGCTACTTGATAATCTAGGTGACCAGGTGTTGGAGTTGCAATCCTTGAAGAATGCCGCTGAGAATACATCCGTCGCTTTGAAAGATCTCCTGGCTTTGAAACAGCAGTGAGTATTTCCTCTGAGCCTCGCTATATGATGCTAACTGTATCTAAGGCAAGCAGGCGTCGTGGAAGCACGAGAATCAGTCAAGCAAGGCGAAGAATCTCTCAGGCAAGGAAGATCGATCATGTTGTAAGTCACAATTTCTCGGAGCATGGTTCCTCTCTTGTTGCGAGTTTTCTATTCCCTAGCCAGCCTTGAGAGTAGATTACTCATAAGATATTGTCTCAACTCCCAATTCCTACGCTTTGAGGAGGAAATACTGACAGGAGATTCTGGGGTATAGGTTCACAATTATAACAATCGTCTTTCTGCCCATGTCTTTCTTCACTGGGGTTTTTGGTATGAACGCCACAAACCTGACTGGCTCCAATGGTCCTGGACTGTACAACTGGGGTGATATCTTTCGATTCATGAGTTGGTTCCCATTTCCTAATGCTAATCATGCACAGCTAACCTTCGTCTTAGTTCCCATCTCCGCCTTCATAATAACCTGCTCTCTCCTCCTCGCCTTCAGCAAGCTGGTCCGCGCCTTCCTCTCCTTCTGGTTTAATATCGGCTGGGCCTGGCTGATCACCTCAACACCCGCCTACATCAGATGGCGCGAAACACACTTGAATAGCAAGAAACTAGCCGAAGAGGAGACGAAGATAGTTAATAGGATGAAGAAGAAGGCCCTCCAGGTGGAATTTCAACGGAAAGAGGAGGAGATGGTGAGACGGGAGGCAATGCTGAAGGAGGAGGCAATGAGGCAGAATCCTACTAGTTTACAGGGGAGAATTGGGGGGTTAGTGGATGGGGATGTTGAGATGGGTGTACGATTGCGTTAGTTTTGAGTGGGATGTTTTCATGTGGTTTCGATTGATGTGCAGATATAGTGTAAAACCAGATAACCAGGTCCTCGATCCTCTTCAGTGCAAGTGCTAAACTCCAAACAGAAACCGATTATTACTTTTCATCCAGTCATTAACGACCACCGCGACTAGCGCTGTCTTACCCTACTTTGCAAGGAAATTTCTGAGTTTTGCACAATCTCGAGCGATGAGTATATGCTACGAGTCGACAAGACAAATAGGATGCTGGAATGCACCCCTGGGTTGTGGATTGGTGACTGGGAATATGCAAAATATCATTAAAGTGAACAACTTGTCGACTACAGTTCAATTCCCCTGATCGGTTCACGATCGCAAGTGCTTCGAAAAAACACCTTTGAAAATGCATCCAAGTACAAGGGTTCAACATATGAACACCGGTTTCCATATCAATACACCCTAATCCCTATGATTCATTACCCTATGGACTTTGGCCGACTGCTCAAAGCATAAGAAGATCTCCGTTCGAACCCCCACCCATGGCAGGTTGGTATACCTGATCGGGTGCATGTTGGTTCACCACATACTGCATCTCGCCTCTTCCTACGGTTGGGCTACCACCAAAACCATCCTCTTGCCCGTTGATATGCATAGCGGCCATTTGTTGACTTCCAACACCTGCAAAGAACTCGTCTGCAGCATCCACTGCTGCTGCAAGGTTGCCGTTGCCATTCATCTGTGGCGGCCTGATCGCTGGTTGATTACCCATACCAAACGCTGACAGAGATTTCTGGCCGTCGAGACCGTTGGCTGTGGGTAGGGTGTGCTTCTGCAAAGCAGGGCTATCCGTCAGCTTGCGAGGCCTCGCTGATCTGAAGACCTGTTGGACAGGCTTGAGATACACCGTTGCAAGCGTTCCAACATTGAGGCACATTTCCTCCAGTGTGTCAGGGTCCAGCTTCTCGGATTCGGCTGTAATCGGAGGCTTCTCTCCCATCACAATTGCCTTCGCAGTCGCCATGTCCGATGATAGCAACCGCCAGTACATATAGCCTCTGTCTCGTAGATCTGGGTTGTCTGTATCCTCAGTCGCCCATTTGAGAACCTTGGGGACGAGCTCTTGTCCTTTTGTCGGCCGTTGGATGAACAATTTAACGGTGGCGGTAAGAAGAGCTAACTGGACCTCGACTGGCTCATCTGCGAATGAATAGAGGAAATCCTCCAGAAGAACATCGGAATTTTCAATGCGAGACGCATATTGTCCAATGACCCAAATCATTGCCGCCTTTGCCTCAGGTTCATCCAAAGAATCAAGATTCTCGCAAAGTGTCGAGATGATGGATTCATATTGGTTTGGGTATTTTCGGAAGATGTTTCGGATAACAACCGTTGCCTCTTGCACAATGTATGTGACTTTGGTGGCCACGAGCTCCAGAAGCGTATTGATACATCTTCTTGCAGCTGGCTCGATCTTGATGGCCAACTTGCCTATCGCCCTGACTGACTTCCGCACGAAATGTACATCGATCTCCGTCGCGTATTCTCGTAACTCTGTCAGGACCTCCTCGATGTTCTTCTCCGTGGCAAGCATGAATATTAACTCTAGCTTTGTCACTTTGACATAGATTGGGTCGTTGTATTTGCAGAAAAAGACCCGGATATCATTTCGAAGAACCTCAGGTCTTCTTTGCAGTATCAGCAAGGCGTTTCGTAATGCCAAATACTGCACTTCTGGCCCTTTAGCAAGCAGTGTCACCAGTGGGGGAGACAATTTCCGACATAATATCGAAATCTGCTTCTGATCTGCAATATAGTTCATCAAGTAGAGGATGACTCGTATACAGGTAAGTACCACAGCCGAATTTGAATGTGATAGTCGAGGAGATATCCGCTCAGCAAGAAGCAAAGCCTCAGAGGTTTCTTGAGGAACATATGACATCAAGGCTTCCAGAATGTAAGTTTGACCCCATCTGCACAATTATCAGCTACTGTTTCAATTTGAATTGCCTTCATATACATACTCTGAGCAGTCTGGTAGAATCTGGACCATTTTTGAAGCGTTCCCATAGTCGATTGTGAGTTTGATAGCGTCACTTCGCTCCCAAATATCCATCAGACTTGCAAGGGCACTCGCCACAACTGTTGGATTGTCATCCCTCAACATCGAGTTCAGTCTATCAATTAAATCTGAACTTTCCACCAGATGTCTGTCGTGGTCATATAATTTAGCAACGCAGAATGCAGCCGTCTTTCGGACATATGGATCTGCGTCTCGGAGAAGTTGTTTGGTAGGAGGGACAGTCGCTTCTACAAATTCACGGACGTGGATATATGACATTGTTCGTAACGCCAGAGCTCTCACCAAGGGATTCGCGTCATTCATGTCCTATATGTATGGGTCAGCACTTTGGATACAGAAAGGGGGTTTCGGTTCGCAGTACTCCTTGGAGAATAGGCAGCGCCTTAAGAGCCACCTCTGGCTTCATGCGAGCATAGTTCACTAGAAACAGGAAGCACCTATCGTTTTATTAGCACACAACCCTTCGACAGGTAATCCACAGAAACCAACATCTTCTTGATCTCCAAGCTCGGTATTTCCATGCATCCAACAATATCGGGGAAAAGAGCCACCATATCATTATTACTCATGGTCATATTGGCCACAATCTTCTTGAGGGCGATCTTCTTGGCCGCATGGTTCTTGTCCTTCTTCCCACCACTATGCAACTCGAGTCGAAGTTCCGCGACCTTGCCCTGTGCAGAACGAAAGTATGGTGAGTACGCTGAGCTATAGCCCGGAGGCGGAATGTAATGTGGAAGAAACATGGCAGAAGGCATGGGCAGTCGCGCGTGTGCTGAGATGTTGAAGCTCAGTCACTTGAAGGAGGCCGCATCTGGATGGTACTATCTCATGGTATGACTGCGTGGTGGCGCAACAGACAGAGCGGTGCAAAGGGGTGCGGAGGCAATCTGGTGTCGTGCAGTAGCAGGAGAAACAGGATGAAAGGTACGTACTCTAGCAAAGAGTTTCGCGTCACCCCCGCTCGAAGCCATTCTGAGCAAGGCTCAATCAGGATCTTTGTGTGTGTATGCCCCTCCAATGCCAGCGCAATGGACCAACGGGATCGAGTCGTTGACTGGCCGGGAGCGCGCAGAGCGGTCACATGCGCCACGATCACCTCCAACAAGGCTTTGGGTGTTGTCGCAGATGGGAATCCATCAATCTGGCTCTTTCAGGAGAATTGCAGGAGGTCTGAGAATTGTCGACAAGAAGTTGGAGCTTGTGTATGTCCAATAGGAGAGAGCACAGGCAAGTTCGGCTTTGCTTACAGCAGGTTTACTACGTGGACCCAGCAAAAAACGGCGCTACGGCTATAGCCTGTCCTAGACTTCAGTCGACGAACACCGTGACGACCATTCATCCGTTTCCCATCAGAACATTCAGTTTCCGCCCGTTCAATAGACTGCAGAGATGGCACCTCCTCCACCCCCTCCGCAATGGGTCATTGACCTCAGTTCTCCCCCCGCCTCAAAGCCAAAGTCGAGTGGAATTCCCGACCCTCCTGGATTCACACCTACATCTACAGGAAGCAAGGTAGCTATCTCTGGCCCTTTCCAGATGGGTAGTGCTCATAGGTTCGCAGAAGCAACAGGGCTCCTCGAAGACGGTAGTCCGCGCCCCTCTTACACCTGCAGAGATGGACACATTGAAGCTCAAGAAGGCATGGGAGGTGGCTCTTGCTCCAGTCAAGCAACTGCCAATGACAGCTATCATGATGTACATGTCCGGCAACTCCCTTCAAATATTCAGCATCATGATGGTTGGTATGGCATTTAAGAATCCTATCATGGGGTTGATGGCTACGAATCAGGCGTTCGAGAAATTGGAGAGTGAAGGCATAAAGTCGAAGATTACAATGGTTAAAGCAGTCTATGTGGCTATGCAACTGCTCGCGTTGGCGTTAGGCATTTGGAAAGTCAATGGGATGGGATTACTCCCGTAAGTCTGTTGGACAGGGTTGCTCGGTGAGTGCTAACGGTCTCACAGGACTACCAGGTCGGATTGGCTGGCTTGGGAGACGGCGAGGGATCCTCTGGAGATTGCGATACCTGCGTTTTGATACATGTGTAAGGATATATCATTGTTCGGCATTAGGGTGTAGCAATTACAGGCTAGTTCAAGGCGGAGGCTATGGAATTGCCTCGAGCGAGCAGCATCGGAAGACGACGAGAGAGATAGCACAACCTCCCATTCCGGATATGAGGTTTGTGGATAATGAGAGTACCTTTCTCGGATTTCAAGAGTTATATTTCCGCAGGTCATTTGCAGCAGGTTCGCAAGGCGCTTATGGCCTGAAATAAGGCAAATTGCCAAGAGCCTTTCATACTCGTCACATGACCAACCCCGGATCCAGAACCCCTGAATTACGAGCACCCCGGGGACTATCTGACTCGGGGAGGCCAACAAATTCCAAACTCCCAATCGAATTCTGAGATCGACTTTCACATGTCTCAACGGCGATATGCAGCCAAGGGCCCGTCCCGACGGAAGCAGCCTTTCGCGGATGTACAGTACCTCGTCAAGAGATTCCGCAGCACCGGTGTATAACACGAGGTATTTCTTGCTTTAAGAAGATCTATTGTGAGTCACAGACTCCAATTCCACTGTGGCAAGCCTCTACAGAGGTCCTCATGAGGCCTCTTTCCAACATGGGTATTGTCAGGCGGCAAGGCTTTTTCGCTTACAAGCTGAGGCTGTGTCTCCGCCAGCTGACACAACATCACTCACATCTTCGACGACTCCTCTGATCCGGCAAATACACACTTCAGATCCGCGGTCAACACCAGATCGGATCTATGAACCCTTAATTCGATGTCTGCTCCCGTGGGATGCTGTTTTGTGTGTAGGGGGCGTCTGATTGTCTGTCTGAATGAAAGTCAGCCTTATTAATTTCCATTTCAGCCTCGTTTTTATGGAGAGGAACCATCCAAACCACACCATGTGGCTAGACCTATTTGATCTAGTTCTCCGGATACTCCTTCAATGGCTTCATGAAACCATCCCAGCCACTCCGCCAGTACAAGCCACTGCAGCCTTACTCTGCCCCTCGGTAAGCCAAATGGTGCTACTTCCGACATCAACAGACGCATTTCATGTCCAATCATACCCCCTGGACCGGATCATTTGTATTATCTCCCCAGCAAACCCAAGAGCATGGTCTCTGTGGCAAAGCTTCATTTACATCATGCTTCTTCCTTTTTCATCACTCGACAGGGCTTCCAAGCGAATGACCTCACCTTCATCCCGGCCGGGGGTCAAGGCTAGCAAGCGCTGTTTACGTGCCCTGTCGAGATGGTCCCCGGGCGACATCTAGAAGGCAACAGTTCGTTCCTCTCGGTGAGAGCCTTTGATCATTAAGGCAGTGTAATGCTTAGCTTTGGTCGCGTGCATTTTGAGAGTGTTGGAAATGAGCATGGGAAATGAGGACTTCCTAGAGCCACAATTTCTTGTGTGTCATAGTTGTATAAAATTCCCTTCTTTGCCCTTCGGCCTTAGTTATGTTTGCCATGTCTTTTGTGAACATGTTTAAGCTTGGAAGCCTAAGTTAACCCTTTCCTCTTATGCTTTTACGAAGCGGCTTGCGAGTGGGGGGAATCGACAAGGCTGAGAGCTCCAGTATGGATACAAGTTCCACTCGAGCGGAGCCGGGAAGCCCGCAGAACACAAACAGGTTCGTTGAACAGATGTTGATGGGTGGTTTCGGAACCAGACACTGATATTCCGTCTCCTTGTTTAGTTTCTCTACCACAAATTCTACCAGTCCTCTCCCTCCACCGCCTCCTCCTGAGGCTGGCCCTTCGGGTTCTGGACAACCTCAACTTCAACCACAAGCCGAAGAACCTGGTCAGCCTTTCCACCAAGCTATCCCTCGTCCACATGGGGATTTCATACTTTATCCTGCTGCAGACGAGGAAGAATACGCTGACAGTCAAGCATCACAAGAGCAAGTTCCAGTCCAACACTCACCACGCCAGCGACCCCAACCAACTTCATCCTCCTCTCATCCAACAACTACTGGGGCTTCGGCCCAATACAACGGCCGCACATCACCCATCCTACAACAGAACGGAAACAGAAACGCAACCTCATCTCGACCTCCACCACCTCAACCGCTTCAAACACCCCACCCTATTCAAAGCCACGCGCCACTTCAAACAACAGCACATCAACCGTCTTCCGAAGCTGCTTCGATTCAACAATGGCAAGGTGAAGGACCTTGGTCTCCCGGGGGCCGGGCCTATGGGGCGGCTGTTCCCAGGGTATATCCGCCTGATCGCAGCTACCCCGACAAAATTGAGGAAGAGCTTGACGAGCTAGAGAAAGAAGCAACAGACACACACTCCGATGGGGATGGAAAAGAGGGCCAGAACAAAGGCAAAGCAAAAATGAGAAGGGGGAGGAAACGACGTGGTCACCCATCACGATCCCCTGCCACGGACGGACGGGACAAAAGACCCAGAGGTGGTGGCGACAATGGAGATGGAGTTATTGTCTGAGGAACGAATGGATTTTGGCATGTGATAGAACAGGGCATTTGGCGTTTGGCTACGTGGTTGGATATGGGACGTTTGGTTTGCTTCGCAGTGGATACCCGGGCGTCGGTGGCTTACCGGGCACGATCGCTTCACTATTTTGACGACTTCACGTTTTGGCGTTTGTGGTGGATCACAAGGGGATCACAGAACTCTTTGGGCGGAATTCGGCGTTTGCGTCCGGCTGTTACTTATTTGATTGATGGATGCGTTTTGCTGGTAAGTCAGTAGGTAGTTACACGAGGCTTGCATTCCAAATGCAAAAATGACTCTCAACATTCGACTGCCAGACATTGGGTATCTGTAAAACATCAAATAGTGGTGGTGATAGTGATCATCTCTTCCCTCTCTTACTCGGCCGAGCATTTTTCGCCTTCCTCTGCTCTGCGAGTTTTCGCTCCTTGCGAATATCCTCCGTACTTTTGATCTCCTTCTTCCCGAATCCATCCTTCCACTTGCCCACTCTCTTCTCCTTCGCCTCATCCACCCTCTTCTTCCTCACATAGTAATCATCTCTATATTTGTCTGCCTCCTTTGGTGCTTTCTCCTGCTTATGCTTATACCTCGTCCCCATTCCTCTCCCCACTCCACCGGCACCGGCACCTTCTCTCTCCGCCTCTCCAGTCCTCGGCATTCGATCAACCTTATGAGCTTTCCTCCACCTGTCAAACCTCCCACTCTGGAAACTAGCAGCGATCTTCTGCCCACTCTCTCCTCTGATCATCTTCCTCCCCTTCGAGCCATCCTCGTCATTCGCTCTTGCAACGTATTTACTATTCTTTTTATCCCATCGCATCCCCTTTGCTCTCGCTGGCTCTGCAAAGCTCTTCGCACCGTCGTCATTTGTCAAATCCATCGTCACTCCCCTTGCCACTTCCACGAAATTGGAGTTCTGAGACGCCGTGTTGTAAGATCCTGAGTGCACGCCGTAACCCCGCTCTTCGGCCGTGTTGATCGTCTTAGGAGTGTAGGACATGAAGCTTTCAGAATCTTTCCAAGACAACGTTCGTCCTTTCCCCTTTTGGCTGGATTTGGAGAACGTTCGTTCCAGGTCGTCGTCAGAGGCTTCCTCCATATCTTGGTCTCCGCCCGTGACGGTGACTTCCATCTCATCCTCGATTTCCGCCTCAGAATCCAATCCACCAAACACTTCGTCGTCAGCTCCAGCTTCTGCTGCTGCTTTCTCGTCCTCTTCTTTTTGCCGTCTTGGGACAATCTTCTCTCGGCGCTGACGCATCATCTCTGCTGCCTCGCCATGACCTGCCTTCCCTCGAGTCCCGATTTCGAATACTGTTTCCTGTGGTCGGAAACTGCTGATACGTGCAAGCATGTCGATGCGTGCTTGCTCCGCACCGTTTGTCTCGTCGTTGAATAGGGGGTGTAATTGCATCCACCCCTTCGAAGCCACGACCTCCTTGGCTCGTTTTGCGCTCTCACTTGAGGCTGAATTTCGAGTCTTAATGTATAACTTCTCTCCTTTACCTGCCACTTTCCGAAGAGCACTAAGATCGTCATCGTCCCCAATCAACTTGGTAATCCATTCTGTCGTAGCTTCGAGCTTGTCTCTGAGTAGGGCACCAACTATAACGTCCTCCGCATAGTTGACTGATGTGCCGCTTTCACGGCCAAGTAACAGTCTCCTTCCCAGAAATAACTGTAAGTCCAGGAGATACGGAGCATCTGTATCTCGAACAAGACTGTAACTCCATCCCCGTTGTCCAGCTCTTGCTGTTCGACCAACTCGATGGACAAAGATCTTTGGTTGAGGGGGGAAGTCATAATTTATGACATTTGCCAAAACAGGAATATCAATACCTCTTGCAGCGACATCGGTCACTACTAAGATATTGGTCATTCCTGTTCGAAAATCCTCGACTTGCATGTTTCTCGCCGTCTGGTCTAAGGAACCATAAGCATGAGAAACCGCAAAGCCAGATAGTCGTAAAAGTGATGCTAGATAGTCAACGTGATGCTTCGTCGCTGCAAATATGATCGTTGAATGTTCTGTCGGCTTGTGCTTGGGACCAGGCCCATCAGCTCCTCGTTTCCGCTTCTTGTTGTTGGTTTCTGCAGCCTTCCGAGCATTCTCTGGTGGGCCAGTAGGCATTTTGATAAGATCGTTGAGGATATGCAATAATCCACCTTCTTTCTCGGCACTCTTGACACTGAAAAATGCACTTTCGAGATCCGGCGAGACTTTACTTTCAGCATCCAGTCGTACCAGACTGGGTTCCTGCAAACCAGCTCTTGCAAACTCAACTAGAGATTTTGGTAAAGTTGCAGAGAACAATAGAGTCTGTCTCGAAGTTGGCAGGGCGTGAAGGATTTCCGTGAGCTGGGCAGCGAATCCCATTTCGAACAATCGATCAGCTTCGTCGAAGACCACGTACTTGATTGATGAAAGATCAAGAGACATTTCAACCTTCAAATGTAGAAATCGACCAGGTGTTGCAATGACAATATCCGGATTTGCGGCCATGAAGCCAAATTGTTCTTCCAGACTGTCCCCACCCACAAGCAAAACACATTTGAGATCCGTCCCTCGGCCAAATTCCTTAACAACCTTCAAAGTCTGTAAGGCAAGTTCTCGAGATGGCGATAAGATCAATGCCCTAGCACCAACTCGAGCACTATGGGCCTTTAATTTCTCGATCATGGGTATAACGAAGGCAGCAGTTTTTCCGGAACCGGTTCTGGCCATGCCCACCACGTCTTGACCATCGAGGACGAGAGGAATTGTCTTCCGCTGGATCGGAGTAGGGACAGAGAACCCTTTTCTGCTAATCGCTTTGAGGAGATGTGCGTTCAATCCTTGACCAAAATTAGCACTTTTTTCTCTGAAAGCTTGCAGTTCCCTTACCCATTGCCTGAAATCCTCCGCCCTTCTTAACACTCTTGCCCTTGACATTGGAAGCCTTTCGATTCGACGCAGCTTGCTGAGCTGCGATAAACTCCTCGTCGCCATCTCCATCGCTCTCGATTCCCAAATCTAATATCCCACCGGCGTCAAGGTTTCCCAAATCCTTGCTGGTGGGGAACCCGAAATCGTCGTCTTCTGCGTCGACATCATCTTTGAATAATGAATTCGTGATGTCGAACTCGTTTTCTGAGACCGCGGGCGATCCAGCACGGTGAGGCATGTTGAATAACGACAGCTGTTTCGTCGTTGTGCTTGTGCTGGTTGCCGATGAAGTCTTATCGATCCCTTTTTTCTGCCGGAAAATTACTCGTAGAACTACACCGCCTTTCAAATCGGGTGAACCAAGCCCCCTCCCCCCTCACTTTTCTTTCAGACTTCACCACTTTGATCTTCGAATTCATTGCTTCCTCCCTGACTGATATTTCCATATCTTTTTGCGGCTGGCTGGCTCCTCGCCTTCATGGGTTCTACCTCCTATAAAGTTTCAGTAATCCTGACCTTATTGAGCCTTGAGTCGAAAGCCACAAATTCGGCGTCCGCGGATTCCGTCCCGTTTGCTTACTGGCGCTACCAGATCTTGGCATCTGTCGCTCTCTTAGTGTGAGTCTTCGAAAAAGTGGGGTGGCGGTACTTGGATCTAGAAGTACAAATATATCCCTTCTTCCCAGATGTGAAGCCAAGTGGCTACCAGTATTCCTACCACCTCTAGTCCCAACCCTCAACATCCGCCACGATGTTCTGCAAAGACCACTTCTACACTTTCTTGTATGGCCAGAAAGTGGGCAACTCTGAAGCCCCACTATTTCTCAATATCAGATCATCCAATGCCTTTATCACCACGACTATTTCAATTGCCATCTTCACCGACATTTTCCTCTACTCAGTAGTGGTGCCGGTACTGCCATTTGCATTGACGGGACGAGTAGGAGTCAAGGAAGAAGATCTGCAACGATGGACGAGTATCTTCTTGAGTGTATACGGAGCAGCCCTTGCAGTGGGCTCTCCGATATTTGGATGGTTCGCAGATAAATCGATGTCACGACGTATTCCTCTTCTTCTGGGCTTGCTTGCTCTCGGTGGAGCGACTGCAATGTTATGTGTTGGATCCTCTCTTCCGGTTTTGATCACGGGGCGAGCCCTTCAAGGTCTCTCAGCAGCAGTCGTTTGGACGGTCGGCCTTGCCCTTCTTAGCGATTCTATTGAAAGAGAAAAACTTGGAGCTGCGATGGGATATATGGCGGCTGCAACTTCGATTGGATCTCTCGCCGGGCCACTGCTCGGCGGAGTTGTTTACGCCAATGCAGGCTATTATGCTGTTTTCTCAATGGGATTCGCAATCATCGGCTTAGACATCTTTCTCCGTCTGATGATGGTGGAGAAGAGTGTTGCTCAGCAATGGTCTCCACCTACAGAGAACCCAGTGTCTCTTGACTCTTCCGTTGGAAGAGACTCGTCAGGGGGTGAGATGCAGGCCGTACCCGCAACTACTGTGCCTGCGGAGTCAGAAAAGACATCCGTGAAACCTCTACCGAAGTGGACTCAACATATGCCGCCACTCATCACGCTATTGCGAGTGCCACGGGTTCTTGTCGCAATGTTTGGCTGCTTTATTGAATCCACCTCGCTCGCATCGTTCGACAGTGTACTCCCTCTTTATGTGAAAGACACATTTCACTGGACTTCCTCTGGGGCTGGATTGATCTTTATCTCTCTTGTTATTCCCGCTCTTTTCTCGCCAGTTTTTGGTGGCATTTCAGATAAATTTGGCTCGAGATTTATTACGACTATTGGCCTATTAGGAGCTGTCCCATTCTGGGTCCTCCTACGCCTTGTGGACCACGACTCCATTGGACAGAAGGTATTACTAGCTGCTCTGCTAGTCTTCATCGGATTCTGTATATCGCTGGTCATGGCCCCCTTAATGGCAGATATCGACCACGCTGTAGCTCTGGAAGAGAAGAAGAGGCCCGGAAGCATGGGGAAGAGGGGAGCTGCGGCGCAAGGATTTGGCCTATTCAATTTAGCATACGCTTTGGGAACGTTGATTGGACCGCTGTGGGCTGGGTTCGTGGTACAGAATGGAGGCTGGGGAACCATGGGATGGTCCTTGGGGCTGCTCAATGGTGTTTGTGCAATCACGGCTTTCGCATGGACAGGAAGTCGCATCATGCTGAAAGGGAAGGAAAGGAGCGAAGGTGCTGTTGTTTGAGGTATTCCTTGGAGGCGAGTGCTTGGACTAGAACTGTGGCCGAAAAGGCTGTCTCGTGAAACAATCATGATCATCTTTTTTTTTTTTGCTTCGAGGCGTTGGATACGGCATTCTAAACAAGGAGTCGATCAGATTGGTTTGGGTGATGTATTCTAAGAAGGAATCCTCAGCTTGGAGAAACAGAGACTCTCCCTTTCGTAACATGATAGATAGTAATAAATCCAAGTAACAAAAAGACCATCCACTTTCTTGCATAATGTACAGATCTAATGATGTTCATTCCCTAAATGAGAAGAACGACTATCCTTTGAATAACTCGACAACTTACGGAATGATCTTGGCGGCTCTCATTCGATCAAACGCAATATGATACCCCTTGACATGATCCACACTTTCCTTAAACCCAATCCTCCTCGCCTCGCTAATATCAAAATTTCTATCAAAAGTCGAGTACTCACCCCTATCACGCCGCTTTAATCAGCAAATCCCCCTCAAAGATCAAGAAGAGAACACTCACGTAACAACCGTCATAAACTCCCAACAAGTCTTCTCCAAAACCTCCATTCTCAACCCATTCCCCCTCGTCCACTGCTCCCACTCCCCCTGCTTCCCCTTAACCCACAACTCCCCACTACCCACATCCTTCTCCACGGGACCCATACCCTCAAGCCCAAAATACGCCACAATCCCAGGCCATACCGTCGCCCAACTTAGGCCCTCATCTACATCAGCGATATTAAACGCCTTCCCGGCCGTCAGCTCCGGGTGCAAAGAAGCGTAGATATGGAAACGCCCGAGTTGGTCAGACGAGATGTTAGATTGTAGGTGGGTGTATGAATACATGGTTCCTGGGAAGGGTATCTGTTTGGACGGGGACAGGGATTTCCACAACGAGGCGTAAAGGGCGAGGGGCTCGGCGATGTTCATTGGGTTGTGGTTGGGTACGAAGCCCACCTATTTCAATATCAACAGGTTAATCGAATCGAATTGGTGGGGGAAGGGAAAGGGGAGGTACAATAGCATCCGGCCTTATGTCCGCGAAGTTCCAGCTCTTGCCTTCGGAGAGCTTTGTAAGGGTGTCGACTTGCGGGTAGTAGAAGATGTGGTCTCCGTATGGTGCGGGTACCCGGGGTGCGCTTTCTTTCAGAGGCGTTATACGCGATACTTTTTTGCCGAATTCGAAGCCGTACCACTTCGCATTTTCAGCTTTGTTTCTCCCAGGCGTGGCTAGGATGGAAGATTACCTTCCCGCCAGTAGGGAACGTCCAAAACTGCAAGTTTGGACAGACCGCCTCCACTGCAGTGACGGCATTGACAATGAAATCAACATTCTCTTTGATTCGTTCCTCGGAGCCTTCGTCTCCCCATCCACGATGCACATAGGCTATCCTCGTCAGCTCTGTACCCTACTTTCACACCTACCTTTTCATACCTGCGAAATATACATGCGTGATCCGCTCAACATTCTCAATCTTTCTCAGATATTTTCTAATCGTCTCGGCATCTTGAGACAGATCAAGACCAGAGTAAAGCTGCAGTCTTGAGTCTGTGGGGAAGCCTGAAGTTTCAAGACTGAGGGGCCGGCTTGTGAGGCCTACGACTCGGCTGAAGGTGCTTGATGTTGGGTAGGTGAGAGCTGAGTTTGTGATTGCCCAGCCTGTAATGCCTGAAGCTCCGAAGACCAGAGCCTGGAGGCCCGTCTTGGACTCTTTGGTTGATGAGTTAGTCATTTTGGATGCTTGAAAGTTGAAGTAGATCTATGAAAGGTAAAGTAACTCGACCACTGACTGCTCTGAAAAGCAAATACAGCCATCGTTCACTTGGGTCTTTATACTACCAGAGTCCATAGTATCCTCGATGAATTGCACTGAATGTCGTGATTTCCAAGCCCGAGCGGAACAGGGTCCCTCCAGAAGACATTATTCAGCATCTTTGGGCAGTGCTGATCTCTTGGCAAAAGCTCCCATTGAGGAGAATGGGTATTTCCCGAGAACGGCTGCTGCAGGTACATTTTCTTGTACACTTGTCCAATTTCCAGAAGCGGAAGAAATGTTCTGAAAGAATGCATCTGACTCGTACCATTTCTGACGAAGCATGGAAATACTGCCAATGGCAAAGCCCGGTCTGTAGATTTGTAAGACACCCCTTGACGCAACCTTATGAATTTTGAATGTCGGACTTCCGAGCCCGAGCTAGGTCCCCGTATTTACGAGTTATCTAAAGCTCGATTGAAAGGTAAAGGAGGGTTCAGAGTTCATTAATCCAATGCATACATACAGAACACATCCAAAGAGCCGCCATCTAGAGTCTATGATGCAATGCCGCCCAAAGTCAAAGCCTCTCACCTACCAGTCCCTACCCAAGCGCTCCGCACGATCTTCCACCAACTCATATGCCGGTCTGAAGCCCTGGCTCTGATTCTCTTTCATATTTCCCTCTGTTGCTTTCAATGCTGGATTCGGGTGCGTATCCGTTGTGCCACCAAGTGATGTATATCCCTGATCATACAACGGACAGTAAGGGATCTCGAAATGTCGAATGAACTACTCCCGTCAGCAAGTCTCTCTTAAATTCCAAGAAGTAGGTAGGACTAACCGCCCAAATCTCAGCATAATGCCAATCAATAACCGGATGGACCCTCATAAAAGCCGGCCATCCGGAGTCGGTTAAATCAAAATGCGTCAAGCTCTGCCCGTGAGGATCGGTTCTCCTAGTCCCAACAAGTATCGCCTTCACCTTCTTATGTTCCTCTAAGTATCGTTTGAACGCCTCTTTCATCGGCATTGCATAGCGTGCGAGGTCTAGGCTATATGTAGTGACTGAGTCATCGACGAAGGCATCGACTTCTTTGAACGGGTGCGAAGAGATGATGTATACGGAGTGCAGCTCCTTCGGCAGAGGGGCCTTCTTGTATGTAGCGAGCGAACAGAGGAGGAGTATAAGGAGGACGAGGCAGTCCTTTCCGCCGTTGTAGGAGAGGGAGATTTCATCTAAACTGGACACCTGTCAGCAAGTTGTCGGCACAAGATGGAGGCCCAATTGTGAGGGTAAGGAGGAGGAGGCACTACCTATATCGGTCTAACGCAGTACTGATAACGCCCAACGCAACTCTAGTCTGCTCCTGCACTGCTTTCAGCAGAGGAGTCTCTGCCTCGGTCTGGAGGAAGGCATTCACCCGAGCCGCGAGTTTGGCACAGAGTGGTAGAATGCTCGCATCGTGGCCGTTAATGACCGGCGCATTGTCGTCGGCATCCTTTGGTACACGCAGTGGCATTTCGTTCATAGCGATCCATGCCTATGTTTTATGAGAGACATTGGTGTTTGCTTTTGCAATGTAAGCAATTTGATGCGGTTGTGGCTCGGGTGGCCAATTTTAGCGCTGCCGAGGGAGATGTGGGGAGTGGGGTTCTTGGAGGGGCTCGCTGTCAGAAGGGATTCGGGGTTCTCGCTCAGGGGTATCAAGATTTTCATTGTACGGTAGCTAATGGGTTCATTGCAGAAGGCCCGCTGCAAGAGCTTCGAGGTCCTCCAATGTCTCTGGCTCATCTTCTGCTTCAATAACACGATGTTTCCTCTTAGAAACTTTCTTCTTCTCAACATCTGAATCGTCCTCAAACCATTTCTTAGGTCTCTTGGTTGGCCTCTCTTCTTCCTCGTCAGCCAATGGAAGTGAAGCCAAAAGTTCCATCGGATCTTCACCATCTTCAAGCCCCACAAGCTCGGGCGCCTCATCGTTGTCAATGCCAGTCTTCTCAGCTGCTTCTCTAGCTTTCCTCTTCTCTCGTTTCTCCCTCTTCTTTTGCTTGGCAAGCTGCTTGTCATCGAGATCCGCGTCACGGACTCTGGCAGCTTCCCCCTTTAAGAACTTCGCTCGTTGGGCCTCAGCGGGACCTTGTTTGCGGAAAGCATCTTCATCCTCGAGTTCGTAAATTTGATGAGGCATGCCATCCTCATCAAACACTAGCTTCGTACCCTTCTCTTTGAGCTTCAGGAGCTTCTTCTTGGACTTCAACATCTTCTCCCTTCGCTTCGAATCTATCACAAGTGGCTCCTTGCCAAGGCCATGGATGACCTTAGGCGCAGGTCCAGAAGCGGCCAGGAGTTCCTCGTCCGAGCTTTCGTCATCCACAGGTAACACCCGTTTTACAGACAAGAAATCATTGTCCTCATCAGCATCTCCCTGCTGATCGTCGTCCTTGCCTATATCGTCATCGGCAATCATTTTCGAATAATGACCAGACAAAACATCTTGGTTACGACGTTCAAACATCCGATCATATTTCGTCCGCACTTCCTCCTTCTTAGGTTTCTTTTCCCCTGCCTCCACATCACTGTCTTCGTCACTTGATAATGCCGCTCTCGGTGTATTCTTGATGGTCTTTGCACTGTCTCCTTTCTGGAACTTGATCTTCGGCGCTCCAGGGAGACCCAAGCTGGCAGCATATCCTTCCAAGTCGTATTCAGTCATCTTAAATACGTCCTTGTCCTTCTGCACAAACACTGACCGGGTATAACTGACGAAGGCTTTCTGACCGAGATACTTGAGCTCAGGGTCCTGGAAGCACATATTTTGCAGCTGATTCTTGATGCTCTGTTGTTTCTTTTCTCTTGGCTTCGTTCGCTGGATTGGCACTTTCTTGTGTTCCAATCGTTTAAGCATCCCTTCTTCCTCGCTCGGATCCAGAAACAGAACAGCTTTTCCAGCCCGCTCATAACGAGCAGTCCGACCAACTCGATGGATGTACGTATCAGCGTCTTCCGGGCAATCTAACTGAATGACCCAATCCACAGCAGGGAAATCTAGACCTCTTGCAACAACGTCTGTGGCAAAGATGCAGGAATTTTTCGATGCTGAGAATTTTGACGTGATTTCTAGCCTTGCAGTCTGTTTTTGACGTCCATGTAGATGGAGAAGCGGTATCCCAGGTTGCAAATGCCGAAAGCTTTCATACACGAACCGTACCTGCTTTCCAGAGGACATAAAAACAATAATCTTAGCTTTCAAATTGGACTTGATGAAGCTGTACAATGTATCCAGTTTCTCTGGAAGTGGTGTGACGACGTAATACTGCTGTAGAGTCGAAGGCGTAGCGCTCGCAGCCGCTTCATGAACAGAAACGTATTCTGGATCCCGTAGACTCAGCCTCGCCAGATCAGAGACTTTTTTCGTCTGCGTAGCACTGAATAGCATCGTCTGCCTCTGTTTCGGCAAGTGCTCAATGATAGCATCCACCGAGGACTGGAACCCCATATCCATAATCCTATCCGCCTCATCCAGAACCAACATCTGCAGATTGTCGACCTCAAAAGCTGCAGTTTGATCCATATGCTGCAGCATCCTCCCAGGTGTACAAACAAGGATATTCATCCTCCCCAACCTCTCTTTCTCTTCCTGTAGACTTCGACCACCAATCACCAACCCTGCAGAAAAAGTATGGTACCGACCAATTTTCCGCAGTACTTCGAAGATCTGGATCGCCAGCTCTCGCGTCGGCGATATGATGAGCGCACCAAGTCCATCTAATTCGGTCCATTTCTGCCGGTATAGATTCTCCAGCACCGGTATCAAGAATGCCAGCGTCTTTCCACTGCCCGTCTTCGCGGCGCCGAGAATATCCTTTCCTTTCAGTGCAAGGGGTAGAGCTTTCGATTGGATGTCGGTTAGGGTTTTGAAGTGAGAGGCCTCGAGGCCGGAGGCGGTCGTCTGCGACAGGGGGAGGTCGGAGAAGTCTTTGATCTCTGCTTTGGGGTCCTGCGAAAAGTTAGTTGAGGGGGTTGGAAGTGAACGGTTAGTACTGACGAGTTCCTCGACGGCTTTCTGCAGCTTTTCGTGGTCTTCGATATCTCGTTTTCTTTTTAAGGAGCGTGTGTCATTCTTGGGTCGCCCTTTGGGCTTGGACTTTCGTCCTTCTACTGGTGGAGCCATAATGCCTGCGGTGTTGAGAGCTGCGAATTTCGAGGCCGAAGATTTATTTTCGATATCCGATTGCGCTAGCGGCCGCATCTGAAAGATAAAGATAGTCCCCCTTCTCCACCACTTTATCAAATCATTATTAAATTCCGAAGTTATATGGGAACATTTGCTTTATTTCTTTATCGCCATCTTAAATCAATCATTCTCTTAAAGTTTTCCATTCGCGAAATTTTAGGCCATCCAATAATAATCATAAGAACAGAGCAAAGCCTCTTTCTCGCTAACTCTACAAGTCAATTTTGCATCGACCTGCGGATGGCATGCACTTTGGAGGTTTGGCTTTGATTATGTCTTTCTGTATAATCTTTTCAGAGTTTTTACCTAAAGTCCTTCTTCAATTTAAATTTTCTTGGTCTTAAATCTATAATTAGAGCAAAAGTAAACGTAAATATATTTTTATAAAATATTTTAATTTAAAGCAATTCCTTTATGGTTATGATACATTTTTTTACTTTTATATAATACATTACGGAGTGTTCGGGCGTGCATTGTTGAGGCTGATAATACGTGCGTGCTGTGGATCTGATGGACTCGAGCCTATATCTCGCAAGGATTTGGTTTGGGAAACGAAGAAATTAATACCTTGAATGCTGATAGCCCTAACTAAGAACTTTGTCTCGGCTGTTGATTGATAGACCCTTCGGACCTAAAGAGGGTGTGCACTGTGCAGAGGGTGCATAATTAGGAAGGGAGTAGTCTCGGTCAGGCGATTGTCAAAACTAGGGCATTTGAGAATGATGGCCGAGGCAACACTCCCACGCATTTCAGCCCTACTCGATGATGATAATCATTTTCATCTTGCTTGCAGGGAGCCTATCCAATAGAGGCGAGCCTGCCGAGAGACGGTGGCCAATCACAACGGGGAATAGTCGCTACAGTAGAGTACCTGTAGCTCCAAGTGGACAGAAAAGCGGCACTCATCTCAATGTCCCAAGTCAAACTTGGAGCTTATTTGGACGCTAGAGGGCAGGAACTGATATTCTAGATATTGCGAGAATATCCAATGGGAGTAGACTCTAAATTCATAATATCATATATACACTTTTAGAGACGAAGTTTTTGCATGATCCCTTGACCCGGGACATTGAAAGTTAGTGCCGCTTTTTCTGTCGTCCACAAGAGCGGTTCGTTCTAAAAATAGTCGAGCAGGCACGACCACAACCTTCCTCTTCACAGCCTTGCACTTTTAACATATTTCTCGAACCACATCTTCAAAACTTCCGGCACTTGCAAGCCACCACACAACATTCCTTAGCTCTATCCGAACGCCTCACTAGAACAAGTTTCCTGGTCATGTCGCACAATGCAACATCGATCGACCAGCATATCTCCTCCACGCGGACCGTTTTCGACATACTGTGGAGCTGCCTCTTCGTGATCTTCGCCTGTACGTGGACAGTACAGCACCTCAACGTCCCGGAGCAACGGGAAGGGAAGGATCCAGGGTGGAGAGGAGACATCAAATGGGGCCGGAAGAGTGTATGGGAAAGCGCGAAATGGATGTGCATCACCATTCTTGCTCCTGAGGTGCTCGTGACGCTAAACCTTGGCCAACTGGCTCAGGCATGGCAGGCCATGCCCAAGTTGAAGCAATTTGCCGAGGAGGACAATGTACCTTGGACGTTGACACATTCCCTGTTTGCCAATATGGGAGGTTTTGTAATTCGAGAGAACGCGCCTGAACGCGCGGTCGATTATCTACATACTCGCTCTAAGGCTGGTTCTGAAGTCATGAAGGGTTGAAAACAGGAGAGCAGCAGATCACCCCTTTGGCTGAAGCTATTCAAATTGACGAGGTAACATCACCTAGCATGCAAGAGCAAGCTAACCAAGGCCGTCGAACCCAACTCAGGCTCGCCAAATCGACGTTCCTCCTGGCTAACGAGATTTTGGCTCTGAGGGAACAAGGCATGATCACCCTTCCTTATATTACTAGGGAAGAGATCATGGACAAAGGCAAGAGCGATATCTTTGCGCGCATACTTGCCATCTGCCAGACACTCTGGCTTGTGGTGCAGATGATTGTTCGGGCAAGCCGGCATCTAGAAGTCTCTCAGTTGGAGATTGGTACCGCAGCTTTCGCCAGCTGTGCAGTAACTGTATATGCCTTAACTTGGCACAAGCCGAAGGGTGTAGGCGTGCCCTGGACGATATGTTCATATCCAGGGATAATCCCCAAAGGGTTTTCAACACTCAACTTCGAGTCAGTGTATAACAAATGGTGGGTTCTAGAAATTCTGAACCCCCCTCCTTCGGGGTCTAGGAGGCGAGAACTCCGAGGTTCCTCGATTCCAAATCACCATCGGTACACAGGAAAATCTTGGGATGGTGAGCCATGGTTCGCCGATTCTTATGAGGTAGTTGGATTCGTTTTGTCCAGCACTACTTTTGGTGCAATCCACTTCGCCGCAGTCAAATCTTCCTTTCCAAGCCATATCGAATGGGTGCTATGGTATATGGCAAGCGGTATTTGCACTGGTGTGTCATTACTTATAATCTCAGCTTTCGTCGTTTCGGCGCTGTATGCGCATCTTCGTTACTTTTTATCGCCTACGGCCAATTTCGAAGAACATTATGTACTTGTATTGAGATTAACCGCCATCTACAGCGTTTTCCCACTCTATATTATTGCTCGCCTCTTTTTAATAGTGGAGCTTTTTCGGTGCCTCTTTTTCCTTCCACCTTCCGCGTTTGTGGCTACCTGGGTTTCGAGTATACCTCATGTATCTTGACATTGCCTAGCTTTTAGTTTTAACGTCCGTAGTTAAATAGCAATATTAGTGTTAATCAAAATCTTGGAGTACCTTCGCTCGTCTGGTCACATGGCTGTTGCGAAATGGCTAGGCATTGACTTCCTCAACATCAAATCCTTGTAACACGATCTCCAAACGAGTGTTTCTCGTCGTGTTTCTATTGGCAGCGCGTATGCGACGTGGAAGGCGGGATAAGGGTGTAAAACTAGACTTCCTGAGTCAAAGTTGAGTGCGTCACCGACTCTGAATTGGAATTTATGTATCTCGCTTCACCAGCTTACTAGATGCTTGGAGGAAAAAGTGGATTACGAGCCGGATCTCATGCTTTTGTGAGATGAATAAGTGGGTATTTTGTTTCAGAGAAATGTAGGCAAATCGATCGAGACAAATCTACGGTTCATTGGCGTGATAATTTCGCAGTTTGCTCTTGCGCGGGTCATTTTGAGGCGGAATTGCGCCTAATGAAGCAAATGCCACTTGTACTCGACTTTCAAGATTACAACGCCTTCCCATGTGCAGAATCTGATCACCTCAATTGTAATTTGACATCTAATGGCAGTTAATCCCATAAACTACACTCTTTTATAATGTAAATTAAGTCAAGGTTTTGCATTCTCGAAATGTTTTGACCCAGGGGGGTGAGGTGTCGTCGCAGCTTGCCGGGGGTTCTCGATCCTGCATCACGACAATACTCCCCCAAGACTACGTTACAGTTCGTTAATAAAATTGGACAAGATGTGGTTCCATCGGGTCCAGATCAGGAGGGAAAGATGGCCTCGAAATGAAATTCACTGCAGCTCGAGTGCTTCACGTCGTCTCCAGAAGCTCAGTCTCGCTCTCTGGCAAATCAGCCCACCTTGTTCGGAAGTTGAATTAGGCAGCGACTTAAAGTCTTCTCATATTGGAAGGAGAGGTTTTGCGCTGCGCCGCTCAACAAATATAAATCTGCTGCACTTTCGATACGCGGGCTTGTCGCTTGTGAACACGGGGGAGTTGTTGGCAACTTGGCAACTTGGCATTTCTAGGGTATGAAGAAGTTTGGCGACTGTATCGGGTTTGAAATCTCTGGCAAATTGCAATAATGAACCCTGTATCGTCCGTAATTTCAATTAGGCTGCAGATTAAAGTCTTCTCACATTGGGAGGAAAAGGCTCGGCGCTGAGCCGCTAAACAATATGGGACTGCTGCACTTCAAATACGCGAGTTTGTCATTGCTTTGAATTCTCTGGTAAATTGCAATGAACGCTTGTCGTTTGTGGTTTAAAACTAGGCTGCAAAATAACGAACTTCCTATATCTTTCTATGGAGAAAACTTGGGGAGAATCAAATGCTCGAATGATTCCCGCACAAACGAACCAATCACTACGGATGGACAAACGTACTCATGGAGAAAGCCAACCTCAAATGCAAGAGGAGATTGAGATGGGCTGAATTCGTCTTATTACACAGGGGCTGAGTGAAGGGCGTGCCTTGCGCAAGAAGGAAGGCGGATCTTTATGTCAGATGGATCTAAGATCTGAGCCTCACAAGTGACCAGCCCCCACCAGCCGCCACCAGCCCCCCCGGATCACGGGAAATTCCCAGCTGGTTCGTCTTCAATGCCAGGCTTGTTCCACATTGAGTAAAGCGCAGGGTCTTGTTCAGGGTCTTGCCCAGGGGTGTCTGATAGGGCTGCCGAAACGGCCCGTCGGAATTTCCCCTGTTCTTGTCTCGAGCCCCGATCGCACTGGACTAATGATGCACGAATGAATCCGGGGAGAGCTTGCTTGCTTTTTGCCCACAGCCTCTAGAACGTGCGCTTGTCCTTCGATGCACCAGCGCTTTACCTCCCACACAAAACGTGCATCTAAAAATGGCTGCTCAGCACCGCCCTGGACAGCGCCACCCAAAGCCCCCCAATGCTGCGCCGTCGAAGGATGGGCTTACACGACGAGGTTACGAGTTACGTGTTGTGACACGCCAATCGATGTCCTCGGGGCCCCTTGATTTGTCGGCAGCTTTTAGTGCCGCTCGCGTCCTTGCTTGCGCCTCTGTCGAAACCCTGAAATGTCACTGCCTAATGTCACCAGCAGTATGCGAGCACGTGATTGCCCATTTAATGAAACCCTCAGCAAATCCTCGTCTGTCTTTTTGGCAAACATGGAGAGATCGTGGAGGCGCTGAGTCGCTCTGAACGTGGGAAGATGGCCAAGATCTGGCGCTCCCAGGAATATGAACTTCTCGATTCTGGCAGAGCATCTTCGGACTCTTCTGGATTTGGAACTTGCTCCGACAGAGAGCGCGACTTCGAAAACGACACGACTCGAAAATTCGATTCGCAAAGTATACAGAGTTTATCCCCCTCGTGGAGATTCTGGACGCTGCGGATTGCCCTACAGACCTGTCAACGATTGCGCCGTGGTCGACACCGACGTCCGCAGCGAAGGCAATGCTTCTTTTGGACAGCATGGGTTATAGCATCCATCCCCTGGGTTCTCGTCTTTCTGGTCTACTTCACGGCCATTTTTCTACCTTCGTACACCCATTGGCCTGAGCACTATCGGGTGCTGGAGAGGAGATGCAAGAATTCCACGCAGCCTGGACGAGGAAATCCCAACAATGAGAAAGTGTTCATTGCTGCGTCGATATACGACCATAACGGCACGCTCTTGGCAGGGCGGTGGGGTAATACAGTGGTGGAGCTAGTACAGCTTCTTGGCCCGCAGAACGTCTACCTCAGCGTCTACGAGAACGACCCCAACGACGCTGCCAGAGCATCCCTTGCGAAGTTGGGAAGCCAATTGAATTGTGAGTTTTCCATTGGCACAATTCTACAAAACGTACAATCCTCACAGAATCTGTCAGGCAATGTCTCCCTTGTGGCAGAACATCTCCCGCTCGAAGAGATCCCGCGCATCACTACACCAAATGGGGAGAAGCGGATGAAGCGTATTGCATTTTTGTCAGAGGTCAGGAACCGCGCATTACGCCCTCTCGAAACTGCTACTATACAATTCGACAAGCTCCTATTTATAAACGATGTCATGTTCGACCCAATCGAAGCCGTCCAACTCCTTCTTTCCACAAATGTTGATTCAAATGGACGGACACAATACGGTGCGGTGTGCGCAGTTGATTTCATCAACGCATTCAAGTTTTATGATACATTTGCGACAAGGGATCTTGAAGGCTACGAGATGGGCATGCAGTTCTTCCCTTGGTTTGCAGATGCGGGTGATGCCGCTACTAGGCAAGATGTGATGGCACAGAAAGATGCCGTCCGTGTACGTTCCTGTTGGGGGGGCATGACTGCTTTTGAGGCGAGCTGGTTCCAGAAGCCTCTTGTGGACAAATCGACCAGATATAAGGGGAAACCCAGCGCCGCCAAGACGCCGCATTCGCCTCTTCGCTTCCGGTTCGAAGAGGATCCCTTTTGGGAAGCGTCTGAAGTATGTATAATCTACATATCTTGCTCTCCACTCCTTATGGACATCTCGCAAGTTGTGAGATATTTCGAAAGACACCCTTTCCAGTGTTTCCGCACCCCTTCACCTCGAAACCTTCCCGTCAAGCAATACTAATTCCGGTTTCCAGTGTTGTCTCATTCACGCAGATCTGACTTCCCTCCGTCATGGTCACAACACCTCATTCGACTCAGGAATATATATGAATCCTTACGTGCGCACCGCATACGACTCGAAAACCTTCGGTTGGCTCAAATACACCCGGCGGCCAGAACGACTCTACTCCCTCATTCAGGGCATCGTCAGCAGACTTGCTGGTATGCCTCACTACAACCCACGGAGACTTGAACAGCCAGGGGACGAAGTGATAGAACAAGTCTGGAAATACGACGAAGAGGAGGACATGTTTCCTCTTAGCGGGGCCGGTACGCTAAGAGGTTCGTACACTGCCATCAAGAGGACGGCCGTTCCAGGACGGTTTTGTGGAAAGAGGATGCTGCAGGTGGTGAATGAGGGTGCGAGGAAAGACGAGGACAATTGGAGCAGCATTGAGCTTCCAATGCCACCAAGTTGAAGCAGGTGGGGCCATCAACCAAGACTCACAGACTATGAGCATCAATCATGCTGGCTTTCTAAGCGAACCCAAGAAGGTGCGTGAAGATTGCCAAGAACGACGCAGAGTGGCGTCCCAAAGTTGCTAGGAGAAGAGGGATGGAAACCAGGCTACAAATCCGCGTGGAGAACCGCTTGTCTTATACCACCCGACCTCAGAAGTCGAAGAAGGACGAAAGTGTCGTAAAGAGTATTCTCACATTGAGTGGGAAATAATGTTGGGTCATGACCAGCGCCTGGACAAATCAAAAGCGATTGCTGTATATGCATCCCCTACTACTTCGTCCCGTTCGCTCCATTCGTCTCTCGTAAAATCTCTGAAACTTATACTTCTCCTCCCTCTCCCAGTACTTGTTGAATCCAACACTCTCACACACCTCCGAGTAACTCAGTATAGTGGGCGGTGCCCCAACCGTCATACTCTTCAAATTCTCCAACGTCTCCCTAATACTCTTCAGCTTAGCCGCAACCAGCGTCCGCAGGTACGCAACCGCGCAGAACCCCAGTTCTAAGCTTTTGGTCAACTTACTCTTCGGCCACGTCTGGTCCTCAATCATGACCCCGGCAGCGCTGGCAAGCGCATAGCACTCCACCGTCCGCTCAACATTCATCGGGCTTCCATATCCCGTGTCGCCATCCGCCATCACAGGGACGTTTGCCTGCCGCACCACGTTCTTCACCGTGTCGCACATCTCTTGACATGCTATGTATCCTGTGTCTGGGAGCCCATAAGCAGAGGCAACGGGATAACCGACGAGAAGGATCATGGGAAAGCCTTCTTCGAGTTAGGAAGAGAGCCCGTCCTGGGAACGACAGTGGGTGAGGATCTTCTTGGGGTCGTTGTTCGCTTCAATTCATGGTGCGGAGGCGGGAGGCCTGGATGGGGTGGGATGCTGCTGCGGACATTGGGGGGCGAGAGTTGCGTTTGGGTTATTTGGCCTGGCTTGCCTCCTTTCTCAGGGATGGGAGATTCGAACTTGAAAGGGTATTCTACCGTGTTGACGATTGACTTCGACATGTTAATGGTGTGTGTGCTGATTCTTAAAGCTTGAGAGTGTGCTGGATTGGGACGGAGGGCAAGGGCGAGCCAAGGTGAGTTGAAGTGATGGATGAAGGATAGGAGAGCATGAATGGTAAGGGGACTTTGCCAAAGTTGTATTCGAGAGAGTTATATACTTGCCCAGAACTCTTCTCCTCCGCAACTGCTCCAGACTTCGCCACCTCTTTCTCAAGACGCAAGAACGGTTATCGGCACCGAGAATTTCTCTGGTAGACGCAGCCCCTCGCCTTATTGGGAATTTTATTTCCATGCAAAGCCTTTTGAGCACCGGCAGTCTTTGCATTGCTAATGTTCCCCTGTCCAGGTACGAGAGAACATAGAGGATACAAACGAGAGGGAGGACTCGTTTACCAAACTACTGTCGTTAGACCCAGTCGTCGCGCAAGTTCGTGGAGGACTTACTTGTCTTCGATTTTGTCGCTGATTATCGACTGGAACAAAAGTCTGTGCCATGCTTCCCTCTACACCTCCCTTCTCAGGATCGTCGATATTCTCAATCTCAGACGATCTCGTCTTTGTCCAATCGGCTTGGTCGGACATGGTTGCAAGGTTGGCTTGAGGTGTAAAGACACTGATCAGATCTATAGAGAAAGAGGATAGCGAGCTAATGAAGAGAAAGTGAACATGGGCGCTCAATGCTTTCTACATCTGCTATGTGGTCATGGAATGGACAACTCTCCTCTGGAAGATCTTCCCAGCCCACATCTACATTGCAGTTCTTTGTGTACTGTGGGTAGTTTATTCCAGAGAACTTGAACCCATACTTATCAACCGTAGATGGGGATTAGCTGCTATTTGCTCCGGCTTCACTCAAATATGGCTAGTTTAGTCGCTTGCAGAAGCCTTCTTGGAATATTTGAAGCAGGATTCGGAGCCGGTGCTCCTTACTTCCTCTCACTTTTCTACCAAAGACGTGAGCTTGGGTTGAGAGTCTCTGTCCTGCTCGGCATATCCCCTCTGGCCAACTGCTTTGCTTCCGCTCTCGCCTACGGAATCACGCATATCCACACATCCTGGGGAGCATGGCGATATCTTTTTATCATTGGTAAGCAATAGCTTCTTACAAACTCGGATATTTCTCACATCAGCCACAGAGGGTGTCTCCACCATCCTCTTCGCCCCAATCGTCTTCTTCTTCCTCCTCGCCGACTCCCTAAGCACTCCCAAATGCTGCCCTCCCCCCTCCCAACGATTGTTGCTGATATGGGATACACTTCCATTAACGACCAAGGCATGACAGAACCTCCGTATTTTGCGGCCTTCCTACTCTATGTCGTGGTTGCGTTCGTGTCGAGGTTTTAGTTGGCGATTGAGCGCGAGCAAGAGAAGCGTGGTAATTTGTAGATTATACATTTAGATTTAGTTTGCTTGATGATATCAACATACTATCCCACGTCAATCCACACATCTCCTCTCTTACGCATGCATCAATTCTTCATAAGGCGAGAAGGTGAGCTCGTCGCTATTGCTTCGCCGTCCTCGCTTAACAGATCCTCCCCTCCCCTCACGCTTCACCCGAAATCTCCGGCTGATTTTTGATAACCCAATATAAGAAAAATGCCGCCGCCTTCGGGCAAAGCGGCAGTGAGAGTCAACTCCCACATCAACAATCACAAAATCTAACAACAAAACTTTCGGGTCAGAGGTAGCGGTTTCATGCGCACTCTTTCCTCCTTCAACGGCCTCACTAATAATTCGACTTATAAATAAATCATTCAACTCAGCTTCAACTTTAAATAAAATCAACCATTCAATTCAACTTCAACTTCAACTTCAACTTCAACTAAATTTAAAATTCAAATTCAAATTCTATTCAATCAACAATCTTCAACATTAATGGCAGGGGACGCCCATTCGAAATGCCATCGACAAAGGATGTAACCCCGTTAACGCCACGGATGCGACGAACCTTTTGCTTCCTAGTTACCACGTACTTATATTTGGTAGTTATAGAATTTTCTTTTGAACCTCGTTACTGCCGCCTCTCATTTACTCTAAGCGAGGGTCGAGCGGGATATCTAGCTGCCTTTAATATATGCAGTTCGTATGTAGGGCTCCAAATACTGTGTGAGAGATACGAGCCGACCAGTGAGAGATGCCAGATCGCCCGCAGATAATCTCGTAATTACAAACCGGATGCACACCGGCTGTCTAGTTCGATGTCGTAAGCGAAACGAATTCATCCCCAATACCTCGTGACAGCGTCTCACCGATGTTTCCATTGCATCTCCTATCACCTTCCAATTTTAGCACCTACAGCAATCCGACTTAGGCACCAGCTGACAAATCGGCGTCGCAGCACAAGGTAAAAGGCTGTTCTTCGCATGCTCGCTCCCCACCAACTTTAATCAACTCAAAAACTTTACTCATCAACAGCGCACTACCGCCAGGCTTCCGCAACTCTAAAACCACCCAAAACAATCCGAAATGTCTTCGACTATAACATATCTAATTACAGGCGCAAATAGAGGTATTACCCCTATTACCCCTATTCTTTACTTCCCGATTTGGAAATCACGTGTTCGGCTATTTTCTCTCTTCCTTACTCCTTCTTATTGTGAACAGGAATCGGCCTCGGACTTACGAGAACCCTTCTCCAGCGCCCAAACACAACAGTCGTAGCCACCATCCGCTCCTCTACCACCTCCACCGCCGATCTCCTCGCCCTCCCCTTCGCAGAGGGCAGCCGCCTTGTCATAGTCCCTTTCACACTGTCTCTCTCCATCCACAGCGACATCGCCAAAACCCTCCTCGCCACCCTCGCAGCGTACTCCATAACCCAAATAGACGTCTTAGTCCTCAATGCCGGCCTAGGCTCTTCCTTCCTGCCCACCCTCCAAACCCCGCTTCCCAGTGTGCTGACACACTTCGAATCCAACACCCTCTTCCCAATCCACGCCTTCCAAACCCTATACCCCCTCCTCTCCATCCCATCCTCCAAGGCCATCCTCATCTCCTCAAGTCTAGGAAGTATCTCCTACATGGAAGGCGCTGCACCAACTCTAGCGTGCGTAACATTCTCTTCTTCCCCGCCTTCCCAAATCTCCTCTCCCAAATACTTTCCGCGGTGTTTCTCCTCTCTAGATTTACGTGGTCTTCAGCGTAAAAGGAAACGCTCCCCGGTGAGGCAATGCTGATTCTGAGGTCATCAGGTATGGAGTTAGTAAAGCGGGAGCGAACTATTTCGTCAGGAAGGTGCATTTTGAACATGCTGGCGTGATTGCGGTGGCTGTGCATCCGGGGTAAGCCTATCTTCTGTGAGAAGATGAGAGGTAAACGGCTTGTTTCGTGGATATCACTAATAGGCCATGTGTAGCTGGGTGAAAACGGCAAATGGACAGAGCTTCGCGGACAGCATTGGGGTTGCGGAGCCGCCGATGACGCTTGAGCAAAGTGTTACGGGCGTTTTGGCACAGGTATGTTTTCCTCGCTGGTAGGGAACTGCTGGGGGTTCTGATTTGATTGCAGATTGATGGTGCAACCAAGGCGACTACTTCGGGATATTTTGTCTCTTTTGATGGGAGTGTTATTCAGTGGTAGGGACATGGGACCCGGAAACACAACGAAGTCTCAGGAATGATTTCGCGTTTTCTGATTTTCTGCAGCTATTTGATGTCCCTTCTTTCTTCAAAATAACGCGACCCTCAAGTCTGAAGAATTCTTGTTCGTAAAACTCACTGACTGATACCCGATAAACCACACTGATACTTCTATAACTGAATATCAATAACGCGAATTACTCCTTTGTCGGAATCGGCTCTTCTGTTGGCGCAACAATTCCCGCTGAATGCGACTCGTCTTCATGAGCCGTTACTTTCGGGCCAACGTAGTTACCACCTTTGACAAACCACCACAGCGCGGCAAATATCGACATAGAGCCTGTGATCAGGCAAGCATAATTCATATTCACAGCTGTGACTGGAAGCGAATATGGGAAACAGTAGATGACCACGAAAACAATGATGTAAAGACAACTGATGATATTGACGCCATATCCGAGTTCGTGGCCCATCTGGTACGGTCCCGGCCTCATGCTGTTGATGTAAGGCCCGGGTGCTTGTGATGACCGAGAAAATCTGCGCGTAAAAATGAAGGGGAGAATCGCAGCGAGGTATGATAAGGTGCTCAGAACGACGAAGGATCCGACGAAAGCGTTGAACGCCGTGGATGAACCAACATAGATTGCCCCGAGGACGGTAGAAAAGCACCCGCAAAATAGGGTCGCATTGAATGGATTTTTGAAGCGGGGTGAGATAACACCTAGGGTACCGGAGAATGGAACGGCTCCATCTCTGGAGATTGTCCAAAGGCAGCGGCCAGCGGTAATGAAGGTTCCAATGCAGCAACAGAAGATCGGGACAAAGATGATGAATAACAATCCCAAAGTCCCAGCATTCGATGATGTCGCTTGTGCGTAAATCGTCGCGAGCGGAAAGTAAGGTGCAGTAAGGACATCGTCGATGTTTGCAATAGCGTAGAAAATGGCAATCATGTAGAAGAATGCCGTGACAAACCCAATCACCATTTGGGCTGCGATAGCGAGGGGTACATTCCGTTTGGGATGAGGGATTTCTTCTGCCAGGTGTGATACGCAGTCTGGTGTTCCCACGGCATAGGCTCCATTCAACATGCCAGCTAGAAAGACAAATCCATCACTGGAATAGCCCGTCTGGTTTGACCATTCAGACCAGACAAACGAGGAAGAAGCGTATCCAGAACCGCTGGTATGCGGCATAATGGCACATACGAGAATGGTGATGAGGACTCCTGCTAGGATGAAGAACAATCCAATGTTGTTCACCATTGGAAGAGCTCTGTTTGCGAAGAGAACGGTTGCACAGCAAGCCCATGTGACTATCAAATATCCGATGAAGATGTGCCACCTTTGTGGCATGTATTCTGGACGGTATAGTCCATACATGGCTACAGCGATTTGACTGCTGATACTTGCCATCGTGGCTATCTCTTGTCAGCTGGCTTACGAGTAAGAGTGAGTGGCCCCGACCCACCCGTAGCACAAATCCAAGCAAAAGTGTTCCACCAACCGGCAAACCAGCCACAGATTCTGCCATACTTAGGACCAGGTGTGATCGATGCCCAGTGGTAAACCCCGGCACTAGTTGGCATAGAAGAAGCAAGTTCCTGAATGATGTTAGTGGTGCATGTAGCTTGTATCTAAGGACTTACAGCAAGGGATGCAGCGACTAGCCAGTAGAAAATGGAGACAGCAATAAACTCATAGAGCACACCAGGAGGTCCTCCGTTGTAGATGGCAACAACGATTGATCCCCCAAGTGCTGCCCACGTGTTTCCGGTCACGATTCCAACAGAGCAGATAGAAAAGAGGGAGAAGTTGCGCTCAAGCTCCTGCACGTGACCGGTATCGTTGACGTCCATCAATTGAGGGTCTGGGTCTTTGTCCGTCATTGTGCCTTTCTCTGAGTCCGACGGAACCGAAGTGTGTTGATTGGGAATGGCCATACTGGAGAGATGTACAATAAGGTAGGTGGAGGTAAAGGAAAGGGTAACTACCCCTCTGGGAGACGCAGATTTTCTGAAGGAAGTTGCACGGGAGGAGAACAACAGAACTTTATTAGAGAAGGAAAGAAGGAAATATATATCAGGAAAAGTTGGGGAAGTAACGACACAAACCGGCGCGTTGGAAGCTCCCGTCATCAGATAGTCAACCTTAACCTGAGTGGCGGCCAGTATCCCTCGATCATGGCAATTACGTTGCAACGCCAAGAATTGGACACTTGAGCTAATGCAAGCTATCATCTTCTAGATTCTGTACGAGTTTGGTAACAGCGGCGTGAGGGGATGGCACAGAGATTCTGCAAAGTCCCGATAAGAAATTCAGAGAACGCCCGCAATTGCCATGTTGCAACCCTGCATCCAGTCGGCCGCCGGCCGTGAGATAGGAATGACATCTGCAAACGTTGGACAACATATCAATATTAGATTGATGACCGCCACTTAGCAGTTGTCCAGTCGGAATTCCGAAGGGAGCTGCTCCGGGACTCGGGAGGTATGATGTTCATCGAATTTGAGAGGTTGATGGGATGAAGACCTTCAAGCGAGGAGACCTCAAACGGGGCTTACAGGGGCTTGCTTTTGAGTCGCCCGAAACTGATATGGCGCATATGTTTTGTTTTGCTGTCAAACGTCTTACATAATGGTATAACCTCCCACTGCCCTTCCAAATCCCTTCCTCTCCCAAACATTACTTGTTGATAACATTGCAAATTTGCGATCTCAAATGCAGTGTAACTGGCCTCCACACGCCCCGACCCAATTTCTGCCGGGAACCTGCCGCTCGGCTGCCACTATCTTTGCTGAACCGATCGATGTATCAAATAGGTTGGGATAAAAGTTTTCCGATGCTTCCGTCCGAGATCCTGGAGTTTTCATGGTTGACAAGATCGAGTTCCACCACAGATGATGGCTTTGACAGGCCGAGTTCTCAGCTGATAGATATGTTGCTCAATAACACGCCACGAGGGATATCGTCGATGTTTGCTTCATCTCCAGATTCTCCAGAGCTTGTTTTCTCCACCATTTGTGCAAATATACACCCCAAGCCTTCAAGCGTCGCAGTCCAATACCGTCTAGTTGCGGGAAGTTGTCATTTGGGTGAGGAATTCGGCATATCGAGGAAGTCCTCTCGAGTATGTGCCATCGAATCAAAGGATTTTCCGCATCACACAGCGGCTTCGCACATCGAGTCCGTGTTGCGCCTCCGAGTCCAGGAGGTCCAAATAATCTCTTCCCATGTCATGAGCGTTCACCTCGAAGAACCCCAGTCTGGAATACCAAGGTCCATTCCACGGCAGATTTCTGTATGTCGTCAATGTGATCGATTTGTAACCCTCCCTGCTGATGTGTTCCACCATGGTGGTCATCAACGCCTTTCCAACCCCCTTTCCCTGGAATTCCTTGGCCACAGATATCTCGACGATGTGAAAGTTTCCGCTTAGGTATTCGCCTCCAACAAAGCCTATTGGTTGGTCGAAGTTGTTTGTTGCAACCCAGAGGTGATTTGCCTGGGCCATTGCTCGAAGGGCCGCTGGGTCGACTGTGTCGCCATCGGCAAGAAACCCAAGATTGACCGTTCGAAATATATCCGCGGCGGATCGTTCGACGTATTCGAGGAGAGGGATATCCCAGGATTGAGCTCTACGGATGCTGAATTCTGCTGTTGATTTGAGTGACTCAGACTCCCTTTCTTGCATTGCCGCTGCTGCCATCGCTAGAATTGAAAGAGAATCCATGGCTCGAGGTCTTATAATCTTGACAATAGGAGGGATGAAAGTGAACGATAATTTCAAAGGCCAAGTAAGAAGAACCTCAAAGAAATGTGGCGGTGGGGATGAGACGAAACCCGCGGTACCAAAAATAAAAAATTCACTTTAAATTTGCTGATGCAAATCTCACCCCTTCGGTGACGTCGCTAAACGTACAGTGCCGTGACAAACCAGCTAGCCAGCTTCAAACCGCTAATTTAGCGCCGTTCGCATCAAATCCTCCCCGCATGCTGCATGCTGCTTACTTCCTTTATTTACTAAATAACTACGCTTCCAAATATAAATCTATCTTTATAAGGTAAAAGCGCATACTTTAGTTAGTCTATATTATCAGTCTTATTAGTCTTATATAAGCGGGTATTAATTTATTAGAAAATCTAGATTTCCTTGACTTTTGGTATTCGCATATCCGTTCCGCTGCGGCCAGCTTGGGGGTGTTCGGTTCCGGAAAAACTAATATTCCGGAGGAACACCAAAACCATACTTCTGTGTTTACATGTAAATAAACCACTTAAATACTCAATTGCACCACAACCACAATGCCTGAAGATACTGTATTCGATTCTACCGATAAAGGGACCCTCCGGCCTAATGAGGATCCACTGCGCAAGCAGGGGAGTACCTTTAAGCCTATGCAATTACCCCAATTCGACTGGGAAATTAACCTACCTAAACACACCTCTCCCGATGACCCGATTACCTTATTTACTATGTACTATATACCTGAAATCATCGATTTGATAGTTACGAAAACGAACGAGTATTGACGAGAGCCTCAGGACGATTCGTGCCCTCGTACAAGAGCAAAGGAGTGGTACCCGACTTGCAATAGAGAGATTTACATCTACTTTGCGATCCGTATATATATGACCTTATATATATGCAATGAGATCGCAGATTACTGGAATACGAAAGACTTCACTCCCGATCACCCAATTACAAGCTATATCCGTTACGCTGCCGCCAGCTTTACACTTCGTGCTCAATTATACGCGCAAAATTGCAGCAAATCAGAAGGCTCAAACCCGAATTTTGGCTCTCTGATTTGCTAAATTTCCTCGCTTAAAAGTGCACGGTCCAGTGTAAAGCTGGCGGCAGCGCAACGGATAAGTAGGGACAGGTTCCAGGAGCTTCATATGTACGTGCGATTCCATAGAAATCAGGAACAAGGCCTATATGAGAAGGTAACCTCCATTTTCCCCACCATTTTCCCCACTATTTTACCTGAAACTAGCTAATAAACTACCGAGTAGGTTAAAGCCTTAAGTATATACATTCAGTTAATTAATTTGAGCGTTTGGAAGCCTGGAAGGGACTTAGCAGTAGACGAGATAATCGTACGATTTGAAGGCCGATCCAAGGAAATAACTACTGTTCCAAACAAGCCTATACCTACTAGATATAAGGTGTGGGGGGCAGCTCAGAGGGGGTTCTTACTCGTATGGAACTGGCATATTCCTGGTCAAAGAAATGGCCCTGTGGGAGTACGTACTCCCAGGGAGCTTGGTGGGACAATTAAGGCTGGAAATGGTGGAAACAAGACACAAGCAGTAGTCCTGCACCTGATTAAAAGGCTACCTGAGCCTTCTAAGGGCTCTGGATATTACGTTTACCTTGATAATCTCTTTGTTTCTACTCGCTTCGTCCAATACGCTCGTACCCAGGGAGTTGCAATTACTGGGACTTGCAGGACAACTGGGGGGGTTATTAAGGAGCTTCTTGACCTTCAGAAATCGGATAAAAAGGATGTAATACCTTGGGGTGAGATATATTCCAGGTATATACCTAATAGAGAAGTGTATCATATGGGATAGAAAGATCAAGCTTTTGTTTTAATGATATCTTCCTTTATATCAGGTGACGAGCGTATTTTACGGCTGAGGAAGAGGCCTAAGGAGACTTCTTCTAAAGCAAAGACTGCACGAATACCCTTTGGTAATCAGGCTACTAAGGTACTCTCGATTCCTGCAATTGCGGATGGATATAACTATTATATGAGAGCAGTTAACGAGTTTAATCACCTGACTGCCCAGAACGCTGGTTTACGGCACGTAGAGCGAGGAGGGCACCAAGTACTAGAGCACTGGCTACTTCGTACGGTTCTAATTAATTACTATTTACTTGCTTTATATAGTAATGTACCAGAACCTAGGGAAGTAAGCTTTAGGAGCCAGCAGGACTTCAGGAGGCAGCTTGTTTGTATACTAGTTGCTAAGGGTAGAAGCAGTAAGATCTGTCCAAAGAGAAGAATATTACGAATTAGCCAGGGAGCTAATCGTATACCTGTGAGCTCACATAAGCTCGTAAATCTCAGTAAAAGGGGTATATGTGTGTATTGTAAGGGACTGAGATTCAAGGATCGGCCAAGAAAGCGGATTGCACTAGCTCAAATCGCATCGAACCAAGGCAGGGAAAGCTCTACGTACGAGTCTGTTTACGGCTGTAAACAATGCGATGTTCGTCTATGTAAGGATCGTGGTTGTTTTGATGTATTTCATAGATGAAGATAGAATTGATTAATTTGAGGGGGAAATCCAGTTCTCTGATTGGCTAGAATTAAGCGAAAAGTAGTGTGCACGGACCACCCCCAAGCTGGCCGCAGCGGAACGGATAGGCTCGAGATCGCCCAAATTTACTTAAAACCGTAGTTTTTAGGCTTTTAATCTACTGCTTTAAAATTTGAACAGTGCCGTATCTAATAGAAGCGCTATTATATATAAAACTAGCTCCCTTTATGTGGGGGAGCTTTTAAATTAAAAGGTGGTAGATTACAACGCGAGTACGTCGGCTTTGGACGATTTTTGGTAGGGCGCCTGAGAAAAATGCTTGAAGGTGCTTAGTTTTTACTAACTGACTGAAAACTTCTTAACTACGCAATTAAATAATAAGAGGCCCAGGAATATGGAAGATTTATATACTTACTATATAACTATCTAATTTGACCTTCGTTAATTGCGTGGTTGAGAAGTTATTAAAGTAAATTCACAAAATTAAGTGAGTCTTGGAGAGGGTGCGCAGGACTGAGAGTGCGCGGCGCTAAATTAGCGTCTTGAAGCTGGGTTTTCGCGGCACCGTAGCCTCGCAGCTTCAAGGGGCCCATGCGCTCCCCTCCAGCACCTTCATGCACCATCCCATAACAAACAACGACTTCACCACAATCATCCCGTTTATCCACACAAAACACCTGCTCTCCCTGCTCACCCTGCTCTTTGCCGCCGTCATGGTCAAGAAGCTTACCAAAAGTGGCGCAACTGGAGCCGAAGCGCCTACAATTACCCCGCCATCGACCTTCACAGACGGAATCCTGCCCAAACTGATTGTCTTCGATCTCGATTACACCCTGTGGCCTTTTTGGGTAGACACGCATGTCACTCCTCCTCTCAAAGCATCCTCGAGCCACGATTCTGCGAAAGACCGATTCGGCGAGAGCTTCGCCTTCTACAATGAAGTCCCCGAGATCCTCCACTCCCTTCGAGCACGCGGAATCAAAGTCGGAGCAGCCTCCCGAACCTCGGCGCCAGATCTAGGAAAGGAGATGTTGAAGATACTACATATAGGGGATGAGGAGGGCAAGAAGCGGAAGGCGATTGACTATTTTGACCACTTGGAGATATATCCCGGCAGCAAGATTACACACTTCACCAAGCTACAGAAGGCGACGGGACTGAGGTTTGAGGATATGCTTTTCTTCGACGATGAGGCGCGGAATAGGAATGTAGAGACACTGGGAGTTACGATGTATTTGGTTAGGGATGGAGTAAGTAAGCAGGAAATTGATAATGGTGTCAAGGAGTGGCGGAAGAGACACGGGCATTATATCGGAGGACGATAGTGAATAGGAGATAGGGAGAGTGAATTCTGGCTGCATCGCATGGCGTTGGGATATAATGAAGAATCAAAGAAGACCAGAACAGCTCTTCAATAGAATAGAAGGTTAATTGCAAGAACAATGTTCAAGCAACATACCGATCAACCCCCTTTTCCGCGCAGTGCTCCCCTCAATGGAGGGCCCTCGCCTACCCCTGTCGGTGCCTGAAGCTACTGTAGTGAGTCGTGACTTCATCACCGAGGCTGTGGAATTTTGCCCATCCACGCGTCCGATTTTCAACAAGTTCGTCCTATACAACTCCCTTCACCAAATATACTTTGAGGGCATGCGTCGCGATGCCCCCATTTCTCCCACGCAAACGACTGCGCTCGCCCTCGCCCTCAGCCGGCCCTTCACAGCCTGCTCCTAAAAGCAAAGGCAAGGTCAAGTCCATCACTACGACTCCCAGGAAAGCTACCCTGTTCGACGATCTCGATGCTGGAGTTGGTCCGAAACGCTCAGTAGGACGTAGCAAAGCTCTTCTAGAAAAGCTCGCTGCCAGCGATGATGACGACGGTTCTCTGTCCTCCCTCTCCGAAGACGAATTCGAAGCTGCACCAAAAGCGAAGTGGCAGAAGATGGACGATAGCTCAGATGACGAGGACGAGGATATAGAGTTTGAGGATGTGGAAACAAATCCCGTACCAGCTCCGTCTGGCTTGCCTTCAGGTGATCTCGAATTGACCTTGACGAGAGACACTCGAGTCTCGATCACGAATCCGTTTGGGACGAAGAAGGGACCAAGCAAAATCGAGAGGCAAATACGAATATCTACACATCAAGTCCACGTGCAACTGTTGATGTTCCATAATGCGATTCGCAATTCGTGGTGCTGCGACAAGGAGTTGCAGGAGATACTGTTGAGGCAGCTACCCCCGGCCATTGAGGAACAGGTTGAGAGATGGAGAAGGAATAACGGGCTTATGAGAAAGAAGGACGAAGTTATTAAGGGGAAAGGAAAAGGCAAGGCAAAGGATCCAAAGGGGAAGAGTGCAGATGCACATAGAGGAAGAGAATGGGATCAGCCTGCTGCCATCGTCAAGGATGATGAAGTAGACATGAAAGGCGGCGACCGGCGGCTATTCGGATTGATGAAATTGCTGGTGAGCTACTGGAAAGCCCGATTCAAGATTACTTCTCCTGGACTACGCAAGCTCGGATATATGTCTCTGCAAACACTCGATGAGGAGTCGAAAAGCTTTCGGGAAGACGAGCACGATCCTGAGCGGCACGGCGAAAGAATACGGGATATTGGAGAGTTTAGGGATCATGCAAAGGCTATGGAAGGCAGTCGAGATGTATCTGCACAACTCTTCACTGCCTTGTTACGAGGGGTGGGCATGGAAGCAAGATTAGTCGCCAACCTACAACCAGTGGGTTTCGGATGGAGCCAGACTGAAGAGGCTTTCGAGGAAAATCCTCGAAAGTTGGGGAAGACTAAGTCGCCAGCAAGACTTGATCCTATTTTTTCTGACGAGGACGATTCTGGTAGTGACGAGGCCGCACCAAAGCCAGCTCCAAAAGGCAAAGGAAAGGGGACATCGAAGAAGGGAAAGGCTGCGAAGTCTAACACCAACCACGGGAGGAAGCCTGGTAGTCGCCATTCCCGAGGGAGTGGACTCAAAGATGCTCCGATAAACTTTTCAGATTCTGAGGAAGATGCTGTTGAAAGCGACGACTCTGTCATAGATGTTACACTTCCGAAGAAACGTATCCTACCTTCATTACCATATGACAAGGACTTACCGTTTCCCCATTACTGGACAGAGGTTCTATCTCCGATTACAAATACTTACACGCCAGTCGACCCTGTCGTTCTCGTTGTCATAGGGGATAATCAAGCAAACCTTGCGAGATTTGAGACTCGAGGCACGAAATCCGAAAAGGCGAAACAAGTGACTGCCTATATCGTAGGACACTCCCCTGATGGTACGGCAAAGGATGTGACGACGCGATATCTCAAACAACATCAGTGGCCCGGAAGGACAAAGCGGTTTCGATTTCCAATCGAGAAGGTTCCAGTATATAATAGAAAAGGTAAGGTTGCAAGGTATGAAGAGAAGGACTGGTTCAAAACAGTCATAAGTGGATACGTTCGAGGTACGAGAAAGTGCCCACGAACAGAGATCGATGATCATGAAGATGCGACCGACCTGAAGCGTAAGAAGGCTGAAAAGAAAGTGGTTGAGGAGGGCAAAGAAACACTCCAGTCCTACAAGTCGTCCGAGGAGTTTGTACTCGAGCGTCATCTGAGAAGAGAAGAGGCTCTGGTCCGAAGCGCGAAACATGTCAAGACGTTCACGGTCAAAGGGAAGGGTGAGGATGCGACTGAGGAGAAGGTTTTTCTTCGCAGAGATGTCGTGAATTGCAAAAGCATGGAGACATGGCACAAGGAAGGTCGAGCTCCCAAGCCTGGTGAAGAGCCCCTGAAGCGCGTTCCCTATCGAGCAGCCACTACAAATCGCAAGCGTGAACTTGCGGAGGCAGAGAATGCCAGCGGCGAGAAGATGCTTCAAGGACTATACAGTATGGAGCAAACTGATTGGATCATTCCCCCTCCTATTGAGAATGGAATTATACCCAAGAACTCTTTCGGCAATATCGATCTTTACGTTGATAGCATGCTTCCCGAAGGTGCTGTTCATATTCCTATGCGCGGAACCATGAAGATATGCAAGCGTCTGGAAATTGATTATGCGGAGGCAGTTACCGGGTTTGAGTTCGGTCACCGCATGGCAGTGCCCATTATCAGTGGAGTCGTGGTTGCAGAAGAAAATTATGAGGCCGTCATGGATGAATGGCAAAAGGATGAAGCAGAGAGAGTGAGAAAGGAGGACGAAAAACGAAGAAAGGCAGCGATATTCGCGTGGCGGAAGTTTTTGATGGGTATGCGAATTATTGCCCGAGTCAGAGAGGAGTATGGCGATGTCGATGATGACAATGTTGATGTTCTGAATCCATGGACCAACAAAAGGGGCAAGGAGGTCGATGCCGATGCCGATGCTGATGCTGAAGCCCAGAAAATAATAATGGACAAGAGAGATGAGGAAATGGCTGGTGGATTTCTGCCCGACGGCTTCAACGTCGAGGAACCGGAAGAGAAACATCATCGGAGTTTCTTCCCTGTTGCTCATGAAGGTGACGATGAGGAGGGTGGTGGTGGGTTCGTTGTCGAGGGTCATGATGATGAGTATACGAGACCTACAATCGGCCAGGCGTATGCAACACCACAGTCACTCCTGTCGAAGTCTGGCAAAGGTCAAGCATCCGAGGAGGACGTTGAGATGCAAAATGTGGACTCAGGTGAAGGCGCATATGCTCCAGCACCGAAGAAACGCGGCCGACCTGCTGGATCTACCAACAAGGCAGCTGCAACCAAGGCCAAACCACCAGCGAAGCGAGCTCTTGCAAAACAAAAGACCCCAGCTTCGAAGAGTGCAGGAAAGCGAAAAGCAGCGGTCCAAGACTCGACAGAAGGCGGCGATGAGTCCTCTCTGTCTGAAAATGAGATCGGTGACTCTTCTTCCGAAGTCGAAGAACCTCCAAAGAGAGGCACAAAACGAGGAGCTGGCAGGAGAGTCGCGATGCCTGCGAAGACCAGCGACACCCCACGCAAGACCCCCAGAAGAAGCGCTGCGAAGAAGAGCGGGACAGCTTTGAGGAGTCATTACTTTGAGCACAGCGATGATGAATGAACTAATGAATGATTGATTGACGTGGCACACTTTGCATTGGAAACCGGTGTTAAGGAGATATTGGAGCATTTGCTTGTGATTTTAAGGGGGTCAGAAGCATGGTTGCATAGGGGGTCGCTGTGTAAGGAGAATGAGTACTTGCTTACCATTTACGAGTTCTTCAACTCGAGGCTATAAACATATAGCTTTAGAAAAAGCTTCGCTCGACACATCAAGCGTCTAGCCATTCCCGGAACAAATATGTGCATCTTGCGCATAGCATTTGTACTTTTGGATTCTCCTCAAAGGAGAATATTGTTTTTGCTTCTCCCTTGTCATTTTTTGAGCATGGCAACGCTGTTTTATTTTGACTGGCCTCTTAGCAGCTGCTTAAAAGTTATTTGAGATGAGCAAAAATAGGGGTAAGCCTCAGTTGGAATAAGGGTGAACTGAGTTCAAGCGAGCTGGGTATAGGGGTTTCCATGCTTCTCTCATGTGGAGCGCTAGGCGGACAGATATGTTGAAATGGGCCAGCCCCATATCACGGCAATACTCTGATAAGCGGTCACCTCTGTCTCTTGTTTCTTATCTATCCAAGTTTGCCTGCAATAACTCTGCTAATAAGCACCACACCAGCCATTTGGGTGATTGCGACGTCGCTCCTCTCACGGAATCGGACTTCCAGCCAGATGAGCCCGGGAATCTTTCTTCCCCTCAAAACGTTCAACTATTCATCGATCTCCGCCGATTATGTCTGGTCGTTTCAGAATGGTTAGATCTACGACAACCTTCCCCAGCAATTACCTCAAATATAATGACGGTATCGAAGCCAGCACTGCAGAGCTTGAGGACTGGTACAAAGGAACTCTCTTCGATAATTCAAGCGCCGAAAGATGGCACTCGGTTTACGATATGGAACGGTGTTCTCCACATAGCCTATCACGCCCTCCATTTCCGACTTGCGACCTCCCTGCCCCCCAGGCCAATCCCTTGCTGCCAGCACTCGGCAACCGTAAGCATCTCACCAATCTGCAAAGGCTAGGACGAGCTAGATATGCTAGGTTCGTTGTGGAATTTGGCTATCCGTGAATCTGGTCTCGCTATGGGACAGCATGCACGGGAGGCAAATGGAAAGGATGATAAAATTGCTGCAGCTGGGTTGAAAGGCCTACGAAAAGGTCTACCAATGATGAGAAATCTGGGAAGGAGAAGCAGTGAGGCTAAGCAGGGACTCATGTTTTATGAACAAGTGATCAACAAGCGAGCCTCTGGCTGGGAGAGGTAGCCAGACAGCAAATGAGTGAAGACGGCCCTTTTGACATCGATGCGTCCGGACCAAGGCAGCCGATAGCTCACAATCAATCGATGGGGTTGATTGATAATTTTGCGTTTGCAAATGGGAACGGCTCCCTTTGGAACTCCAAACTGGGCAGGAGGTACTAGCGGACCAACTATTGGGGTCTGGATCGGGGACTTGGTCTAGGGACCAAGGTCATAATGCTTTTGATCTTAACGAACAGCATTATTTCGGATGAAAGAATCAATACGTGGTTGTATGGATGGTCTTTCTGATCGAAGCTTGTTTCTAAAGAAAGTTTTTAGGTTAAAACAATGGCGATCACCTCCCGAGACTCTGGTCAATAAACAGTCCATCAAACCACCACTTCACCTTCCAATCGTCGAACTCCATTCTCTACAGTTTAGGCCATCATCCCATCTCTACCATCCGTCGAATCAGCTCCGACATCTTCACTCTTAGTCCTGATTGCTTGGATGGGTGGACTTCAAGGACGCTCGACATATTTTTGGCCCAAGAGTAGCACATAAATATTGAAGAGAAGCAGGCAGCTGGGGTAGGATGCATAGAATGTCAATAAAATTGAGACGACAATAAAAAAAGTATCATTTCGAGATACCTGGCGCTTGCCATTCCTTCAGCCATGTTCATTGGACCAACAAAGAGCTGGCTCGCGGTGGACATAATAAGGGTGACTAAATGTACCAAGTGTAGTGGGACAATTTCGCCACTCCCCTTCCTAATGTTCTTAGGAGCTCTCCTACATTGCACAACATTTTGAAAATCTCGAAAGCTGTCGAATATTCACGTCCCCTCCTCTCAAAGTCCAAATCACTGTCCAACCTTAAAATTTGTGTATCTTTTATGTCCACCGCGAGGTTGGGTAAGTTGCCTTCCCGGAACTGACTGGAATCAGCAATATTTGAGATGAGGGTCGTGGAAAGTAACGAAATCTATTCTGACTGCCTCTGAATAACAAATTTTTGAAATTGCTAGACTTTTCTTGTTGGTGCGCTCATATAAATTACCCATGCATCATGATTTGTTACTCTTCTTGCCAAGCACACTCACAATACAAGCGGTCGTTCTAAGTCCATCTGCAATCCAATAGACAGCTGCGGAACCTGAGTGTAATTGGATTGCTTCAAGCAATACCTCGTATCGGTCAAAGCCTGCACAAACTTAATAGGGAGTCTCCAAAACGGGAGAAAGACTTACCTGCAGATAAGTCGGATTCGGAATCCGCTTCATTGTCTCCAGGAACGCCCAGGACATAGCGCCCTCACTCATACCCCCAATATTAGCATCCGCGCTCGTTTGGTCATCACGGCAACCAGAGAACATAGAGACCATCTTATGCTCCCTCTCATACTCAGCATAGTTGCTATCCTCCCCAAGTCCAGGTGGTTGAGATTCCCCCATATGTTTGAAAGACCGGAAAAAGTTGGTGGCACCCGCGTACAAATCTTCCGCTTCTCCAAGCTTTTGGAAGGAAAATCCACCTCGGAACAGATCGTTAGCTTCACCGAATAGGTGCATCCCTTCTTTCAAGTTGTCCATGAGATTCACGTTCCCTTCATCATCCGACCGGTAGACAAAGGGAAGTTCGAGGGCCGAACCAGAGTGGCAGCAGTCGAGGATCACGAAGAGGGTACTGTTTGGTGGAAGCCGAGAGACCAAATGCTCGTGTAGAATATCGCTGTTGATTTGACCATTTTCCTGGAAGTCCACGGGACAAATTGTATCGAGGATTCCGGATGGATGATTCCCGGTGGGATCTCGCACTTGACCGCCGTGTCCGGAATAGTGGAAGAAGTTACAGGTTCCTGGTTCACAGACTAGCCAATCAATTGCGGCCTAGGAATCATTAGTTTGAGGTTGGAGTGAGAATGGGGGACGGGGGAAGTACGAGAATGTTGTGACCGTTTGGGTAGTATTGCCCTCGAGCATCGTCTCGAAGAATGACTTGGGCACGCGGATCGTCGGAATAGCCTCTATAACTCAGGAATTCGGCGACATTCTCGACGTCTTGATGACAGCCCCTGAGTTCATTCTGGCTTCCGGTGTAGTTAATGCCGATGAGGAGAGACTTCTTTCGTGACATGGTTGAGAGAGAAAAAAGACTTCGAACTTTGGGGAATTGGGAAGTTTAGGGAAGTGATCAATTGAATGATGGCAGGGGCAAGTGAGATGGGGATCTTCTATCGTAGAGTTGAGCTGAGCTGGGCAGAAGTTGCGGCTTATTATGCATGAAACCTGTACGGAGGTCGCGGCCGTCAGTCTTGCAGCTACCAGGGTCGGCGTCACTTCTCGCTTGAGTGGCGGGCCGTTGCACGGCAACCAGGAAGCGCTGTAACTACAGGGCCTTGCAGGCGTTCCGGGGCCAAAATATAGCGCATAGGCCCTATAAGCATCGCTAAACCTACTATTACTACGGGCTATCGAGCCCGTAATGTTCGTTGCTAGGCCGCCTGCATGTGGCGTCCAGAAGCTTGGCACTCATCCCTGCCAGTTGCAAGACTTATGGCCGCGAACTCCGTATGTCAGCTCAAGCCTAACCTGAAAAGTATATTTTCCGACGGATATCTCGGCAAGAATGAGATATAACAAGGACACCTCGGAGGAATGCGTGGAGGTTTATACCCTTTCACATTAAAATAAATAGAAAATCTTCAGATAAACACGAAATTCAACAGAATTTAACTGCCCATGTGGGGGAAAAAGGTGGCTTGCACGTGACTACCGGATGCAGGGATGCCGGCGCTTGCACGGAAAAGGGATGGTTTAGCATTGAATGATTTTGAAACTTCCGCGTCACTCTTCTGTTCTTGCTCCTCATAACACCTCAGTGTTGCAAGTGCAATGAAAGCAAGAACAGAAACCAACTCAAGTCGAGAGGCGCCAAAGAATTTAAAGAACAGTGGTGCCATTGAACTAAGCTATCTCAGTCTCCTATGCGCATTCTCATCATGGTATCACCCTCCGCTATCAGCGACGCATCGTTCCAGCGCACGTATTCAGTCCCCCTGGGCTGCCATGCGAGCAAGCTATTCCATCCACATTATCTCCATCCTCAGCTCCAGTGGGGAAATCAGAAAGAAATTACAAATGTACGGCTAGACTTCCGACTGCAGAATCCAAGTCGAGGATTTAGGCAGGGCTTGTCTCAGTGTGTCCAGTTGCCTCGGCTGTAGGATGGACAACCTTCTCAACAACGTCCGGAGCAAGTGCACCCTTGTCTGTCATACCCATATCGGCAGCGAATGTGCTGTGTGGGACCCACTTGGCGGAGGTGCGAGGAGTGGTCTCTTCGAGCATACGATCAACCTGCTCAAGGGACAGGCCCTTGGTCTCAGGAATGAGGATGTATGCGTAGAGGAAGCACAGAGCACAGAGAGATCCCCAGACAAAGAATACGCGTGATCCCAGGTTGGCATCCTTCGGCTCGGTGCCGACCATGTATGGGGTGATGACAGCGATAATGCAGTTCCAGAACCAATTGCTAGCAGTGGAGAGCGCAACACCACGGGAACGGATGGGAAGCGGGAAAATTTCTCCGATGACGACCCAGGCACCTGTGAGAGAGAGAGGTTAGAAAGGGATCAGTAGCAGAGAGCACTCATCAACGGAATGACTCACCAGGACCCCAAGTGGTAGCGAAGAAGAAGATGTAGAAACAGATGAAGGCGATCTGGGCTCGGACGGCGGCTGGGTCATTCTCAGAGATACGGCCTTTGGTAACACCGACAATGCCGACGATGAACTCGCAGATCACCATACCCAAAGCACCCCAAATCAGGATCGAACGACGGCCATACTTCTCAATGATGTAGAAGGAGATCGGAGTCGAGCAGACATTGACGAGGGTCGTTACCAGACTGATCAAGAAAGGGTTCTGGATGGTCTTCAGCTCCTGGAAGAAAGTGGTGCCGAAATAGAAGATGAAATTGATCCCGGTCCATTGCTGCATCATCTGGAGAGATGTACCCAAGATAGTTCGGCGCAAGTTGGAAGATGGATTCCGCAAACCACCGGTAAAGCAACTGGCCCAAGTCTTGAAATAGCCGCCTTGTGGAATAACAGACATTTCATACTCGTGGTTGGCGACGATTTCGGCAAGTTCTTGCTGGATATATTCGGAGCCTTCAGGTTCACCACGAAGACGGGTCAAAACATGGGTAGCCTTCTCGAGATTGCCCTTCCTGACGAAGTAACGAGGGGACTCGGGAAGAAGGAAGAGACCAATACCAAGGATCAAGGCCCAGAGCATTTGGATAGCAATGGGAATGCGATAAGAGCCAGTATTGCGGCGGTTTTGGGTGCCATAATCGACGCAAGAAGCCAGTAAAATGCCGAGGGTGATGCAAAATTGGTATCCGGACACAAGAGCCCCACGAACCTTCTTTGGTGCGATCTCAGACATGTACAGAATAATGATGGCGGAGACGAATCCGACACCAAAACCTGCAATCAGACGACCAGCAACCAAGAGACCAAGACTAGAGGAGGCGGTTTGGAGGATGACACCGACGATGAAGATGAAGCACCCCGCAATGATGGTGGTTCGTCGACCGAACCAGTCAGCGAGATCGCCAGCGATGATGGCACCGAAGAATGTACCAGCAGAGAGAATCGACGTAATGAGGGACTTCTTCCAATCCGGGAGGGTGAAAGCGTTCTTTTGTGCGTCGGTAGGGTTGGGAGGGAGGTACGGAAGGCCTTGGTAGAGGTGGATGAAGTACTCCATGCCCATGACTCCGGAAATATATCCAGAGTCGTAGCCAAAGAAGATACCACCAAACGAGGCAAAGGCGCACATGAGGTACGCCTTGACCGTCACCGGGGCCTCAATCCGGTTCACGTCAGAGGTTGCGACAAGATTATGGCCTGCCATTATGGAGAGCGTGTGCAATTGCACGGGTATCTAGTAGGGATGTTTGAAGGGATGTTTGGAAGCAAGAATATAGGTGGTAGTGTTGTAGTAGTTGACGACGCCGAGGAGATGTCGAGGCCAACAGATCGAGGTTGGGTTTGTTTGTGGGAAGGGAAGGTGCATGGGAGAGGACGCTCAAGTTCAGATCGAAGTCGCGTTCAGAACACGCGGGCAGGTGAGGCTACTTGTACTCCCACGGGAAGGCAAGATTATTTCAAGTGAATATTTTGGGTGCCAATCAGGGCCACTGCAGCCGTGTCTCGTGAGGACGGATCGGTTCAGTTTCGACGCACTGGTGAATGGGCCCACGTTTGGTTGTGTTGTGTTGTGTTGTGTTGTATTGTTCTGCCGTGCCATGGGGACGCAGCATGGTTCCCTTGAGCGCTCCGTCTCGTCCACCCCTTTCACCTCACCTTTGGGGTGCATCTTACAAAATTCGCAAATCACGATGCTCTCCCTTCCACTACCCCAGCTCTTCGCAGCTCTTCGCAGCTCCTCCAAGCTCTTTCCTGGCCCGTGCAGACGCCCCACAGCGCCCACAGCGCCTGCAGCACGCCCGTCCAAACACTAAATTCTCCCCGCTTTGCGCTAGGAGGCCTCCCCTGTCCGAATCCCCTGCCCAGGACTCGGACCGATTATTCGACATGGGGAGCACGCCAGCCAGTCCGGGGCAGTCGCAGGCGGAGGCGTGACCATGGAACCATCAATCCATCCATCGCCGCTCATCAAAATGGTACGGGATTCCTGTATTGTATGGAAAGGAGAGGACAGAGCCAGGTGCAGGCAGACACTCTCTAACCTCTGTTTACTTCGTACCTCCTCTGCAGCTGGAACGCTTCACGTTGCGCTGAGCGCTCCGTTTCCTCCTCCTCCTCCCGCTGTACCATCGATATGCATGTTTGGCAGAGCTGATATTTTGGATTAGCAACTCCAGTAACGTTGGTTTCTGCACTCAACAAACGCTGCTCAATGAGGGGTGGACAGGCCACAAGCACCTGCTCTCCTCAATGTCCCCAAAGCTTCGCACTCATTCAGTGACCAATACATCGTCCCACTCTGGTTTACTGTAGTCACTGCTCGATCTTCGGGTTCCTCGGCAAGGCTGACTTTCGAGTTGAAGCTCTCCTTGAGGGAACGCTTGCCCGAAATAGAACTTAGACTTGAAGCCCACCTTCTAAGAACGCAACAGCAACATGCAAGAAACATTAACTTTCCTCCAATAGCAGATTTTGTATCATGATTTGACCGATTAGCAATCCCGGATTCAAGATCTAGAAGATACATATGGCTTGCAGCCTTCTCGGATATCTCGCCGTGTCTACTTCTCTGGACCACTCCACTCTCCACGTCAATGGGCTCCCACCGAAGAGGCTCCGAGAATATGGAGTCGAGTGCAGCTGTAGAGCCGTTAGAACCCCCTTTTTTTTTTGCATCATTGGCCGAAGCCTTCTACAACTGCTTACAGCACATGTGAACGGGACGGATCCGGTTGTCGCTCGAGAATCGCAACCATTGATCACCTGGACCATTCACTTAGGGCAATCTTCAGCCCGCTCTTGCAGCATCAATTTTTCGGAAGGCTGCCACCGGTTTAGCCTCGATTCCAGAACTCTTCGATCACTGAATTCAAAACCAATTAATCACCGTTTCAATGGTTTCAGCATTACGGGTTGCACAGCTGGAAATTAAACGCCATATTGAAACTGGCGAATAACTGGTCGAGCATGGAAATTGGAAAGTCTAGCCGCGTCTAGCCTTTTGCATATCACCACAGGAGAAAATCTTCCGAGATGGGGACGCGATGTGGAAAATTCTTTGTCCATGAGGACTCCGGAGTATGACTCCATGATGAGCTGACATTTAGTTCCATTGTGAAAACTTTTGTATTGTTAAGATTGAAAAAGAGGACCGAGAAAAGACCGTTACATGTTCCCAAACGGAGGACATACTTCGTATGTGGCTGCAACTTCGCCGAGATGCCGTGCTATCCAATGCAGAAAGCCTATGGCCGTCCGACTTTGACTCTCCGAGGTCCTGTTTGGTGATCCAATAATGTTGGTTGGGAGCGTGCCGCTGCTTCCCGCCGTAAGCCAATGTTGCATACAGGAAACATAAACTTGGTTGTACACGTGCAGTGCGAGTGGTTACAACGAGTCCGATGGGCACAGCATGGAATTGGAGCTACAAGGAAGAGTACGAAAAAAAGATCCGACATCGTCTCGTAATTGGAGTTCCGATGCGCTGATTTAGGATGAAGCAAACTGGATCCAAATCCCTGGATATGTGAGATCTATTACCGAGCACAAGGTATTCAGGCTTCTCCAAAAGTGCATCTCCAAGACATAAACATCTGATAGATGTCTTCCAAACATGTCAACTCATCTCACAAATTCCAAAAGCTTCAGAAGTATCTCCTCTCAAAGCTACACGCCTTGATTCTGACCCAATGTCAGATTTTTCCGACACCGAGGACATCGCGAGGATACCGCCAAAACCCCACATCTCACCAGATCCAGTCACCCACTCTCACAGTCAGCTGAGCAACCGATGCTCACCGCGAAATCCTTCAAAGTCCGCTTCCCACCGTTCTAGAACCCTGCTCACGATACCAGAGGTTCTTATCGATCACATGGCTCCCAAAATCAACTTGTGACATCATACAGACCACCTCCTCCTCTCCTCGCCGTCCAACGACATCAAAATACAGTACGCGCTACTCCACTTGAGGATCCATTAGCCATTCAGTGCTAGCGAACTCCCGCGCCCTACCGCGACCCACCGGCCAAAGTATGGAAAAGTACAGGGTACAAGGCCTGGCTAGAGTGCAGCACGCTACGCATTTCGTCTGAGCTCGCCCGGAGCTAGCAAACTGTGTTCTGATCTTGGGGATTTCTCAGAGCAGGACTCCGTGGTGCCACTTCCTGCTCCAAACTCCCCCCCAAAAAAAAAGCAAATCTTCTCTTCAACGGCGACTAGTGAGACTGGGGAGAAGAGGAGACAGGGGTGCGCACTGCAAGCGCAAAGTGAAGATTGTCGTCACGCGTTTTTACCCCGCAAAATCATGGCGCTTGCGACGAATCGCAGCGCCGTGAGAGGTGTGTGGAAGAAACCCATGCATGTTGGTTGTCTCAGGTGGGAAGCCATCGAGAAATGGTGGCGCATCCGTTTCTCACCACCACCGCACAGGCATGCGAGATTAGTCAGCTCACCCCCTTATGGTGCCAGTTCCTTACGTACTCTCCCCGCCCCGTTAGGGCACCTCCTTGGCTAAGGAATTGCGTAAGGAACCGCACCAAAATCCTACACCATTTATTTGGGCTCATAATTTGCCCCAATTATTAGGGTATAGAATCTGCCCCAATTATTTGGGCTCAAAAGTCTGCCCTAATTATTAGGGCATATAACCTGCCCCAATTATTTGGGCTCAAAAGTCTGCCCTAATTATTAGGGTTAATAACCTGCCCTAATTATTTAGGTATAGAATCTGCCCCAATTGTTAGGGCTTATAATTTGCCCCAACTAGAAGGATAAATGATCAATAATATGCCTCTTGGCTATCTACTTGGAAGTTCTCTGAGTTGTGTAATGGGAGATGTGTGAACTGACATTGTTTAAGGTGGCCATGCACAATCCCCGGAAAGCCTCCCTCAAGTCGAAGCTACGAAGACCTGCAGGGACACAAAAGAGCAGAACACTTGAGGCACAGTGGTCGGCATTGTTCCATACCTGGGCTTCCTTGAATGGGCCCATGAAACACCAACCTTTCTGCTCCTGGGAAGTGAAGTTCTCTCCAAAGTACCAATGGTACTCAGATGCGCCTTCGGTGCCCAGATTCTGGCGAACATTAAGGGATTCAATCACCATGTGGATGACCAAACGTGGGGCTTGAGATGCTCACTTCGAGCAGGGCTATACGCTCATTAAGCTGTCAAGCTTCAAGCTCGGTATCGTGACATTGGGCTGTAAAGCGTGTGCACTTGTTCTGGGATGCAATCGAGCGCTTTGCTTGGTAACAGACTGCAGAACTTCTGTGGACAAAGTCGTCGAGTCAGCTTGATTGCAAGCAGACACGTCGGCTATAGATGTACTGCTTGAGCTCCTCTAGATCTTCTTGTGATCCTGTACTAGCAGTACACATGCCTATTGGTTAAACCCATTTAACTAACAACAAATCAAATCTTCAAAGAGCCAATGACTATAAACTTCACTGGATGAAGCAACGCATAGCTTTCATCCATCAAAAGATAAGAATAGAAGCCGTACGCGCACGGAAAAGCAGTAAACCCCACGTCCGCCCAGATGAACACCATCGATGCGGAGATGGACCCTGAAGCGAATTAAGCACCGCCCCAGCCCAATACAGAATTAAACACCAACCTCTCAGAACCCAAGCACCCCACTCACTTTCCACACTACAAGATTCTATCCACCTTCAACCATACTGTCTCCGGCCGTTCAGTACACCTGAGCGAACTTGCTCCTGGCTCTCAATTGTTCACCATACTTCCAGAGCGTGAAAATGCCAAAGAAGCAAGCAAACATCAGACCTCCGAGAAGACTACATCCCTTTCCAATACCGAGATTACCGAACAGAGGCTGCGCGAAGTGGATAGATCCACAAGCCACAGCACTGCGCAAGAAGGCTATCATAATACAATTAGCAAAAATGTGCTTTGACATGTCAACTGCACCAGAAAGAGGTAGCTACTTACAGTTGGCAGCAAAGAGACTTGCAGCATATCTTGGATAACTCATTGGTAGATAGATAAACACAGCCATGGTAATCTAACGAGCCTTACTATCTGCAGGCATCAACTTGGAGATGGCCAACTTACATTGAAAACACATGCCATGTAAAGAACAATCCCAATCGTAGGCGCAACCCAAGTGATATCTGCCCTCGCGCACCAGGCAAAGATGAAAATTCCACCTGGAGCGATAAAAGCAGCAATCACACCAGGTAGGAGTCGATGCTCCACAGATCCAATGCCACCTGCCATCAGGCTCTTCATGGTATATGGTTCATAGTGGAAATAGATGGTGGCAAGGTATGTGGTCACACCAAAGAAGCAGGCCACAATAATGCAGAGGAATACAACACCCATGATTCCAATAGAATAACCATAGATACCTCTGTAGACAAGTGGGAAGGATTCGAAGAACGAGTACTAGATGTCATTAGCAACATAGCCATAGCACAGATTATGCAACTCACAAAGATGCCATAAATGAGACCAGTATAGACATTGATGAAAGCAATCGAAGGATCCTGGATTGTCACCAAGAACGGCGTAGTCAAATATGTACCAAGCAGCTTCAGGAAATGTAGATTTCCCTGCTTAATTTCCGAGTCAGACCTGATATTCTCGTTGCCAGTTGATTTCCGCAGGCGTTTGGCGCGCTTCAGAAGAATGGTATCTGCATTCGTCTCGGGCAAGAAGCAGAATAGGAGAAGCCAGCAGAATCCACACATGATGAGTAGCTCATACATAGACCATCTCCAAGAGCTCAACGGCACAGAGAATCCAGACAGCAATGGACCAAGAGCTGGACCTGCCAAAGCAGCAACACCCCAAAATGCTAGACCATATGGGATCTTGGGGAATGACAGGATATCGCCTGCAGAAGCTCCGCCAGTCGCCAGGACAGGACCACCAAGAACTCCCTGGATAAAACGGAGAACAACCAGCCCGGGGAAGTTCGAAACTCGGCTTGTTACAGCGGTGATGATGATGAAAAGTGTCAAAGATGCAAAATATGGAATACTCCTTCCCATCCGTGGCATTTCCGACAGTGGACTGAAAAATAAAGGCCCGACTCCCTAGGAATTGTGAGTTATTTTTCCCTGCGCAAGGATCATGGCAACCTACATATCCCAAAACATACATCGACAACACCAAAGACGAAACTTCAGCGCTGACACCAAATATCTCGATGAAAACCGGCTCTGCTGGCGTAATGATGGCCGAACCAGAATATACTACAACCATTGTTACTCGAGGTCTGCCAATCTCAACCAAAAAACATACCAGAAAACGTAAGCAGACAGATCTGAAAATATGTGAAAGTTTTCTTTCCGGTGGACCAATTCAGCGGATTCTCAGGGTCCTTGTCGTCATACCAGCCCACAGTCTGATACCCATCATTTGGTGAAGGCCCAGGACCCGGTCCTTTCTCCACATCCGCATTAGACGACTCTGCCTCGTCCGTCCCCTCATTCTTCTCCACTGATCCATTCTCTTGCGCTTCAGTTGTTTGCTCCGCTACAGGCTCAGATTTGACTTCAGGAAGTTTCAATTGAAATCCTTCCTTCTCATCAGGGTAAGGAAATGACTCAGGTCCCAGAATCAACCGACAGATCTGGCCCAAGGGCGCATCGCGAATGATTGACATGACTGCGGCGAGATCTTTATTTTCTAAAGATAGAAGATAGTATTTTTTTGAGAATTGCATGAAGAAAGTTGAAGAAGACGAGGCTCAACGAGCCCTTCTAAGTCCTCCTCGCATTGGCCCGCTCGGTCCTATCTCCGAAAGCCGATCCCTTTGACTCATAAAGAAACTTTATGACTCCTTGTTACAGCTACTGTCACATTCCGCCCAATGCCCACTTTCTGCAGATTTCAATGGCTAGGAGTTGGAGCGAGATCTATACGGTAATAAGTGTTGGTTTCGGTCCTCGGCCGAGCACCCGAGCAAGATGTCGGTACTGGTCAGCGTCGCTAAAGTACCGAGACTAACCGTATTCGGCGAGGATGAAGAGCACGGCGAGCTCAATTAGGCATCGTCAGATACACGGTATCGCGATACCGATGCCGAGAAGACCGTCGGGTGATCCGTGTGGTCCAACGTGAGAGGGATGCAGATCTTTGTGGTTGCAACCGTGCACAGTTAGGGGTCCGCATGGCCTGTTCACTTCTTGGAAGGGCTCGTGTTGCCTATCAGGGCTATCTCTTCTGCCAAGAGAAGGCTTCACACGGAGTAGTGGAATTCCTTAAGTCTAAGGTTGTTGATTGGGTCGTCGACCGCCCTTGCATCGGAGAATTCTCGATGAGGCTTGGCGAATAGATTTGCCAGTAATGAAGTAGTAATGAAGTAGTTCAGAGCTCTTGAGGAATCTAGAGGGTTTCGAAGCACCGGATGAGTCTTTGAGATCTTTGAATCTACTTGTATTACTGTTATCGGGATTCGACACAAAACATCTGCCGTACCTCCATATCTTGGATCAATTCGTCTTCTTAGCTCCCTGCGTTATGACCTCACTTAGAATTTGGTGCTAGAATGCATGCAATTTAAGAATGTATGATTTAGATTGAAATGACTCGACTGCATCCGAGGTGCTTAAGGCTCTGCTGCATGAGTTTAATTGGATTGACTCGACTGCATCCGAAGTACGAAAAGCTCTGCTCGCCCATCAACAATTCTAGAGGAGCTCCACATTGTATCAAGCAACCTTCAGATAGCTTTCAAGTAGACCTGCACCCAGTGGGTTCTGGGCGACGCGAACCACCTACAAATCCAGCATAATCAGCATCCGCATCATATAACTAGTTGGACTCATTCAGGAGACACATACCTCGAACCGTTCGTTTGCCTGTTTCAATAGATTCTCAAACTCTCTCGCAGTTCTCTGCTTTGCACCAAGAGTAACCATCATCGTCAAATCGACTTGACGCAGATGGTGATCGACATAGCGAGTCGTTGAACCACTCTCTGGCAAAATAATATCATTGATCAGAAATGGTGGACCGGCATTACACTTCTCAAGCGCAGGAACCAGCGCACGGATGATACCAACGCAGTCAGAGCTATTGTAGTTGTGCAAGCACTGTCGGAGAAGAAAGGCATTGGCATCATGGACGGGCTGAGGTTCAAAGAAACTGTGTTGCTGGAATGTCACGCGACCTCCGAGGCTGGCGACAATGTCTTCTTGTGCTTGGGATAGCATCTTTGTCGAGACATCTTGTACGATGAAGCGCAAGTCTGGGAATTCCTGCAAAATTGTAAGTCTTTGTCAATTTTGGGCAAAAGCAATATAGTAGGGGAAATACCCGAGCAAGTCCGATTGATATGTGACCTGATCCACCACCGATATCCACTATTTTTCCATTCTTCAAGGAAGCCCAAGGAAAACTGCGGTGCAGTTCGGCAATCTGTCCGTTCACTTCAGGAATATCGTTAGCATTGTCATTCTTTGACTCATTGAATGGCAGGATCATGGAGGGCAACTGTTGAAATCCCAAACTTACTTCGTGACCAAGCGTCCATGGACTGAGCAAATCTAGCACCCTTAAGAGGATTCTGCTCATAGTACGCATACGTAGTGACCCCAAACCTGGTACGGAATGCAGAGTTCTCGGTGTCCGAAACATAAGCGAAATGTCTCCGGACAGTCGAATCGACAGTCGGTTTTAACCCGATTAGTAAAGCGGTAAAGCGTGTTTCAGCCACGCCCGCAGTGCTTATTATTCATATAATATTTTGACTCAAGATATAGTGACTTTAGTAGTGTTTGAGGCCGAATTTGCATCGGGCCAATATACTATTTACGTGCTTTCTACTATAATTTTATATAGGCCCTACTACTATAGAAAGGACATTTTACCGGGGGGATTAATAGGCACATCTCGCTTAGTACTATATATGCAAATCTAATATTTTTTCTCGGCTACCTATAGTAGCTAGTCTTTAATATAATTAAGTAGAAGCCATATATTGAAATCACTATTAGCTTCTGCTTTTTCAGAATCTAAGGTTCTTTTATTTCTACGATTACTTCTGCTAAAGTTATAGTGACGTAAAAAGGGGGTAAGTTAGGGGATATAGCGCCTGCTATAGGGCTCGCTTACTATCCTAAACCCCTTGCCCTCAGGGCACTATCTACTAGTATAATCTGTATATATAAAAGTATTACTTTTTAGTCGCCTTTATAATCTATTTTAACTAATTTTTTATTCTAGAATCGCGAAACTATATATACGCTTTCAGAATCTCAAATTTTCGGTCCGTATAATAATTTTCGGGCTAGGTATAGGGCACAGAAGGGGGGGGCCGATTACGCGAGCGGCCATTTTGGTAGGGGGTAGGGGGCTTAATTAGTCTAGTATACTTCTCGATTTAATATATGGAGGTATACCGGTAAAGTTATAGTTTTTAGTCAAATATATAATCGCATTAGTAAAGCTGTCTTTGGTTCTTATATATATCTTTAGTTCAGATTTCGAGTTTAGAAGGAATTTCGAAGCTTATCGCGCGACCATACAAACCCCCACCAAGTGGCGATAGTGCTAGAAAGCGCCGCAGAATCGAACCTAATCGGGTTAAAACCGACTGTCGATTCGACTGCCCGGAGACGTTTCGAAACATAAGGCGACCGGTCAAGCAGGGTTGATAACTCTGAAGCCGCTTTGAATATTTCGTCCATTCTAGAAGGTTGGTATCAGTATTGCTTGCTGCATGACGTGCTTCCGATCTCGCGCAGGACAAACTCACTGCATATGAGCCATGGCATGAAAATCCTTGTCTCTCGCCATCAGAGCAGACATTGCCGTGTGTCTGAACCTTCCGCTCCCACTACCCACTTCCTCAAAGATGCGATGAGTGGCCAACAAGCGAAGTACTCTAGCAGCTCGGTCCACATCCATCTTAGCCTTCTCTGCAATTCTTGCAATATGGATACCGGCGTCTTCTTTGCCTTGGATTTCTTTTGGCAACGGAACGTGGACGAAGAAGCCCCGTTCAAGTGCTATCTGTAAAGAGGAGAGATCATAATGTGAAAAGCACATTGTTCGCAAGGTGTTTCGCGGACCATTGACCAGACGCAACAGATCGAGGGCAGCGTCATTCAGGGAAGCTCGCAATGATTCATATTCCGGTGTCGTAAGCAGCACACTCGCTACAGAGGTGCTGAAATCTGGCTCGGATTGACCAGCTTCTGAGAGACATGCTGATATTTGCGAAGATAGTTCAGAGATCTGGTCGGAAAGCGAGGCAATGGATAGTTCGGCATTGCCAGACTTCGTTGACAACTCTCGATTCTTCGACGCTGGTTTGCTGGGGAAAAGTCTTGCTAGGAACTGAGGCAAAGATCCAACAGCAAGAATTGACAGGATCACGAAAAGAAAGGAAGCAGTGAATTGCGATATGAAGTCCATTGTGTAAGCGTGATGTTGTACAGGTTTGAGGAGAACGGATACTAACTAGAGGTAAACAGCTACCAACCCTCATAAATACTATTTTCTAGCTCGGAGAGCTTCCGAGAAACGGATGGGAGTTTCCCGAACGAAATATCGGGGATCTTACCGTGACTCAGGCTTACTGTTATTGCGTTGATTTCTATACTTAGACACTAGTAAATGTGGAAGTCGGTTCACAGCAAAGCCCCCCCGCCCCCCAACTTATTGGTGGTCACGATCTCAATTATAATAATTTTGACATCAGGAAGTTCAATTTCTATGTAGGAAATCTGTCTACTCTATGAAATAAGCTACCCTTAAACGTGGTTACTAAGAAATTCGTATCCTTTGAGAACTGCCTTCCATCCTTCTGATGCCGGGTTGCTGCTGAGATCACAAAAATGTCGTGCCCCTTCAACCAGCACCAGACCAGCCTCGACTCCCTCGCTCAGAAGTGCATCAAAGGTGCCTTGTGATTGTTCCCATGGAATCAAATCGTCATTGGTCCCGTGAATCATGAAGGTAGGTGTCTGATAATTCCCACGGACAATCTGTGCGAGCGGACTACAGGGAATAATCTCCTCCAAGGTAGGCTGTGGAAGAGCATTCCAGTTCTTCACCGACAATCCCGAGCTCTTCTTCTTGCTGGGGAGACCACCAATGATGACGGGCAGTATTTGAGCCTTCCAATTGATGTGGAGGACGATGCGGCAGCGTGGATCGATGCGTATACGAGGGTCAGACAGTGGCTCCCATGCACCGACAATTCCGTAATTGGTGATCTGTTTGATTTTTTAGGTCAGGGGATTTAGGAACTTACGGGCTTGTCTTGAATCGCTTCCAATACATCATACTGGGCTCCCGAATCTTCTGCGCCGTTTGGCTGAATGGGATGTCTCCACCCTAGTGACAAGTTAGCAAAGTTTCCCTAAACTCAATCAAGAAGATGGCCTTCTCACATTCGTCTTCATAGTTGGTCGGACAGTAGAAAGCCAAAATTGCCTCAGGTGGCCTCAAGACTTTTTGTGGTGCAGTCCATGCCAGTGACATTGCCAATTGCCCACCCGATGACCACCCAACAACAACAGCTCTCTCACCATCAATCTGGACGTCGCTCTGAAGTTTGATGTGTGGCAGCTTGGTTCTAGCCCATTCCAGAGCATCACAAACATCTACCATGCCTCCCTCGGCAAGTTTGACTTCTGGGCAAAGTCTATGATCCAAGCTCACAGGCACAAACCCCTTCTCAATCAAGAGACGTGTCTGAGTTGGTCGGATATCTTTTCGGGAGAAGATGATGTGGCTTCCACCATGAATCATGAGAGCTTTGAGACGATCAGTATTTTGCAGAAAGTGCCGACCCGTGTGCATGCTTACCGACTGGCAATTTTGTCTTTGGTGGATCGATGGGGTAGTAAACATCCGCTTGTATGTCGGTGTCGCCTAAAGTCTTGTAGACAACAGTCTCCATGGACATTTTTGTGGCGGGCTTCTTTGCAGCAACGGACGCTGTTTTAAAAGCGCCAATAACGCGGACAGTCTTTGATTCTGGGGACTTTCAGTCCGTCCACAAAACCTCTTTGAAGCCGACCCCCTTCATTTCCCTTTCCCAGTGCTTCTCGTTCACCAGGGCTTGAGTTCGATTGTCCTCGAACAACCGAACTGTCTCAGGATGTTCGAATCGACAGTCGGACTGTCCCTGATAAGAATTGATAAGTAAGGCAGTAAAGCATGTTTTAGAACACTTTAATAGCTTCCCTGCAGTTCTCATTATTTATATAATATCTTAACCAGTGTGTCAAAGGATTATTCAAGTTATTCAAGTTATTCATGAATATTCATGAATAACTTGAATAAAATATGAGTAACGAGCAGCTTAAAAAACTTGAGTAAAATAGAATAATTATTCATGAATAACATGAATAACATGAATAACCATGAATAGTCACGTGTAAGTCACGGGATTATTATAAATTGACATATATTTTAATTTTAAAAAAAGAACTAAGGTGCTTATTAAGCAGGCTTATATAAGGGCACTTAAATACTGATTTTCTTTAATAATGAACTTGAAGTATTACTAAGGTTCAATTTACTTACTAAGTGCTACTACCACCTGATTAGGTAGTGAGGTGGCACTAGGTGCGGCCCCCCCCCGGGAGCCTTACCTGACTAGGCTAGCCCCATCACGTGTAATAATCACGTGTGTTATTCAAGTTATTCATGAATATTCATGAATAACTTGAGTAATATATGAATAAAATATAAGTAACGGGGTTTATGCTTGAATAGAATATGAGTAACGGCCATTATTCTATTTTACTCTATTCATTTGACACACTGATCTTAACTCAAGCTATAGTAACTTTAGTAGTATTCGAGGCCGAATTTGTATTGGCCCAATATGCCATTTATAAAAGTTATTAAGAATAGAAATATACTACTATTTAGAAGTTTAGTAATATAATATTACTATATATTCATAACTTAATATATATTAAATTTTAGTATAAAATTAGCCATTTATATATTACTATTATATTTAGCTTATTATATATATTAATATTACAGGTTTAGTAATGAATATAATAAGTAATAAAAGAAAGAAATAGTTAGCTATTATATATAATTATTAGTATTTAATTATATAGTAATAACTACTAAAAATTACTTATTATTATATTATAAAAGTCTAAAATCTCCTTAATTTAATTTCTATATCTCTTTAATTTTAATTATTATTATTAATAATAATAATAATAATATATCTCTAATTAGTTAAATAGATTACTATTATAATTAAGGCTATTTCTAGTTTAAATTAATAGTAACTCGGAAATAATATAGTTATTTCTAGCCTTAATATAGTATTTTAATATCTATAAAACTAGGCCTTTATTTAGGAACTTGCTTTTATAATTAAATACTATAAATTAATAAAAGTTTATTAGAGTTATATCTTTTATAAAAAGAAAACTCGAAATAATTATTAAATAAAAAAGGCTAGTTAATAATATATAAATATATTTATTTAGGAAACTAATTATTTTATTTATTTCTATATTAATAAAAAAAGAAATAAGGAAATTAATAGATTTTTTATTATAATAAATACTTTAAATATAATAATTCTTATATAATTAATTCTTTTTCTTTAGTACTTTATTATTTATATTAATTTAAATATCTAAAAGCTAAATATATTATTAAAATATATCGGGAAATAACTAGTTTTAGGATATTATTAGAAATTCTTTAAAAAGTAGGCTTTAAAATTTATAAGATATTTATTAGTAAGTAATAAGATAATAGAATAAATTAGTGAGTTATAAAACTATAATATTAAATTTAGTATAGAACTAATCTCTATTTCTCTTATAAGGTTCAGGGAAGCCTTTTCTAAATAAGAAGCCCTAATAATATATATATATAATTAGTAATTTATAATTCTAATATTTATAATATAAATAGTAATTAGTTATAATATTAAAGAGCTATTAATCTCTCTAATTAATACCTATAATATCTAAGGTTTATTATATATTCTTAAGTTATATATAACCCTATATATATTATAACTATATTCTTTTTCTAGGATCTTATTCCTAAGATCTATTAATTTATTCTAATATTAAAGATTCTATTATTCCCGAATAATATATTAAGTTTAATAATATCTTTTTTAAAAAAGTTTCTAATATTCTATTTCCTTATTAGTTATATAATTATAAGATATAATTAAAAAAGAAAATAGAGAGATATCTAGAATATAATTCCTTATATAAGATAATAATAGCTGAATTAGAAGCTATAAAGAAATATTTTCTAGAAAACCTTAATAAGGATTTTGTTACTTCTAGTTAATTACTATTTATAGTTCTTATTCTTTTTATAAAAAGTCTAACGAGAGCCTATAGTTCTATATTAATTACCGGAAGCTAATTAGATTACTTATAAAGACTATTATTTTCTTTTTCTTATTAATAAAACCTTAACTAGAATTAGTAAAGCCAAAATCTTTATAAAGCTTAATATTTATTAGGCTTTTTACTAAATCTATATAGATTCCGAATTAAAAGAATTAATAATATTTTATATATATTATAGGATATATAAATATAAGGTTTAATTCTTTAGATTAATTAATAGGCCAGTTACTTACTAGTATTATATAAATAATATTCTATTTAATTATTTAAATGACTTTTATATAGCTTATCTAGATAATATTCTTATTTATTTTAATAATAAATTAGAATATAAACTTTATATAAAAAAGATTCTTTAGTAATTCCAGGATATAGGCTTATAAATAGATATTAAAAAGTATAAATTCTATATTATATATATGAAATACTTTAGCTTTATTATCTTTATAAATAGTATTAAAATTAACTCTAAAAAGGTTATTATTATAAAGAATTAAGAAATTCTTTAGATTATAAAAAAAGTATAAGCCTTTCTAAAGTTCTATAATTTTTATAAAAGGTTTATCTATAATTATAATAAGATTACTAAGCCTTTATTAAATCTTATATATATAAATATTTTCTTTTTATTTAATAAGATTTATTAGAATACTTTTAAAGAACTTAAAGTTTATTTTATATTATTAGTTCTATTCTATTATTATAATCTAGAGTAATAATTAATAATTAAGACTAATATTTCGAATAGTATTATTACTAGTATTCTTTTCTAATAATATAATAATAAATAGTATTTTATAGTATTTTTCTTAAAAATAATAATACTTATAAAATATAATTATAAGATATATAATAAAGAAATATTTATTATTATATAGTTTTTAGATTAATAATATCTGGAACTTTAAAGAATTATTTATTAAATCCAGATCTATATAGACTACTATTTATTAAAGTACTTTATAATAATAAAAAAGCTTATAAATAAATAAGCTAGATAAACTAAAGCCTTAGCTAAATACTATTTTATTATTTAATATAGATCCGGTAAATAGAATATAAAGGCTAATATTCTAATATACCGAAATAATAAAATTATTTAATAAAATAAAATAAAAGAAGAATATTATACTAAAGCCTTTCTTTCTTAAAACTAAATCGACTTAAAAGTATTTTAGAATCTTAGTATTAAAATTAATTATTTTTTCTCTTTCTAAAATAATAATAATAATCTTAATAAAATAAATAATTTAGTTAAACGAATCCTATAAGATAATTATAAAGCTTCCTCTTTATAAGCCTTTTATAAATAGACTAAACGGGATAATATTAACTTTATTATAAAAAATAAATTACTATTTTATTATAAATAATTTATAATATTAGAGAAATAGTTATATATAGATTTAATTTATAAGGCTTATAACTAAGTCTCTATAATATATTCTAATAAAGATAAGATATATAAATTACTATAGCTATAGTATTACTAGAAGAATATATAATATAATATTATTTAATATATCTATAATTACTAATTATATAAATAGGCAAATATTTTAAGAAATAAAATTTCTAGTTTACTTTACTTTTTACTAGTTCCGGACTATTTATAATAATATATTATAATAGATTTTAAGTTAATATCTAGTTCGAAATCCGGCTATAATACTATATATATTATAATTAACTAATTAAGTAAATAAGCCATTTCTATATCTTATTATAAAACGACTATAATAAAGAATATAATAAAGATATATCTCTAAACTATTTATTATTACTATAGTTCTCTAGCCTCTATTATTTCTAATTATAGTTTATAATTTATATTAGTATTTTAGAAGAAGTTTAATAAAATCCTAGATATAAAACTAAAGCTATTAATAATATATTACTTATAAACTAATAAATAGACAGAAATTATAAACTAATATATTAATTAATAATTATATTTATATATTATATATTATTAAAATAACTAGAATAAATACTTATTAATAATTAATTATATTTAACTTACTTTTTTATATAAACTTCTTAATAATAGACTTTTATAAATCTCTTTTAATTAATTAATTCTAATAACTATATCTCAAAACAAGCTAAATAAAATAAAGGCTTAATAGAATACTAGATAAATAGAAAATACTATAAAAAAGATAAGAAAAATATAGAATAGATATAAAAGAAAATAGAAAAGTATATTAATACTAAATATTACCTTATTAAATTTAAAATAAAAGACAAGATATATATATTAAT